GTCACGTGATAATGTATACTTTGTTGAACTTCTTTCGCACCGTAAATTGCAATGCGTACAAACTGAACTTAATAAGGACATTCAGATGCATGGGAGAATAAATTAAAGAAAGATCATATTTTGATTTAAAGCTTTCGTGACTGCAGTAATTCATATTCTTAGTTTTTTCGGTAAAGTCACGTTGAAGAGAAACAACAAAATAACAAAATATATATAAAACAATAAAAAATTCTCACGACGTTTCGACCATAACTCAAACGGTCATCATCAGGTGTGTCGGTTTGCATAAATTTATTTTGAAAACGGCATATTTATTTATATATATAAAAATAACGTTTGCGTCACGCGCAACGATGGCAGTTTGCCAGGACTAGTCCATCTATTTTTTGAAAAGAGGAGGGGGAGACGAAATTTGTTTTTATGTATGCTGTCTGAAAGGCACTGTAAGCGTGAACAATCAATCAAGAACTGAAATGATTTATCAAATCTTTCCAATGATTGCTAAGATAGAATCCATCTTCTCGGTTGAAATTGTCTCTGTGTTTGTATATGTGGATAGCCTCATGAACGAATCTCTCATGGAAGCCAGATGGCTTACAAAGAACCTCCGTCTTGGAAAAGTCAATGGCATGTGAGCCTACTGAATTAGAACAATGATCTGCTACGGCCGAGGTGTTGGTCCTACCGTGTTTAAGGTCTGCTTTATGTTCACGAATGCGGTCCGAGATATGGCGTTTGGTTTCTCCAATGTAACTACTACCACAGAGGCAACTTAGTTTGTAGACACCAGGGTATTGTATGTCCGGAATCACATCTTTTACAGACGGAACCAGATCACGGATTTTATGTAATGTGTTGAAACGGACCTGGATCTTGTGTTTATTCAAGATTTTGGAGATCTTTTTTGTGATCCCAGCAATGTAGGGTAAAGTGATGGTTTTGAAAGGCTCCTCAAGAGGGTTCTTCTTCATGGTTTGAGTGATAGCTTTGCGGATTGTATAGTCGGAGTAACCATTAGCCCTAAGAGCTTGGTGTACGTGCTTGAGTTCACTGCTTATGTGTTCCTGGTCGGATATGCATTGGGCTCTATGATACAGAGTCTTGATGAGAGAATTCTTCTGTGATGGATGGTGGTGGGAATCCGGTTTCAGATAAGCATCCGTATGGGTAGCTTTCCTGTAGACAGAGTGGCTCATTGAACCATCAGGTCTCTTTTTAATTAGGACATCCAAAAAAGGTATCTTGCCATCTATTTCGACTTCCATGGTAAATCTGATGGCTGGGTGTATGGAATTGATGTGGTCGAAGAATTTGTCTAGAGCAGGCCGGCCATGTGGCCAGATGACAAAAGTGTCATCCACGTACCTCTTCCATAAGGTTGGGCGCAGAGTGGCAGTCTGGATGGCGTCAGTCTCAAATTTCTCCATGAAAATGTTAGCTATAACTGGAGAAAGGGGGGAGCCCATTGGGGTGCCCTCAGTTTGTTTGTAGAAAGTTCCATTCCAAGTGAAGTATGTATTGGTTAAACAGTGTCTCACCAGGGGGGGTACCTCAGTGTTTAGTCCTTGATGAACCAAGTCTTCAATGATTGCAATGGTGTCAGGTACAGGAACCTTGGTGAATAAGGAAACTACATCAAAACTGACAAGCAGGTCGTCTGGGGACAGGGAAATACCCTTGATTGTTGATACCAGGTGAGTAGAATTTTGTACCGCAGAGGTGGTCTTTCCAGTGAAAGGACGCAGGATTTCAGACAAAAAACGAGCTAGTTTGTAGGTGGGGGAGCTGATAGTAGAGACTATGGGACGAAGAGGTGTATCAACTTTATGTATTTTTGGTAAGCCGTATAATCTTGGTGGCCTGGCAGCAGAAGGTTTCAACGAAAACTGTTTAGATTGATCAATTAATGCGGTTGAATCAGAAATTATTTTGTTGGTTTGTGTGACGAGGCTGTTGGTGGGATCTCTTTTTATTTTTGTATAACTACCATCGTCGAGTAATTCTTTAATTTTGTTGTTGTATTCTATTTTATCCATGATAACAGTAGCATTGCCTTTGTCAGCTGAGAGAACTACAATATCATTCCTCTTTTTTAATTTATATAATTCAAAACGCTCATCTTTGCTGAGGTTGCTAGCTGGCATCTTAGCGTGTTTGAGGGTTGCAGCGATTTCAGATCTTGCTACGTCTGCAGCGATGTGACCCAGGCCCCTGAGAGCAACGTCTACTTGGGCAATTATATCATTAACTGGTATGTGTTTAGGTGTGACTGCAAAGTTTAGACCTTTAGCTAAAACGGATTTCAGACCATCGGAAATAGAACTGTTACTGCGATTAATTACGACTTTATTAACGTCTAACTTTTTGGTGTGTGGGTCCGGTCTTTTGTTTAAGAGGAGGTTAAATTTGGAAATCAGGTTTTCCTTACATTTGGTCGACATAGTAGCAGCTGAAGAGGCAGTCATATTGTCTACATGTTCCCAATCCGATGTGGACATTATTGCCGTCAATGATAAGTGTGATTTGTAGAGTGTCTTGTCTAACTGATCTAGTTCTGTGCGTATAAGTCTGATTTTTTCTGAGATAAGAGCTAAGCTAGTTTTGAAAAGAATTCGTTTCGCATTAGAAGAAGTTACAGTAGCAGAGGTGAGTGTAAATGCGATTGGTATTACCCCAGAGTCGCGGCATCTCTTCAGGAAGGTGAGAGACTCGATCAGCTGAGCTTTCTTATCCCGGAGTTTGTTGAAAGATCTTAAAGTTATGTGAAAACCCTCCCCGTAGAGGCGATTAAATTTTGATTTAAAGCTTTCGTGACTGCAGTAATTCATATTCTTAGTTTTTTCGGTAAAGTCACGTTGAAGAGAAACAACAAAATAACAAAATATATATATTGTTTTATATATATTTTGTTATTTTGTTGTTTCTCTTCAACGTGACTTTACCGAAAAAACTAAGAATATGAATTACTGCAGTCACGAAAGCTTTAAATCAAAATTTAATCGCCTCTACGGGGAGGGTTTTCACATAACTTTAAGATCTTTCAACAAACTCCGGGATAAGAAAGCTCAGCTGATCGAGTCTCTCACCTTCCTGAAGAGATGCCGCGACTCTGGGGTAATACCAATCGCATTTACACTCACCTCTGCTACTGTAACTTCTTCTAATGCGAAACGAATTATTTTCAAAACTAGCTTAGCTCTTATCTCAGAAAAAATCAGACTTATACGCACAGAACTAGATCAGTTAGACAAGACACTCTACAAATCACACTTATCATTGACGGCAATAATGTCCACATCGGATTGGGAACATGTAGACAATATGACTGCCTCTTCAGCTGCTACTATGTCGACCAAATGTAAGGAAAACCTGATTTCCAAATTTAACCTCCTCTTAAACAAAAGACCGGACCCACACACCAAAAAGTTAGACGTTAATAAAGTCGTAATTAATCGCAGTAACAGTTCTATTTCCGATGGTCTGAAATCCGTTTTAGCTAAAGGTCTAAACTTTGCAGTCACACCTAAACACATACCAGTTAATGATATAATTGCCCAAGTAGACGTTGCTCTCAGGGGCCTGGGTCACATCGCTGCAGACGTAGCAAGATCTGAAATCGCTGCAACCCTCAAACACGCTAAGATGCCAGCTAGCAACCTCAGCAAAGATGAGCGTTTTGAATTATATAAATTAAAAAAGAGGAATGATATTGTAGTTCTCTCAGCTGACAAAGGCAATGCTACTGTTATCATGGATAAAATAGAATACAACAACAAAATTAAAGAATTACTCGACGATGGTAGTTATACAAAAATAAAAAGAGATCCCACCAACAGCCTCGTCACACAAACCAACAAAATAATTTCTGATTCAACCGCATTAATTGATCAATCTAAACAGTTTTCGTTGAAACCTTCTGCTGCCAGGCCACCAAGATTATACGGCTTACCAAAAATACATAAAGTTGATACACCTCTTCGTCCCATAGTCTCTACTATCAGCTCCCCCACCTACAAACTAGCTCGTTTTTTGTCTGAAATCCTGCGTCCTTTCACTGGAAAGACCACCTCTGCGGTACAAAATTCTACTCACCTGGTATCAACAATCAAGGGTATTTCCCTGTCCCCAGACGACCTGCTTGTCAGTTTTGATGTAGTTTCCTTATTCACCAAGGTTCCTGTACCTGACACCATTGCAATCATTGAAGACTTGGTTCATCAAGGACTAAACACTGAGGTACCCCCCCTGGTGAGACACTGTTTAACCAATACATACTTCACTTGGAATGGAACTTTCTACAAACAAACTGAGGGCACCCCAATGGGCTCCCCCCTTTCTCCAGTTATAGCTAACATTTTCATGGAGAAATTTGAGACTGACGCCATCCAGACTGCCACTCTGCGCCCAACCTTATGGAAGAGGTACGTGGATGACACTTTTGTCATCTGGCCACATGGCCGGCCTGCTCTAGACAAATTCTTCGACCACATCAATTCCATACACCCAGCCATCAGATTTACCATGGAAGTCGAAATAGATGGCAAGATACCTTTTTTGGATGTCCTAATTAAAAAGAGACCTGATGGTTCAATGAGCCACTCTGTCTACAGGAAAGCTACCCATACGGATGCTTATCTGAAACCGGATTCCCACCACCATCCATCACAGAAGAATTCTCTCATCAAGACTCTGTATCATAGAGCCCAATGCATATCCGACCAGGAACACATAAGCAGTGAACTCAAGCACGTACACCAAGCTCTTAGGGCTAATGGTTACTCCGACTATACAATCCGCAAAGCTATCACTCAAACCATGAAGAAGAACCCTCTTGAGGAGCCTTTCAAAACCATCACTTTACCCTACATTGCTGGGATCACAAAAAAGATCTCCAAAATCTTGAATAAACACAAGATCCAGGTCCGTTTCAACACATTACATAAAATCCGTGATCTGGTTCCGTCTGTAAAAGATGTGATTCCGGACATACAATACCCTGGTGTCTACAAACTAAGTTGCCTCTGTGGTAGTAGTTACATTGGAGAAACCAAACGCCATATCTCGGACCGCATTCGTGAACATAAAGCAGACCTTAAACACGGTAGGACCAACACCTCGGCCGTAGCAGATCATTGTTCTAATTCAGTAGGCTCACATGCCATTGACTTTTCCAAGACGGAGGTTCTTTGTAAGCCATCTGGCTTCCATGAGAGATTCGTTCATGAGGCTATCCACATATACAAACACAGAGACAATTTCAACCGAGAAGATGGATTCTATCTTAGCAATCATTGGAAAGATTTGATAAATCATTTCAGTTCTTGATTGATTGTTCACGCTTACAGTGCCTTTCAGACAGCATACATAAAAACAAATTTCGTCTCCCCCCTCCTCTTTTCAAAAAATAGATGGACTAGTCCTGGCAAACTGCCATCGTTGCGCGTGACGCAAACGTTATTTTTATATATATAAATAAATATGCCGTTTTCAAAATAAATTTATGCAAACCGACACACCTGATGATGACCGTTTGAGTTATGGTCGAAACGTCGTGAGAATTTTTTATTGTTTTATATATATTTTGTTATTTTGTTGTTTCTCTTCAACGTGACTTTACCGAAAAAACTAAGAATATAAAGATCATATTCTTCGGATTCTAACAAGAGTTCGATACTGATGCCAGTAGGAAGCCTAAGACACTGCTACATTGTCACATGTTGTTCTGTACGTATGCGTGTTAAACTTCTTTTGCACCATACGTTGCCAAACGTGCTAATAGGAGGTTTCGGGCGAAGAATGACAAACTCTATCTAGATGATTTGAAAGTGCAAAGCTCCAGTGACTTCCTAATATCGGGAAGGAAGAGCGTTCCAGACGACCGCAGCGCGCGAAGCAGTGTCAGTTTTTGTTGGATGGCCAGCCAAAAGCCGCTGCTGCGAGGGTGACAGGACTTCGCGCGATGATGGTTTATCGCTCCTTGACGAGATCAGCGGGGTATTGTGGTTCATTTGCGGCAAGCGCTTTGTGAGTAATGAGGTGGTGAAGTCTGAGCGAGTTGTCCGAGGTCGTCTGCAGGTCGTTCGGTCACCACGCGCTCCCGCTGGAAAGCACTCCTCACCATGTAGAGCATGTTGTCGATCCAGCGCGTGATGTCGCCGGTCTCCAGGCGGCCCCGCCAGGGCTCCTGGTAGACGGTTTCAGTCAGCGTGGTGCCAATGTTCTTCACCGCCGGGTTCATCATGGCAAAGGGCACGCACACCACCTGCCAGAGGGGAAGGAAAAACTTCAAACGGCGACACGGAACCACACTCGATGATCATCACCATCATCATAATTTTTATCATCTCATGGTGCCAGAACAAGGGGTATTTGAGATAACTACTCAGTAAGGAAGCGATTTCAGAGAAGATGCAATATCAAAATAACAAGTGCATTCGAGACAAAATACACAATAAACGATAATACACTCATATTCTTAGTTTTTTTTCTTTTCTTTTTCTCGGTAAAGTCACGTTGAAGAGAAACAACAAAATAACAAAATATATATAAAACAATAAAAAATTCTCACGACGTTTCGACCATAACTCAAACGGTCATCATCAGGTGTGTCGGTTTGCATAAATTTATTTTGAAAACGGCATATTTATTTATTTATATAAAAATAACGTTTGCGTCACGCGCAACGATGGCAGTTTGCCAGGACTAGTCCATCTATTTTTGAAAAGAGGAGGGGGGAGACGAAATTTGTTTTTATGTATGCTGTCTGAAGCCACTGTAAGCGTGAACAATCAATCAAGAACTGAAATGATTTATCAAATCTTTCCAATGATTGCTAAGATAGAATCCATCTTCTCGGTTGAAATTGTCTCTGTGTTTGTATATGTGGATAGCCTCATGAACGAATCTCTCATGGAAGCCAGATGGCTTACAAAGAACCACTCATTTAAAATCTGAAATGTGCTTGAACGTTCTCTCTTTTTGCGTCTGCTTTATTTGAGCTATCCGTGCGCTATCTGACAACAATGTACTTGACTGTATCTTGCATCGCTGACTTGTAGGGTGCGTTAATAATATTTCCTAAACCAGCTGTTTCCCACAACCGTGGCCGCCAGCCGTGATTCACCGCTTGCAGAGTTTCCCCAACGCCGTTCCTCGCAACCACATTAAGCTGATGCATGCTACACGCGTCTGATGACAGGCAAACTCGTCCTGGGTGACACGGAGATGTTAACTACCTCGCTTGGTAAACAGGTCATGGGTTCGATCCCAACCCTGATGCCTGTACATTTGGAGCATGTTCTTCCTGTGGTCGAGTGGATTTTTCACCGCGCCTTCCAGTTTTTCCCTCCACATTTAGAAACACGTGTTTAGAGTATATGGCCGCTATAAATGTCCACGTGATGAGAAGCCACTATGTTGAGCCATCATGTGTTGCCAGGTCGCTTCTGAAATAGAGCTCAGTGGGCCTTACCTCGTAAAATAACAAAAAAGTTGAGTCTTTTTTTTTGTTATATAGTTTGTGATGTTGAAAGCAACGAGATTGTCACGTGTCACATGTGACAAAGACAAAGATCCCCTAAAGAGTTGTAGAGGCTACTGGAGGCAAGTTCTATGAGCGAGCACCTATTAGGGCCCACTCGGCTCACGAGTGGCTGGTGTGATCCGCACCACTCTTGACCCCCATTCATCTCCCCTCTCCTAAGCTACGGAGGAACACTGTGTAGCAATTGATCATCATGGCAGTACCCCGGGGTACCAAATAATACAAAATGGCCAAGGCAATTAAATATTTTATTTCTGGGACACTATTTTTTTCCCAGGGGTGTCACTTCACTCCGCGACTGGGGTACCAATCAATCCAAAATCGGTGCCACACTCCGCGATGTGGAAACGCAGCGAGGACGACTGCGACGAAACCCTGAACGCTCGCGGTACGCACCGTGGCGGTGGTGCATCGTGGGTACAGCTCGTCGAGATGAGTCGATTGCCGCATCGCCGACCATCAACAGACTAAACATGACTGCATCACGGACATTATGCGAGAGCCGGGGGTACTATGGTTACCCCGGGGTACTGCCGTAAGGTTCAATTGCTGACATTAACCCTACACCTGCACTGTGCGCGTGTGTGTTGCATTCATCGACCAAGTTAATTCACGTATTTTATCACTGTTAAAAATTTAAGGGTGGAACAATGGTGCAAGCGGTTAGCGCGCAGTGCTATTATGTGCCCGGCTACCCGAATCGCCGGCTAACGGTAACATCAGGGGAGAGCGATATCCAAAATGGTTCTAGACACACACCCTTCACCGAGCCGTACTGACCGGTGTGGTGAAGTATGATCAATCAACCCCTACAACGACACGGCGATAAGCGGCATGCATTCAACAGTGAACTAACAAAGGCCTGGAAATATTATTACATTACACTCTATGCAAACATAACAAAAATTTAAACATATAGTCGAATAAACAGAAACAAGGCCATAATTTGTCATTTTAAAAGTACATTTAGTACACTTTTAACCACAAGGGGCTCTAAATGTAACGAGCTCTGTGCGGAATGTTAATCTACAGTGCTCATTAATATCCGAACCCATTGTATAAAGACATTCCTTAACTAAGCTCGTTAACATTCAGAACAATTTTAATTCATTTAAGCTATTTAGATTAGAGATATCCTCTTGACTGTTTAATTTATGGTTTTCCCATCCACGTTATATGCAACTCAACCCCGAGTTCCCTGCGGTGAAATGAGCCGCAGCCTTCAAGCAGAAGCTTAAGGCTCAGGCTCCCACCTCATCAGGCTCCCACCTGATCAGGCTCCCACCTGATCAGGCCATCACCTGTTGAAGCTCGTACTTATTCAGGCTCTCACTTGTTCAAGCTCTCGCCTTACGAGGCTCTTGCATTTTCAGGCTCTCAGCTGATTCAGGCAGTCGCCCGTTCAGGCTCTCACCCATTCAGGCCCTCACTGGTTCGGGCTGTCACCTTTTCGGGGTCTCACCTTTTCGGGTTCTCACATGTTCAGGCTCTCACCCGTTCATGCTTTTGCATTTTCAGGCTCTCAGCTGATTCAGGCAGTTGCCCGTTCAGTTTTTCACCCATCCAGGTTCCCATCCGTTCAGGTTCGCACCCGTTTAGGCTATCACCCATTCAGCCTGCCATCTTTTCAGGATCTCAACTGGTTCAGGCTCTCAACTGGTTCAGGCTCACACCCGTTCAAGATCTCACCTGTTCAGGCGACCAAATTTAGGCTGTCACCTGTTCAGGCCATTGTTCGAGGGACTCCGAACTCTGGCTCTGCGCCTCCGAGTTTTTGATCGAACATTGCGTTCGATTAGAGAAATATGAAAACTCATTTCTTTAGAACAGATTTTTGTGTTTAGTTTGTTGTCATTCCCCTGCACCTCCGATTAGCATGGTTGGCTACGTACAGTGCAAGAAAGTTCAACATATACATACGAAAGGCCGGCTGACAAGAGCTAATGTATTGGAGGTTTCAAATTTAGTTGGAAGGGTAATCACATTTCGAGTGAACAAAAAACAGCGATTGGCTGAGACCTGTGACCTACCAGGCCCACGACCATGAAGAGAAGCTGGATGATGTCTGTGTAGGCGACAGAGTAGAGACCGCCCAGGAGCGTGTAGATGATGGTGATGAAGGCTGACACGATGACCGCGATGGTCCTGTCGATGTCCAGTATGACGCTGATGGTCGAGCCTGCAATGTAGGCCTCGGAAGCGTTTTCACTCGGGTCGCTGAGACATCAATTTCCGTGATACGATATAAATTTTCGCACGATGGATATTATCACGATATATCAGTTTCCAGTAACTCTCAAACAAAAATGACCTATCAAAGTTCTTCGACTGCAATTCGCTCAACACAAGCCTGCCGCAAGCCTGCCTACCAGTGCAACTATACAATCCGTAGCACACGTCCGCGTCGCAAAGAGTGTCGATGTCACGCCGCGTGACTAACACGGCCATTTCCACCCTCGTGCCAGTCAAGCCGGTGGGAGAAATTACCAAGTGCCGCTGCCACCGCTCGGGCTACGCGGAGAAGTCGGCAGGCGTTTCTGGCTCCGCCAGAGAAAAACGATGATGTGCTGTCGAGCGAGTTTAAGAAAATAAAACTATTAATTCAAAATTGCTTTGTCAGTCCACTGCTGGACGAAGGCCTCCACATGCCGTGTCAGTCAAGGGACTTGTTTGACCATACTCTTTTGACCAAGGCTATTGGGAAGGAAGACACTATATATTTTATTATTTTATTGTTTCCCTTCAACGTGACTTCACCGAAAGAGCTAACAATATGAATTACTGCAGTCACGAAAGCTTTAAATCAAGATTATAGTCTTAATTAGTTTTTGCAGTCGGGGGCGGTGTTGTTACATAGCTTTGACAAATTAGTTATTTTTAAAAAGGCTAATTGGGACCATGACAGCCTTCCCATGTCATGTTGACATGGGGGTCGTTTGACCGTACTTCCCCACCGCTGATCAGTGTGGGTGGGGGCAAGGGGGGGGGGGGGGTACCGAGGATCAGTTCAGTTATCGCTAGCCGCTGACGTTAACCGTGGCCCGAGGATTAAACACAGGTCACCGGGTTCAGAGTGCAGCACGCTAAACATTACACAATGCAATATAACTTAGGTGATACGTTAATAAACATTGCCAGCAATAAAATAATGATTTACCAAAAGCAATCATTTCGATTTAAAGCTTTCGTGACTGCAAGGATTCATCTTCTTTTGGTTCTTTCGGTAAAGTCACGTAGAATGAGAATAAAATAATAAATTGATAAAAATAAAATAACACGATAAAATTCTCACGACGTTTAGGCCACAACACAAGCGGCCTTCATCAGGTGAAGGGACGAGACTGTCTGGAGGACAGCGCTGGAGCGAAAAAGCTGAGCGTGGCTGAGCGTGGAAAAAGCCACGCTCAGCTTTTTCGCTCCAGCGCTGTCCTCCAGACAGTCTCGTCCCTTCACCTGATGAAGGCCGCTTGTGTTGTGGCCGAAACGTCGTGAGAATTTTATTGTGTTATTTTATTTTATCAATTTATTATTTTATTCTCATTCTACGTGACTTCACCGAAAGAACCAAAGAAAAAGCAATCATGGTAAATACATCAACATCTACCCCTTTATTTAAGGACCGAAACAGGAGAGTTTCTCCACAAATCTGGCTGCCGCCTGATGATGCCGGTTGTAATCACTGGCGAAACGTCGTACTCAGATTGTGAATGTTGTGGCTTGGCTCTCCAACACACCGGTGTGCTGTACTAGCGACGAATTGGCACGATCTGTTTACGTGACAACCCTTACTAGTTGGCTGTGTCGGGTGGTGGCGGGTTCATCGACACATTTATATATTTACGCGATCTAACCCAAAGAAACCTGTATTGTGGATGGTAAATAAATGTAATTATATTTGGCTGTTCAATAATGTTCAGGGGACCGAGTTACCGGAAGCATTAAACACCAAACAACAACAAACCCAACCCATTTATGAATACCACTGCCCTGAAAAAGCAACTATTATATCCCGTGATAGGCGACGTTTCAGGAAATGGCCCTTCTTCAAAGGAGAGAGAAAGAGGACAGCAAGAACGAGTGAAAGGCAGAGACCGCACTATTCACCATATACACCATGGGGCTCTCATACCAATTTAAATCTAAGAATGTGTTTCATTTAAGTCTTTATTATTCTTCTTATTACATTTATTCATCCAGGAAAGCCGCTCTGCGTCTTAAGACTACTGTATTTTCAGTTGGGTCCTGTTGGGTTTTTTTTTTGCAGGAGGGGGCAACAATAGCCCTTTGCCTCTTTCAATTAAGTAACTTGCGGGGTCATTTTTTTAAATCAAATTTGGCACAATTGGACGCCGTCGCCACGTGGCCCGACCTCTTTCGAATAACGTCACAGGATCTGTAAAGTCCACTGCGACGCCGCGTACATTTCGGGTCAATACGCCCGGCAGTATTAACGAGGGCAGCCGGGGCCTCGAACCGCGAACCTCCGCAAACAAGAGGGGCAAACGCAACTACCGCTGGGCCGTGTCACCTTCTCACGTTGGCACACGAACAGTTGCACACACAAGACTGCTGGGTGCAGCTGCCGCCTTGTGTAACGATCACTCCCACGCTCTACCACGTGTGAACAACGTGGCAGTGTGTGCGGTGACGATACGCGTAAGCCCTGTGCGACCTCCAGCAGCCTCGTGCGGGCAATGTCCTGCTACCTCATGCAAAGTCTCTGCTCGGGTTGCGCAGTGGGAAGGGGAACCAAAAAAGAAACCTGGCGGCTCTTTGAGCAGCACCGGATTGGCTCGGCACAGCCCCCGGCATGGCTCACCTCGGGTGTTCCGGTGGGCAAAAATAGCACGTCCCACTCGTGGCAACACGGCGCGGGCGCTTACCAAGAGCGGTGAGGACGGCGGTGGCCCAGAAGAGGTCCCCAAAAGCCGTCGGGATGTAGAAGAGCGACCCCAGCCACTTGCCGTAGCGTATCTGGAAGGGATCGAGCATCGTGACGTAGCAGCCCATGCGCATGGGCTTGGCGAAGAACAGGGCACCTGGACGTGCGGCACAAAGACAAAAGGTCCCACCGTGCAGCTTTTAAACCTCGTTTATTATTTCGTATTTGCAGAGCGCCTTGGCTCAAGGCACTTTACACGCGGTTTAAAAAGCGGTAACAAAAATAGTCATTTTTAGATGGCAGGGGCATGGCAAGGGCCGAGTGGAGAGTCCAGGGGAGGGAAGAGGAGACATTTTGGGCAATGGGAACACTGTTGGGGCGAGTGCTGTTAGTGAGCACCTATGAAGGTCGACCTGAGCAATGCTATCCACCCGTATGTTCCGTCACGAAACCTACGCTCATCTGCTATGAACCCACCGCTGCTGCTGCTGCTGTGTGTAAAATCTACTCGGCAGAACGGAGCTTTTCATTTACAGCCCCATGGTCTGGAACTGTCTGCCATCTGAGGTACAGTCAGCCGTGACAATCGGTGTGGTTAAGACCGGACTAAAAACAGCGCTGTCAGCGCTACTGCCTCAGATTTTTGCTGAATATGGGATGTTACAAATCTTGAGATTGACGGCGCACGACAGGATGCACGGTCAGCACCGCGCCCGGCTGCCTTTGTCTCCCCACTGGCGATGTTACCGCACCCCACCAGGTACTCATTTAAGGCTGAGTCGACCGAGGGGAGGCCCAGGACCCAGTTTAGATATTCGTCGCCAAACTAAAAAATAAACACAATCAGCCAAGACCTCTAATCGAGCCCAGTGTGCTGACACCTCAGCCACGTGGCCAAATGTTATGTTTATGTTTTAAAATCCACGATGCATAACTTTGTCATAACCGCCTCTAAGAGCTTCCACCCCGTCGGCAAATGTCAGCCCATCACCGCTTTTAATTGTCTGCAAACCCCTTGCACGTAAGTCAAGCCTCTAATTTCTTTACGCAAGTTCTTAAAATTATTTTTTTTTAAACACAGATAATGCAAGACATAAATTGACGCAAAAGAAAACATTTACCGTTGAGCAACGTAGATTCAAGGTCAAGGCATAGAATGTATCGTCTATTTTTATTTAAAATAATTTCAACTTGTAACATGCCGCACAGTCTTTGCTCACTCTCAAAGAGAGAGAACGACTCGAGAGGAATACAGATTGAGGAGGAGCCACAGACGAGCGGGGAAGGCATCAGCCAGGCAGCGAGCCTGGTGCCAACAATTGCCAAAGCTCTTCGCTGCTCTGTATATTAAGGCGTTATCGGGCAATTAAGGAGTGCTTACACGCGGGAGGAAACCGACGCGTGTGAGGGGGAAACACTCTATTCCACGCTGATGGAACAGGTGGAGTCCACATTTTTATTAAACGCTTTTTATTGAAAGCGTGTATCCTCAAATCTTGTAACTCAATTTTAAGCCACTTCCCAATGTGGTATCGACTGCAAACTTGGTATACTTATGTCATACTGATGACAATTACTATATTCTATCATAAAATATATATTTTTAAACATTCTTTTTTATATATTATGTTTCGGCTTGGGTCTAATTGGCCCACGGTCCCTTACGTTATGGCACGCTTCAGGGCCACTTCCTGGAGTCGTGGAGTTCTTCCATTACTAGAAGGGTACATTTCATTAAAGTGTGTTTTAAAAAAAAAAGAATTTTTAAATATGACTTATTTTTACTATACCGACTGCCCTGTGGTTGTTGTTAACTCGGCACCCCCCCCCACCACCCACGATATCAGTGGCCAACATTTTCTCGGTCCAATGATTGCAAGGCCCTTTGCCCCACATTTTTCTGGGCTTTTTGCCCAGTGTCTCCCTCCCCCCACCACCAGCCCCTTCAGAACGTCTACACACTCATTAACCCGCACACTCATCAATTGTCAAACTATTTTCCAAATAAATTAGTCATTGTCGCTTAATTCAGAAAAGCCCCCCCCCACAACCCCCCACCCCCACGTGGTATATAGACAGGGTTTGCCAGTACTCTTTGATTAACTTTTTTTTAAATAGCCACGTACATTGTATAATTGGTGTCTGTCCAAAACATACCAATGCTGATAAATCACTTACAGAATGCTACTTAAATGGCAAAACGGCAATGGATCATCCACGACCCCCCCCCCCCCGCTAGCGAAAACTTAGCAGGACCGTCCAAACAAAAGGAGATGAGACAGTACGGCTTTCCTGAATAAACACGTGCAATAAAGAACAATCTTCGGTAGGTCTCTCCGTCAGCATTTAAGGGTTATTCCCAATTATTGCTGTTATGACTTGGAAGAGCGACGGGCGTCGTTCCGTGGCCATCTTCGATATTCTTTTGTTTTACCCGAGTAGCGGGGAAGGCCGTGGGGGGCTTGTTAGCGTCCTTGACCGACGTGGTGAAGTATGGTCAAATAACCTCCCGCAAGGGGAGCGAGTACAGGCCCTCATCCAGCAGTGGAATTACAAAAGAATTCCGTGCACGTAAGGAGATTTACAAGTGTTCCAGGATTTAAAGGCACATTTTCAACCAAGAACAGCCAATTGGCAAAATCATTTTGCATGGGTGCCATAGACATCGCAAGGAAGATCACTTGTGTTAGATCGAAATGAACAGCAAGGGAAGTGTGCTGGTTGTGTGTTTTGTTTGTTGTTGTTATGTGTTTCATGATTTTCCCCAAGGCGTTATGAACCCATCTTTGAGAAAACCGGCATTGAGTCTTAGAGGAAATGGAGCATAAATGGTGACGTCCTCCTTGAATGCCAATTTTCATTCACATAGGCTGGCATGCCAGTCAATTACGTGGGAGAAAGGTCCATGTTTCCACACTTTATAAGTGGTTTTCACATTTTTTTTTATAAACACACTGTGTTCCTACAATGTGTTTATATGTGCTCCTACAGTGTGTTTATAATGTGTTCCTACAGTGTGTTTATAATGTGTTCCTACAGTGTGTTTATATGTGCTCCTACAGTGTGTTTATAATGTGTTCCTACAGTGTGTTTATAATGTGTTCCTACAGTGTGTTCATGTGTTCCTACAGTGTGTTTATAATGTGTTCCTACAGTGTGTTTATAATGTGTTCCTACAGTGTGTTCATAATGTGTTCCTACAGTGTGTTCATAATGTGTTCCTACAGTGTGTTTATAATGTGTTCTTACAGTGTGTTTATAATGTGTTCCTACAGTGTGTTTATAATGTGTTCCTACAGTGTGTTCATAATGTGTTCCTACAGTGTGTTTATAATGTGTTCTTACAGTGTGTTTATAATGTGTTCCTACAGTGTGTTCATAATGTGTTCCTACAGTGTGTTCATAATGTGTTCCTACAGTGTGTTCATAATGTGTTCCTACAGTGTGTTTATAATGTGTTCTTACAGTGTGTTTATAATGTGTTCCTACAGTGTGTTTATAATGTGTTCCTACAGTGTGTTCATAATGTGTTCCTACAGTGTGTTTATAATGTGTTCTTACAGTGTGTTTATAATGTGTTCCTACAGTGTGTTCATAATGTGTTCCTACAGTGTGTTCATAATGTGTTCCTACAGTGTGTTTATAATGTGTTCCTACAGTGTGTTTATAATGTGTTCCTACAGTGTGTTCATAATGTGTTCCTACAGTGTGTTTATAATGTGTTCGGCAACGTCCAAAGTGAAATATCTTGGAATAACACCGAGATCCAAGAGAAACAGAGTTAGAGATGTTATTGCCTGCGGCTTTTGCAGGACCAGGGGCGTCACGGTGGCTAGGAGATGTTAACTGCCTCGCCTGGTATGCAGGAGGTTGTAGGTTCGATCCCGACCCTAACGCCTGCCGCTGTATATTTGAAGCTTGCGCGTTCTTCCGCGAGGCTTTTCTCCAGATTTAGAAACAACGTGCGTTTAGAGCATTTGGCCGCTTTAAATTTCCACACGACAAGCTACATTGTTCAGCGATCATTTGTCGATTCTGAAAAAGAGCTATACAGCTTAGTGGGCCTAACCTGGTAAAAAATAAAAACAATTGTAAATAATAAATAAATAGGTTCAGATAATCGCAGCTGACGTTGGTCGTGGCCAGGAATCAAACTCAGGTCCCCAGGTTGAGAGTGCAGTGCGCTTTGCCACTACACCACTCGTTGTGATGCACACACTTGCAGGCATGCACATGACAGAAACATTCTCATTCAGCTGAAACGGTACAACAAGGGGATGGCGGTACCAGCGCCATGCCCAGCTAGTTTTATGGGGCCGTCCATAAATGACGTCACGCGATTTTGGACGATTTTTGACCCCCCCCCCCCCCCCCATCGTCACACGGCGTCACAAAAAGTCAGACCCCTCCCCCCTCAAATATGACCCCCCCCCCAAAAAAAAAACCATGCTTCAAATCGCTTTAAACTATTGTCATTGTAGTGCGTATTTAATGTGGTGCTGCACTCTGATGTTGTAGGAGAAAACATTTATTAAAAAGTCTATTTAATTAAGCAGAACGTGTTGTCTATATTTATTAAAAGTTGCGCATTTTGATGTGACGTCACATTTCTCAACCCCCCCCCACCTCGTCCCACATCGTCACAAATGTCTGACCTCCCCCCCCCCCTAGGTGCGTGACGTCATTTATGGACGGCCCCTTGTCTCCCAATACTATTTTCATAGTACCAGGTGTTCAAGGATGAATGACAAACTATGGGCAAGCCCAATGACGGGTTCTGACCCGACCTGGCTGGTGTCACCATGTTACAGGTCGGGGCTAGGGAGAGGGCTAACTCAATGCACCACTGGAGGGAGGGGGGGGGGTATGAGGAGGCTGGAGGTCAAAGTTAAGGAGCATGAATGACCTACAGCCAAGAGGAGAGGACACGGTGCAGCTTAGTTTAGGAAGTAAAATCACGTGGGGGGTTTCAATTCCTGCCTCAGGATTTTCCTTTTTTTTTTACACCCCCACCCCCTCGGCCACAGCAGACATTGTAACACCTCCCCCCACCCCCCCAAGTAGAGGGAGGTAGAGAGGGGGCGGATGATAGCCCCCCCCAATTTTTGCAAGGCTAGAAATTGAACACATCTACACGCACATGCTCATAAATACACACACACACACACAGCAGCAGCTTTAGGCTCAGGGTAAGCACAGCTTCGATTTGGAGTTTTACAGCTTAAGGTAAATCGGCCAAAGTTAAACTTTATCAGCAGAGGATTTGCAGTTGTCTTGTGTAAGCGGAAAAGCTAACGCTGAGGTGACCCGTGGGTCGAGCCACCCACAACGATCACCATCGCATTTCTCTTCGGCTCTTTATCGACAGCGCGAGCCATCGCGGCCCACTTAGCAGGCAACAACGTCGCGTAAAAAAATCATCGATTCCTGTTGGGTGAGCGTCGATCTTTATGCCAAAGCATTTGTAACGTCTCAGGACTGATTATTTTCTGTAGGCGACCGGGGGCAGTGCTGAAAACGTGTACGTTGAATCTAGTGCGTCAGCCACCCGTGATAGAACGGGATTGTCAAGTACGTCGAGTTAATGGTCTCGGCAGCATTTACTTCACCATAAATGAAAACGACATCCATCGGATAAAATTTTGTTGGAAATGCAGCCCAGATAATATGCGTACAGTAGTATATATGCCCTGCCAAGTATCTGTGACAAGGCTTTTAGAAAAATGTGGATTACATAAAAGTGATCTGAAGGCGATATCACCCTTCTTTGGGCCATTCTGTAAAACAGAGAGAGAGAGAGATATATGCGCTTGCTTGTCTGTGAGTTCAAAATTGATTAACACTATGTAACACAATTTTTGTTCCTGTGTACTAAGGATTATTTTTAATTGCTTATGCCTAAAAAGTATTTAAAAAATGGATATTATTCACCCACAAACTTTGCTTTTGTGACCAGGACTTCATGTGAACGAAAGACACAAATGCACATGTTTTCTCATTGAAAATAGGTACATTTCAAAATATCACTGTCCTCATGGCATGATGCCCATAGAACCATTTAACCCCCCCCCCGCCCCCAAACAAGGGCGTTGATGATTTCTGATTACAAAACGTCGTGCGTAATTTGTTTATGTAAACCCTGCAGCCTCTGTAGAAGTATGCAGTCACTGTGATGGCATAAAAACAGGATAGATTCTGGAATCGAATCGCGACTAAAAATATCACCACAACCCACCGCATAATGATCAGGGCCAACCACACACCCAGAAATTTTCATTTACACTTCTTTCTCAGTACACCGTTTTGAAAAGCAACTGACAAAACAATGTAAACCGCGTGGTAAATCTGGTAATCCATTCGATTACATCAGGAGGCGTTTGGTGTACAGTGTCCGTACCTCCTGTGCAAGTGTACGTACAATGATGGGCAGTGGTTGGTTTTACGTGACGAACAAACTGCACTTCACGTAGGACGCTTCTTTAATTTTCCATTCTATAACGCAACTGGCAGGTTCGTTGTTGAAACACATTAAGCACTTAGTGACCGCAAATTGATACACCTCTTGGTTAATGAATGAACTGGAGAAAGACCTTTTTTTTTTCTTATAGGCCCTATACTTTGCACCGTTCAGCTGTGTGTACATTACAGTAGGGGCACTTAGCCACTGGCTTTCAATGACACACTGGATAAGGGAGAGTCATTCACCACATGGCAAGCGTCACCCTTCTCAAATGACCAATGAGCACCGCCGCGGAGAATCTGGGTTTGAATCCACGTTTCAACCGCCCGTGGTTAAACCAGGTCAAGCGCATTTAATTGACTGCCTCAAAGCCCCGACGACACAATGACTGCCCAAAGTAAAAAGCCATCACTCGCCACCAATCCACGTGCTACGATAGCCAGGGATACACATCAGTGACCCTGGGGGTAGGACACGCAAAGTTCTGTTAAGAACTGTGGGAAGTCCCGGCAGGCTACAATTGTAGTACGATCCTTCATGTCAAAATAAAAAAAAACGGATCCTATGTCTGTAAATGTCGGCGTCGGGAGTGACGTCGCAACTCTCAATCTCTCATGAGAGCTGCTGCGACAGAGTGCGTCGTCGGTCCCACTGCACCGGCCAATCGCATTCATTCATTGTTCAATTTGTAATGTGTACAAACTGAACTTAATAAGGACATTCAGATGCAAGGGAGAACACATTAAATAGAGATAACTTTCTTCGGATTCTGACAAGAGGCCGACACTGATGCCGGTATGAAACCTACAACAATGCTACATTGTCACAAGTTGCTCTGTATGTATGTATGTAGAACTTCTTTCTCATCATACATAGCCAACCGTGCTGATCGGAGGTATGGGGGAAGGACAACAAAACACAAAAAGCAGTTCTAAAGAAACGAGTTTTCAATCTAGATGATGATTTAAAAGTGCATAGCTGCAGCGGCTTCCTAATATCGGAAGGAAGAGCGTTCCAGACGGCCGCAGGAGCGCATCTGAAAGCGCCACGCGATGCGGTGACCGCCGTCTTTGTCCGATGGGCCTCCTTCGCCACGTATTGAGTGCCTCAACGCGGAGCTCGCTGTTGTTGCGCAACACCCCCCACCACTCCACCCCTTACCGAACAAGAGGCTGAGGGAGCAGCCCAGGGGGAACTGGCTCCAGGCGAGTCCAAGTCCCGGCGTGTACACCACCTCCGCCGTGCCGTTAATGTACGAGCCTCCCACCCACGTCGCTGCACGCAGGCACACACACAGGGAAGGCCGCATTAAGTTTTCTTATGAGCTAGGCTGCTGTACCGTGAGAGATTCGTTCATGAGGCTATCCACATATACAAACACAGAGACATTTTCAACCGAGAAGATGGATTCTGGCTTAGCAATCATTGGAAGGATTTGATAAACCATCTGAACAAACTGTCAAATCGCTCTCCGTGGTGCTCACGTTAAAAATAACTGCCACTTTTTTCAAATGTTCTTGCTGTGGTTTTCACACCTGATGATGATTGCTTGTGTTGCAGTCGAAACGTCGTGAGAATTTTATTGTTTGATATTTTTATCATTTTGTTTCCCTTCTACGTGACTTTACCGAAAGAACCAAGAATAGGCTGCTGTACTTTAAGGGATGTTTCATTTATTGCGCTTGGGCAGGACACGTTATAGTCAGGGATGATGGCCAGTGGTCGAGACTAACGATGGACTGGAAGCCAAAGGAGGGAACGCACCCCGAGAGAATATTTACCGCAATTTTATCGACACATCGATACATGAGATGAGCGGAGTGCCATTAGGTGGGGTTGGTGGGGGGGGGGGGGTTTGATTTGGTGGGGGGGGCTGCCATACAACAGAGGTTGACAACTACTGCTCTAAGAATAAGAATAGGTTATACCCTGAACACGTATTTTATTGCCAGAAAAGGTAAATCCTATTCTCACTTTTCATACTTTTGCAGTGAGTTCAACGGAGTTGCAGACGTACTCTTTGGAGGCAACACATTTATTAACACCAACACACGGGGTAACTGCCCCTTAACATAATAACAACCTATGGTGGTGGACCACCAGGCTAACTACGCTAATTACCACGCTAACTAGCTACAACGGACCGGACCGCAGCTTGGGTCCAGGTCCACGTGTTGGGAGACTCTGTAGGACGTAGGTTTCTTCAGGATGAACAACAGCACCGGTCCCTCTGGGGAACCCGGCTCGTATCCTCTGCGGCGTGGCCGGCGCCGCCCCTGGCCGCGACCACCTTCCAGGACCCTCCAGCAGGATCTCGACCCGGACCACGTGACCACCCCAAGCCCCCACCTGGGGGCCCTTTGTAGACTTAACCGGTCACGTGTCCTCTGGGGTCAACCGCAGTGCCATGGCCTTTAGTAACCCCTTTCCTACGGCCGGCACTTCCACACCCTGTCCTGTAGGGCTGGCACTGCACGCCAAGCGGGATGCCATTCAGCGCCATCACTCAGCGCTAACCGAGCTCCTCTAGGGCCGGTACTGCACCCACATCCAAGTGGTGCCCGCGATGTCGCTTCACTTTGATACTGGCAAAAAGGTCCCATTATGCAGCCACTGCTCTCCTCACGTGTGCCAAGCCAACCGATTAAAATCTGGAGGTTTTCCAATTTATAAACCCTATTACTGTTTACAGCAAAAAATAATAATTTTCCAGCATTTTTGAAAGGCTGCATAATTATCTTTTAAAAACTGGTGTGCGGTAAAAGTGCAAGGTTTCCAAGTAAGCTCCTGCAATTAATTAATTGTAAACCCAAGGGCCGTGTTTATGCAACCGCATTATTTAACATGAAATATTGTGTAATCGTTGAACAATGCAAATCATTGACGAACAGGAAAGAGGCACTACTTTACAAAACTCGTGTCCTTAACTGCCCCATGTACGTTGAACTTCTTTTCGCACCGTACGTAGCCAACCGAGAGTGTTCATAAACTGAAACTACAATTAAAACTTTTTTTTAACCAGGTAAACTTCCACTGAGGTTTGTAGCTCTTTTTTCAGAAGCGACCTGGCAATCACAAATGCTAGCCCACTGAAGTGGCTTATCACGTGGAAAATTATAGCAGCCAAATACTCTAAACGCACGTTGATTCTAAACATGGAGGGGAAAACCGGAGGACCCGGATAAAAATCCACATGACCGCGGGGAGAACACACAAACTCCAAATATACAGGCATCGTCAGGGTTGGGATCGAACCCACGATCTCCTGTATACCGGGCGAGGTAGTTAACATCTCTCCCCCGCCCTGGCCTGCCGCCCTGATCTAGAGTTGTCACATGTGATGTACAAGAGAACCCGGACACATCGTGGGAAGAATACCTCACGATAGAGGAAGAGGGGAGGACAACGAGTCAGTGCGTTGTCATAAGCAGGGTTCAATTTGATGGAGGGAATTTCCTCATCTGAAGGGGTGGGGGGGGGGGTGCTATACATTTATTCCCCCAGATAACAGATTTGACTATACAGTGAAACCTTGGATTGCGAGTAACTTGGTCTGCGAGTGTTTTGCAAGACAACGAGCGATCTCTTGCAATACGGGCAGTACGTACAGTATACGCTTTGTCTGCAGAGCGTCACGTGATCACAACTGAGCCAATGGTTCCTCTCTCTCGCTGCGGGATTGTGGGTAATCATCTCCCATGCTCGGTCTCAGTCGGCGTGCCTCACTCGTATAGTCAACATCCGTGCGAGCGTATACTGTTCACTACAGTACTATAGTGTTGTGACAACGTGTATACTGTTTACTATAGTACTATAGTGTTGTGACTACGTGTGTACTGTTTACTATAGTGTTGTGACAACGTGTGTGTGCGTAAAGCATTTTTATTTTATATCCAAGTGTAGTGACTGTTTGTTAGTAACTGTACTGCAAGTGAAAGTCGTCCTATACAATAACCCTCCTCTTCCTCTCTCTCGTCTCCCTCACACCAGCCACGATTAAATGTAATTAATACATTTGATTACTTTATATTAAATTTAAATAATAAAAATATTAAAAGGTATTTTGTATTAATCATCTTTATATGAATACAGTATTTTTGGGTTGTGGAACGAATCATCTGAGTTTCCATTATTTCTTGTGGGGAAATTCGCTTTGATATACGAGTGCTTTGGATTACGAGCACGTTTCCAGAACGAATTATGCTCGCAATCCAAGGTTTCACTGTACAATGCCAGGATTGAGGCTAGTTCATATTTGGGAACACCTATAGCTGTCCTTCATTCAAATTGCATCTCTCACAATCACTGAGGAACCAGGCGGTGAGTCGGCGCTACAAACAATTGCTCAAGCTCTGTGGTCCTCTTCATATTAAGATGTTTTCTAAACTAAACTTTTAATTTTACCATGTACGGCCAACTGAGCTATATAGCTCTGTTTCAGAAGTGACCTGGCCACAAATGATCGCTCAACGAAGTAGCTTATGATGTGGAAATGAATAGCAGCCAAATACTCCGCAAATGCATTTTTATTCTAAATGTAGAGGTAGAAACTGGAGGAGCCGGAGATACATCCACGCGACCACGGGGAGAACACGCAAACTCCAAATATACAGGCATCAGGGTTGGGATCCAACTCACGACCTCCTGCATACCAGGCAAGGTAGTTAACATCTCACCAGCGTGGCGTTGAAATGTGGAAGGGAACCAGAAATCCCACGGGTGCGATGCAGCAACACTCGATCCCATACAGAAACCCCGTTCTTTGAGTGGTGGATTATTACGCAACCGACGAGACCCCGCGACGTTCACTGTCCAGGGAAGGTTTACAGGTCTCCCACAACAGCAACACTAAGTCGGAGGCGAATCCTGAACAAAAACAGGACAAGGCGGCAACCCTACCCAGATGGCCCCCGCCCCCGCGGTGGGGCCCGGCTTGAGCTACCGTACCGGTGGCGGTGAAGACACCGACGACGACGCTCATCTTGCGGTCTCCCACCATGGCCATCTCGCTCTGCCTGGCCTGGCAGCCCCTCTCGGTGGCTCTGGACCGGCGAGCGGCCCAGACGCCCGTGACGAGGATGATGATGTAGAAGACGAGGACGGCCACCACGCCAGCCACGTTCAGCGCCATCTCCTGCCCGACGGGTCTCCTGCCCGGCGGCGGTAGGTGCAGTCAGTTCGTTTCGGCGCAAGGACCGCTGTGAGCTGCGGAAGCTCTCCTTCAAAATGGGAAGCCGGGCCAAAGAGGCAGGCACGTATGACATGGGGAAGGGGAGGGTTGACAGGGATTTGCACAGAGCAAAAGCGGGGACATTGTATGAAGAAACCAGTCCTCTGTGCAATGGGAATCCTGTAGGCGATCCAAAACAACATTATTCATCACACTAGAATTTTTGAAATGCTATTTATAATAAGGATTACAATGGCGCTCGCTGCTATATTGAATTGAATAATCACACTATCCTCTTTGTCAAAGCCTCGGCCCTGTCAAACGGAACCCTCCTGTTAAACACTCCTTTCAGACACTTCCATAAAACACTCTCCCTTCTCCTCTCTCAAAACCCCATCTCCTGCCATACCAATACACCCCGTATAGCCTTAATGGGCCATACGGGGGATCCTGCCATACAATCTAATGCTGTCAAACACTCACCTCCTCTGAAACACTCTCCTCCTGCCAAAGAGTACTGCACTTTCAAGCACTCACGTGCTGTCAAATACTGATTTGTCGTCAAAGATTCACCTCCCGATACTGAAAATCCTCCTCTGAAACACTCTCCTATAAAATATCCTCCTGACGGCAAAACGCTGATTCGGTCACACGCTCCTGCGAAACACTCGCCTGTACAAAGAGCAAACTGACTGCTGGTCAAACACTAAGGTCACTTTCCCTTTGCCTCACTCACCTGTCGGACACTCTGAAGCTGTCAGACACTCACCTCCTCTGAAACACTCTCTTGTCACTCTGCTCATATTGTCAATCACTCCCTCCTGTTAGAACACTCATACTCCTGTACGAGTCGCCTTGTTCTTCTCAAACACTTCTCAATGTCAAGGCACTTGCCTTTCTCACTGCTCACCTCGTCAGACACTCGTTTCAGTCACACACTCGCCATGGTCAGGCACTGCTTCCTCTAACTCACGTCTAGTCAGACAACACTCACCTCTAGTCAGTCACTCACCTCTAGTCAGTCACTCACCTCTAGTCAGTCAACACTCACCTCTAGTCAGTCACTCACCTCTAGTCAGTCACTCACCTCTAGTCAGTCAACACTCACCTCTAGTCAGTCACTCACCTCTAGTCAGTCAACACTCACCTCTAGTCAGTCACTCACCTCTTGTCAGTCACTCACCTCTAGTCAGTCACTCACCTCTAGTCAGTCAACACTCACCTCTAGTCAGTCACTCACCTCTAGTCAGTCACTCACCTCTAGTCAGTCACTCACCTCTAGTCAGTCAACACTCACCTCTAGTCAGTCAACACTCACCTCTAGTCAGTCACTCACCTCTAGTCAGTCACTCACCTCTAGTCAGTCAACACTCACCTCTAGTCAGTCACTCACCTCTAGTCAGTCACTCACCTCTAGTCAGTCAACACTCACCTCTAGTCAGTCAACACTCACCTCTAGTCAGTCACTCACCTCTAGTCAGTCACTCACCTCTAGTCAGTCAACACTCACCTCTAGTCAGTCACTCACCTCTAGTCAGTCAACACTCACCTCTAGTCAGTCACTCACCTCTAGTCAGTCACTCACCTCTAGTCAGTCACTCACCTCTAGTCAGTCACCTCTAGTTAGTCACTCACCTCTAGTCAGTCACCTCTAGTCAGTCACTCACCACTAGTCAGACAACACTCACCTCTAGTCCGACACTTCGCCCGGCCTTGTCGCAGTGCCACACGCGACGAGAATTCTGCGGATGTAAAAATGACCCGCGCGGTGCTTTTGTCGGTCCGCTCTGAACGGAAGCGTGGGGGGTGGTGGTGGGGGGTGTGGGTGGGGAGGTGGGGGGTGGGAGGGGAGGGGGTGGGGTTCGTTAGGAACTCGCCCCTCGCTCGTTCCTAACGCCTTGGAACCAATCGCCGCCGACTGAGTGAGAACCACGCAGGCCGGGACACGACTCCACCACCCTGCCCGGACCACGACGAAGGCAACACGCGCAGCGCTCGCACACAAACAGAACGCCCGCCCGCCCGTCCGCCCTGGCATGCGGCTTCCCACTTGGCTGACTCTTCTTCTTGCCTGGCCCCCCACGTCCCCCGCCCTGTTGGAAGGACGTCGATTAGTCGTGAATCGCTCGGAAACGCCGCAGCACACGGGGAGGGGAGGTGACGGGGTGACGGGCAAACGCGTCCGCGCCGCGGTGAAACATGGACAGGAAATCGCACGTGGGAGGTTCCACCCCCCACCCACCACCAACACCCACCCCCCACCACCAACACCCACCCACCAACACTCCCCACCCACCACCAACACCCACCCCCCACCACCAACATCCACCCCCCACCACCAACACCCACCAACCCCCACCCACCAACACTCCCCACCCACCACCCCACCACCAACACCCCCCCACCACCACCCCCCCCCACCACCAACTCCCACCCCCCCACCACCAACCCCCACCCACCAACACCCCCCCACTACCAACCCCCCCACCACCAACTCCCACCCACCAACACCCCCCAACACCAACCCCCCCACCACCAACTCCCACCCACCAACACCCCCCACCAACAACACCCTCCCCTCCCACCAACCTCCCCTGACTAGAGTTGAGTGGCGACGTTCGTGTGAAACTCCTTCTGAGATGGGGGGCACCACCACCAACACCACCACCAACAACAACAACACCACCAACACCACCACCACCAACAACAACACCACCAACACCACCACCAACAACAACAACACCACCAACACCACCACCACCAACAACACCACCAACACCACCACCAACAACACCACCACCAACAACACCACCAACAACAACACCACCAACACCAACAACACCACCACCAACAACACCACCAACAACACCACCAACAACAACAACACCACCAACAACACCACCAACAACAACAACACCACCAACACCACCACCAACAACACCACCAACAACACCACCACCAACAACAACAACACCACCAACACCACCACCACCAACAACACCACCAACAACAACACCACCAACAACACCACCAACAACAACACCACCAACAACAACACCACCAACAACACCACCACCAACAACAAAACCACCAACACCACCACCAACAACAACACCACCACCAACAACAACACCACCACCTCCTACTCCTCCATGCCGCGTGCATCCATCCCACCTGCGTCCACCATCCGCCACTAAAGCCGGGTCTCTACTCCTTAGCACGCCAGGGTCTCTACTGGACGGTAAAACGTCGAACCTCGCAGGCAAGGCGGACAGGTTCGAACGCGTTGCACGAATAAACAGCGTCGCCCCCCTTCCGACAAAGTGCAATTGTGGACTGTAAAGGGGCCGTCCATAAATGACGTCACGCGATTTTGGATGATTTTTGCCCCCCCTCCCTCGTCACACGGCGTCACAAAAAGTCAGACCCCCCCTCAAATATGACGTCACAAAGCTCTGCCCCCCCTCCCCAAAATAAAACACGCTCCAAATCGCTTTAAACTATTGTCATTGTAGTGCGTATTTAATGTGGCGCTACACTCTGATGTTGTAGGAGAAACGTTTAGTTAAAAGTCTATTTAAATAGAACGTGTTGTCTATATTTAAAGTTACGCATTTTGATGTGACGTCACATTTCTCAAACATGTGTCTGACCACCCCCCCCCCCCAGTTGCGTGACGTCATTTATGGACGACCCCAAACGTGTCACGACTCTTCGTCGCAGGGGAGAGGGGGTATGGGGACGCCCCCAGAGAGAGAGAGACGCTGTGAGGAAGTTCACTTTGCGTGTGCCTCCGCGGAACACGAGCGGAAACTCCGGCCCGTTCGGCGAGGTCATTGCATCCACGATGGATGGGGTTTCATCAGAGATGCCACAGCGATTGAGTTACCGCTGTACAGGGGTGGTCTAGATGTCTTGTGACCTCCACAATTGCATCCACGATGGATGGGGTTTCATCAGAGATGCCACAGCGATTTAGTTACCGCTGTACAGGGGTGGTCTAGATGTCTTGTGACCTCCACAATTGCATCCACGATGGATGGGGTTTCATCAGAGATGCCACAGCGATTGAGTTACCGCTGTACAGGGGTGGTCTAGATGTCTTGTGACCTCCACAATTGCATCCACGATGGATGGGGTTTCATCAGAGATGCCACAGCGATTGAGTTACCGCTGTACAGGGGTGGTCTAGATGTCTTGTGACCTCCACAATTGCATCAACGATGGATGGGGCTTCATCAGAGATGCCACAGCGATTGAGTTACCGCTGTACAGGGGTGGTCTAGATGTCTTGTGACCTCCACAATTGCATCCACGATGGATGGGGCCTTCATCAGAGATGCCACAGCGATTGAGTTACCGCTGTACAGGGGTGGTCTAGATGTCTTGTGACCTCCACAATTGCATCCACGATGGATGGGGCTTCATCAGAGATGCCACAGCGATTGAGTTACCGCTGTACAGGGGTGGTCTAGATGTCTTGTGACCTCCACAATTGCATCCACGGTGGATGGGGCTTCATCAGAGATGCCACAGCGATTGAGTTACCGCTGTACAGGGGTGGTCTAGATGTCTTGTGACCTCCACAATTGCATCCACGATGGATGGGGCCTCATCAGAGATGCCACAGCGATTGAGTTACCGCTGTACAGGGGTGGTCTAGATGTCTTGTGACCTCCACAATTGCATCCACGATGGATGGGGCTTCATCAGAGATGCCACAGCGATTGAGTTACCGCTGTACAGGGGTGGTCTAGATGTCTTGTGACCTCCACAATTGCATCCACGATGGATGGGGTTTCATCAGAGATGCCACAGCGATTTAGTTACCGCTGTACAGGGGTGGTCTAGATGTCTTGTGACCTCCACAATTGCATCCACGATGGATGGGGCCTCATCAGAGATGCCACAGCGATTGAGTTACCGCTGTACAGGGGTGGTCTAGATGTCTTGTGACCTCCACAATTGCATCCACGATGGATGGGGTTTCATCAGAGATGCCACAGCGATTGAGTTACCGCTGTACAGGGGTGGTCTAGATGTCTTGTGACCTCCACAATTGCATCCACGATGGATGGGGCTTCATCAGAGATGCCACAGCGATTTAGTTACCGCTGTACAGGGGTGGTCTAGATGTCTTGTGACCTCCACAATTGCATCCACGATGGATGGGGCTTCATCAGAGATGCCACAGCGATTGAGTTACCGCTGTACAGGGGTGGTCTAGATGTCTTGTGACCTCCACAATTGCATCCACGATGGATGGGGTTTCATCAGAGATGCCACAGCGATTTAGTTACCGCTGTACAGGGGTGGTCTAGATGTCTTGTGACCTCCACAATTAACCCCTAACATGTCTGTCTTACCCCCCCCCCCCCTTTGCATATTAATAAAAATATTTTAATAAAGCTTACTTTAAAAAAAATGAAGTTTGATAGAATTAGATGGGGGTCACAAGACATCTGGACCCCCATAGACTACAGTATGGGGGGGGGGGGGTGAAAACGCCGATAACACCACGCCACCCCCCCCCCCCCCCCCCCACGATATAACTTTAGGTTTTCTTGAATCTTTTTAGACGAAATAGGCTTAGAATTTCCACGTGGACTGATAGCTTATTTTAAACCAAATATATCTATATACGTACGCATAAACGTCTTCATTAAATCGTATGAAGAGGCACAAGTCTCAAATGTGTGCTCACGCATTGCTTTGTGAGTAGCCGTCAAGCGGCGTCGGAATTGGAATTAAGACTTGTAACTTGCGGCTCAGCAGCAAGTTACAACAGCTGTGGCTCAGCAAGTTACAACAGCAAAAAGAAAATAAGCACAGGATAAGGGTGCAGAATTGAGAGAACGGGTCAGCGAGCCACGGCGATATAAATTCATTACGCAATTATATATTTTTTAATCAATTGCCATTGTATAACAAATTTGATATGAAGCAATAGCAGGCATCTTGAGCAGAAGTTATTACGGTGTTTGTTGGCAACTAAGGTCAGTGTCAGTACAGCAGGCATCAGGGGGGGCCTCCTCATCCTGCGACCTTGAGGTCTCCCCGTACTCACTGTATCGCTACTACACCCCTTCCCCCCCCCGCCACTTGCTTATATAGTACGGAACACCGCGGTACGTATACGCTATGGGGACACTTTCACCGCGCGTTAAACATAAGTGGAAAACAGAATAGATTTTTACATTCATTAAACGAACACATTTATCTACGTCAATATACGTATTTTATATCAAGTGAAAGGCTTCGTTTTTAGAAAAAAATTAATCCAATTATCGCACACTCTCTTTTGAATAAATTATGTTAACTTTTGCGCAGGCGCAGTCGTCCGCAATTGAATCGGGACGCCGGTCAGCTGTAGAGCCGCCCCTTTATTATATTTCCTACAACAGATAAGCGATGCCAACGTGCTAGCCAATGGAAACACGTAGGCTGCTGCCGTTCAACCAATCGCGTGGCTCAGAGGGGCGAGCGTTGCCTATCCGTTGTAGGTAATAGCCCCATTGAAATATTAAATTCATTTATTTTTTAATCTAGGACTATCCAGAACCCAATAACAATGCGAAATTTTGTTTTTCTCGCTTGGACATCTATAAAGTACTCTTTGGTTCTTTCGGTAAAGTCATGTAGGTAGAAAAATCATATATCACGACGTTTCAATTGGTGAAACAATACAGCAACTAATTCTAGATTTGAAGCTTTCGTGACTGCAAGAATTCATACTCTTTGGTTCTATTCGGTAAAGTCACGTAGGTAAAAATAAACTTTCACAAACTTTCACAGCAGCTTATTTCCCTTCACACCAACATTATGTAAACTTCCCCCCCCCCCCACCGTGCCGGTTGTGAAGAACCAGTGGCATCTACATCTGCAGAACGTGAAGAACCAGTGGCATCTACATCTGTGTAACGTGAAGAACCAGTGGCATCTACATCTGCAGAACGTCAAGAACCAGTGGCATCTACATCTGCAGAACGTGAAGAACCAGTGGCATCTACATCTGTGTAACGTGAAGAACCAGTGGCATCTACATCTGCAGAACGTGAATAACCAGTGGCATCTACATCTGCAGAACGTGAAGAGCCAGTGGCATCTACATCTGCAGAACGTCAAGAACCAGTGGCATCTACATCTGCAGAACGTGAAGAACCAGTGGCATCTACATCTGTGTAACGTGAAGAACCAGTGGCATCTACATCTGCAGAACGTGAATAACCAGTGGCATCTACATCTGCAGAACGTGAAGAGCCAGTGGCATCTACATCTGCAGAACGTGAAGAACCAGTGGCATCTACATCTGTGTAACGTGAAGAACCAGTGGCATATACATCTGCAGAACGTGAAGAACCAGTGGCATCTACATCTGCAGAACGTGAAGAACCAGTGGCATCTACATCTGTGTAACGTGAAGAACCAGTGGCATATACATCTGCAGAACGTGAAGAACCAGTGGCATCTACATCTGTGTAACGTGAAGAACCAGTGGCATATACATCTGCAGAACGTGAAGAACCAGTGGCATCTACATCTGCAGAACGTGAAGAACCAGTGGCATCTACATCTGTGTAACGTGAAGAACCAGTGGCATATACATCTGCAGAACGTGAAGAACCAGTGGCATCTACATCTGCAGAACGTGAAGAACCAGTGGCATCTACATCTACAGAACGTGAAGAACCAGTGGCATCTACATCTGCAGAACGTGAAGAACCAGTGGCATCTACATCTGCAGAACGTGAAGAACCAGTGACATCTACATCTACAGAACGTCAAGAACCAGTGGCATCTACATCTGCAGAACGTGAAGAACCAGTGACATCTACATCTGCAGAACGTCAAGAACCAGTGGCATCTACATCTGCAGAACGTGAATAACCAGTGGCATCTACATCTGCAGAACGTGAAGAACCAGTGGCATCTACATCTGTAGAACGTGAAGAACCAGTGGCATCTACATCTGCAGAACGTGAAGAACCAGTGGCATCTACATCTGCAGAACGTCAAGAACCAGTGGCATCTACATCTGCAGAACGTGAAGAACCAGTGGCATCTACTTCTGCAGAACGTCAAGAACCAGTGGCATCTACATCTACAGAACGTCAAGAACCAGTGGCATCTACATCTGCAGAACGTGAAGAACCAGTGGCATCTACATCTGCAGAACGTCAAGAACCCTTGGCATCTACAGAACGCGAAGAACCAGTGGCATCTACATCTGCAGAACGTCAAGAACCAGTGGCATCTACATCTGCAGAACGAGAAGAACCAGTGGCATCTACATCTGCAGAACGTGAAGAACCAGTGGCATCTACAGGAGATGATACAACTTTTAAAGCCATTCCGCCGGGTTTAGTGTAAATGCCGTACAACATGTTTGGACTCGACGGGAGTAAAGTTGGACTTACGAAACAAATCGACTTACGAACACACCTCTGGAACCCAGCTCGTTGGTAAGTAGAGGAGTCCGTGTATTCCATAGCGGGATCGTGCGAGGTGGCAACCACAGTAGTTAGTGGGAGCCATTCATCCAGTAGTGGATTGACCATGGCTGACGGTGATGATGAAGATATAAGCTACAGCATTCGGTTGAATGCAACGCAGTGAGACAGATTGTAAAATGTATGAAATATTGGGATTATAAAACAGCAATACAATTAATAGTGCAATACTGCAATCAATACATTATGTATCTGTATATACATACAGTTTTCATTTGCAATTTATTATTTTCGTACCAGGCAATATATCATCGTGCAAAAATAAGTATCTAGAGTTTAAAATCCGCATAAAATCATGACGTCCAATGGGCTGTAGGCAGCATAATAGAGGTTCACTGAAAATAACATTTCACTTGTACCGAGATTTGAACCCAGGTGGAGTTACATGGGGTCTCTGTTGGGACGAGAGGGCCCAAACTCATTAGTAAATCTGTTGACCATCCCGTGGCTCGTTTGCAATATCCCACACGTGTTTTAGTTGTGACCTATGACGAGATCGGCCCATCCGTTGCGTCGACTCACACGGTTGGCTACATACGTTGCCAAACAAGTTCAACATATTTTGAAATATTCTTTGGGTCTTTCGGTAAAGTCACGTCGGTAGGTTCAACATTTTTTTTTAAACGCACGAAACAAGGTGGCTTTTGCAAAGGGCGACGCGAATTACATTGAGACATTTAGACTAAATGTAGCAATTTCACACTATGAATAATGCTATGCCAAGAAGGTGAAATTGCACTTAAAAGTTTTAAACATACACGGAATATAATCCGTAATAGCAAACATTTGGTTCGATCATAGTCCAGGTACAATGCCATTTTTTACGATAACCCTCCACCACCCTACAGAGCCATACCAAAGTTGACACGTAATGGGCAAATATGCCAATTGACGTGGTTCGTCAACAAACCGGAGGGCGAATGTTGGAAAGGCGAGCAAAATGTTTACATTTTTTTGTTACAACATTTCGCCTGGAGGCTCTATCCATTATCACCAGGTGTTAAGCAAGCGCAGCCCTCGGTTAAAGCACATTGGTCGTGAAAGACTACGTATAAACTTTAACAGAATTTCTGGAGAGGAATGTGACTAAAATATGCAGGTTACGCGTCATAATCAATCAAACAGCCTGAGCAATAATAGCCAATGACGTCATCCCACACCGAACCTGGCTCCCCTATGCTTAGTTCTCATATCGCCAGCTCTACGTTTTTGGGGGGAAAAAAGCATGGCCCAGTCGCTCGTCAGTTTAATTCTGTGAATCCATTAACATCCGGGGCATGACATGCATTAATTGCTGCTGTGTTTTTAGAAAATGTACCAAACATTGCATTGGCAACTTGTGAACAAGGACAAATGAAACGCGTATCCCAGCAGCCTCTGTCGTGGTGCAATGGTTTGTTTAGCACGTAGGCTTTCGCGACCAATATTATTCATAATAAAGGTTTTTGGGTTAGATCGCGTTATTTATAAATGTGTCGTAACCCTCCACCACCCGACGCGGCCAATCAGCAAAAAAAGTGTCATGTTGACAAAAGACAAATAATTCACTACTTTAGCCCACCGGTGTGTTGAAGAGTGAATCCACAACATTTACAGTTTGAGTACGACGTTTCGCTGGTAATTACATCCAGCATCATCGGGCAATTCGCCAGATTGTCGTGGTGCAATGGTTAGCAGGTTGGATGCGCAATCCAGAGATTGCCGGTTCGATTGCATCTCCCGGATGAGAAACCGGGCAAGCTATCTGTGATTAAACCAGGTTCTCAAGCATGGAAAGTTGATGGTCTTATCCCAGTAACTAATGACTTCCCAAAAAAAAATCCTCCTGTACCACATCAGCCCCAATCTCTTATCTCTTAAAATGGCTTAGATTACTTCTAAGATTTTAAAATGTTTGGTTCGATAGACACGCGACCAGCAATCTTTCCCGTGCATATAAAAAGGTGTGCCCTTCGGGTGGACAACAAAATAAAAACTGTCTATTGCAGCGACCTCAGAAGTAGTCTTGTGACTGGCATCTTTCAGGGGCCATTCGGTAAATACGATACACAGCAAGCGGCATATCTCTCAACGTAAATTCTTCATCGCCCGACACAAACTTCGACAGCATCATTTATAACACAATTGGACTTGGTTTCTTTTTGCATACGCAACATTAAGAACGATGCATTGACATACGTTTAGCAAATGTAGCGGTGCCGCACCTGATAAAGTATACGCATGACGAGGTGCAGAATTTTAAAGAGGGCCCTCTTGGCCGCCGAGGCATCCACGGGGGATCCTTGCCTTTTCCTGGGCAGCGTGGAGGCGACCGTGGCTTCGGGAGGTCCTTGCTTGCTGGGCGTGCACTCCACGACCACCGTCAGATCCTCAAGCAGCAGGTGCCAATCATCGTCATCCCAACTCTCGTGCCCGCCGCTGGTGGACTCCGACAACTTCCCGAGGTCTGAGGGGGAGCGGAAACGCGCGTTGTTCGATCGTCAGTTTAACACGTAGGCTTTAGCGACCAATATTATTCAGAATAAAGTTTTTTTGGGTTAGATTGTGTGAGTATAAATGTGTCGTAACCCTCCACCACCCGATACAGCCAATTAGTAAGGGATTTGTCACGTAAACAAAACACTAATTAGTTACTACTTCAGCCCGCCGGTGTTTTGGAGAGTAAATTCACAACATTTAAATTTACAATACTCATTGGTGTTTTGTTTACGCGACAAATCCCTTACTAATTGGCTGTGTCGGGTGGTGGAGGGTTACGACACATTTATGCTTACGCGATCTAACCCAAAAACCTGTATTATGTTCGATCATCATCCTCTCCCACGTTAGTGTTGAATACATTTGGCAATGAGATCTAGAAAAATGGGAAATGTTTCAGCTCCTTCCCCTCGCACTCCTCGACTTTTGAATTCTACACTGCCTTTGGATTTTCCTCCCATCGCCTCTTTTCCCAAGTTCCTATAAAGCTTTACTTGTTTTTGGGCTAAACCACGTGGTGAGTAGTTTCATGCCAATATTCTAGTCATTAACCCTCCACCACCAAACAAGATTGTCACGTGATAACCCTTCGATTTTACGTGTTATGAACTGGCAGTGTTTAATAATGGTGACAAACACAGTTTTAAGTTTATAAATGAAAAGTCAAACGTAACTATAAACCGATGTAAATTAAAAGTAATACTCTCACATATAATGTTGATCGCATCATGGTGAATAAAATGATAACAGTGCCGCGTCTGTTGTGATTGATGTGAAACCATGTCACTTCTCGTTCTTGCAAAAGTGGAACGATAAAACTACTGCACTTCCTCTCCGCCTCATGGCGGACTGGCTAGGCAACAGTGGACATACTTAGCACTCATTCATGGGACTGGTCAAACGTCCAAATGCACGGCCCTCCCGAAAAAGAGTACTTGAGATTGGTGAGGCAATTCTTGGGTAAATAAATGGCATTTTTACTATTTACATTTTTACTCTTGAAATATGTTGCTCTAAGCAAATTAAAGACTCTCCCCAGTAAACAGGAAATGTTGGACCAATATTGAACCAACATTGGTGCAAATATTCCAACCACAGACCAATATTTGGCCCGACAATGCATATTTACTGGGTTTACATTCCAATTTACTGGAATATCCCTGTCATGGAAACACTGTATATTTAAAGTATACATTGGCCATCCATTTACTGAGTTATCACTCCAGTCGTCGTCCTGCAAAGACAAAAAGAGATATGATTTTGTTAGCAATGTACTTGGGCAGTAGAGGCATAGCAGCGAAACACGGGGAGACACTGCGCATGCAGCAGCGATGGTCCGCTGGTGATGGAGGGCGACTGCCTCCAACTGCCTGGTAGCATCCTTAACCAGAGTCCGATCTTGACACCGCTAGTACCTTTTCCTTCGCAAGTCCACACACCCCCAAATTCTCCTATACCACATCAGATCAATCTCTTCTGAAGCCCATGCCGTGCCCGTTTAGCCCCCCTCTATCCAGCCAAACAGAAGCTGCATGGGTATGCGGTGGCTGGGCATGCAGGCTACATGACCCAGGCAACATAGCCTCGCCTGCTGGAGTTCACTGATGGGACTGTTTCCAGATCTTTCAAGGATCTGTGAGCTCCTCAAACAAACCAGTGTGGTTAAACCCAGGATGGATCATCGGCAGGCCAGCCTGCATGTTTCAAACTGGTGCAGATGTTCCTTTAAATGGATCCATGTTTCGCAAACATAAAGAGGGAATAACTGTGGCCCAGAAGACCCGGAGCTTCGTATGGAGCAATAGCGAAGGCAGCTTCCAAACGGCGTCACACCGCTGATGAAAATATAATGCCGCTCAACTGATTCAGATTGAGACCTCCGCTGCCAAACCAGAGCTGGTCATGAGCAAACTGCCCAAGTACGAAAACTTCTCCACTCTGTCCACAATTGCCCCATCATTCACGGGTAATTGAGGGAAGGAAGCATTCGACGGCACGTCGGGCCAACCACCGTCACCACGGCCGCCAGCACCGCCAGCACCGTCCTTGTGCTCTCTCGCCTCGTCCACGATCTCGTCGGAGGCCCGTTGGGACGCGGGGGACGATTCTGTGCCACGGCAAGAGCCAGGGCGGCGCGGGGGTCGATGCGGGAGAACCAGACGCGCAGCCGGTGCCGGCGGCCGGCGACGTCGCGCAGCCAGCGGCGCGGCAGCCCCGAGCGGCGGTCGCGGGGGCTCCACGACGGGATACCGCTCGACGCAGAAGCTCGCGTCCGCCGTGCTCGCGGACGTGGCGCGTCACCTCGTCCAGCGGCAGCTGCCCGGCGTGCGGGCCGCCCCCCTCGGGGCTCTCGCGTGGGCTGCCGCCGGCGACCTCGCGCTCGCCGGTGGCGTAGCCCCAGAGCTCGGATCCGGCGGCGCCGGTGGCGCCGACGGCGTGGGTGGATTTGAGCACGAAGCGGATGTAGCAGCTGTTCCTTCCGTACGCCCTCTCGACGTTGTGCAACTCGAGGGGAAATGTGTTGAGGGGCAGCTTCTTGCGGAGGGAGACCGACATGTTTCCTGAAGAAGGCCGGCCGGCCAAAACGTCCGTCAAGTTGTTTTTTCCCCCCCGCCTCCTCCTTTCTTCTCGGTAAGTTACCAAAGCCAATCAAACGTATTGCTTTTGAGGATAAAAGCGCATCACAATTGCCTGAATATTTGATGAATACGTAAAAACATTGCCCTTTCCAGCACTCTCAGCTGCCTGTGTTGTATCCATAGGGGCTGTCAGCCGTCACCCTTCCAGCGAGGGGCGATAACACCGCCAATCGCACGGAGCGTTCGCGTTACGAGATCTTCCGCGTATCAAAGGTCATTTAAAACCCCCAGGAGTGTCCCGGTAAACGCGGTCCCTACACCGACAGGCGTACGCAAGCAGCCAGCGTGCCCACGCTGAATTCTTCGTCACCCAGTGGCTATCACGGCTCATGTGAGCGGTGCGGACGCGTTTCTCGGCAACGATGAAATTCCGGTGCCTTGCGTCACTACTTTGGAACTGACCGTGGGGGTGCGCAGGGAAGCCCCAGACTATGCACAGCTGTAAAGAAGCTGGCAAGCTGGCCAGTCCATTGAGCAAGCCTCCCCCTTATACTTTGGACATTGATTAGATCAGTGGTTCTTAACCTGGGGTGCACGCACCCCCTGGGGGTGCGAGACATGGACAGTGTTTTTTTAGAAGGTAAATAATCGAAAAGACAAATTAAGCATGGGCACGTGAGAACAACGACATTGTTTAATCGAACCCTATGTATTTACTAACATACTTTTTTTTTTACGATTGCGAACCAAAGGGGTGCAAGGCTAAAGGAAAAGTTAAGAACCACTGCATTCGATTGATGTGTACACACACACACACTTGCATGCACACATGTTCACAATACACACAAATTAACCTCTTATGCATACAACATGTGCACAGTACGCACACACTACATATAAACACAATGTACACGCAAATACACACAGCATATCAATATATATAGACTCAGACTGTTGGGGCAAGTGCTGTAAGTGATCACCTATGAAGGCCGGAATGACACACATGGGGGTGGGATGGTCATCACCACGCCCGGTTTCCTTTCCCTTCCCGAGTGCTGATGTTCACGCACATCGTTTAAGGCTGAGTCGACCTAGGGGAGGCCCAGGACCCGATCAAATCATCGCCACCGACATTGGTCGCGAGCGGGAATCGAACTCGGGTCGCCGGGTTCGTAGCGCAGTGCGCTATCCACTGCGCTACCACTCCCCGCGGAACGCGCACAGCGACCACAAATCGCGTTCACGTTGAGCCAGCGTTCCATGCTTATCTGGAACTGTGCGATGACCACTTGGGCTCCACAGGCAGATTCTAGTGCCTGTGTGTATACGGCACTGAGTGTTACCCCCTCGTCTGCAGGGGTTTTGCTCCAGGTGCTCTGGCTTCCGCGTGCCGAACGCTCGCCAACAGGATATTCTTGGTTATTTCGGTAAAGTCACGTCGATAGAAAAAAAAATGAAAAAAAAAATAAAGGCCAAAAAAACCCACGACGTTTCGATGGCAGCACAAGCGTTCTTCATCATAAGTCAAAATGTAAGCTCACCAACAGGTTGAGGCAAACATCCTAATGCAGGACCCTCCTGAAAAAGGCGTCTTGAGTCTCAGCGAGACTTTCCTGCACAATTGGAATATACAGTCGTACATTACCCTCTCTCTAGGAAGAAGAAGCACTGTTACTTATCTGCGTCGTAACGCGAGACTAAAATGATGCCGCATGTGGGCAACTGTTCAGGACCGAGGCCCGCCCGAGTTTCTGTGCCCCCATCCCTCTGCGTTGCGGGTTGTGCCCTGCACCAGAGGCTATTGAAATATCATGAATATTACAACAAAAACGAAAACGATGGGCGAAAAACAAACAATCTTATCCACAGTTCTTCTGTTATTCGCGTGTTCTTTTGTTTATTGAACAGAAAACACCGAGAGGAGGCATTTAGACCGCGCATTGCAGTGTCGCGTGTGCGCTGTGCATACGGGGGCTCTCATGGCGGAACTTTGGGTGGCACCGCTGCGTGTCGTTCGGCACGGTTGTCCCGGCACGTGGGGCGAAACGTCGGACACCGTGCCGAGCAACAGCGCGTGGCTGCGACCCGCAAGGGCGCCGGAGAGTTTCACGGGCTCCGTCTTCCTACCAAACTCCGTGTGAAAAAGTGCTTATACATATATATTTTATGTTACATATTTCATATTTAAAACATGTAAACAAGTTTACATAACAATTACAGCGGGTAAAAAAATATACCATTCCCTCCCCACTTACATTTACTGTATAACGCATAGAAAATATTGTCTAGGAAGTCACTCTTTATATATATTACGTGGCATAAATAAGTGCAGGGTACACAAGAGTGGACAGAGTGCTGTCTGCTTGTGCTCCGTACAAACTGACCCAGCGCTCCAATCACGGGTCGCCTTCATTCCGCCCGTCCGATTTTAAATTCGACAGATTTTGAAATTCAGCCCAACGTGGTTGCTTCTTTCTGCTCGAAAAAGCGGAAACCCATGGGATCGTGGAGCACGGGGACTAAAGTGGGCAGGGCACATCGCTCGGAGGGAGGACAGACGAAGGTCAAGCCTGGTGATGGAGTGGCAAGCCAAAGGACGGAAGAGCAATGCCCGCCGTGGAGATGGAGCCAAGAGATTTGCTTGAGATGGAGAGAGCAGTGAAGATCGTGTTGATGATATTGGCAGTCAGGTGTAACACGTAGGCTTTCGCGACCAATATCATCCACGTGTTTTTTTTGTTGTTGGGCTAGATCGTTGTGGATTCGCTCTCCACTAAACCGGTGTGCTGTACTAGTAACGAATCGACGTGCTCTGTATGTCGCGTAAACCAACGCCAATTAGTTACTACTTTAGCCCACCGGTGTGTTGGAGAGTAAACCCACAACATTTACAATTTGAGTAAAGTATCTGGTTGAAGATGATGATGATGATCATGGTGAACATTGCTGAGATGATGTTACGATGATGATGATGATATTGACGATGGTGGATAAGGCAAGTTTGGTGATGATGAACGTTGGCTGTGTATATGGATGATGGCTGGGGCAGGCGTTTATCAGTGTGTGAACGGTGATTGTGGCTGGCTGTGTCAGTGCAGGCTGTGTTGGCACAGCTGTAGGATGCGGCAGGCAGCGTCAGGCCGTGTCAGTGCAGCTGTTCACCACGCTGTCTATATGAGCACCGTTGCCTGGTTCATGTGCGAGGACAGCAGGGCAACCACGGCCTGGTGGGCATAGCGCACGGCCTCGTGCAGTGGAGTGCTGCCCCAGCTGTGCACAACGACAGCAGTGAACACAATGGTGAGCTCACAGTGAACACAGCACACAGTGAACACAATGGTGAGCACACAGTGAACACACAGTGAACACACGGTGAGCACAGCACGGTGAACACAATGGTGAGCACACAGTGAGCTCACAGTGAACACAGCACAGTGAACACAATGGTGAGCTCACAGTGAACACAGCACGGTGAACACAATGGTGAGCTCACAGTGAACACACAGTGAACACAATGGTGAGCTCACAGTGAACACACGGTGAACACAGCACAGTGAACACAATGGTTAGCTCACAGTGAACACAGCACGGTGAACACAATGGTGAGCACACAGTGAACACACGGTGAACACAGCACAGTGAACACAATGGTGAGCTCACAGTGAACACACGGTGAACACAGCACAGTGAACACAATGGTGAGCTCAGTGAACACACGGTAAACACAGCACAGTGAACACAATGGTGAGCACACAGTGAACACAGTGAACACAGCACAGTGAACACAATGGTGAGCACACAGTGAGCACAGCACACAGTGAACACATGGTGAGCACACAGTGAGCACAGCACAGTGAACACAATGGTGAGCACACAGTGAACACAGTGAACACAGCACAGTGAACACAATGGTGAGCACACAGTGAGCACAGCACACAGTGAACACAATGGTGAGCACACAGTGAACACAGTGAACACAGCACAGTGAACACAATGGTGAGCACACAGTGAACACAGTGAACACAGCACAGTGAACACAATGGTGAGCACACAGTGAGCACAGCACACAGTGAACACAATGGTGAGCACACAGTGAGCACAGCACACAGTGAACACACGGTGAACACAGCACAGTGAACACACGGTGAGCACAGGACGGTGAACACAATGGTGAACACACAGTGAGCACACAGTGAGCACACAGTGAGCACACGGTGAACACACAGTGAGCACAGCACACAGTGAACACACAGTGAACACAATGGTGAGCACACAGTGAACACAGCACAGTGAACACAATGGTGAGCACATAGCACAGCACAGTGAACACAATGGTGAGCACACAGTGAACACACGGTGAACACGCGGTGAGCACAGCACGGCATGAACACACATTGAACACGCACAGAGTGAACACGCACAGTGAACACGCACGGAGTGAATATGCACAGTGAACACGGACGGAGTGAATATGGACAGTGAACACGGACGGAGTGAATATGCACAGTGAACACGCACGGAGTGAACACGCACAGTGAACACGCACGGAGTGAACATGCACAGTGAACACGCACGGAGTGAACATGCACAGTGAACACGCACGGTCAGCACACAAATGCTTTCAGACACCGGAACAGACTCTCTGAAAGTGGCCAGGTTAGGGCGCTTAGCAGCTTCACACCAGCTACACGTGCTCCATACCAGCTACACGTGCTCCATACCGCTATACAAGGGGGGGTGGTGCTTGTCCCCTCGTCCATATCTATGGGGAGCGGTCGCGGAGCGGTGAGCGCACTTCGCTACGAACCTGGCGACCTTAGTTCGATTCCCGGACATGGCTAACGTCAGTGGTGGCGCCTTGTACAGGCAGTGGTGTGGGAGGAGGGGGGGGGGGGGGTCTTTGTCTTAGTGAACGGTGCGTGCCGGGTGGGCGAGTCCGAGCGTCGCGCGAGCTACCGGTCGCGAGCGTGGCAGTCCGCCCGGGCCGTCTCCAGCAGGAAGCGCACGGCGTTCAGGCGGCCCTCCGAGGCGGCCAGGTGCAGCGCCGTGCGGCCGTCGTAGTCGGCCAGGCCAGGGTGCACGCCGGCCAGCACCATCCTGCGAAAGGGATGGCAGGGAGCTTCCCCGCGTAGCCCCCGGCAGACTGTGGGGGGCGAGTGCCGGCCCCTCTGTGAAGGCTGCCCGCGGCACACGAGGGCGTGGGTGGCCAGCACCACACCCGGCTGCCTTTGTCTCCCTCGTGGCAACCCTAGCGGTGCCACGGTGGCAAAATGTTAACGACCTCGCCTGGTGTGCAGGAGTTCGTGGGTTCGATCCCGACCCCGACGCCTGCTGCTGCTGTGTATTTGTAGTCTGCGTGTCTCTCTCTCTCCCCCGTGGTCGCGTGGATTTTTCTCCGGGTCCTTCGGTTTTTTCCTCCCCATCTAGAAACGTGCGCTTAGAGCATTTGGTTGCAATACATTTCCACGTGATAAGCCACTAAGGTGAGCTATCGCTTGTGGTCAGGTCGCTTTTGAAAAAGAGCTGTATTGCTCAGTAGGCCTCACCTGGTATAGTTCAATAATTTATGACGATAATATAATATAATGCACATACAACGCTTATATTTGGTGAATGTAATAATAGCATGGTAATAAAATGCGATATAACACGAATATTAGTCCAATATATGGCTAATATAGTGCGGTTATGCTAAAATAATGTTCAAATATAACATTAAAACAATGTTTTGTAATATTACGCTAATAGATAATGCTAATAAAATACTAATATATCATGGTAATATTAAAATAATATAACACTGGCATTATACTAATATACATAACACTAACATCATGCTCATATAACGCAAATATGATGGTAATGTGCACGCTAACACAATACTAATATACCACTAATATACACTGTACTGTATACAAAACGCTGATGACGCGGGGGCACTGGCCCGAAGCTGCCGCGCGGCGCGGGAGCCGCCGTCACCTGCGGAGGGAGGCGACGTCCCCCCGGTATGCGGCCAGCAGCAGGTTCATGATCCGGTATCCCTGGCGGCACGGCCAGAGGAAGAGAGCACCGGGCCAACACCGGGTCAGCACCGAGTCATCACCGGGTCAGCACCGAGTCATCACCGGGTGATCACCGGGTGATCACCGGTCATCACCGGGTGATCACCGGGTGATCACCGGGTCATCACCGGGTGATCACCGGGTGATCACCGGGTCAGCACCGGGTCAGCACCGGGTCAGCACGGGGTTATCACCGAGTCATCACCGGGTGATCACCGGGTCAGCACCGGGTCAGCACCGGGTCATCACCGGGTCAGCACTGAGTCATCACCGGGTGATCACCAGGTCAGCACCGGGTCATCACCGAGTCATCACCGAGTCATCACCGGGTGATCACCGGGTGATCACCGGGTCATCACCGAGTCATCACCGGGTGATCACCGAGTCATCACGGAGTCATCACCGGGTGATCACCGGTCTGAAACCCAGAAGTGCCCTTCAGCAACCCCAGTCACGTAAGCCGGACTCTTCCACATTTGAAAACGAATTTCTTTAGAACTGCTTTTTGTCTTTAGTTCGCTGTCCTTCCCCGACACCTCCGATTAGTTGCGGTTGGCTACGTACGGTGCGAAAGAAGTCCAACATACGTACGTACATAAAGCATGGAGAGATTTAGGCATCATAATAGACGTTCATTGAAAGTAACATTTCACTCGTACAGAGATTTAAACCCAGGTTGCGTTACATTGGGTTTCTGTTGGGACGAGGCGGGCCAAAATTCGTGAGGTAATCTGCTCACCATCCCATGGTTTGTTTCCAAAATCCCACACGTTTTTAGTGAGTCAGTCTCCTGTACTTCAACCAGGGGACGAGATCAGCCCATCCGCACCTCCGATTAGCGCGGATGGCTACGTACGGTGCGAAATAAGTGCAACGTACATTCACTGTGAACACAATGCTCACGTGCGCGTCCCAGGGATACCTCCGATTCGTGAGACCAAGACGACAGGGGTCTGGGCCGACGGGGCGCGCTGTCATATGGGTGCAGCGCAAACGTTCGCACGAACTCCTGCGCACAGACCGCACCACGTGCTGTCACCACCGCAGAGCGGACCCGACCAACCACAGCCTCCAACTCGCCGTGCACACGCTGCAGTGCCCCCCACCCCCCCCCCCCCCCCCGTGTCACCCCATCGTTTGCCCGACTGGAGGCACAAATGGAATCCAACTGGCGAACTGAAACCTCCGATGGGATCCGTGGGTCCTCGCCCGATTAAAATAAAACTTTAACTAACTAATTCTAGATTTGAAGCTTTCGTGACTGCAAGGATCCATACTCTTTGGTTCTATTCGGTAAAGTCACGTAGGTAAATATAAAATAACAAAAAATATAAAATATTTTTTTTAATATTTACCTACGTGACTTTACCGAATAGAACCAAAGAGTATTGAACTAACTAGCCTAACACGTCGCATGCTTTCCCAGCCATTATGAGTTATGATTAATTTTTGGGTGAGGCCACTTAATGATCTTACCAAGTTCGTGCCGTACACTTAAGAACGAGCTTTGGCGTTTAGTTTGTGGTCCTTCCCGCGCACCTCCGATTCGCACGGTCGGCTACGTTCGGTGCGAAAGAAGTTGAACGTGCGAGCGTGTGCCGGCGGCCTCCGCTCACCTCCAACAGCCGCAGGCCTCCGCGGGGGAGGCCCGCGTCGTCGAGGCGCGGCGACCAGAACGCCAGGCCCAGCACGCGCGGCACGACCGCGATCAGCGCTCCTGTGCGCGAGGACACCACGGGGTGGCCCACCTTTGAAACGAGCACAGAGCCCGACAGTCACAAGGTCGCCTCCGTCCTCCATCCTCCCTCCTCCTCATCGTCTATCGAACCGCTCTCTTCCCCCAGAACGTTCGCTTGAGTAATTTTAGATCCCCATCTTACGACAGATCTGTTCGCACTCGCGCCACCGGCCGCCTGTGAAGGTTCCAGGCGTTATTCGCCAAAAGTCTGTTCAGGTTCCCCCTTCACCCCTCCTTTCTCCTGCCCCCTCCTCCGGGTAGACAGCTCAGCCGCGTCGGGACGGATTCCTGCGACGGCTGACCCGCCAACTGGATCGCGCGGCTGGCTGTAACAGGCTCGTGTGTTGTTAAATAAATGGTTTAATTAAAACAAAAAAGTTTAGTTCAGGGTTGAGTTATTTTTTTAAGTAAAAGCGCTGCTGCGAGGCCTCGTGCCATCGGCGGCGCCGCGTAAAATCAAAGCTTTAGTCGGATACCTACGGAAAGGAAGTGTGCTTGGGAGTACGTCGAAGAGATGGGCAATTGATACAGGGGGGTCCACTGACACTGTTGCCAAGGCAATGGAAATCGAGGTAACGACGACTGGACGGGAGCGGCTGAGCATGGGAAGGAATGGGGAGAATGTAGGGGAAGCCTTTGCCCAACAGTGCTAGGCTACAGGCTGACTGCAACATATACGACACCATTCACACACACACACACATAGAAGCACAGGTATTCATATTCTATGGTTCTTTCGGTAAAGTCAGGTGAAGGGACTGGACTGTCCAGAGGACAGTGTTGGAGTGAAGACAGCAAGCCCAGGTCGCGTCCTTTAAGCTGTGTGGGAGGAAACAAAAACGCCTTGACAAAGGAATTAGCATAACAATGATGTACTGGACCGGCACGGTTGGGGGGGGGGGAAGTTTACATAATGTTGGTGTGAAGGGAAATAAGCTGCTGTGAAAGTTTGTGAAAGTTTATTTGTTTACCTACGTGACTTTACCGAATAGAACCAAAGAGTATGGATCCTTGCAGTCACGAAAGCTTCAAATCTAGAATTGGGCGTGACCTGGTAAACATTTTTATTTTGCGAGCGGTCAATGCCCGTGCGTGCGCTTGCTCGCTGTCTCTCTCTCTCTCGCTGTCTCTCTCTCGCCTTGCGATGGACGTCTGCGGACAGACCGCCGAGTCCGTCCGCGTGGGTGCAGCAGAGCGCCGAGCGCACCGCGTCTGCCGCCAGGAGGCTCTCCTCTCCCGCCGCCACGGGGGGGGCGCCCCCCGCCGCCAGGCAGCCCGCCACGCACGCGCACCACTCGCACGTCACCTGCACGCCCGACAGCTTCGCACAGAAGACAAAGATTTCCCTCCGTGTAGCCCTCGTGGACTGCTGGGGCGCCCCTGCGCGGGAAGGGCGTCGGCGCTACCTGCACGAGGAGCTCCATCGCCGAGTCGGCGTCCGTCCTCTCCGGGAAGCACTGAGCGACAGAGAGACAGAGAGAGAGAGATAAAGCGACAGAGAGAGACAGAGAGACAGAGAGAGAGACAGAGAGAGAGAGAGACAGAGAGAGAGAGACAGAGAGAGACAGAGATAGAGAGACAGAGATAGAGAGACAGACAGAGAGAGACAGACACAGAGAGAGAGAGACAGAGAGACAGAGAGACGACGCGGGATGAGCCACAACCGCAATGTCCCACAAACACAACAGCCACACAACACAACAACAACAACCACAGCAGGCACACACGACACACGCTGAGTGATAATGCCAATACACATTTGTTGATTGTGTGAATGCGTCATCGTGTTATTTGAGTGAAGGCGATTTGCCTGAACGTATAGCTGTGTGGACGTGCGATTGGTTGCGTTAATTTGTGTCTGAGTGAACAAGCGATTTGTGTGATCATTTGACTCTGCAGTTGTGCGACTGAGTATCTCTGTGAACGTGCAATTGTATCAAAGTGTGATTGTGCGAATATGTGACCGAGTGAACGTGATACTCTGTGAATATTTAAAATCTCAAGGCATGTGAATGTGTGATTGTGCGAATGTGACCGAGTGAACGTGATACTCTGTGATTATTTAAAATCTCTAGGCAGGTGATTGCCTGTGACTGCGTCGCGACACGAATGTGACATTGAGTGTCTGAGCGTGCGTGTAGGGCAGGCGTGGTTACCTGGCGGTCCTTCATGATGTATTTCACTGCCTGCAGTCTGTTGGGAATGGGTCCTGGTGAGCTGATGATAAAAATACAAAGGTCCCCCTATAGCCTTAACAGACTGTTGGGGCAAGTGCTGTTAATGATTAGCACCTATGAAGGCCGATACGGCACACCAGGGGGTGGGTGGCCAACACCACGCCCGGCCGCCTTTGTCTCCCCAGTGGTGATGTTTTACACACCACACACCAAGTACTCATTTGAGGCCGAGTCGACGTAGGGGAGGCCCAGATAATCGTCACTGGTATTGGCCGTGAGCGGGAAGCGAACTCGGGTTGCCGGGTTCGTAGCGCTGACCGCTACACTACCGCTACCCACAAGCTGTGATACACACACACATCACCTTTAAATATAGTTTGAAAACTGATTTCTTTAGAACTGCTCCTTGTGTTCAGTTTGTTGTCCTTCCCCCGCACCTCCGATTAGCACGGTTGGCTATGTACGGTGCGAAAGAAGTTCAACGTGCACACAGTGCAAGATCACGAGGGAAGAGCAACAGGGCAATTGGCACCTTACGTCGATTGACTCATCATTATTACTGCTACTACTGCTGCTGCTTGTTTACCCAGGAAAGCTTCACCGAGTCTCAAGACTCTCTTTAAGGAGGATCCTGCCGTGTTTTCACAGTAGGAGGGGTAATGTTGACGCTGCTGCTGTATGTAAACCCAATTCAGTTATTTACAAGTCGCCTTTCAGCACTGTGATGTTTTGACCGACTGCCGTTACATTTGCGTGCATTATATTTAGCGACGGGAGGAGGCAACAGGAGGAATGAGTAGGCGGGTGGTGGTGCGTGACCAGCAGTAGCTACAGCCAGCGTGGAGAGGAACGAATGGATGTGGGTGTGCGCGGGGTACCAAAGGATCTTCTGTCTCGCCCACTTGAGGCAGGGGAGGGAAAGGTTTCGCCACTCGCCGTGGCCTCACCTGCTTGGGATCTGTGTTGCACCCTCCGGGCCGGCCAGCTGTCCGTAGGCCTCCAACACCTGCCGTGACAGGGGCGAGCAGACGAACAGACAGGCAGGCAGGCAAGGCGGGCAGTGGGTGCAGGCTAAGATGACGAGTCGATCCCTCAGGGCCATCGTGGAGCCGGCAACCGAAATAACAAGGGCAGCCAAAATGTTAAGCTTTTTTGTTTCGTTATCGAATTCGGTCGAAAAATAAAACGAACTCAACATTTCCCGAGCCGCAATGCGACGTGGACACGAGGCGGCGGCGCTTGATCAGTGGCGTGACGGAGCGGTCCATTTTGTTCGCTTTTTTTGGTTTCTCAGCGGTCGGAAGACGCTCGCCCTTTGGGCGATTCTCCACCCGCAGCGGCTGCTGTCCCCTTGCCGCAAGGCGGTGGTGGCGGTGTTGGCCCGCCGAGTGTGCAGGCGGTGGAACTGCGCTTGGCGCCCGGCTACGGAGCGGTGGGCCACGACGCGTTTATACTCACGCGATATAACCCAAAAAACCTTTGTTATGAGACTCCATTCACGATTCGCTTATTTTGGGTCACATCGTCGTTGTGACTGTTGCCCTCCATCACCCGACAGAGCCAATCAATTCAAGTTGTCACAACGTGGGAAAATGCACCATTTATTTTTGTTCTTCGCCAAACCGGAGGAGGGATCTTGAACAGCCCTTGAAAGTGCGGGGCCCGTATCTACATATGTAGTAGTTACTAAATATGTTGTAGCTACTTGTGCTACTGGGATAATCCGACACTGTTCCTCGCCCGCCCACCCGCCACGCCACGCCCACGCGGTCCGGCGAGCGACCTCACCAGCTGGAGCGCGTCTCTCCCGGGTGACTGCTCCCTCAATGCCGCCTGAAACGATCGGGAAGGAGAGAAGCAGCCACTCGTGATTCAGTTCTCACTGACCGCAGCAGCAGCAGCAAGCGTTGTCGCCACATCAACCAGGCCACCGCGGTGGCTAGGAGATGTTAACTACCTCGCCTGGTGTACAGGAGGTCGTGGGTTCCGATCCTGACCCTGATGCCTGCTGTATATTTGGAGTTTGCGTGTCTCTCATTATCATCATCACGGTAGCTAGGAGATGTTAACTACCTCGCCCGGTATACAGGAGGTCGTGGGTTCCGATCCTGACCCTGATGCCTGCTGTATATTTGGAGTTTGCATGTCTCTCTCTCATTATCATCATCATCACGGTAGCTAGGAGATGTTAACTACCTCGCCTGGTATACAGGAGGTCGTGGGTTCCGATCCTGACCCTGACGCCTGCTGTATATTTGGAGTTTGCGTGTCTCTCTCATCATCATCAGCACGGTGGCTCGGAGATGTTAACTACCTCGCCTAGAGTACAGGAGATCGTGGGTTCGATCCTGACCCTGATGCCTGCTGCTGTATATTTGGAGTTTGCGTGTCTCTCTCTCTCATCATCATGGTGGCTAGGAGATGTTAACTACCTCGCCTGGTTTACAGGAGGCCGTGGGTTACGATCCTGACCCTGACACCTCCTGCTGTATATTTGGAGTTTGCGTGTCTCTCTCATCATCATCATCAGCACGGTGGCTGGGAGATGTTAACTACCTCGCCTGGTATACAGGAGGTCGTGGGTTACGATCCTGACCCTGACGCCTGCTGCTGTATATTTGGAGTTTGCGTGTCTCTCTCCCCGTGGTCGCGTGGATTTTTCTGCCAGGTCTTCCAGTGTTTCCCTCCACATTTAGAATGAACAACACCACGCGTTTAGAGTATTTGGCTGCTATAAATGTCGACATGATAAGCCACTTCGTTGGGCCATCATTTGTGGCCAGGGTCGCTTGTGCAAAAAAAAGCTATACAGCTCAGCGAGCCTTAATTTGGTAAAATACAAAAAATTGTTTAGTTTAGCGAGTCGTTTAAAATGTTACGCCAAGGATCGCCGGCTTTGTCTGAGTGTAGCAAGGCAGGTAACGGCGGGTCGATTAAGACAACACATTGGTCAATAATAAAGCAGCGTGTGGCCTTTAACAAGGGAATACATAGGTGAGGTTTCGGACAGTGGCACTTCAAAAATAGATCATTGTCCTCAAGAACTCATGGACGTGCCGAACACACACGGACGATGCCGATGAAGATGCCCAGTTTTTACACGTTTTCATTTAAATCACTCTGTTGTTATATTCTTGGTTCTTTCGGTAAAGTCACGTAGAAGGGAAACAATAAAATAATACAAATATAAAACAATAAAATTCTCACGACTTTTCGACTGCAACACAAGCAATCATCATCAGGTGTGAAAACCTGATGATGAATGTAGGTGTGAAAACCTGATGATGATTGCTTGTGATGCAGTCGAAAAGTCGTGATAATTTTATTGTTTTATATTTATATTATTTTATTGTTTCCCTTCTACGTGACTTTACCGAAAGAACCAAGAATATGAATCCCTGCAGTCACGAAAGCTTCAAATCACTCTGTTGTTGTCATTGTTGTTGTATTCTCAAATCTTGTAACTCAATTTTAACCCACTTCCCAATGTGGTATCGACTATAAACTTGGTATACTTATGTCATACTGATGACAATTATTATATTCTATCATAAAAAATAGATCATTTTAAACATTCTTTTTTATATGTTAGATGTTTCGGCTTGGGTCTAGTTGTCCACGCTCAACTCACGTTGGCTGTAATTGACCACTGTCCCCTTACGTTATGGGCAAGCTTCGGGGCCACTTCCTGGAGTCGTGGAATTCTGCCATTACCTACTAGTACATGTCATAAAAGCGTGTTTAAAAAAAGTTTCTTGTTTAATATTACTTATATACTGAACGATTGTGCTGTGCTGAACTGACGACGGAGCTGATCAGGTAAAGTACGGTGCTCAATGAACGAAGACGATGCAGAAGATATGGGCATAATAATAATACTAATAATATTATTAATCCCAATGATTAAACCACCATGGCCATTTCACACAACTAATTTACCTGCAGCAATGCAGCCACGAGCAGACTCCCGGAGTCAGACAAAGGGCTAAGGGAGCATCCTGCACACACATAAAAAAACACAAACATCGCCCGTGTAGCCTTCACAGACTGGAGGGGCAAGTGCTGCTGTTAGCGAGTAGCATCTACGAAGGCCGGCACGGCATCACGAGGGGGTGGGTGGCCAGCACCACGCCCGACCGTCTTTGTCTCCCCCAGCGGCGATGTGTTTACACACCGCACCAGGTACTCATTTGAGGCTGAGCCGACGTAGGGGGAGGCCCGGGACCGGTTCAGATAATCGTCACCGGTGTTGGCCGTGAGCGGGAGGCGAACTCGGTTCGCCGGGTTCGTAGTGCAGCGTGTTAACCGCTGCACACACGCACGCACAACACACAAATATAAAAATAGTTTCGACTCAAGAGGCATCAAGAGGAACCACAGACAAATAGAACGACAGCAGCCAGGCAGCGAGCCGGCGCCAAATCCCCACCCCCACAAAGCTCTGCGGTCCTCTATGTATGAAGTTGCTCTGCGTGTTTGTTGTTGTTGTTGCTGCTGCTGCTGCTGAACTTCTTCGGCACCGAACGTAGCAGACCGTGCCAAATCGGAGGCGGCGGGGTTAGGGCAACAAACGCAAGGCAAGAGACGACTTCTCACTCCTACCCGCCAACTATGGAGTGGTTTGGTTTTTTTTTTTACACGCGGGGGGGTGAAATCGGAGCACACGATTTGAAAAACCCCGTCACACGGGAGAGGGAGGGAGGGGGGTAAAACACACAAATATTAAAACACTACATTTGTAACGTGCATAGTAAAGTGATTGTATTTTTTCACGTGCTATACAGCCAGACAATACGGCAAATCGCTAACCTTAAATACCCGGTGGTTCGTAAAAGTCGAAGGCGGTATAGTACTATAGTGATAGAGCAAGTGCAGAATCACTGAACCGGAATTGATAGCTTGAAAGCATTTAGCGCGGGGCCCTTGAAAGTGCGGGGCCCGTAGCTACTACTACACGTGTAGTAGTAGCTACTACTACACGTGTAGCTACTACTACACGTGTAGCTACTACTACATAGTAGCTACTACTACACGTGTAGTAGCTACAACACGTGTTGTCGCTACTACACGTGTAGTCGCTGCTACAGATGTAGCTACCGTTGCTACGGCGATCATCATCCGGCACTGTGTGGGGGCAACGCGCTATCCCCACGCCGACGGTAACGGACGGAGTCCGACGTCGCAGCGTGCACGATGGGGGCAAGCGAAGGAAGCAGAGGGGGGCGGTGGGGGTCGTACCGCGTGCCTCGGGGTCTACGCCGGCTCCCGCCTGGCCGGCCGCCTCGAGCCGGGCGTGCAGGCGGGCGGCGCCCAGCGCGTGGCTCGCGAGCGCGTGGCTCAGCAGGCGCGACACGTGGCCCAGCCGGAACGGCAGGGCGCTCGCGCCCAGCGAAAGCCTTCGCGGCAGCAGGGATAGCAGTGGCATCAGTGACATCAGTGAAAGCAGTGACATCAGTGGCAGCAGGGATATCAGTGACCCCAACCACCCACCCACCCTACCCACCCACCCCACCCCAAGCACCCACCCACCCCACCCGACCCACCCTAATCACCCACCCACCCCACCCCAACCACCCACCCACCCCATCCGACCCACCCTAATCACCCACCCACCACCACCCCACCGTAACCACCCACCCCACCCTAACCACCCACCCACCCTACCCACCCTACCCACCCACCCCACCCACCCTAACCACCCACCCCACCCTAACCCACCTACCCACCCACCACGGGCAGCATCACAGTTATCGTCAGCCTCGTCCCAAATCCCCTGCACGCGACCGAAGGACAATGTCACCGCTCGGGTTTGAATCACGGCCTCGACACGCGGTGCTGGTCGTGGGGGTCGCTTGACCATACTTCACCACACCGGTTCCACGCGCGTTGGCAAAGGCGGAATGTGTGTGTCTGTGTGTGATCCAACAACCCTCGCTTCCCCCGGGCTGGATTATATGTATGTTGCATATACGTTGAACTTCTTTCGCACCGTGCACAGCCAACCGTGCTCATCGGAGGTGCGGGGGAAGGACAACAAATAAACCGCAAAGAACACAGTTCTAAATGAATTCGTTTTCAATAAAAAAAATGTTTTTAAAGCGCACAGCCCCAGGGGCTTCCTCATATCGGAAAGAAGAAGCGTTCCAGACGGCCGCATAATTGCATCTGAAAGCGCCACGCGATGCGGTTGACCGCCGTCTGTGTCCCATGGGGCAGCCGTAGGCCGCCGCTGCCACACCGGAGTTCGCGTGGCGGTGATTTGCGCTCGTGGACGAGACGAACACGTGCCCGCTCACCTCTGTCCGTCCACAGTGCAGACGGCCAGACCCCAGCCTGTCACCGCCTCGGCCGCAGCCTGCAACAACAACCACGGGGGTTGATTTGACGTCTAATGCGTCTGCACGGTCGTAGGGTAGCGCTTGTGCAGCGGTTAGCGGACTGCGCTGCACCGTCTGGCAACCCGAGTTCGATTTCCCGCTCGTGGCCCAACATCGGTGACGAATATCCGAAGCGGTCTTGGGCCTCTCCTAGGTCGACTCAGCCTTAAATGAGTGCGTGATGCCCACACCGCTCTGACCCCTACGCCGTGTCGGCTTTCGTCGGTGCACGCTAACAATAGCCTGTGAAGGCTACACGGGGGTCTTCGTCGTTGTGTGTACCGGGGTGTGTCAGCGTACCTGGTCGCTCTGGTCGTGGGTCTCGCGTCGGCACTGCAGGAAGATGCGTTCGAGCGTCGATGCGAAGGATCGGAATCGCGGGATCGCCAAACAGCCCTGCAGGGCCCTGAGCAACAGCCGAGCCTGCACACCCACACACCTGTCACATGCCACGCACATGTCACACACACACACACCTGTCACATGCCACGCACATGTCACACACACACACACCTGTCACATGCCACGCACATGTCACACACCCACACACCTGTCACATGCCACGCACATGTCACACACACACCTGTCACATGCCACGCACATGTCACACACACCTGTCACATGCCACGCACATGTCACACACCCACACACCTGTCACATGCCACGCACATGTCACACACACACACCTGTCACATGCCAGGCACATGTCACACATACACACTTGTCACACACCACACACGTGCCACACCGTTGATGACAATGATGTCTGTGCTTCGATTTAAAGCTTTCGTGACTGCAATGATTCATCTTCTTTGGTTCTTTCGGTAAAGTCACGTAGAATGAGAATAAAATAATAAATTGATAAAATAAAATAACACAATAATATTCTCACGACGTTTCGGCCACGACACAAGCGGCCTTCATCAGGTGAAGGGAGCGAGACTGTCTGGTAGGACAGCGCTGGAGTCCTACCAGACAGTCTCGCTCCCTTCACCTGATGAAGGCCGCTTGTGTTGTGGCCGAAACGTCGTGAGAATATTATTGTGTTATTTTATTTTATCAATTTATTATTTTATTCTCATTCTACGTGACTTTACCGAAAGAACCAAAGAAGATGTCTGTGCTTGTTTGATGATATCTATGGTTGGTTTGATCATGACGATGATGACGATTATGTTCTCTGTGGTTGTCTTGATGATGACGATGATGACGATGATGTTGTATGTGGTTGTTTTGATGACGATGACGATGATGTTGTCTGTGGTTGTTTTGTTGACGATGACGACGATGTTGTCTGTGGTTGTTTTGATGATGACGATATAGACGATGATGTTGTCTGTGGTTGTTTTGATGACGATGACGATGATGTTGTCTGTGGTTGTTTTGCTGACGATGACGACGATGTTGTCTGTGGTTGTTTTGATGATGACGATATAGACGATGATGTTGTCTGTGATTGTTTTGATGACGATGACGATAATGTTGTCTGTGGTTGTTTTGATGACGATGACGACGATGTTGTCTGTGGTTGTTTTGATGACGATGACGACGATGCTGTCTGTGGTTGTTTTGATGACGATGATGTTGTCTGTGGTTGTTTTGATGACGATGACGACGATGTTGTCTGTGGTTGTTTTGATGACGATGACGACGATGTTGTCTGTGATTGTTTTGATGACGATGACGATGATGTTTGTGGTTGTTTTGATGACGACGACACTGACCTGGAGAAGTGCTCGCGAGTGACGGTGCCCGCTGGGTCTGTGTCACGTCCCAGTGCCTCCAGCCCCGGCTTCAATCGTGGATCGGACCTTAGCAAGCCCGTGTCGCACACGGCCTGCACACATTAAATTTAGTATTATTATTGGAACGCTCATGAACTCAGACAAGCCTCGCTGAGTCGTGGCAATTTCTTTTTATGTAGGGGGGTGGGTGGGTGCGGAGCGATGTTGTAATCTGCCTTTGAGTAATTTGAAGATATCTCACTCGGCATTGCGTTGCTTTGGCTATGAGTGGTTACATTGTATGATTGGAATCTTGATTTGAAGCTTTCGTGACTGCAGTGATCCATACTCTTTAGTTCTTTCGGTAAAGTCACGTAGGTGGAAAGAATTATAGATCACAACGTTTCGATCGCCGCACCTGAGGACGATCGCTTGTGTGGCGATCGAAACGTCGTGATCTATTATTATCTTTCTACGTGACTTTACCGAAAGAACCAAAGAGTATGTATGAGTGGAGTTTAAAAAAAATAGAAATATATAGATATGGGAGGGTACCGGAGAACCCGGAGGAAACCCATTCGGAATGTTCCCAAAGCAGTGCACGTGACTCCGTGTTGGAGAACGGCTCTTGGGAGGGAGCTGTCACAAAACGAATCCCGTTACACCTCCCCGACCTTCACCACGTGCCCCCACTGCAGATGAATCTCCGCCGCCCAATTAGAGGTGGGGACCGCCTAGCGTGCCTCGGCCACTTAAGAAATCCCTCCCAACACCGTCTCAGTCCCTCCCCCCCCCCCGTGGCAACAAATCTGTCGCTTCTTTGTGGACTCAAATGTCTCCGCGCCGGTGGTCTCCGTGAAAGGCACTTTTTGAAATGTTGGCCGGGTTCAGTCCTTCGTCTCTCTCGATGCGGCGTGGTTGGGACAGGTTGGCAAGTTGTGACCGACCGACCGATGGCAGCGCAACAAAAAAATGCGCCGTGAAGTTTCGCCGGCGACGGACCTTGACGAACTCGGCCACGTGCACCCTCCCGTCCACGGCGAATCCGTCGAAGAGGCGATCGGTGGTGCTGAGCGCACGCAGGGCAAAGGTGCCACGCGGGATTAGTGACGCGCCTGACATTCAATTCATCGGCACCGCACACAGGTAACAAGAGCGGGGGGCGACTTGGCACACTTTGAGTGGGGGGGGGCAAAGCAAAAGGACTTTATCAGCCACAGAACACTAACATGGACACGGAGGTAAGGAGCCAATTGATATTCGGCAACGTTAGCATTACCAAAAAAAAAGACGGGTTTTTTTCTCCCAACATACTTACGTAATTATAACGCAACACGTTTTAAAGAGTTTAAACGCGCTGTCACTCGACGCGGTGACGCTGTAGCCGAGGGAGGGAGAGTTGGCGGGGGGGGGGGGGGACCGAGTGAGAAAAAAATTAAAAAGGGCGCCAAAGTAAATCTGAGGCAGGGATTCCGGCTGGCATCGTTGGGGCCTCGTCACCACCACCACCTCCTCCACCTCCTATCATCCCCCCGTTGGCTACAGCTCCTCCGCGCAGGGACACCGCCGGTCTTCTTCCTACTCAACGTCTGGACGTGCCTGGATGTCTGGATATGCCTGGATCTCATCTTCATTTGCCTGGATGTCTGGATGTGCCTGAATGTCTGGATATGTCTGAATGTCTGGATATGCCTGGATCTCATCTTCATGTGCCTGAATGTCTGGATGTGCCTGAATGTCTGGATATGTCTGAATGTCTGGATATGCCTGAATGTGTGGATATGCCTGAATGTGTGGATATGCCTGAATGTCTGGATATGCCTGAATGTCTGGATATGCCTGAATGCCTGGATATGTATGAATGTCTGGATATGTCTGAATGTCTGGATATGCCTGAATGTCTGGATATGCCTGAATGTGTGGATATGCCTGAATGTCTGGATATGCCTGAATGTCTGGATATGCCTGAATGCCTGGATATGTATGAATGTCTGGAGGTGCCTGAATGTCTGGATATGCCTGAATGTCTGGAAATGCCTGAATGTCTGGACGTGCCTGAATGTCTGGATATGCCTGAATGTCTGGATATGTCTGAATGTCTGGATATGCCTGAATGTCTGGAGGTGCCTGAATGTCTGGACGTGCCTGAATGTCTGGATATGTCTGAATGTCTGGACGTGCCTGAATGTCTGGATATGCCTGAATGTCTGGATATGCCTGAATATCTGGATATGTCTGAATGTCTGGAGGTGCCTGAATGTCTGGATATGCCTGAATGTCTGGATATGCCTGAATGTCTGGACGTGCCTGAATGTCTGGATATGCCTGAATGTCTGGATATGTCTGAATGTCTGGATATGCCTGAATGTCTGGATATGTCTGAATGTCTGGAGGTGCCTGAGTGTCTGGACGTGCCTGAATGTCTGGATATGTCTGAATGTCTGGATATGCCTGAATGTCTGGATATGCCTGAATGTCTGGACGTGCCTAAATGTCTGGGTATGTCTGAATGTCTGGATATGCCTGAATGTCTGGATATGCCTGAATGTCTGGATATGTCCGAATGTCTGGACGTGCCTGAATGTCTGGATATGCCTGAATGGCTGGACGTGCCTGAATGTCTGGATATGTCTGGATATGCCTGAATGTCTGGATATGCCTGAATATCTGGATATGTCTCAATGTCTGGACGTGCCTGAATGTCTGGATATGTCTGAATGCCTGGATATGTCTGAATGTTTGGATATGTCTGAATGTCTGGATATGCCTGAATGTCTGGACGTGCCTGAATGTCTGGATATGCCTGGATGTCTGGATATGCCTGAATGTCTGGACGTGCCTGAATGTCTGGGTATGTCTGAATGTCTGGATATGCCTGAATGTCTGGATATGCCTGAATGTCTGGATATGTCCGAATGTCTGGACGTGCCTGAATGTCTGGATATGCCTGAATGGCTGGACGTGCCTGAATGTCTGGATATGTCTGGATATGCCTGAATGTCTGGATATGCCTGAATATCTGGATATGTCTCAATGTCTGGATGTGCCTGAATGTCTGGATATGTCTGAATGCCTGGATATGTCTGAATGTCTGGATATGTCTGAATGTCTGGATATGCCTGAATGTCTGGACGTGCCTGAATGTCTGGATGTGCCTGAATGTCTGGATATGCCTGGATGTCTGGATATGTCGGAATGTCTGGATGTGCCTGAATGTTTGGATATGCCTGGATGTCTGGATATGTCTGAATGTCTGGAGGTGCCTGAGTGTCTGGACGTGCCTGAATGTCTGGATATGTCTGAATGTCTGGAGGTGCCTGAATGTCTGGATATGCCTGGATGTCTGGATATGTCTGAATGTCTGGATATGCCTGGATGTCTGTATATGTCTGAATGTCTGGATATGCCTGAATGTCTGGAGGTGCCTGAATGTCTGGATATGCCTGAATGTCTGGATATGTCTGAATGTCTGGATCTCTGGATATGCCTGGGTACAGTCGCGGCTTCACGGGGAAGACCGGAGGAACGACGTTCACAGTTTGGGCCCTGAATAGTCTCTCTCGTTCCTCTCCACTAAATCATGAATAAGAAAATAAATCGTGAACGTATCAAGCAAGGGAGGCTACCACACCAAGCTTCTGCTGGGACTGTCTAAACGTGACCCCTGTAAGGGTCACTGGCACCTGGCCCCGTGTCCCCCCCCCACCACCCCCGGATCGTCTATGATCTGTGATCTTTGACCTTTGTAGAGGCGGCATCCCGCCCTGTGGGAAGGTCTGCAAAGTCCAACCTGCCTCTCCGCTAGTTTGCGGTCAGTCGCGTGAATAATGCACGGCTCAAAGGTCACAGTGCATGTGCATGCGTAGCCTTCCCCTCGTCGGCCCGTTGCGAGATAACAACAAAAAATAATCTTCTTTTCCCTCTTTCGATGGAGTGTCCCGGTTTGTTGTTACTTGGGGGTGGGGTGTGCGAACCCTAATGAGTGACCCCGTGCGAGATGCCCTCACCTGCTGGCCATGATGCGTGCTCGCTCGCCCTTCGTCCCCGCCTGAAAGGAGACGGACACAATGCGGATTGCAAGCCACGGGGATTTTTGCACCACACCGCACGACACCGCACGCTCAGCGGAGCTCCGCTCCGGTGACCCCCCCCCCCCCCCCCCCCCCCCCGGCTTCACAACGACGCCAGGTCGCCCATCGTGTTTGACGCCGTGTCTGCGGCAGCATTACTACGGCACATTTAAATCAGTCGGGCTTTTTTGTTTTGAGATACGGCATGGTATTTGATGATAATCTATAATGGATAGCTACAGGCTTAGGGCTTCTAGATTTAAAGCTTTCGTGACTGCAAGGATCCATACTCTTTGGTTCTATTCGGTAAAGTCACGTAGGTAAAAAATACGTGACGCACCCGTGTACAGGTGAGTGTACAGGTGAGTGCACAGGGCTGCTTGGAAACGAATAATATCATTAAATAATACGTTGTTTAAATGCATGCCTACACAGGTCACCATACTTCAATAGGGATTACCGTTGAACAATAACAGCTGCGGCTATCTTAGTAGACACATTGGACAGGAGGTACAAGAGCAATGGGCTGGCGTTCATTACCAGATAAATAACCCAAACTGTAATGGTTATCCATTGTCATTTATATACACAGGTGACGTCATCACATCTATCACTCTAAGGAACGAAACAGGAGGAGGATTTCTCCACCAATCTGGCTGTCGCCTGATGAAGCTGGTTGTAATTACTGGCGAAACGTCGTACTCGGATTGTAAATGTTGTGGCTTGGCTCTCCAACACACCGGTGTTGCTGTACTAGTGACGAATTGGCCACGTTCTGTCTACGTGACAGCCCTTACTAGTTGGCTGTGTCGGGTGGTGGCGGGTTCATCGACACATTTATATGTTTACGCGATCTAACCCAAAAAAACTCGATTATGGATGATATTGGTCGCGAAAGCCTACATGTTAAAATGATCATCTATATTTAACTGAAATTTTCTTAAAACTTTTTTTTTATACATTTCGATAATGATTTGCTGTCAATTTTTTTTTCCATTTCTCTTATCTGCCATTGCTTATTGTTGATTTATTTTTATTTATTTGTCGCAGAAGCGGCGGTGCTGGTCGTTGTCGATGAAACACCGACTCAAGAAGAGCTCCTTGGCTCACGGCGTACCCCAAAATGAAACTGAACAACCGAACCTGGGTCGCGTCGCTACCACCGCAGCCGTCGCCGACTGCCTCGGGCCTGGCGTCCCCCGAACTCTGCCCGTCCGCGTCTGCTCCCACGACCGGTCGCAGCGGGGGCAGTCGCCACCAGTCCCGGCGCGCGGCGGCGCTGCGCCGGTCGGGCCGACGCGGCGAGTTCGGCGCCTCCTCCTCGGCGTCCGCCGCATCCTCGCAGCAGCCGCCGCCGACATCGTCGGCGTTCTCGCCGCCGACATCGTCGGCGTTCTCGCCGCCGTCGGGCGATCCGTCGTCCCTGCGGGCGGCCGCTGGGCCTCGCGGCTCCAGCAGCTTCTCGCCCAAGAGGCCCCCGTAGAGACGCCGCCACTTCTGGCGGCCTGACGGGGAACGCTCAAATCTGGGGGTGGGTTGGGTGAGTGGGTGGATGGGTGAGTGGGTGGATGGGTGGGTGGATGGGTGAGTGGGTGGGTGGGTGGGTGGATGGGTGAGTGGGTGGGTGGGTGGGTGAGTGGGTGGGTGGGTGGGTGAGTGGATGGGTGGATTGGTGATTGGGTGGATGGGTGAGTGGGTGGATGGGTGAGTGGGTGGGTGGGTGAGTGGATTGGTAATTGGGTGGATGGGTGGGTGAGTGGGTGGATGGGTAGGTAAGTGGGTGATGGGTGTATGGGTGAGTAGGTTGATGGGTGAGTGGGTGGATGGGTGAGTGGGTAGGTGGGTGGATGGGTAGGTGGGTGGATGGGTAAGTGGGTGGATGGATGAGTGGATGGATGGGTGAGTGGGTGGGTGGATGGGTAAGTAGGTGGGTGGGCGCGTTCTTGCTTTATCCAAGCAACTGCCTGGACACTTAACTCCAACACAGACACTGACTACATGATCCTGGTGACAATGTGGATCTCAGTATGATAGATAAATACCTCCATGACTGACATGGGTGTGGGGAAGGCCATCAGCAGTGACCAGACAAAATAAATGTACGGGGGTGGTCCAGATGTCTTGGGACCCCCATTTAATTATCGTGAACGTAAAATATTTTTTTGAAGGTTTATTTAAGACATCAATGAATATGCAAAAAGGGAAACATGTTAGTGGTCACAAGACATCTGGACGGCCCTGGATAGTCTAAGTATTATTGTTGTATATCTCCCCAGGTGGCCGGCGATGTCCAGCCATCTCTGCGGAGGAGGAGGCGGCTGGGCTGGACCCGTCACATTCTGGAGCCGACCGCAGCACGTCGTCGGAGCGGGCGCTCGGAGCTCCGGCTACCGGAGCTGTTGGATGGGACGACGTCTCGCTCGTCGTCGTCTCAGGTGGGTTCTTCCGTTTCACCGCCGATTTGGACATGACGGCGAAGATTCGTTGGCACTTCTGGCACCAAATGTAGCATCTTCAAACATTATTCACCAGTTTTAGGCACACCTCTATAACTATCTGGACGGTCACGTCTACTCAACTTCTCCCCGTTCCTATCTATTCCGGACCTCAATTATCCTGCACTGAGCATCTCCGCACCCAGCGTCTTCACACTCAGCGACTCCGCACTCAGGAACTCTACACACAGCGTCTTCACACTCAGCGACTCCACACTCAGCGTCTTCACACTCAGCGTCTTCGCATTCAGTGACTCCACACACAGCGTCATCGCACTCAGCGTCTTCGCACTCAGTGACTCCACACACAGCGTCATCGCACTCAGCGTCTTCACACTCAGCGTCTTCGCACTCAGTGACTCCACACACAGCGTCATCGCACTCAGCGTCTTCACACTCAGCGTCTTCACACTCAGTGACTCCACACACAGCATCTCCGCACGCAGCGTCTTCACACTCAGCGACTCCGCACTCAGCAACTCCGCACTCAGCGTCTTCGCACTCAGCGACTCCGCACACAGCAAACTTCGCATCTCCACCACTGCCCTCACCTACGCTCCCACTCACCCATCTGTCCCGGGCGGGGGGATCAGCCAACACCTGCCCGGCGACTAGTGAGGGTTGAGATTCTTCTTCTTTGGTTCTTTCGGTAAAGTCACGTAGAATGAGAATACCAAAAGAACATTGCAGTCACGAAAGCTTTAAATCGAAATTTAGGTTGAGATTATGTTGACGGCTGGAGCGGCAGCGGCGAGATGTCTTCACTCTTTGTCCCCGGCAACAACTCCCGACCCTCACACCCACTCCCGCTTATATCAGCCGGCTCATCCCGAGCCCTCACGGGATTCCTCTTAAGCTGCCGGCAGGCCGGCACCAATTGCCCCATTAATCTCTTTTCATCACCCCTCATCTCCCGTCTCCTAGGCGTCAACCACCGGTCACAGCGCATTACCTGTTCGACCTCGGCTGCACCCGCTTCTCCCCAAATTAATTATTGGCGGTTTGTCTGTGCAAACCTCATGCTGGAACACGCGCCTCTCTGTTCGACCCCATTTGCACCACTTAACTGTGCGCACCGCGCGTTTCTTCCCTCTACAAAAGTATTATCATGTTTATAATAGTGCCATAGGCACGTACAAAAAATCAGTCGCAATATCGCATACGTGTTGCTATTATGGTGAACCTCAGAAATCCGCCTGGTGTTAATGATATCTTGGGTCCATTGTGCATGCATGTGCGTACCTGTGTGCGTGTGTCGACTCAGCCTCAAATGACTACCTGGTGCGGTGTAAACATCGCTACGGGAGAGACAAAGGCGGCCGGGCGTGGTGTTGGCCGCACACCGCCTTGTGTTGCCGTGCCAGGCCTTCATAGGTGCTCGCTAACAACACTTTCCCCAAAAGCCAGTTAAGTCTATCCGGGGGATCTTTATCTTTGTTCCCGCGTGGGGAGCGGTGGTGCAGCGGTACGAGACCGGCATCCCGAGTTCCAATTCCCGCTCAGTCCTGGCCCTCCCGTAGGTCGACTCAGCCTTAAACTTAGTAGCTGGTGCGGTAGCACTGGCGGGCGAGACGTAGTGCTGGCCACCCACCCCCCTCATGCATCAGCCTCCATGGGTGCTCGCTGACAGCACTTGCCCCAACAGCCTGTGTAGGCTGTTGTCTTTGTCTCTGTTGGACTTACCTGTAAGTTTCCTCCAATGACGGCGCCGCCATCAGGCTCGTAGTCGGGGTGCAGGTGTCTGTGTGCGCGCACACCCGTGCAGTACAGGCGAGCCGCGTACACGTGTACAGGTGAGTGCCTCTATACAAGCGAGTTCTTGGTCAGCGTACAGGTAAGTGCACCTGTATGTGTACAGGTGAGTGCACAGGTCAGTGTACAGATGAGTGCACAAGTGAGTGTACAGGTGAGTGCACAGATCAGTGTCCAGGTGAGTGTACAGGTGAGTGCACAGGTGAGTGTACAGGTGTGTCCAGAGCGCCCCCGTGTCCAGGTGAGTGTACAGGTGAGTGTACAGGTGAGTGCACAGGTGAGTGTACAGGTGAGTGTACAGGTGAGTGTACAGGTGTGTCCAGAGCTCCCCCGTGTCCAGGTGAGTGCGCGCGGTGCCGATTGGAATGTGGTTGCGCCGGATTTGGAAGTTGAGGAGGAGCTTGGGGTCTCCAGAAAGGGGAATCTGCCCAACACCCATGGTCAGGATAAGTCAAGGCCAGGCTGCAGGTGATGTTGCAATTTCCAGAGGCAGGCAGAGCCCCCGGGGCAGTGCGAACTCCACATTGCTCTGGCGAGTGCAGTACGCCCAGAGAGCAAAGGCTGCTGCCTACACCCACATCGCCAAAGACACGCGTCCCGATATTGTTGCACTCTCAGCAGCAAAGCAAAAGTTGAGCCTGGTGGATACGCGATTGTATGTATGTATGTTGAACTTCTTTCGCACCGTACACAGCCAACTGTGCCAATCAGAGGGTTCGGGCAGATTGCCTCTGGGGTTGAGGTGGCCGGGGGGTATGAATACAGCAATGGATTCTTGAATCGATCTGTGTGGAGCTTTGTGTGATATCTCCCTCATGTGCATGGGTTATCTCCATTCGGTCTAATTTGGTTTCCTCCCACGTCACTCATTCATTAAATTTGTTTAAACGTTCCCAATGCAGGCTCCTTCCGATCGTCTTGTCGAGTGAGGCTTTCCCATAGAGTGGGAAGCTGCTTATTTAGGCGTACAAGGCTACTATTAGTGACCTTTTGGCATGTATGCATGTTGAACTTCTTTCGCACTGTACGTAGCCAACCAGTGTTGGTTGGGATCAAGACAGTGAGAGGGCTAGTAATAGTGACCGATTGGTTAGTAAGGTTGGGTCAGGGTAAGTGGAAGGTCAGGTCTGGTGATGAGATCTGGCTAGTTGGGTAAAGTTGAGGCTAAGCGGCAGCGACGAGTTTCCTAGCTGGTGAGCATTAAGGGCTCCGTGGTTGGTTGGCCTCCTCCTCCCCATTGGGGGCACACACACGGACTTCTCAGTTTATGTCCACACATTCGTGCCCGGTGTTCAGAGGTCCCGCGGCCTCTCTTGGCTGTGGCCTTCACCCCCAGAATTGGAGGTGTCTGGGCCGGTGGCATAGCGTGACTAGCATGGGCCCCAGTGCAGGGCATGTCCTTCCGCAGTACCTACGGTTAGCACGGTTGGCTACGTACGGGGCGCCAAAGAAGTTCAACGTACGTACGTCAAATATCTCCCCCCCTTCACAGCCCGGAAACCTGCGTCTATGGGGCCCGTGGGCCCTGATGCAGATGCACCGCCTACCCACTCGATGACCACGTCAATGGTCTGGCGCCAGCTACCCCTCTTGCCACACCTGGGCCACACGAGAGTCGTGGACTGGCGCTTACAACTCTCGCCCAACTCGCACCACTTCAGCCAAGGGAAAATCAAGACAGTGCACAGCCACGCCTTGGCAAGTTGTTTTAAATAGTTTAGAAACACCGAAACAACACGGGTAAGCAATTATAAAAACAACAACACAACAGTTGTACACGTTACTATATATATACACACAGTGCAAGGTATTGTGCTCTCAACGAGCGAAATGAAACGGACGTCGGTGCAGCTGGCGTCTTTGCGTAGGGGCGGCGGCTCCGGGTGAAGATACAAACACTACCCTCACTCGCTCAAAACTCGCGCAGTACGGAGTGAGGCACCTTCAGCTGCGTGGAGCCACCATCCAAGACACGCGGGGAAGAAGCGGGAGGTTTCGGCGGGACGGGCGATTAGAGATATAGGTGATGTCGGGTTGGTATAGGAGACGTGGGTAACGTGGAAAGGCATAAGAGATGGTGGTATGTTTAGCACGTAGGCTTTCGCGACCAATATCATCCATAATGGAGGATCGCGTAAATGTCGTTAAAACCCACCACCACCCAACACAGCCAACTAGTAAGGGTTGTCACGTAACAACCCTTACTGACAACCCTTACTAGTTGGCTGTGTCGGGTGGTGGCGGGTTTTAACAACACATTTATATATTTACGCCATCTAACCCAAAAAAACGCTCTATTATAGATGGTGGTATGTATGTACATATGTTGCATTTATTTCGCACCGTACATAGACAACCGTGCTAATCGGAGGTGCGGGGGAAGGACGAACTACAAAAAGCAGCTCTAAAGAAATGAGTTTTCAATCTCGATGTACAAGTGCCCAGCTCCCAATGGCTTCCTAATATTAGAAGGAAGAGCGTTCCAGACGGCCGCAAAAGCGCATCTGAAAGCGCGCGATGCGGTGACCATACACTCCACCCGTGGTGTGGGTGGTGTGCATGATGGTAGTGCGGGTGGCGTGACCTTATGAGCTGCGTGGGTGGTTTGAATATTGTGGGTAATATTAGCGGTGCGCATGGTGTGGGTGCCCACTGAAGGCACCCGAGGCGTGGGTGGTGCCTACATAGCGTGGGCGGCGTGGGAGGCGTCGGCGGGAGTTGAATGGAACGTGGCGGGGGTCACGGGAACGCGGGAGGCTACGCGACGCGACCGCCCTCCGCCTCGGCCCGGCTCGCCCTCCTCTCCCGCCAGGTCCGCACAAACCTTCTGAACGCTCTGCGTCGCCTCTCCGAGCACGCCGTCAGCGTCTGCAATGCAAAACGGAGACACGTGGGCGCGTCCCCGCCGCCCGACGCGACATCGCCAGTTCGCCACGCGCCAACACGAAACGCACGCTACTATACGGACATGTACGGCCCTTTAGTTAAGCGACTGCTGAATGGGGGCCTCCCCCATGCGTTGCGCGCGTTCTACCGCGTTGCACGCCGTGTGCGTTCCAGAGGGCGCGTTCCACGACGTTGTGCGTCTTGCACAATGCGGTGCACACGGACCGTGGCTGTTGGTTAACCGTAACATCACCACGCTGGTGGTCAGTGCAGGTCGGAAACGACGTAGGAGCATAGACGTTGGAGCGCCACCTGCTGACTGCCACGTGGTGCAAGCCCCCACAACTTCTGCCCCTCCAAAAACTATCCAGGATCAAACCTGCTTAGCTTTCCAAAATCGGGCGTATTCATAAAAACGGTAATGCAGCAGGTGCGTGACAATCGTAGATCTCGTATCGTGGATGGGGGAGGGGGGGGAGGAGGGGGATATGTCGCGGTGCCGTGGGGCGACGACCCACCTGCCTGGCGGCACGCAGCGCGCCGCGCCGGTACAGCACGTCCTCCGAGTGTATCACGTAGAGCATGCGGAACGAGCGCGGGCGGAAGGAGCAGCGCAGCCCCTCCGAGAAAACCACGCGGCTCCCACCGGGCGGGGGGCGGGGGCGTGACCCACCCGCCCACAGGTTCCTGGTGGTGCACGGCAGCAGCGGTGAGGGACACCTCCCCCGCATAGGCTCAACAGACTGCTGGGGCAAGTGCGAGCACCAATGAAGGCCGGAATGCCACCAGGTACTAATTTGAGGCTGAGTCGACCTAGAGGAGGCCCAGAACCGTTTCAGATAATCGTCACCGGTGTTGGCCGTGAGCGGGAACCGTAGCGCAGCGCGCTAACCGCTATATCACTCCGCACACACACACAGTGTAGCACACACACACTGTATAGTGCACACACACACACACATTGTAGCACACACACACATACACTGCGTAGCGCACACACACACTGTGTAGCGCATACACACACACATTGCGTAGCGCACACACACACACTGTGTAGCACACTGCGCGCGAGCACTGGGTGTGTGAGCGGTCCCCGACCTCCCGAGGAAGACGGGGGCTCGCGAGGCCACGACGGGGGACGTCTCCACGGAGCCCGCGTAGCGCTGCACGTAGTCGCTCCACTTCTGCGGCGGGAAGTCACACAGAGGCGTTGGACCCACCGCCCTCTCACCGCCATCGACATAACCGACAGACGCCCCATCAACAGAGATAATTATCGGAGATAACTACGTGATGGTAATGGGGGTGGGGGGGGGGGGGGTGATCAGCATAGCTTGTTTTTTTTCATCAGTTTATTTAGAATTTCCCCCGTGAGCTAAGAGGCTCTTGAATCGGGTTTCATCAACAAAACAGAAAAACGTTTGCAACAGGTCGCACGCAAAATATAAATACAATAAATGCAACAATGAAAAAAAGTAAACAAATTGAAAACACGTGCGAGCTTGACGACCTGTATTTCCTGCAGGTCGACTGGAGAATCTTCCTCTACATCCAACAGCTCCATAGTCATGAGCACACAGCCGTCGGTCTTCACGAACATAACCTGGGGTCGGCAGACATCGCACACCAAACATGTACAAACACAATAATAATAATAGGGTTTTCCCCCTTTTTTTTCTGGCAACAAAACTGAAACCTTTTTACTAGGATTCATGTCTGCATTAACCACAATACCTGCAGTCAAAATGCAAACAAAAAACATACTATGGTAATATATGATGCATTGTCCTTGAAACTGATTGGTCCACACCAAGGGACGGCTTTCTTTTGAGCCTCGACCCAAACACGCCACATCACGCACATATACACGTCGCACACACCGCACACATATACACAACATCACACACACCGCACACATATACACATCACACACACCGCACACATATACACAACATCACACACACCGCACACATATACACAATATCACACACACCACGCACATATACACAACATCACACACACCGCGCACATATACACAACATCACACACACCGCGCACATATACACAACATCACACACACCGCGCACATATACACATCACACACACACCGCGCACATATACACAACATCACACACACCACGCACATATACACAACATCACACACACCGCACACATATACACAACATCACACACACCGCGCACATATACACAACATCACACACACCGCGCACATATACACATCACACACACACCGTGCACATATACACAACATCACACACACCGCGCACATGTACACAACATCACACACACCGCGCACATATACACGTCCTCGCACACACACACACACAACATCGCACACACACACACATATACACGTCCTCGCACACACACACACACACATATACACATCATCGCACACACACACACGTCGCACATATACACATCACACACACACACACATATACACGTCATCGCACACACACACACACCGCGCACATATACACAACATCACACACACACACACATATACACGTCATCACACACACACACATATACACAACATCACACACACACACATATACACGTCATCACACACACACACACATATACACGTCATCGCACACACACACACACCGCGCACATATACACAACATCACACACACACACATATACACAACATCACACACACACACATATACACAACATCACACACACACGCACATATACACGTCATCGCACACACACACACACATATACACGTCATCGCACACACACACACATATACACGTCATCACACACACACACACATATACACAACATCACACACACACATATACACGTCATCACACACACACACACACACACGTCGCACACGCAACCGCACCGCGCGCCATCGGGTCGCGTGCGCGCGCCCGACCCCCGACCTTGTAGCAGTGCTCGTCGGGCAGGAGGCGCCGCGCTTGCCGCTGGTACGAGGCCTCGAGCGGCGCCCGCACGGCCTGAGAGGCGAGGACCCCCCCGCTCGCGCCGCCCCGGCACCCGTCAAGGTAGAGCGCCAGCACGCCGGCGCACGCCTCGTCGCACACCATGTGCTGAAGCTGCCGTGGTGGGGTGGGGCGGTAGGGGGGAGAGGAGGAACGGGCGTCGGTACCGCGCGGCGCGATTCGCGGAAATTGGCACGGTTGGCGTGCGGGACGTCCCGGGCCGCGCGGTTGCCGCAGCACGAGACGGCAACGCGGGGCCACGCGGGGCACGACGAGACACAGAACGTGACGCGCGTGGCAACACGTGACCCACAACGCTCACAGCCAACCCGCATCCTTTCGCTCGGCACACTTCGACCGATACGAACGTTCGCAAAACTTCACGTCCACGCTCGCACTCTTACACGAGACAAAGATCCCCCCCCCCCGTACGGCCTTGAACAGAGTTATTGGGGCAAGTGCTGTTAGCGAGCGCTTTATACGAAGGCCCGCATGGCACACGAGGGGGGCGGGCGAGTGGCCAACACTACGCTCGGCCGCCTTTGTCTCCCCACTGTTCATGTGTACACACCGCACCAGGTACTCATTTAAGGCTGAGTTGACCTAAGGGAAGCCCAGGACCGCAACTGTTATTGGTCGTCAGCGGGAATTGAACTCGGAACGCCGGGTTCGTGGATCAGTATGCCAGACGCTGCGCCACCGCCAACCGCTGCACCACGCTGGCGAGAGGTTAACTCCCTCGCCTGGTATACAGGAGGTCCTGGGTGGGATCCCGACCCTGATGCTTGGAGTCTGCGTGTCTCTCTCCCCGTGGTCGCGTGGATTTTTCTCCGGGTCCTCTGGTTTTCCCCCTCCGCATTGAGAATCAACATCACGTGTATTTAGCTGCTGCTATAAATTTCCACGTGACAAGCCACTTCGTTGAGCGATCATTTGTGGCCAGGTCACTCCTGAAAAAGGGCCAATAGCTCAGCTTACTCGGTAAGAAATTTTTTTTTTTATAGTTTAACAGCTTACAGTTCCTACGCTCGCCCTCACGGTCACCTGGCGGCAGGCGTTCTGCAGGAGGCGGTCCATGCTGTAGGCCACGTAGGCCGTGACGCCGTAGGACTCGCGCAGCCGCTCCTCGTACTCGGGCGCCTCGAGCTGCCCGTCCACCAGGTCGCGCACGTGCCGCAGGAACACGCCGTAGTGTCCGTCCGGCGCGTCCGGGGCCGTCGTCGACGCGGGGCCGCACGGCTCCGCCGGCTCCGCCGCGGACGAACGACGGGTCCCCTCCCCGGCGCTGCCGCCGACGGCGGCGACGGCGCCGCCGTCTCCGGCACTCGCCCCGTCCCTGTCGGCGCCGCCTCGGTCAGCGTCGTCCCGCCGCACTTCCCTCTGCTCCCTGCTGAGGCCTGGCGCAGTGGGAGATGGGGCGGAGGTCACCAGCGGCAGTGGCGACAGAGCAGAGCGGCGCCCCGGGGCCCTGTAAGCGTGGCATCGCGCGGCCCAGCTCTGCTTATTGCGTTTAGTTTGTTGTCCTTCCCCCGTGCACCTCCGATTAGCACGGTCGGCTATGTACGGTGCGAAAGAAGTTCAACTTACATACGTTTCTCTCCCACGGACGCGTCTGTACCCATAATACAGGTTTTTTTTGGGGTAGATTGCGTAAAAAAATGTGTGTCGTTAAACCCGTCCACACCTGACACAGCCAATTAGAAGGTTTGTCACGTAAACAAAACGTGCCAATTCGTCATGAGTACAGCACACCGGTGTGTTGGAGAGCCAAGACACAACATTTACAATCTGAGTACGACGTTTCGCTAGCAATTACAACCAGCTTCATCAGGCTACAGCCAGATTTGTGGAGAAATCCTCCTCTTGTTTCGTTCCTGTGTCTGGAACCGCCCGTGCGTGTACGTGCGTGTGTGTGGTGGTCACTCAGTCATCTCAGGCAGTCAACCCGCGGCACCTGCGTCCGTTCCGTGACCTCCCGCCAGCGGGCGTTCAAAACTTCGCGTGCCCTTAAAGTGCACCTAGCCTGGCACAAGCGCCGTGGTGACGCCGCCGCAACCTGGTGGCGAACGGCGCCTGTCGTCGTTGTTGTTGGTGGTGGCCGGGGGCGTACCGGGCGTGGCGGTGCTCGTCTCGGAGCGGATGGCGAGCAGGCGGGCGCACAGCAGCTGGTGGAGGCGCAGGAAGACGTACCAGCTGGTGTTGGCGAACAGCAGCGTGTACACGCCGTCCACAGCGCTCAGCTCGCGAGCTGCGGGGACGCGGGGACACGTGAGAACGCACGCACCGACGGGCGGAGAGACACGGAAGGAGACAAGGGAGGCGTGGGCAAGGCGTCTCGAGCGAGACGGCCGTACAAGCACGCAGGGTGCCCGGTCGGACCCAGCGTGCAGGCACCGGGACCCAGGCCACAGCAGCTCCCCTCGGTCGCCGTTAAACGCGCACGGCGCGGCGTGGACAGCTTGCCGCCATAGGCAATACTATCGATCGTGCAGTCGATGCAACGGCACTGTGGCCCGTGGGCCGGAGAATCCTCTGCACCGGGCTACGGACAGGTGGGGGAAGTTGCCCAGGAGGCCCCATTACCGTCCCTTGCACCAGGCCCACAACGCCAGCCACGGCTATCAGGCCGCTGCCCGCCACTCACCCTGATCCAGGGAGCTGGTCGCAAAGTCTCCCTCCTGCTCCGCGCTGGTCCCGCTGGCCCTTCGCTGCTCCGAACTGGCACCTCGTTGCTCCGGGACGTTCCCTCGCTGCTCCAAGTTGGCTCCCCGCTGCTCCCCGCCGGATCCTCGCTGCTCGCCGGCGTCGCGCGCGGCTCCCCCGTCGGACGCGGTGGGGCTGGGCCGCTCACGGAGGCCGATGGGCCGCTCTCCACGCTCCACCATGCGGCACCGGCGCTCTTCCCGACACCGCCCGTCTTCGCCGCTGCCGGCGCCCTCGGCCTCCCCTGCTCCACTGCCGCCACTGCCGCTTCCTCCAGCAGCAGCACCAGCCGCCTCCTCCTCCTCATCCTCGTCACTGTCATCCTGTCGGAGCGTGGAACAGTGTGAGAGGGCGATGATGATTATTGGAGCGGACTTAGTCTGGGCTCTCCAGTTGCCTGGTTGGGCCAGATGGCCCAATCCTGGCTAACTGGCTCAAAAAATGTACAAACGAAACTAAACTATTGATAGTAGTGGTGGTGATTACGGTGTGGGTGGTGATGACGATGATGATGGCGACAATCAAGATGATGGTGTGTTGCGGTGGTGTGTAGTGCTGAGTGACAGCGTTGTGTGCCGGCGTACGCCACAGCGCGAGATGGCGGTGCGTCGCTGTGTAACGTGCTGCCGAGTTGACGGAATATGATGATAGCATGCGCCGTTGTCCTATGGCATACGTGACGATGTGTCTGACGATGTGTCCGACTACGTCGCTTGACGATGCACCCGACTCTGGGGGCCTACGCCGTCACCTGTGGGATGAGCGAGGCGTCCGCGCGGGCCGTGAAGAGGACGTCCGGCAGCAGGAACAGGAGGATCTTTGCCGCGCGTCTCAGCTCCGCGCCTCGCAGACCGGCCTGCACCGCGACGCACGAGACGCTCAAGGCTAAGCCAACGGGAGGCTCAGCTTTACACGGAACCCCCCGACGCGTGCCCGCGGCGCACCGGGGGGCACGGCGAGGGCTTTGTACCCTCTCACCTGGTGCCGTGCCTGGTGCAGGATGAGTGCGGCTGCGTCGGGCAGCACGGAGCGGTCGGCATACTCCAGGCACAGGTGAGGCCCTGCGAGCGCCGCTCCTCCGCGCACGGCGCCGACACGCACACCGCCCTGCTGCTCCACACGCTACGCACACGCACACACAGCGCAATGTGACGACACACGCGGACACACACCGCCCTGTGCTCCACAAGCTACACACACAGCGCAGTGTGGTGACACACATAGACACACACCAGTGTGTTGACACGCATGCACGCACACCGCCCTGCTGCTCCACATGCCACACACACACACAGCGGAGAGTAACGACACACATTCAATGCAAACTCACACATGCTCTGCACACCTCACACAACATTCAGTGAGCACCTATAAAAGCTCTCCTTGAGGCCACGTGAAATGTGGAAGGCTTGCTGGGAGGAGGTCACAGGACAGACCCAGGGGTCATGGGTTGACTGACTGAAATGACTGGCAGACGGACCACCACCTGTGCTGCCCTCTGTGCTCATTGTTGCGAGCATCACGCATCCACCCTCTGCTGTTGTTGGAGGGCAGCTACTTCCAACTGCCCAGTAGGGTCCTTCATAAACTTCCTCCACAGAGGCCAATCTTGACACCGCTGGTACCAGTCATCGGTAGGTCCACTAAGCTCCACATCGCATTAGTCAATCTCTTCTCTAGTCCATGCCGCACCCATTTAGCCCCCTCTATCCAGCCAAACAGCAGCTGCTTGAGCATGCGGTGGCTGGGCATGCGGGCTACATGGCCCAACCAACGCAGCCTCGCCTGCCGGAGGAGCTCATCGATGGGACTCTGTCCATATTTCTCTCAAGGGCCTTTGCAAAGACAACGATGCCCCGTATAGCCTGTAACAGGCTGTCGGGGCAAGTGCTGTTAGCGAGCACCTAATGAAGGCCGGCACTGTAGCACACGAGGGGGTGGGTGGTCAGCACCACGCCTGGCCACTTTGGTCTCCCCAGCGGCGATATTTACACACATCGCAACAGGTACTCATTTGAGGCTGAGTCGACCTAAGGGAGGCCCAGGACCGGCTCAGATAATCATCGCCGGTGTTGACCGCGAGCGGGAAATCGAACTCGGGCCGCCAGGTCCGTAGCGCAGCGTAGCGCCAACCGCTCCCTGCGCACAGACTCGCGCGCACCCCACCGTCCCGTCACTCCCGCGCGCTCCCGGCCCGAACACGGCCCCTCACCTCGTCGCGCAGGGCCGTGATCTCGTTGACGAGGGCCTTGGTGCGCAGCGCCTTGGTGTCGGCCGAGCGGAAGGTGATGCCGCGGTGGTCGAGGGAGCGAACCTGGAAGCGCTCGCCCTGATCGCGCCAAAGCCGCGTGAACCCGCGCTGAGCCTCGCGCCACTCGTCCTCGCGCGCCTTCAGCCTGACGAGCACGCGCGCAACAACGCATGCAATGACGCGCACGCGCTGCGACGCTACGCAGCGACGCTACGCAGCGACGCACGCGTCCCGTCGTTTCCACAATCGTCGTTTCACTGTTTTTGCCCATGTTGATCCCCGACTGTGGCGAGTGCGGTTCGTGCTGCGCGCGGTGGCGAACGCAGCACCTCTTCGGCACGTGGGAGATGATGGTGCAGTTCCGTGACGAGCGCGGTGCGTGCCGGGCGCGGTGCGTGCCGAGCGCGGAAACCTCTTGAGCACGTGGGGGATGGTGGCGGCCGGGTTGAGCTTGAGCGCGGCGATGATGTCGGTGGCCCCGCGCTCCCCGTACGCGCGCTGCAGCGCCTTGCGGTGCACCACCTCGGAGGAGCCGCCCAGCGCATCGTCCAGGCGGAAGCGCGCCTGCTCCTCGGCCGGCAGCCGCGCCAGCCGCTTGAGCACGCTCTCCAGCACCCGCACCGTCGCCAGGTTCGTCTCCAGCACCACGTCCAGCTGCACCGCACGCACCGCACGCACCGCACGCACCGCATGCACCGCACGCACTGCACGCCTCGTTCAACAATAATGATCTCGTCAAGGAGCATAGATCATCACACAGCTTTCGGCTAACCGTCGAACAAAGACGGTCACCGCATCGCGCGCGTTCAGATGCTATATACACTACACGATATACTACACAATACACTTTACACTACAATATACACGACACTATACACCACACTTCTGGCCTGCTATTGAGTAAAGACGGTCACCGCATCGCGTGCTTTCAGACGCGCTTCTACGGTCGCCTGGGACGCTCTTCCTTCCGATATTAGGAAGCCATTGGAGCTTTGCACTTTTAAATCATCTATATTGACAAACTCATTTCTTTATAACTGCTTTTTGTGTTTAGTCTGTTGGCCTTTACCCGCACCTCTGATCATCATGGTTGGCCACGTACAGTGATGATATCGATGAAGATATCGATGATGATGCTGATTTACAGCCTTTGGTCAATGCACCTCCTCCCCACGTCGTGCAGGTCACGGGGGTTGTTTGATCGTATTTCACCACGCCGGTCTGTGCAGTTGACTGGACGAGAGAAACCCCGGCCTGGTTATCGTAACGCCGCTGACCCTTCGGTGAACCACGTCCAGGAATTGGAAGTCAGGTCAGAGGGTTCGTAGCGGATTGTGCTGAGCAATGCGCCCAACCGTTCTTCCTCCCTCATCTTCCCCCTCCTTCCCCACGTAAAAGGACGACACAAACGCCCCGCTCGCGGCATCCGACCTGGGTTGGGGGGTCGGTGAGCCCAATCTCCTCCCCTCCTCTAAAGCCAGGAACCACGGAGGTTCGGGACGCTATGTCCGCGAAGTTTCTGCACCCCTTTCCCTGCACAGCGGTTCGTGCTCTGTACCACACTCTTAAAAAATAAATATATATCATACAATAAAGAAGAATATTTTAAAAATTATCACAAAAATACAAGTAAAAATATTCTAATAAAAGTAACAAATAGAATAATAAAAAATTATATAACAAAAAAGGACTGGGCTTGCGATCGTAAGCGGCCGGCGTGTGGCGACGGGAGGCGGTCACCTCGAAGCGCTCATCCTCGCAGCGGTAGATGCTCTCCTCGAAGTGCGTCTTCTTGGAGCTCACGAACGTCGAGTCCTCGGACCACGATGGGAACGATGCCCACGTGTCGTTCAGCACCTGCGCCACCCACCCCACCCCCGCCGCACACACACACAGATAAAGTGCATTTAGCGAGCACTCTATGAAGGCCAGCATGGCACACGAGGGGGATGGGTGGCCAGCATCACGCCAGGCCGCATTTGTCTCCCCAATGCTGATGTCTTATATGCGCCGGGTACTCATTTTAAGGCTGAGTCGACCTGCGTAAGGTGCTCTCTAGCAGCACTTTCCCCGACAGTTTGTTCAAGGCGGTATGGTGGGATATTTGTTTCTTTTTGTGTGCGTAGCGGAAGTGTCGTGGTTAGTGCACCGCACTGCGAACCCGCTGAACATGAGCGATGACTATCAGAACCCGTCCTTGCACTCCCCACTGCGCCACCTTGCTGGGTTTTTCAACCGCCTGCTTCTCTGCTCCCGTCATTACGAGCGCCGTCCTTGTTGTCGATGCGGTTGTGTCGCGGTTGCGTTGTCGTGGGTTGCGTCACTGCACGGCCGCACAATCGTCGTGCCGCTGCGGCTGCGCGATCGTGCGTTTGCGCCGTCACCGAACCGCCGCGGTTCGCGCAGCCAGCCGCTCTTGCGAGTTATCACGAAGCCGCCGTCGCCGCCGCCGCCGCCACTTGGCGGCGGTGCGGTAGCGCGGGCCTCACCTCGCGGCACAGCGCCGTGCGCGTGCTGCTGCGCGGCTGCTCGTACGTCTCCGGCAGGGACCGGTAACTTGGGCCGACGCGCCGACTGCAGCCTCGCGCCCCCGTCTCCGTGGCAACAACACCCGGCACCGCGCCCGAACCCGCACCCTCCGACCGCACGTCCTCCAGGAGGTTCCGCAGCTCCACCAGCAGCTCCGGGAACTTCCTGCTCGCGACGCGACGAGACGGCATGGCGACGCGGTCAACGCGCGGCGTGAACAACGTAGCACGATCAACGCGATGACAACGCAATCGACGCACGTGTCAACAAGTGACCAATGGTGACGCGATGAAGATGACACATGAGGAAAGCAACATGACCAGCACGATAACCAGAGCACCTCATACAGGAGTTCAATGGGAGGTGACGTGGTGTGTGTACTGGTGTTCAGTAGGAGGTGGCTGGGTGTGTCTACTGTTGTTCAGTAGGAGGTGGCTGGGTGTGTGTACTGGTGTTCAGTAGGAGGTGACTGGGTGTGTGTACTGGTATTCAGTAGGAGGTGACTGTGTGTGTGTACTGGTGTTCAGTAGGAGGTGGCTGGGTGTGTGTACTGGTGTTCAGTAGGTGACTGGGTGTGTGTACTGGTGTTCAGTAGGAAGTGGCTGGATGTGTGTACTGTTGTTCAGTAGGAAGTGGCTGGGTGTGTGTGTACTGGTGTTCAGTAGGAGGTGACTGTGTGTGTGTGTACTGGTGTTCAGTAGGAGGTGGCTGGAGGCACGTGGGAGTCACTGACCCCAGGAATGGCCGAGCCATATCCAGCAGTGCCGAGGGAGACACGTGGTTGTGGTTGAAGAGCTGAACACAGCGCAGGAAATTCTCATACACTTCAGGGCTGTGCAGCGCACAGCGCACCTAAACACACGCGCGTGCGCACACACACACACACGAGGCATACCACAATTGACATACTACGTGTAGGCTACGTGGAGGCTACGCGGGGGCTATGTGTAGGCTACGTGGAGGCTACGTGGAGGCTATGTGTAGGCTACGCGGGGGCTATGTGTAGGCTACGTAGAGTCTACGCGGGGGCTATGTGTAGGCTACGCGGGGGCAATGTGTAGGCTACGCGGGGGCTATGTGTAGGCTATGTGTAGGCTACGCGGGGGCTATGTGTAGGCTACGTAGAGTCTACGCGGGGGCTATGTGTAGGCTACGTAGAGTCTACGCGGGGGCTATGTGTAGGCTACGCGGGGGCTATGTGTAGGCTATGTGTAGGCTACGTGGAGGCTACGTGGAGGCTACGTGGAGGCTATGTGTAGGCTACGCGGGGGCTATGTGTAGGCTACGTAGAGGCTACGCGGGGGCAATGTGTAGGCTACGTGGGGGCTATGTGTAGGCTACGCGGGGGCTATGTGTAGGCTACGTGGAGGCTACGTGGGGGCTATGTGTAGGCTACACGGGGGCTATGTGTAGGCTACGCGGGGGCTATGTGTAGGCTACGTGGAGGCTATGTGTAGGCTACGTGGGGGCTATGTGTAGGCTACGTGTAGGCTACGTGGAGGCTACGCGGGGGCTATGTGTAGGCTATGTGTAGGCAACGTGGAGGCTATGTGGAGGCTATGTGTAGGCTACGCGGGGGCTATGTGTAGGCTACGTGTAGGCTACGTAGAGGCTACGTGGAGGCTATGTGTAGGCTATGTGTAGGCTATGTGTAGGCTACGCGGGGGCTATGTGTAGGCTACGTAGAGGCTGCGCGGGGGCAATGTGTAGGCTACGTGGAGGCTATGTGTAGGCTACGTGGAGGCTATGTGTAGGCTAAGTGGGGGTTATGTGTAGGCTACGTGGGGGCTATGTGTAGGCTACGTGTAGGCTATGTGTAGGCTACGTGGGGGCTATGTGTAGGCTACGCGGGGGCTATGTGTAGGCTACGTGGAGGCTATGTGTAGGCTACGCGGGGGCTATGTGTAGGCTATGTGTAGGCTACGTGGAGGTTACGCGGGGGCTATGTGTAGGCTACGTGTAGGCTACGTGTAGGCTACGTGGGGGCTATGTGTAGGCTACGCGGGGGCTATGTGTAGGCTACGTGGAGGCTATGTGTAGGCTACGTGGAGGCTACGTGGGGGCTATGTGTAGGCTACACGGGGGCTATGTGTAGGCTACGCGGGGGCTATGTGTAGGCTACGTGGAGGCTATGTGTAGGCTACGTGAAGGCTATGAGTAGGCTACGTGGGGGCTATGTGTAGGCTACGTGGGGGCTATGTGTAGGCTACGTGGAGGATATGTGTAGGCTAATGGGGGCTATGCGGGGGCTGCATCTCACCCGGTCGAAGAAGGAGATCTCGCGCAGTGTCCCGTGCATCCCGGCAGCTGCCAGACTCGGGTCGCGCAGGCTCGGCATCCTTGGTCGCTGCACCCAACAACAACAAAGACGACGACAATGATGACGACGATGATGACGATGATGACCATCACCGCATCGTGCGGCTGCGAGCCACTACCAGGCAGGTAAAGTTGGGGGTAAGGATTCAAGAAAAAAATCCAATGAGTACGGTGGTGTGTACGTATGTTCACACCACCGTACTCAGGCAACCGCGCTAATCGGAGGTGCGGGGGAAGGACAACTGTGATATAAAGGGTGGGGAAAAATAATGAACATTCACGTCAGTAATCAATCGCCGTGCCTTACAATGCCCTTAATGCAGGAAGGCCTCGCCCAGCCTTTGTCGGTTTGCGTTCTGATCTATCGGGTCACGGACTGGTACCTGTGCTCAAACTGACCGATGCCCGATTGGCTACGTATGGCGCGAAATTATTTAAACATACACACGTACATATTGTTGGGGGCTATGCTGCTCTATCTGCTGCAGGAGGCAGTCTCCTGGGCACCCAAAGTCTCCTCGGGCGCTGATGTTCACCCAACACACCAGAGCAGAGTCACCGTATTTAAGGCTAGATGAAGTGTCAGATGACTCGCTGTCGTGAATGTTATGGGACAGACCCCGATGTTATTGATTAACTGACCGAGATGCCTGGCCGATGCGCCACCCGTGCCCCCCACTGTGCCAATCCTGTTCACGCCCGCAAGCCTCGTGAACCCGCCAACCCGCGCACACACCTTGGTGGCAACTGGCCCCGGCGCTGGTTCAGGCCCTGGTGTTGGCGCTCGCCTCTTGGCAACCACACCGCGGCCGTCGCCGGCGTCCCCAGCCGGCGAGCCCGAGCCCTGGGCACAGAGGGGACGGAGAGACAGGCAGCCGCGCGACCTCCAGTAACAACCTGCGTCCCATTCACTGGTCGCCGGGAAAACTCTGGCCGTGCGGAGCAGAGACCCGGTCGGTACTTAGCTACGCACCTAACACAATTACGCTCAATCAATCAACATATTTAGTTAAAAGCAGATAAGGGCCGCTTGAGACCAGAACATCTCTTTTACAAGGGAGAACTGGGACAAGAAACGTATAAAGTACACGTGATAGTAGGTCCATAATACAGGGTTTTTTTGGGGTTAGATTGTGTAAATATATAAATGTGTCATTAAACCCGATCTAACCCAAAAAAACCTCTGTTATGGATGATAGTAGGTCAAAACAATATCATACCCGATCCCGGTGTTAAACAATGACGATCAAACGCAGTCGTACGTAACATTAAGTAACTAACAATTAAGCAGTGACTGAGTGCAACACCCTGTTGAGAAGTAGCCGACAGGAAAACTGTGATAGGGGCAAGGTCATCGCACGGCTGTTTGGCCGGGACAGTCAAGTTAGTCCGAACGAAAAGACACGGGCACCACTCACCTGGTCAACTTGCAGAAACTTCTTTAACTCAACGAGGAGGTCTTCCTCGCCCTTGAGCAGCTCGCACAGTTGGGCGCACACCTCCCGGCGAGACAGCGCCTCGCACCGCTCACCCTCCCACTCACCATCGCGGTCACCCTCGCTCTCATCGCCGTCGCCACCGCCACCCGCACACTCAACCTCACCCAGGCCTTCACCTTCGCCATCGGGCACGGTCTCCCGCACGCCCCCAGGCACCTCGTCCCCATCGCACTCACGCACACCGAGACGCGCATCGCAACATGGCGCACCCTCCTCACGTGACGCATCCCACTGGTTCTGCAGGACGCGCACAAACACACACGCAATTGTGCTGCGTCAACGCAAATGCCAACCTGTACGCACGCTACAAAAGTCTGCGCATGTGTGTGCGCGTGTGCACAGTGGGGAGCGGTAGTGTGGCGGTTAGCGCGCTGCGCTGCAAACCCGGAGACCCGAGTTCAATTCCCCTTTATAGCCAACACCGAGTGACAATTATCTGAACTGGTCCTGGGCCTCCCCGTAGGTCGACTCAGCCTCAAATGAGTACCTGGAGCGGTGTGTAAACATCGCCACTAGGGAGACAAAGGCGTCCGGGCGTGGTGCTGGCCACCCACCCCCTCGTGTGCCGTTCCAGTCTTCACAGGCGCACCTCGCTAAGAGCACTTGCCCCAACAGTCTGTTAAGGCTATACGGGGGATCTTTGCCTTTGCGTACGTTTGAGCCGCGTGCGGTGTGCGCACCTGATGGGTGTGCAGCACGTGCAGGAAGCGGCGGCACACGTCCGGGCGGAGGAGGAATCGCGCCTTCACCGCGCTCACCAGCGCCGCTGCCGCTGAGAACCCGGAGGGACGCGAGCCGGAACCATCAGCTCCCTCCTCCCCGCGCACAACCGCAGCACCACCTCCCTCTACAACCATAGATGCGCTACTGCTTCCCTCCGCCCTCCTACATACACTACCACGACCATCACTGCTCCTGTGTAGACTACCGCCTCCCTCCACAGATGCGCTACTGCTTCCCTCCGCCCTCATACATACACTACCGCTACCATCACTGCTCCTGTGTAGAGTACCGCCTCCCTCCACAGATGTGCTAGTGCTTCCCTCCGCCCTCATACATACACTACCACCGCCATCACCGCCCCTATGTAGACTACCGCCTCCCTCCACAGATGTGCTACTGATTTGCTCCGCTCTCACACATACACTACCGCTACCATCACTGCTCCTGTGTAGACTACCGCCTCCCTCCACAGATGTGCTACTGGTTTGCTCCGCTCTCACACATACACTACCACTACCATCACTGCTCCTGTGTAGACTACCGCCTCCCTCCACAGATGTGCTACTGGTTTGCTCCACTCTCACACATACACTACCGCTACCATCATTGCTCCTGTGTAGAGTACTGCCTCCCTCCACAGGTGTGCTACTGGTTTGCTCCGCTCTCACACATACACTACCGCTACCATCACTGCTCCTGTGTAGAGGACTGCCTCCCTCCACAGGTGTGCTATTGGTTTCCTCCGCTCTCACACATACACTACCACTACCATCACTGCTTTTGTGTAGAGTACCGCCTCCCTCCACAGATGTGCTAATGCTTCCCTCCGCTCTCACACATACACTACCGCTACCATCACTGCTCCTGTGTAGAGTACTGCCTCCCTCCACAGGTGTGCTAATGCTTCCCTCCGCTCTCACACATACACTACCGCTACCATCACTGCTCCTGTGTAGAGGACTGCCTCCCTCCACAGGTGTGCTAATGCTTCCCTCCGCTCTCACACATACACTACCACTACCATCACTGCTCCTGTGTAGAGTACCGCCTCCCTCCACAGATGTGCTAATGCTTCCCTCCGCTCTCACACATACACTACCGCTACCATCACTGCTCCTGTGTAGAGTACTGCCTTCCTCCACAGGTGTGTTACTGGTTCCCTCCGCTCTCACACATACACTACCACTACCATCACTGCTCCTGTGTAGAGTACTGCCTCCCTCCACAGGTGTGCTACTGGTTTGCTCCGCTCTCACACATACACTACCACTACCATCACTGCACCTGTGTAGAGTACTGCCTCCCTCCACAGGTGTGCTACTGGTTTGCTCTGCTCTCACACATACACTACCACTAGCATCATTGCTCCTGTGTAGAGTACTGCCTTCCTCCACAGGTGTGCTACTGGTTCCCTCCGCTCTCACACATACACTACCACTAGCATCACTGCTCCTGTATAGAGTACTGCCTCCCTCCACAGGTGTGCTAATGCTTCCCTCCGCTCTCACACATACACTACCATCATTGCTCCTGTGTAGAGTACTGCCTCCCTCCACAGGTGTGCTAATGCTTCCCTCCGCTCTCACACATACACTACCGCTACCATCACTGCTCCTGTGTAGAGTACTGCCTCCCTCCACAGATGTGCTAATGCTTCCCTCCGCTCTCACACATACACTACCGCTACCATCACTGCTCCTGTGTAGAGTACTGCCTCCCTCCACAGGTGTGCTACTGGTTTGCTCCGCTCTCACACATACACTACCACTACCATCACTGCTCCTGTGTAGAGTACCGCCTATCTCCACAGATGTGCTACTGGTTTCCTCTGCTCTCACCCTATCACTTCCATCACTGCCACAACATAGACTGCCACCTGCCTTCACAGATGTGCGAATGCTTTCCTCCACCCTCACACACTCAATACCACCACCATCAGTTCCCCCATGTAGACCACCACCTCTCTCCCCGCCTACTGCTGCACCGCCGCCTCCATCACGGCAAACACCTGTGCTACCTTCATCGGGGCGACCTGCACCTACGCTGCGTGAGCCTGCACCACCCAGGGCTTTATCAGGAGGCACAGCTGCAACTACTGCACCACTGCCGGAGGCTGCGATGCTCAGCAGCATGTCCCCGCTTTGTGTCGCTCCCAGCCTCGTGTCTCCCGACTCCACGCTCTCGTCTGCTGCGACGCCCATGCCTGCTTTCTCTCCCGTGCCGCTGCTGCGCCCGTTCCCTTTGAGACGCACGCCACCGCCTCCCGGACTCGGCTTCACCGTCACGTCCTGCATCACAAACCACGGTGGCAGCGCGGTTCAGGCAGGCATCACGTTGGCACCACAGAAAGCAACACGTCACAAAGGGCATACACCGCGACGCAGTGTGTCAGGACGCAGGGCGGTGTGCGAAAACGACACGACCAGGCGGTACGAAGTCACGTAACACTGCAATGCTGTGTGCAGTCTAATGACTAGTGGAGTCACGTGACACCACGACGTCTGGTGGAGTACAATGATGCCAATGTAATGGAGTCGTTTAAGGAACGGCCACTTTTCCTAGTCACATGACACGACGGTGTGGTCATGTGACCTCACAATGTGTACTTACAGGACACCACGATGTCGCGCGTAGTCGAATTATGTCGCCTATTGGGAGTCGTCACGTGACCCCACACAGTGTGGAGTCACGTGACCCTGCGGAGCTGTGAGCAGTGTGCTACGTGGAGTCACCCGTGTTATCGTCGTCGCCATCGTTGGTTTGGTGCGGCCCGGGTCACGTGGGCGGTACGAGGGCGGGAGGAAGGAGTTAAACGCAGCGATGAGGTCGGCGTGCCCGGCCAGCACCGACGCCACTCGCGCTAGCGCCACGCACGGGTCCACGCTGCACACGGCATCCACGCGCGGCACACGCACACGCGCAGTGCTGTGTGTAGCAACGCATATAACGTAGCACACGTGGCGTGAACAACATGCACAAAACTTAGACAAAGATCACCTGTACGGCCTTAATAAACTGTTGGCAAGCTGTTAGTGAGCACCTATGAAGACCGACACAGGCACACGAGGGGGTGGGTGGCCAGCACCAAGCCTGGCCGCCTTTGTCTCCCTAATGGCGATGTTTACGCATCGGATAAGGTACTCATTTTAGGCTGAGTCGACCTAGGGTGGCCCAAGTCTGGTCTAAATAATTGTCGCTGGTGTTTTGACCAAGAGTAGGAATATAACTCAAGTGACCGCGTTCATAGTGCAGCTGTTAGTGAGCAAGCTGTTAGTGAGCACCTATGAAGACCGACACAGGCACACGAGGGGGTGGGTGGCCAGCACCAAGCCTGGCCGCCTTTGTCTCCCTAATGGCGATGTTTACGCATCGGATAAGGTACTCATTTTAGGCTGAGTCGACCTAGGGTGGCCCAAGTCTGGTCTAAATAATTGTCGCTGGTGTTTTGACCAAGAGTAGAAATATAACTCAAGTGACCGCGTTCATAGTGCAGCGTGCTAACCGCTACACTCCTGCTCCTCACAGCTCACATGCACAAACACTCCCGGCTTCTGCACACGCGCAACACACTCATCAATGGCACTGTTCAAACGTTCGCAATGCGGGACGCACCTGAAAAATAATACTGGGATTGAGAGTCTTTCCCGGGTAAGTTAAGCACAGATATTATTATTATTGCACCCAATGTTGGCCTCAAAACCCGTAACACCCAAAAACCCACACGTTGGTCTCATGGCCACTAAAACAGGTATTCTTGATTCTTTCGGTAAAGTCACGTAGATAGAAAACAAAAATCAACATTAAAAGCAAAAAACCCACGACGTTTCGATCGCAACGCAAGCGGTCTTCTTCAGGTGGAGAGAAAAGGGTGTTTGGAAGCTCAGGGCAAAATTCCAAATGTTGCTTTCTCTCTAAGGGCCCCGTCTCAGTGTTTTCTGGGGCAAGCTTCTCCACCTGGCCGCCCCCCCCACCGCCAACCTACCAACCCCAGTCTCCCCTTGCGGCCCAGCGTGGCCTCCACGCCCACTCGTCACCTGGGAGAGTGAAAGGCCCTCATAGCGTCCTGGAAGGAGCAAAATATGGCCGGCTCCTGCGAGAAACGGCGCTTCACGCGGCACAGGACCTCCAGAGCCTGCTCCACCTGCACCACACAGCAAAAAAACACAGACCCCCCCCGTGTAGCCTTAAAAGACCGTAGGGGCAAGTGCTGTTAGCGAGCACCTATGAAGGCCGGCACGGCACACGAGGGGGTGGGTGGCCAGCACCACGCCCGACCGCCTTTGTCTCCTTAGTGGCGATGTTAACACACCGCACCAGGTACTTATTCGAGGTTAAGTCCACCTAGGGGAGAGCCAGGATCAGTTCACATAATCGTTATGGGTGTTGGCCGTGAGCTGGAGTGGAACTCCGGTCGCCGGGATCGTAGCGCAGCGTGCTAACCCTGCTACACTACCGCTCCCCAGATCACACCCTGCACACACACACACAAGTTTTGAGAATCCTTACCTCCAGGATGGGCGGTGTGGACGCGATCTCGGTGGCCTCAGACTCCATCCTCTCCTGGAGACACGGTCACCACGGAAACGTATCACCCCGGTTACACAGTAGCCATGGAGACATGGTAATCAGTGACCATGGAGATGTATCACCGTGGAAACAATAACCACGGAGGCACGGTATCCATGGAGATGTATCAATACTGTGACAAGGTAACCGTGGTGACATGGTAACCATGGTGACAAGGTAACCATGGAGACAAGGTAACCATGGTGACAAGGTAACCATGGAGACATGGTAACCATGGTGACAAGGTAACCATGGAGACATGGTAACCACAGAGACACAGTAATGAAAACAAATAATGTAGATGACGCCACCATTCAGCAGACAGTCTGGGGGCAGACCATGGCATCCCACCTGGATGATCCAGTCCCGAGTCTATACACTAAGAACTATTTTTTTTATTTTACCAGGTAAGGCCCACTGAGCTATACAGCTCGTTTTTCAGAAGCGACCTGGCTGCCACAAATGAAAGTTTAACGAAGCGGCTTATCGCGTGGAAATGTATAGCAGCTCAACACTCCAAACGCGTGATGTTGATTCTAAAAGTGGAGGGGGACAACCGGAGGACCAGGAGAAAATGTTTATTATATTGAGGTCGCCCTCAATGTTTATAATGTTTATGTTTATTATATTGAGGTCGCCCTCAATGTTTATGTTTATTATATTGAGGTCGCCCTCAATGTTTGTTTATTATATTGAGGTCGCCCTCAATGTTTATAATGTTTATTATATTGAGGTCGCCCTCAATGTTTATGTTTATTATATTGAGGTCGTCCTCAATGTTTATGTTTATTATATTGAGGTCGCCCTCAATGTTTATTATATTGAGGTCGCCCTCAATGTTTATGTTTATTATATTGAGGTCGCCCTCAGGGTTTATAATGTTTATTATATTGAGGTCGCCCTCAGGGTTTATGTTTATGTTTATTATATTGAGGTCGCCCTCAGGGTTGAAAATGTTTATTATATTGAGGTCGCCCTCAGGGTTTATGTTTATTATATTGAGGTCGCCCTCAGGGTTGATAATGTTTATTATATTGAGGTCGCCCTCAATGTTTATGTTTATTATATTGAGGTCGCCCTCAGGGTTGATAATGTTTATGTTTATTATATTGAGGTCGCCCTCAATGTTTATTATATTGAGGTCGCCCTCAGAGTTGATAATGTTTATGTTTATTATAGAGGTCGCCCTCAGGGTTTATGTTTATTATATTGAGGTCGCCCTCAGGGTTTATAATGTTTATAATGTTTATTATATTGAGGTCGCCCTCAGGGTTTATAATGTTTTATTATATTGAGGTCGCCCTCAAGGCTTACTTGAGATGGCCGTCGAGAAGGAGACGCAGCGGCCTGGACGGGCTGACGGCGACTGACACGGACGACGTCGTCGTTTGAGCAGCTGCCCAGCGAGGCGAGATGGGCTTTAGCAACAACAACAACCACCACAACAACAGCAACAACCACCACCACAACAACAACAGCAACAACCACCACCACAACAATCGCTGTTTGAAGTTGCGACACTAAGGGGGTAGGGGGGGCGATCTTTAAGCGCGCATCGACTGCGGCTCAAGAGGTGCGAGAGATGCGGGCCAAGACGGCTCACTTACACGGACAGACACCACACTTGCACGGACAGACACCACACTTACACGGACAGACACCACACTTACACGGACAGTGACCACACTTACACGGACAAGACGGCTCACTTACACGGACAGACACCACACTTACACGGACAGACACCACACTTACACGGACAGACACCACACTTACACGGACAAGACGGCTCACTTACACGGACAGACACCATACTTACACGGACAAGACGGCTCACTTACACGGACAGACACCACACTTACACGGACAGACACCACACTTACACGGACAGACACCACACTTACACGGACAGACACCACACTTGCACGGATAGACACCACACTTACACGGGCAGACACCACACTTACACGTGCAGACACCACACTTACACGGACAGTGGCCACACTTACACGGACAAGACACCACACTTACACGGACAGACACCACACTTACACGGACAGACACCACACTTACACGGACAAGACGGCTCACTTACACGGACAGACACCACACTTACACGCACAGACACCACACTTACACGGACAAGACACCACACTTACACGGACAGTGACCACACTTACACGGACAAGACACCACACTTACACGGATAGACACCACACTTACACGGACAAGACACCACACTTACACGGATAGACACCACACTTACACGGACAGACACCACACTTACACGGACAGACACCACACTTACACGGACAAGACACCACACTTACACGGACAAGACACCACACTTACACGGACAGACACCACACTTACACAGACACCACACTTACACGGACAAGACGGCTCACTTACACGAACAGACACCACACTTACACGGACAGACACCACACTTACACGGACAGACACCACACTTACACGGACAGACACCACACTTACACGAACAGACACCACACTTACACGGACAGACACCACGCCACCCACACGTTCCATCTGTATTTAGGGGTTATTTTATTGACTATGGGGTTGGGGTGGTGGTGGTTTGAACGCGTAAGAATGTATAAATGTCGTTAAAGCCGCCGCCACCACCACCACTCGACACAGACAATTCGGGAGGGTTGTCACGTCAACAGCACGTGGCAATTCGTCGCTAGTGTACAGCACAAACCGGTGGGTTAGGGGCCGTCCATAAATGACGTCACGCGATTTTTGGACGATTTTTGACCCCCCTCCCTCGTCACACGGCGTCACAAAAAGTCAGAACCACCATCAAATATGACGTCACAAAGCTCAGCCCCCCCCCCCCAAAAATATATATAAAACATGCTTCAAATCGCTTTAAACTATTGTCATTGTAGTGCGTGTTTAATGTGGCGCTGAACTCTGATGTTGTAGGAGAAAACATTTATTAAAAAGTCGATTTATTTAAGTAGAACGTGTTGTCTATATTTATTTGAAGTTGCGCATTTTGATGTGACGTCACATTTCTCAACCCCCCCCCTCGTCACATGTGCAGTAGCTACACATGTGCAGTAGCTACACATGTGCAGTAGCTACACATGTGCAGTAGCTACACATGTGCAGTAGCTACACATGTGCAGTAGCTACACATGTGCAGTAGCTACACATGTGCAGTAGCTACACATGTGCAGTAGCTACACATGTGCAGTAGCTACACATGTGCAGTAGCTACACATGTGCAGTAGCTACACATGTGCAGTAGCTACACATGTGCAGTAGCTACACATGTGCAGTAGCTACACATGTGCAGTAGCTACACATGTGCAGTAGCTACACATGTGCAGTAGCTACGGGTCCCGCACTTTCAAGGGCCCCGCGCTAAATGCTTTCAAGCTATCAATTCCGGTTCAGTGATTCTGCACTTGCTCTATTACTATAGTACTATACCGCCTTCAACTTTTATGAACGACTGGGTGTTTAAGGTTAGCGATTTGTCGTATTATCCGGCTGTATAGCAAATGAAAAAATACAATTACTTTACTATGCAAGTAAAAAAATGTGTGTTTTAATATTGACGTGTTGTGTTTTAATTTAGGGCCCCTTTATAATATTTGCTACAGGGCCCCGCACTAGCTTCATCCCTCACTGCACGGTGGTAGCAGGGCCTGGATGTTGTGTGTTGTGAGTGTGGCCCAAAAGTTGGTGGTGAACGCCAGCTAAGGCCAAACGTGCCTTGTGTCTTTGTGTGTGTGCGGGAACGCGTAGCCTCAGCTATGAGTGTGAGGACAAAGGTCTCGTTCTGGGGCAATTCCTGTAAACACATTCTCCTGCGGAGGGAGGAGCTGGTAGGAACGTTGGGTTGCTCGGTCAATGGCCAGGGACAACGGCGGCACCACGTGGTGTATTCCGCACAATATGCCCGACTGTGAGGGCGGGCACAAACCGGCGTGAGTAGGTTAAACGTTGAGTTTTATAAGGGCACCACGGGGTGACCAGCCCCTCCCCACCCAGCCCCACCCCTCCCCCCACCCAGCCCCACCCTCCCCACCCAGCCCCTCCCCACCCTCCCCTCCCCACCCAGCCCCTCCCTCCCCACCCTCCCCACCTAGCCCCTCCCCACCCAGCCCCTCTCCACCCCACCCTCCCCCACCCCAGCCCCTCCCCACCCCACCCTCCCCACCCAGCCCCACCCAGCCCCTCCCCACCCAGCCCCTCTCCACCCCCTCCCCACCCAGCCCCTCCCCACCCCACCCTCCCCACCCAGCCCCACCCCAGCCCCTCCCCACCCCACCCTCCCCACCCCGCCCCACCCCTCCCATTGTTGGATGCACGACGGACGGACGGACACAATAATCCCCTGTGTGCTGGCGGTGTAGTAACCAGGAGGTTCCCACACAGTATTATTGTTGTTGTCCAAGATTCACGCTGTGGTGTGAACGCAGGCAAGGGGAAGCTTGTCTCCGGATCAAAGACGAGCCAACAACGCTCTCACATCGTCTCAGTGTTGGCAGCCGCTAACTCTCGCATGAGGCTCCACCCGCACTGCACAGGGGGGCCAGTGACCCGGCTGGCAAAATGTAATCGTGGCGGCAATAAAGGGTTTGAGAAGTAAAGGGGTTTGAGAAGTAATAGGGTTTGAGAAGTAATAGGGTTTTGAGAAGTAAAAGGGTTTGAGAAGTAATAGGGTTTGAGAAGTAAAAGGGTTTTGAGAAATAATAGGGTTTGAAAAGTAATAGGGTTTTGAGAAGTAAAAGGGTTTGAGAAGTAATAGGGTTTGAGAAGTAAAAGGGTTTTGAGAAGTAAAAGGGTTTGAGAAGTAATAGGGTTTGAGAAGTAAAAGGGTTTTGAGAAATAATAGGGTTTGAAAAGTAATAGGGTTTTGAGAAGTAAAAGGGTTTGAGAAGTAATAGGGTTTGAGAAGTAAAAGGGTTTTGAGAAGTAAAAGGGTTTGAGAAGTAAAAGGGTTTGACAAGTAAAAGGGTTGGAGAAGTAAAAGGGTTTGAGAAGTTAAAGGGTTTGAGAAGTAAAAGGGTATGAGAAGTAAAAGGGTTTGAGAAGTAAAGGGGTTTGAGAAGTAAAAGGGTTTGAGAAGAAGTAAAAGGATTTGAGAAGTAAAAGGGTTTGAGAAGTAAAAGGGTTTAAGAAGTAAAGGGGTTTGAGAAGTAAAGGGGTTTGAGAAGTAAAAGGGTTTGAGAAGTAATAGGGTTTGAGAAGTAAAAGGGTTTGAGAAGTAAAGGGGTTTGAGAAGTTAAAGGGTTTGAGACGTTAAAGGGTTTGAGAAGAAGTAAAGGGGTTTGAGAAGTAAAAGGGTTTGAGAAGTAAAAGGGTTTGAGAAGTAAAAGGGTTTGAGAAGTAAAGGGGTTTGAGAAGTAAAAGGGTTTGAGAAGTAAAAGGGTTTGAGAAGTAAAAGGGTTTGAGAAGTAAAGGGGTTTGAGAAGTAAAAGGGTTTGAGAAGTAAAAGGGTTTGAGAAGTTAAAGGGTTTGAGAAGTAAAAGGGTTTGAGAAGTAAAGGGGTTTGAGAAGTAAAAGGGTTTGAGACGTAAAGAGTTTGAGAAGTAAAAGGATTTGAGAAGTAAAGGGGTTTGAGAAGTAAAGGGGTTTGAGAAGTAAAAGGGTTTGAGACGTAAAAGGGTTTGAGAAGTAAAAGGGTTTGAGAAGTAAAAGGGTTTGAGCCATGTGGCCCTCGACCGGGAGCGATCTGGCTATCACAAATGATGGCTCATGACATCATCGAGGGATCGGGGCGCGAGGTTGCCGCGTTAACATCGTGCCCAACGAACAAAGAAACCTACGGAAACACATCGGGAGAGTCAAGTCCAGCCACGATAACGCCGCGACAGAGTAGTGGGGTGTCTTGGGAATCACATGGCCCACGTGGTATGGCCTGCCTAGCGCTGTGCGTAAAACCCCAGACGCGGCTTAAAACTTCCGAAGCAATTATAACGCTTCGCTGGGCGAGATCGATGGGCCTGCCGCCAATTTGGGGGGGTTTCGGCCGAGCACAATTCAATGATGAGCTGTGCCGCTAACGAATTACCGTGGCTCCACAGGTGACACCTCTTGCAGGTGTCTTCATCATTAGCGACCTCACAGGTAACCCCCGCCGCCTGCCGCCTCTGCCCCACCGTGGGAGAGGGGGTGGGGGCTAATTATAGGATGAGGAAAACGCATCAATAAATTAATCCCGAGGCACACTGTGTCCATCACACATCACAGAGTGATCTTATTTCTCACTCTCTCCAACGAAGGCTGAAAGCGTTTCCTTGCATTGGCTTTGTCCTCCTATCTTGTCCCGTCTTCTCGAAACTATACACTTTTTATTTATTATTATACCAGGTAAAGGCCCAACTGGGCTTTGTAGCTCTTTTTCAGAAGCGATCTGCCCATCACAAGCCTTCAACGGAGTGGCTTATCATCATGTGGATATTTATAGCAGCCAAATACTCTATATGCATGTTGATTCTAAATGTGGAGGGGAAAAACCCCGTAGGACCCGGATAAAAAGTACCACGTGACCGCACGGAGAACATGCAAACTCCAAATATACGGCATGCATCAGGGTCGGAATCAAACCCACAGCATCCTGCGTACCAGGCGAGGGATATAACATCTCGCCACCATGGCGCCCGTTTGTACCTTGGGGTCACGATATCTATTACAAAGTTGCGTTGCTTTTAGGGACTTTCCTCCACAGAAAACCCGCCACAGTGACCACCAAAAGCTGGAAACGAAAACCGGCGCTAAATACAGATATAAGACATTTCGGCCAAGGTGATGATGTCACACGGGTGATGATGTCATACGGGTGATGATGTCACATGGGTGATGATGTCACACGCTTTTGCGACTGTCTCGCTCCACCAAAAAAATTCCATGAGCTTATCAGCAGAAGTTTTGACCTCAAATCACACTACGACCTCCGATGCACACGCTGTGACCTTTCCCAATGCCATGGCCTCATCCCCACGTGTGTATGTGTGTCGAACAGTGGAGGAGGCTCGTGAAGGACGCTACTGGGCAGTTGGAGGCAGTCGCCCTTCAACAACAACGGAGGGCGGCGGAGCGACGCTCACAACAACGAGTGGAGCGCCGGGTGGCTAAAGCACAGTAAGTTGGCACAGTAGGGGGCACAGGTGGTGCATCAGCCAGTCGTCTCGGTCATCTCAGTCAGTCGACCCATGGCACCTGGATCTGCCCCGTGACCTCCTGCCAGTGGGCGTTCGACACTTCACGTGGCCTCAAGGTGCACATGGCCTGGCACAAGCGTCGTGGTGACGTCACCGCCACTTAATGGCGGTTGTTGTTGTCGAACTTCTTTTCGCGCTGTACGTAGCCAACCGCCGCGACCTCTGTTACGCCGCTCAAGTCACATTCAAGCCAAGTAGCCAGACTCCCGGTCATGGCTTCCGGTCTCAAAACACGAGAGCCATTTATTATAGTTGAACAGAAACATGGCGTTGATATATATGTGTGTGCGTAAAACTCAAACATTGCATACTTCACATACAGCATGGAGCGATGCACTATTGGAGATACACTGAGAGACAGAAATAGGGACACGATGAGAGAACATACACAAGTCAAAGGCATCACATTGACTTTATAGAGGAAACTGGGCTTTGGGCTGGACACGCTGTGAGAAGAGATGATGGCCCGTGGATTGGACTATAAACTACACTAAACTTTTTTTTTTGGTAAAGTCACGTAGAAGGGAAATAATAAAATAATAAAAATAAAACATAATAAAATAAAATTCTCACGACGTTTCGGCCACAACACAAGTAGCCGTCCTCAGGTGAAGAAACAGAACTGTCGGAAAGAACCAAGCAGATGAATCCCTGCAGTCACGAAAGCTTTAAATCGAAATTTAAACTATATTTATTTTACCAGGTAAGGCCCACTGAGCTATATAGCTCTTTTTTTAGAAGCGACCTGGCCACAACTGATCGCTCGAGGAAGTGGCTTATCACGTGGACATTTATAGCAGTCAAATACTCTAAACGCACGTTGATTCAAAATGTGGTGGGAGAAACCGGAAGATCCGGAGAAAAATCCACACGACGACGAGGAGAACATGCAAACTCCAAACATACAGGGGTCAGGGTAGGGATTAAACCCATGACGTCCTGCATATCAGACGAAATAGTTAACATCTCTCCACCGTGGCTGCCACACCACCGACAATGGAGTGGCAGCCCGAGGATGTACACTCCGCACAGGGCATCAATTGCAGAGATGTAGCGATTGAATCGGCTCGTATGTAGACGTTAGATCCGTTACACCACAGGGATGCGAGAGAAGGCGACACCTTGGGGAGGCCTTTATCCAGCGGTGGACAGATCATGGCTGCCGATGTCGATGGTGGCAGTTGAGTCTGAAATCAAAGTCAATTCATTACGGATGCAAGAACCGGTCGGGGGCGGTGCATGTCTGTGATCTTGCACTGCGGAGGCGATGGTTGGCGGTTCACGCGGATGTCGTGAAACTCCCAAAGGGCGTCAAGGTTACCCTACCCTGGAGGTAGTGGTATAGAGCATTACCCCCCTCGTCCATGTGGGTTATCTCCAGGTGCTCCGGTTTCTTTCCACGAGAAGAATCACTCATTAGTGGACTTGGCCATAGCATCCTAATTTAGAGCCAGAGCATGCGCAATTGTTGGCGTCGGTTTTGGCTGCCTTCCCGCTTGTCTGTGGTTGCCTACGCCTGTTAATCTCAGGAAAACTGCGCAGAGCGGCGTTACAAATATGCAGCCTTAACGTTAAGAGGCAGGTGCGTCACAAGGCGGTGTAATCGTCAGACTCCTCGGCACCGCGGATTCGCCCTACGCCCGTAGCCACCCCCATGTTGCCACCCACCGTACCGCCCGCGGCCGCATCCGGGCGAGCGGTGGAAGCGTGGGTGCAGTGGGCGTTCGCCTCGTCGTCACCTCCACCGCCTCCGCCTTCCACGGGAGCCACCGCCGTGTCATCCCCCGAGCCTTTCCGCCCGCCCGACCGCCCATCAAACAGCGACGGCTTCCTCTCAAGGCCGTGGGCATCATCCGCGGCGTTCGGAGTCGCCCGCTCGGCGACAGACGTCGGCCGATTCCCGACGGCGCTCGGACCGCCGCCCAGGTCCACGCCGCCCACCCGCGGCGCGCCGGGCACCTCGCTGGCACCATGGCCATCGCTGGCACCGATTCGTAGGCAGTCGCTCACGGGCGACCGGGAGCCCAGTTGCTGGGAGGGTAGCGCGCGTGGCGTGTGGACAGGGCCCAGCCGCTGCGAGTCGCCCCCGCGCTGCACGGGTCGCGGGTGCTGGGCGTCGTCGTGCGCAGGCCCCGAGCGATGCTGGGCCGGAGAGTCCGGCTCGTGGACGACGAAGCGGAAAGAGCCGCGTTGCGATGCGCTGGCGCTGGAGCAGGGCGACTCGCCGTCGGAGGTCGCGTGCAGGTAAGAGGCGGTGTCGCCGTCGCTCCGCGCCTGCCCGGGCGACACCGCGAACTCGGGCAGGCCTAGCCGGGCCCGGCTCAGGCTCCTGCGGATCGACTTGATGTCGCCGTGCATCCGCGCCACCGACTTCGTGAGCTCCCCGACCCTGAAGCCCAGATCTGTGGGCGGAACCGGCTTTGCTCCAATTTTTTCTCAAATGCAAAACAAATATCTAAACCAACGTAGTTTTATTTTATCAGGTAAGGCCCACTGAGCTATATAGCTCTATTGCAGAAGCGACCGGGCCACAAATGATAGCCCAACAAAGTGGCTTATCGTGGGGAAATTTAGAGCAGACAAATACTGTAAACGCGTGATGTTGATTCTAAATGTGGGCGGAAAAACCGGAGGACCCGGAAAAATATCCACGCGACCACTGGGAGAACATGCAAACTCCAAATATATAGCAGGCATCAGGGTCGGGTTTGAACCCATGATTTCCTGTATACCCGGTGAGATGGTTAACATCTCGCCACCTTAAATTCAGTGAAGCCTTCTTAAACGAATAAATTACAGCATCATCATAATCAACGTCAGCATCAGGTAAACACTCACTCATTGGCCAAATAACACTTCAATACATAGAAGGCCGCGGAGCGCGGGGGATCATTGGCAGTGCCGGCTCATCGCGTGGCTGCTGACCTCCCGCTCGTCCGTGGTTCCTTCTCACGCCCTCTCCGAATCGTTCTCTCTCTCTACGGGAGCTCGGGGCGAATACTGTGTGCGCTCCAATTTAAACAAAACATTATCATCATCATCATCATCTATGCGGCACCAATAAAATGGAGAGCACCACCCCTGCCATGTGCACGTGTAAATCCCACTGCTAAACTCATGGGGATGGAGCACCACAGGTTCACTGCGTGTCTCGCAGGACTTTGCTGTCCATAACTCCCAAGGACTAGTTCGCCACCGCTGCTCGAAAGGTCCTGATCCCCGGTGTCCCGTGACAGCTCCGTGTTGTTTGCGGTGACGCCGGGAGCCACCGGGCCCGCGACCTTTGTGCTTGTTCTCCTCGTACTCCTGCCGGGCCTTGTCGATGTAGCGCCGAACCAGCGTCCTGATCACCTGGCTCTGCCGAGCGCCCCTGGGTTCCACCAGGCCCCAGCCGTCGTGGACACCTGTGTTCATCTGAACCGGGGCCGGTGAACCGGTGATGTTAGCCTTGGCTGGTTTCATGGTGCAGTACGCTGACCGCTGTGCCACAAATGAACCACAATACCTTGCTGATCTCGTCAAGGAGCATAAACTATCACACGAATTCCGGTCATCCTCGCAGCAGCGGCTTTTGGCTGGCCACAGAACAAAGATGGTCGCCGCATCGCGCGCTTTCCGATACGCTTTTGCGGCCGTCTGGAACGCTCTTCCTTTCGATATTAGGAAGCCACTGGAGCTATGCACTTTTAAATCAATATTGAGAACTCATTTTCTTTTTAAATGCTTTATGTGTTTAGTTTGTTGTCCTTCCCCCGCACCTCCGATTATCACGGTTGGCTGCTTGGCGTGCGAAAGAAGTTCAACATGCATATGTACATGCCACCACTCCACCGAAAACACGTGTGCGTGCGTACGTGAGTCTCCGTTTATGTGTCAGGTACACGTGAACACATGTCCGCACTCACGATGACTTCGCTGATGCTTGGCACAGATGGTGAGGATGGCCCCTGCGACGTCCGGCAAAACAAGAGCCCGGCCGTTCGCCTGTGGACGACACTCACGCCCGTTCTTGCGCTTCCACGGCCCTGACCATGTGGAATGCTTTCACCTCGTCAGGTAAGATACAGCCGGACCCTCCGAAGCTCAACAAAGAGAACTCAAACCCTTATCTGTTCAGCCTGATGTTTACAGATGAAGAGGAACATCGCTTCAACAAACGTATGCTGTTAAGATTAACCTAGATATTATTGCTTTAATTGCACGGTTATACATTTTTATTGGAGAATAATAAATGGCTATGTACGGTGCGAAAGAAGTTCAACATATCTACAAAAGATAAAGATCGCCTGTATAGCCTTAATAGACTGTTGGGGCAAGTGCTGTTAGCAAGCACCTATGAAGACTGGCACAGCACACGAGGGGGTGGGTGGCCAACACCACGCCCGACCGCCTTTGTATCCCCAGTGACGATGTTTACTACACACCACACCAGGTACTCATTTGAGGCTGAGTCGATCTAGGGGAGGCCCAGGACCGGTTCAATTAATCGTCACTGATGGTCTTGGTGTCCGTGAGCGGGAATCGAATTCGGGTTGCCGGGTTTGTATCTAACTGCTACACTACCACCCCCCACATACATACAGATATAACAACAATAACCGCCATTCGCCACTAAGTGCTGGTGACGTCACCACGGTGATTGTGCCAGGCTATGTGCACGTTGAGGCCATGTGAAGTGTCGAACGCCCACCGGCAGGAGGTTACAGGGCAGACCCAGGAGCCACGGGTCAACTGACTGAGATGAGTGGCTGATGCACCACCTGTGCCCCCTACTGTGCCAACTTGCTGTGTTTTAGCCACCCGGCGCTCCGCTCATTGTGAGCGTCGCTCCTCTGCCCTCCGTTGTTGTTGGAGGGCGACTGCCTCCAACTGCCCAGTCGCGTCCTCCACAGAGGCCAATCTTGGTACCAGTCATCGGCAAGTCCACTCAGCTCCACATCCTCTTGTACCACATCACTCCATCTCTTCTCTAGCCTGTGCCGCGCCCGTTTAGCCCCCTCTATCCAGCCGAACAAAAGCTGTTGAGGCATGCGGTGGCTGGGCATGCGCACTACATGACCCAGCCAACGCAGCCTTGCCTACCGGAGGAGCTCACCGATGGGACTTTGTCTAGATCTTTCAAGATTTTGTGAGCTCACACAATCCAGCCTGGTTAAACCCAGGATGGATAGTAGGCAGGCCAGCCTAAATGTTTCTAACCGGCGAAGATGTTCCATTATACACACACATACATGATAGCGTAGTAGACAGACTTGGGGCTGGGGATGAGGTTGAAGGGCACCGGCAGGGTGAGGCCCTCTCGGAAGTAGGAGAGGTAGAGGCGCGAGCGCGCAAACTTCCACTCCACGTCCGCATCGTCCTGGTGACAACGCGACGGCAACGTGACGTGAACACGACACAAATAGAGCACGAACACAACACCGCTAACGCGGAATGACGTTAAGACAACACGACGACGATGACGCAGATAGAGCACGACACGAGCACAAACACGGCACGACACGACCACAAAAATAGCACAACACGAACGTGACCAAGGCAGTGATCACAGCGGCGGTGGCGGCGGGGTTGGAGGGACGGGGAGTCGGTCCACGAGTTAAGAGCGAGCACCTCGATCCTCTCGAAGGAGCTGGTGATCATGGCGATTAGCATGTTGAGCAGCACGATGGCCATGATGATGGCGTAGACGCCGTAGAGGCTGCGCCCCACGAACTGCGCGATCTCGAAGTTGGGGATGTCCGTGGTGCGCCGGTCCTCCATGCCGAACACCGTCCAGAAGAGGTACTGGAACGTCTCGTTGAACCTGCGGCACAAGAGGCACTGGAACGTCTCGCTGAAGGGGCACTGGAACGTCTCGTTGAACCTGCGGCACAAGAGGCACTGGAACGTCTCGCTGAAGGGGCACTGGAACGTCTCACTGAAGGGGCACTGGAACGTCTCGTTGAACCTGCGGCACAAGAGGCGCTGGAACGTCTCGTTGAAGGGGCACTGGAACGTCTCGTTGAACCTGCGGCACAAGAGGCGCTGGAACGTCTCGCTGAAGGGGCACTGGAACGTCTCGTTGAACCTGCGGCACAAGAGGCACTGGAACGTCTCGTTGAACCTGCGGCACAAGAGGCACTGGAACGTCTCGCTGAAGGGGCACTGGAACGTCTCGCTGAAGGGGCACTGGAACGTCTCGTTGAACCTGCGGCACAAGAGGCACTGGAACGTCTCGCTGAAGGGGCACTGGAACGTCTCGCTGAAGGGGCACTGGAACGTCTCGCTGAAGGGGCACTGGAACGTCTCGTTGAACAATGCGGCGGGAAAACGACGCCGGCGGTCACGCGGTTCTTGCCGGTGCTGTCAACCGTACCGAACGACGTCGCATTCTTTCTCGTTTAGAATCGTCACGTGTTTAGATTTATTTAGAGTATTCGGCTGCTATACGTTTTCACGTGATGAGCAGCCACTTTGTGGCCGGGTCGCTCCTGAATAAGAAGCGAATAGCTTTAGAGGTATTTATAGCGATTCACTTACCGTTTATACACTTTACACAAAGAGCTTGATGGCTCATCGGATTAGTCCAGTATAAATCAATATTCTGATTCTGATCTCCAGCGCAATTAACGTGAAAAGATGAACAGATATCAATTATGACGGAGTGAGTTTGCGATGACGCCGATGATGATGATGATGACGACGCCGATGACGATGCTGAATTAATGAATGCGCTGGGCCGTAGTGGCCGATCTGTCGTGCAGGCGAGCTCCCGAGCGGCGTCGCGACGCTCACCGGCCCAGCTTGTTGAACGTGTAGTGCACGTAGAGGTTGTTGATGCCGCACAGGAACGCCGTGCCGATGATCATCACCAGGAACATGAACCTGCACGCGCGGGCGGGCGGGCGGGTGGGCGGGTGGCACGGGCACGGCTCCAGGCACGACGGCTCTCGACGCACGAGTGATCGACGGCTCCCGTCTCGACCGACTGACATGGGTCGCTGTAAAATCAAGGTCGGGTCACCTACGGTTGGGGGTCAAACTCTGGAATGTCTAGGGCATAGGTCACGGTGCATGCGCAGTGGTAGAGGGTCTGAATCGCAAAGGTCATGGGGTCGCTGTGGCAGAAGTTGGCTTGCAGAGTCGAGGTTCGTGAAGGTCGTAGTCACCCAGACAGAGGAAATCGTCGCTGTATAGGTCGCGATCGCTCAGTATCATGGCATGGCTATAATTGTGGTGAGGGCGACCCTCGATTGTGTAGCTAAGGATCACCCCCTTGGCGGGGAAGTCAGTGCCAGAGAGGTCACGGTCACTTCACGGCAGGGGTCAGGGGACGCGCCACGGTGGAGCTCCGCGTCGGAAAGGCCAGGCTTGGCCACGTGGTGCGGAGGTCGCGCCTCACCGGAAGATATCCCCGAGGATCTTGCCGATGGAGATCTGCAGCGTGCCGAGCGACTCGTGCGCGGGGAGGATGAAGGCGAGGCGCGTGAAGCTGAGCGCGCTCGTGATGGCGAACACCACCTCGGCGATGATCTGGGGGTCGTCTTTTTGCCACTGCCCGCGCTCTGGGCGGGGGGGGAGGGCGGGGGGAGTTTAGGTGGGGGGGGGGGGGGGTTGACGAGAGACAAGAGTGGCAACGCATTCACCACGCCATAGGCGCGCTAATATGCACCGTCGCGTTCCGCGTGTCGTGTTGCTCCACAGACCCCACACCTCCTCCTCACCGGCTGTGGTGAAGTACGTTCACCGGCCGTGGTGAAGAAGCACGCTCACCGGCCGTGGTGAAGAAGCACGCTCACCGGCCGTGGTGAAGGAGCACGCTCACCGGCCGTGGTGAAGAAGCACGCTCACCAACCGTGGTGAAGAATCACGCTCACCAACCGTGGTGAAGCACGCTCACCAACCGTGGTGAAGAAGCACGCTCACCAACCGTGGTGAAGAATCACGCTCACCAACCGTGGTGAAGAATCACGCTCACCGGCCGTGGTGAAGAAGCACGCTCACCAACCGTGGTGAAGAAGCACGCTCACCAACCGTGGTGAAGAATCACGCTCACCAACCGTGGTGAAGAATCACGCTCACCAACCGTGGTGAAGAATCACGCTCACCAACCGTGGTGAAGTACGCTCACCGGCCGTGGTGAAGAAGCACGCTCACCGGCCGTGGTGAAGAATCACGCTCACCGGCCGTGGTGAAGTACGCACACTCGGCCGAGAGCGGGTCCCGGCCGCACGCCAGCTCTCCGCTCCAGCGCACGAGCAGGCGCAGCGTGAAGGAGGAGATGTACATGCTGATCATGGCCAGGTCCAGACAGTTCCACCAGTCCGACAGGTACACGCACAGGCCCTCGATCCACACCTCCTTGCACTCGTACCACAGGAAGCCTGCATAACGCATGCGCACATGCACACCCCGAGAGCTCATGCTTTGGATCTTTCGGTAAAGTCTTCACCGATAAAAGTCACTACGTGACTTTGCCGAAAGAACCAAAGAATATTAATACCTGCAGTCACGAAAGTTTTAAGTCAAAATTAAAAACTCCTAGAGCTGGCAATTTTTCTTTTGTAATGAGGGGGGAAGAGGGGCGATGATTGCCACGTATATAGTCACCCCCCCCCCCCCAAAAAAAAAAACGCGGTGTCATCAAAGGTGGAAAATTCAAACCGCAATGCGGGAGGGGGAGGGCCCTACTCTTGTAAACAATGTCACGGGATGATCTACCTGACGTCCACGGCAAAGCAAACGGCACGCACGGTATTTAGTTTTTCGCGGTCAATACGCACGGTAGCGACGTGAGCCGGGGGGGGGGGAGGTAGGTGGGAGGGGGTAGGTGGGGGGGGGGGGTAGGTGGGGGGGGGGTAGGTTGAGTAGGTAGGTGGGGTAGTAGGTGTGGGGGTAGGTGGGGGGTGTAGGTGGGGGGGTAGCTGGGGGGGTAGGTTGAGTAGGTAGGTGGGGGGGGTAGGTGGGGGGGTAGGTGTGGGGTGTAGGTGTGGAGTGTAGGCGTGGGGTGTAGGTGTGGGGTGTAGGTCGGGAGGTAGGTGGGGGGGTAGGTGTGGGGTGTAGGTGGGGGGGGGGGGTAGGTTGAGTAGGTAGGTGGGGGGTGTAGGTGGGGGGGGGTAGGTGGGGGGGTAGGTGGGGGGGTAGGTGTGGGGTGTAGGTGGGGGGGGTAGGTGTGGGGTGTAGGTGGGGGGGTAGGTGGGGGGTGTAGGTGGGGGGTGTAGGTGGGGGGGGTAGGTGGGGGGGGTAGGTGTGGGGTGTAGGTGGGGGGGTAGGTGTGGGGTGTAGGTGGGGGGGGTAGGTGGGGGGTGTAGGTGGGGGGGTAGGTGGGGGGTGTAGGTGGGGGGGGGGTAGGTGGGGGGGTAGGTGGGGGGTGTAGGTGGGGGGGTAGGTGTGGGGTGTAGGTGGGGGGTGTAGGTGGGGGGTGTAGGTGGGGGGGGTAGGTGGGGGGTGTAGGTGGGGGGGGGTAGGTGGGGGTGTAGGTGGGGGGTGTAGGTGGGGGGGTAGGTGTGGGGTGTAGGTGGGGGGGTAGGTGTGGGGTGTAGGTGGGGGGGGGTAGGTGGGGGGTGTAGGTGGGGGGGGTAGGTGGGGGGTGTAGGGGGGGGGGTAGGTGGGGGGTGTAGGTGGGGGGAACTAGGTGGGGGGGGTAGGTGTGGGGTGTAGGTGTGGGGTGTAGGTGGGGGGTGTAGGTGTGGGGTGTAGGTGGGGGGGTAGGTGTGGGGTGTGGGGTAGGTAGGTAGGTAGCCGGCCCGGATTGTTAACCGTGAAACCCCCTGCTACATTTGGGCGAACGCGCGGGGCGGTTGCCGCCGAGGCCGCGGCCTTCCGGCGGTCGCGGCGGCAGCAGCGGCGGCAGCGGCACCTGCCACCCAAACCATGTGGAAGGAGTTGTCCATGAGCGTCTGGTTGCGTGTGGACACGATGTCGCTGGAGCTGTCCATCATGATGGACTCGACGAGCAGGAAGAAGAGGAACCACAGGTAGGAGGCCGAGTGCATGAGAAACTTGAGCAGGGGCGTTCGCAGCAGGTTCCCCAACTGCACGGGCGCAGAGCACGCGTTGACGTACGTTGAACTTCTTTCGCGCCGTACGTAGCCAACCGTGAACACAGGAGGTGCGGGGGAAGGACAGCAAACTAAACAGAAAAGGCAGTTCTAAAGAAATGCGATGATGGTTTAAAAGCGCATAGCTCCAGTGGCTTCCTAATATCGGAAGGGAGAGCGTTCCAGACGGCCGCGGAAGCGCGTCTGAAAGCACGGCGCGATGCGGTGACCGCCACCGTCTTTGTTGGATGATTCGCCAAAAGCCGCCGCTGCTGCGAGGATGCGAACGCTCAGGTGACACACGGGACACCCCGTGCGGACAGCTGCACAACAGTGCCGGATTATCCTCAAAGCAAAAGTAGCTACATATGTAGGAGCTACGGGCCCCGCACTTTCAAGGCCCCCACGCCAAATGCTTTCAAGCTATCAACCCCTGTTCAGTGATTCTGCACTTGCTCTGTTACTATAGCGCTATACCGCCTTCAATTTTCATGAACGACCGGGTGTTTAAGGTTAGCGATTTTTCGTAATATCTGGCTGTATAGCAAATGAAAAAATACAATTACTTTACTATGCAAGTTATAATTTAGTGTTTTAATATTTATATATTTTTTTATTTAGGGCCCCTTCATAACATCATGCTACAGGCCCCCCACTAGCTTCATCCGGCACTGCTGCACCAGCATGGGCCATTCCAATCGATAATAATCATATTAATATTGCTCACTATCCAGCAAGCCCTCACTCAGTTTCAGGACTCCTGTTCAGCAGGGTCCTGCATTGGGATGATGCGCAAGTTCCACCGTTTGAGTGGTTGGCATCGTGGGAAGACAACGGGGAGATCCGTGGAGAAAAATCTCCCGCATACGTTGGGGGGGTGGGGGGGGGGTACCGCTCAAAGCGCCTCGCGAGCCGGGGCTCACAGCACAGGGGCGAGGAATCTGACGGACCCGCAGGCCACGATCGGCCCGTGAGTTCATTTCGCGACGGTGCACGAGGGACACGCGCCCGTGTCCCGCGCTCGCCGTCGTCTCACCCTGGACTTGGGCGCGATCCAGTAAATGAGGGCGAGCACCGGCATGCCCAGGAAGATGCCCAGGCAGGTGCCCGCCTTGACTGCGGCGTGACTGCCCCTCCAGCTGGGCATGCCCGAGCACCAGATGGAGGTGAGGACTTGCTGGCACACCGGGTGCGAGACGAACTGGACGCACGCACGCACGCACGCGGGCACACGGACACACAGACACACACACACGCACGCGGGCACACGGACACACAGACACACACGCACGCGGGCACACACACACACTGACACACACGCACAGACACACACACGGGCACACACACACAGACACACACACAGAGACACATACACGCACACGGGCACACACACGGGCACACACACAGACACACACACATGGGCACACACACACGTGGGCACACACAGACACACACGCACACACGCACGCGGGCACACACACGCACGCACACGGGCACACACACACACGGGCACACACACGCACACGGACACACACACGGACACACAGACACACACACACGCACACGGGCAAAAACACACGCGAGCACACGCACAAGACACATGCACGCACACGGACACACAAACACACACGCACGCACGCACACGGACACACGCACACACTAAGGCAACGATCCTCCCGTATAGATTTACAGACTGTTGGGGCAAGTGCTGTTAGCAAGCACCTATGAAGGCCGGCATGGCACACGAGGGGGTGGGTGGCGAGCACCACACACACAAACGCACACACATACTCGCACACACGCACACACATGCACGCACGCGAGCAAGAGCGTGAGCCACTCGGTTAGGTCCTTGAAGAAGCTCGCAGTGCGTGGAGTGAAACGTCGGACATTTCAGTTCAGTTTCAGTTCAGTTCATTTTGGTATAGCCCTGTGAGCCATTCGGCTCTTGAATCGGGTGCAACCGCAACAAACAAAAAAACACGAACAAGAAAATCATCTTAAAGTGACTATGTGACTGTGCAAACAGAAAATCCATGGAAAAAAAAAAACAGCAAAAATATTCCTGACAAAAAAGCGCCGTACACCAAGGCTGTGTGCAAAAAAAAATCCCAGTGGGATGCAAGTCCAACAACAACCACAAGACAACATAGATGAAGGCCATCAGTCTACCGAACAGCCGAAGCGTGTGACGGTACCAGCTTCTGGTGGTGCGACACGGCGAGCCGCAGGCGGCCCAGGCTGGGGATGCCCTCCTCGAAGGCGCCGTGCGCCAGCTCCTCGTCGCCGTGCGGAGGCGCGTCGTTGAGCAGCGAGTCCACCTCGCGCTGGTTCTGGCACATTGCGAGCAGCTCCACGGCGAACTCCTCGCACTGCCGGTCCAGCTCCATGTACTCCGCCTGCGCGCGCGCTCCCCAGCAGCAATCGTCATGATCCATCCACTGCTGGATGAAGGAATGCCTCCCCCAACAGGAACGTCAGACATAGCCCTAGTGCCATACCTACAATTATCATGCTTGGATACGTACGGTGTGATGAAACTCAGCATAATACGTACTACACTATACACTGCATACTACACTATAGATTACTAGACACTACTATACACTACACTGCATCTCTGATTAGCACGGTTTACTATGTATGGTGCGAAATAATGTCAACATACATATACAGACGTACTACACTATACACTACAAGATACACTGCACTGCACCTCCGATTCACGCGGTTGGCTACGTGCGGCGGTGCGAAAGAAGTTCAACATACATACATATGTACTACACTATACACTACATACTAAACTACACACTAGATTACACACTACACTATACACTACTATACACTACACTACTATATACTACACCGCACCTCTGATTAGCGCAGTCGGCTACACGCGGCGGCGTGAGAGAAGTTCAACGTAACCACATAGGTACAAACGTACTACACTATACACTACGTACTAAACTACACACTAGATTACACACTACACTATACACTTCTATACACTACACTATACACTACTATACACTACACTACTACATACTACACCGCACCTCTGATTAGCGCAGTCGGCTACACGCGGTGGCGTGTTCAACGTAACCACATAGGTACAAACGTACTACACCACACACTACGTACTAAACTACCCACTACATCATACACTACTCTGTACACTACACTATACACTACGCCGCATCGCCGATGAGCGCCGGGTCGTCTGCACGCAGTCGGCTACGCGCGGCGGCGTGAAATAATTTCAGCGCCAGCGTACGGTGCCCGCTCCGTGCGCGCTCACCTTGAACTCGGGCTCCTGTCTGGCGAGACGCGTGAGCTCCCGGCTCAGCTCGAAGGCGCCGAGGATGGCGTCGCCGCTCGCGAGGCACAGGTAGGGCCGCCCGGCGAGGCCGCGATACGTGTTGATGCGCGACAGCGAGAACTTGAGCGTGTCGTACTGCCGCCCGTTCTGGCACTCGAGGCAGCCGCAGGAGATGTTGTGCGGTCGCTGGATGGCGTGCCCCTTCTTCAGCAGCACCTCGACGATGTCGAAGAGGTTGTCCTGCGAGGCGAGCGTGAGCGGCGTGACGCCCGGAGGGTAGCGCGAGCTGTCCATCGAGTGGTCGAAGATGGCGAGCGAGAAGGAGCGGATGTCCATCTTGTTGTGGCCCAGGGCCTTGTCGTTGTCCAGGCGGTCGAGGAGCAGTGTCACGACCTTGGACACGCGGCGGGCAAGAGGAGATAGACAGGCAGGCCGACCGACCGACCGACGGACTGATTGACTCACAAGAACACTGGCGGACTACGTAACAAAGTGACCAACCGGCAGCGACTTACGAACGGATTGACCGACCATTTAGCGCGGTTGGCTACGTGCGGTGCGAAGGAGCTTCAACGTACGCACACACACACATTGACGGACGGAGAGACAGGAGTGACAAATTGGCCAGCAGAGTTGCGTACGAACAACGTGACTGACTGACAGACTCACAAACCGACCGACCGACCTGCTGCTGGTTGGTGTCCACGGCGACGAGGAGGGCCTCGTGGATCTGCCGGAAGTCGAAGCGCACGCAGCGCAGCAGAGCGCCCAGCACCTCGTCGCTGCCCATGCGGATCGCTAGGTTCAGCGCCTCCCTCCACGAGCGATCCTCCTGCTCGTCCGCCTGCCGCGGGTTGGGTGCCCCCCCCCGCTCCGCCGTGACCCCACCTCCGGTCTCGGCGGCCCCCAGGATGTCGTAGACGCGCGCCACGTTACCGTCGCGGATGGCCGCTTGCAGGGCGATGGGGAAGCGCACCTTCCTGCTCACGATGTTGCGCCAGCTGCGGGCGTGCTGCTCCGGCGACACGGGGGTCGGTGGCGCAAGCGGTAGCAGCAGCAGCATCAACATCGGCATGAGCAGCAGCAGCAGCATCATCGGCAGTAGCAGCAGCATCATCATCGGCATGAGCAGCAGCATCATCGGCATGAGCAGCAGCATCATCGGCATGAGCAGCAGCATCATCGGCATGAGCAGCAGCATCATCGGCATGAGCAGCAGCATCATCGGCATGAGCAGCAGCATCATCGGCATGAGTAGCAGCAGCATCATCGGCATGAGCAGCAGCATCATCATCGGCATGAGCAGCAGCATCATCGACATGAGCAGCAGCAGAATCATCATCGGCATGAGCAGCAGCAGCATCATTTTCAGCACAAATGATAGGACATTTATAGCAGCCAAATAATCTAAACGCGTGACGTTCACCCGAAATGTGGAGGGCAAAACCGGAGGACCCGGGGAAAAATCAACGCGACCACGGGGAGAGAGAGAAAGACACAACTCCGACTATACAGCAGCAGGCGTCAGAGGCCGGGATCGAACCCACGTCCTCCTGTATACCTGGCGAGGTAGTTAACATCTCCTAGCCACCGTGATGATGATGAGAGAGAGACGCAGACTCTAAATATACAGAGCAGGCGTCAGAGGTCGGGATCAAACCCACGTCCTCCTGCATACCAGGCGAGGTAGTTAACATCTCCTAGCCACCGTGATGATGATGAGAGAGAGACGCAAACTCTAAATATACAGAGCAGGCGTCAGAGGTCGGGATCAAACACACGTCCTCCTGTATACCAGGCGAGGTAGTTAACATCTCCTGGCCACCGTGATGAGAGAGACGCAGACTCTAAATATACAGAGCAGGCGTCAGAGGTCGGGATCGAACCCACGTCCTCCTGCATACCAGGCGAGGTAGTTAATATCTCCTAGCTATCGTGATGATGATGAGAGAGAGAGACACCGCAAATTCCAAATATACAACAGCAGGCGTCGTCAGGGTCGGGATCAAACCCACGTCCTCCTGCATACCAGGCGAGGTAGTTAACATCTCCTAGCCACCGTGATGATGATGAGAGAGAGACGCAGACTCTAAATATACAGCAGCAGGCGTCAGAGGTCGGGATCGAACACACGTCTTCCTGCATACCAGGCGAGGTAGTTGACATCTAGCCACCGTGATGATGATGAGAGAGAGATGCAGACTCTAAATATACAGCAGCAGGCGTCAGAGGTCGGGATCAAACCCACGTCTTCCTGCATACCAGGCGAGGTAGTTAACATCTCTTGGCCACCGCGGCGCCCCCAAAAACGTAACGACCAAAAAACAACCTGGGCCTCTCTTTCTCCTGAACTGATAACCAAATCATGAAATGCCCTCTCATCATGGTGATGAGTAAGACCCACCACCACCACTACCACCACCACCACCTACCCGCTTATTTTCCATTCTCTTGCCTCGGGGACGATGGTTGGAGACCCCCGACCTCACGTCTGGATTCCACGCTCTGCGGTTACTGAGTCCTCAGATCCCTAGGGTCCAGCAAGAAGTCAATTAGGCTGTGTGGGTGCAGCAGGAGAGGCTGTGTAGGTGCAGGCGTTGAGGCTGTGTGGGTGCAGGAGGAGACGCTGTGTTGTGCAGGAGTTGAGACAATGTGGGTACAGCAGGAGATACTGTGTGGGTGCAACAGGAGATACTGTGTGGGTGCAGGAGGAGAGGCTGCGTGGGTGGAGAGGCTGTGTGGGTGCAGGAGTTGAGGCTGTGTGGGTGCAGGAGGAGACGCTGTGTGGGTGGAGAGGCTGTGTGGGTGCAAGCGTTGAGGCTGTGTGGTGCAGGAGGAGACGCTGTGTTGTGCAGGAGTTGAGACAATGTGGGTGCAGCAGGAGATACTGTGTGGGTGCAGCAGGAGATACTGTGTGGGTGCAGGAGGAGAGGCTGTGTGGTGCAGCAGGAGAGGCTGTGTGGGTGCAGGGGTTGAGGCTGTGCGAGTGAAGCCAGGGGTGTGTGGGGTGGAGGAGTTTGGGAGAATCCGTGTGGATGGTGGAGGAGCCCGAGTTAGCGTGCTACGAAGGAGGCAACGCAACTGTGAGTGGATGAGGCAGGGAGAGGCTGAGCGGGAGGAGATGGAGAGGGGCTGTGTGGCTGGAGGATGGCAGTGAGACTGTGTGGGGTGTAGGAGGAGGAGGCAAGGGAGCTGTCGGCGGAGGAGGAGCAGGAGGCGGAGTGGAAGGAGATTGAGGTTGTCTTGGTGGAAGAGGAGGCGGGGAGAGGCTGTGGTAGAGCGACTGGAGCAGGCACATTTGGCAGAAGCGGAGCTTGCAGGGCGAGTGACTGTGATCCTCCATCCTCCTCCGCCAGGGCCTTGATTGGTCGTCAGATTCGACAGCATCGATACAGAAGGATGGAGGCTGCAGCGCCACCCTAAGAAAACTCACAGTGGGCCTGGGGAAATGCTGATGTGCAGGTGTGGGTGACGAGTCAGGTGTGTGAGTGCTGATGTCACGTGTGGGTGACGAGGCAGGTGTGTGTGCTGGTGTCACGTGTGGGTCACGAGTCACGTGTGTGTGCTGATGTCACGTCTGGGTGACGAGTCACGTGTGTGTGTGTGCTGATGTCACGTGTGGGTGACGAGTCAGGTGTGTGTGTGCTGATGTCACGTGTGGGTAACGAGTCACGTGTGTGTGTGCTGATGTCACGTGTGGGTGACGAGTCAGGTGTGTGTGTGTGTGCTGATGTCACGTGTGGGTGACGAGTCAGGTGTGTGTGCTGATGTCACGTGTGGGTGACGAGTCACGTGTGTGTGTGTGCTGATGTCACGTGTGGGTGACCAGTCAGGTGTGTGTGTGCTGATGTCACGTGTGGGTGACGAGTCAGGTGTGTGTGTGCTGATGTCACGTGTGGGTGACGAGTCAGGTCTGTGTGTGTGATGGACCCCCCCTAATGGAAGATCTTAGCCGCTTAGAAACATTCAGGCCGGTCTGCCTATGATCCATCCTGGGTTTAGCACGATACACTACTATACACTACACTATACACTACACACTTTTCCTTTCAACCAAACTGGGACCCTCTAATCGCACACCACAGCAGTCATCTCTCACTATTTCAGCCATCCAAACCTTGTTATTGTTCTCATCTCTCATTCTTGTGATCCATCAGCACCACATCGTTGCACCCAGGTACTTAAAGTCGTTCCTCTTCATGAACTAGTCACTTCCAATTAGCAATCCTCCTGAATTATGTCCACTGAAATTTGCCACTATGTACTCCCATTCCCTTCAATCTTTTGCACCCAGATCTTCAAATCATCTTCCACTACCCCTCTGCTATCACCGCATAGCCACAATATCGTCTGCAAACAGCGTACACGAGTGGGGCTCCCTCTGAATGTCTCTCGTCAGCGTGTCCAGCACCAGGATGAACGGGAAGGGGCTCAGCGCGGAACCTTGCTTCACTCCCGCTTTAACTTGAAAACTCTCCGACACACCACAGCTGCTTCGCACGCACAATACCCCTCCTTCATACATAGCCTGGATCAGCCGAACATATACCTGAGGGATTTCTCTTCTTCTCAAACACCACCAGGTGAGCCCTCTAGGCACCCTGTCGTACGCTTTCTCCGGATCAATAAACACCGACATGCAGGCCCCGTTTCTTCTCTCTGAACTTCTCCATCAATACTCTTCTCAGTGCAATGATCGCATACATTGTTGACCTTCCTTGTCTGAATCCAAATTGACTCTCGCCAATATCCACCAGCTTCATCAGTCTCGACTTAAGGCTTCCGTGACTGCAGGAATTCAATTTCTTTAGGTCTTTCGGTAAAGTCACGTAGATAGGTTGTTTTATTTGTTTGTTATTTTCTTTGAACATATCTACGTGAGTTTACCGAAAGACCCAAAGAATAATCACCAGTCTCCTTTCTAGGATCCTTTCCCACAGTTTCATGGTGTGACTTATCAGTGCTATTCCTCTGTAGTTCCCACAATCTTGTACATAACCTTTCCCTTTAAAGATGGGAACCAATGTAATCTCTCTCTCTCTCTCCACGCATCCGGTATTTTCTTCTCCATCCAGATTTTCCCAAACAGCCCCGTCATTATTTCAACACCCTTTTATCCCATTAATTTAAACATCAATTGAAATCTCATCTGGCCCTGCTGCCTTTTGATGTTTCATGCTCCCCAGAGCCTCCACCACCTCTTCTCTGGCTATAGTCTCTGGTTATAGTATCTGGTTATAGTTTCTGGCTATAGTCTCTGGTTATAGTATCTGGTTATAGTATCTGGCTATAGTATCTGCAATTACTTAAATCCTTTCATATTCCTCAACCATTTCGCGTCTTAAGTTTTCCACATTCAGAAACTGCTCAAAGTACTCTTTCCACCTCTATTATTGATCTCATCTAAGATTGTTCGTCCTTAACTGTTCTTAACGAGATTCACGTGGTCGATGTCTTTCTCTCTCTGGCTCTTGCCAACCGATAGACCATCTTCTCGCCTTCTTTGCTGTCAAACTTCTGGTAGAGCTGTGCAAATGCTGTTGTTTTTGACATTGCTACCGATCGATTTGCCTCCCTTCCCGTTGCCCAATATTCGTCCAGAGGGTCCTTCTCTCTCTCTCTCTCGTGTTCTGCCACTTCCTAAACTTGGCCTTTTTATCTCTTGTTGCATTTTGGACTTCATCACGCCACCATCATGTTTCTTTCTGTCGCGTCTGTCTTCCTTTGCTCACTCCCACTGGACTACTACCTGCTGCTCTCAGCATTACATTCGCCAGTTGTCCCCATATTTCATTCACGCTCCTCCTAGGCCTTACGCTTGCCTGTAGTTTTTTTCTCATGTTTTAGTCGCCATCAAGGCCGTAGCCATGGAGTGAACATTGAGGGGGACCAAATCTTCCAGGGGGTCTGGGGGTCCCCCCCCCAGAAAAAAATCTGAATTTGAAAACGAATTTCCTGCCTAAAATATTTAAAAATTCACTAACACATGGGATGGACTTTTTATGTATTTTTTACAATGTCTAATTGTGTTGTATTATATTGATCTGTTTTTACTTTTTTTTACCTTTTCTTGTTTCATTGTATGTAATGGCAGAGATCAGGGATTCATAAAGTACAACCATAACCACAATAATATAAACATAAATCTATGCATTGTTATATGAAGACAAGTCCAGATATTGTGGCCAAGGTTTAGCAAATTGTTGTTTTTATTTACAGAGCATAGAAATTATTATTTTAAAATATTTTTTATAGCAATATATTTGGGGGGGGGGACATTTTGAGCATATTTGAATATTAGGGAGGGATGTGTCCCCCCCAATATATATTATAATTACGGCCTTGCTGCTACACCTTCCTCTTCCTAACTCCTTTCACTATGCAGTCTGCCGCTAGGAGGCTATGTTGGTCATTCACACGCTCTCCAGGGATCATTTTGCAGTTCTTCACTGCTTTCAGCTGCTTCCTTCGCACCAGAGTAAATCTACATAAATTACAATGGATCATGTTAATCTGAGAATATGCAGTACCTAATATTGGTCGGGTTATTCAACACTCAACATGGACTGCTTTTATGGGGTTTTTTTGTACATTACCTTGAACTGAGAAATGTGGCTGTTGCCTGATGATGCTGGTTGTAATAACCGGCGAAACGTCGCGGTAATTGAATTGTAAATATTGTGGGTTTACTATCCAACACACTAGTAACTAAATGGCATGTTTTGTTTACGTGACAAACCTTACTAATTGGCTGTTTTGGGTGGTGGCGGATTTAATGATACATTTACATTTACACGATCTGACCCAAAAAAAAACCCCTCTTATTATGATTATGCAGTACCTATTATTGGTTGCTCAAAGTTAATCGATGTAACCCAATTTTTTAAAATATATATTGGATATCGGTCGCGAAAGTCCTACGTGTTACACTAAGCAAAATGTAAATCTCTGCAATGTCCAGCCGGGCCATCGGAGTCGGTAATTGGTGAGTGACGCTCTCCAGATTCCTGCTGCTCCCATTATTGCTGCTGCCGCCGCCGCTATTGTTACTGAACGAGAACCGAACATTACGCCAGCAATGTACTTTACACATTCGTTATTTAGCAAATAAAAAAAATGTGTGATGCTGCTGCTGCATTGGCAGTGATTGACAAGCGCAAATGACACGTCTTGTGGTGGCAATGTTTGTGGGCAGCATGGACGAATCGTAACAAAATCTACTGTTGTGCTGTTTGGTCTATGCTCCTTATCTTCACCAAACCCGCACTTCACGAGCGCGGTGATGTATTTAAAACAAAACTGCCGACGACCTCCACAGCACAGGAAGGCCCTCATTCAGCAGTGTCACACAAAGAAGGCTGTACGTGTCATACTCGTAGGCATGTAGGGATGGCACGTCCAGAGATTAAATTACTGTGAGAAGCATAATTTTGTTGAGATCTTTCCTCACCAATAATTGTTTACTGGGTCTTTTAAACAGGAGGATGCATCAATTCGTTAATTAAAATTATACCTACGCGACTTTACCGAAAGCACCAAAGAGTATGGATTGCTGCAGTCACGAAAGCTTCAAATCAAGATAAAAATTGATTCTTATGCAAATGAAAACACCCCGTCCAATCGTGCGAGATGACTTATTCACGGCATATCCCAACGATATGATGATACATGTAGACTAATGAAGCAGTTAGAACGATGGAAATGAGACGCAGCATGGCAAATGCCAAGGGAGGAGATGAAATACGATCGATCGTTGGATTGAACTCCGATCCCGAATCGTGACCGTTCAGCAAGTCAACCGCTGGGTGTTACGGGCCTCCGAGCGTGTTCACAAATGCACGTTTGGCACCGACGTGGTTTATAAGGTAGCACTATAAATAGCGGTGTTGTCACGTATGGCCACGTAATTTCATGAGGTTGGCAAGTCAATGGCTTGAATTGTCGACAATCAACAGCGAAATTTCCTATTTCATTACGACTGCATTTCGAACAGTTAACTTAAAATATCTGAGAGGCAGATGGAAGCACTGTAAAGCAACTCAGTTTCTCTTTCGCCTCATGGTTGACCTCACAATGTGAAAAACCTAAGCCTGGTTGTAGACAGGTCATCTGTAATAAATAATGAGCAATAGCTCCTAATTCTCTCTTCCATATGGCTTTATATAGATTAAACAAGAGGGATTCAATAACCATCCACTCACTCACCCACCCATGTACATCAGAGGCAGTGCAATGCTACGTGGTCCATGATTTAGTGTCTGTAGTTGAGTCTCCGAGATTCCACGTGTGCATCAGGTGTCCGCATCTTCTGTGGTTTGTGAGAATCCGGTTAAGCGCTGCACATTTGTTTCCATGGAAGACAGAAGACGGACAGTGTGGTGGGTGGTGGTGGTGGTGGTGGAAGCCGGGCAATGTGGCGGTGAGCTTGCTGATCAAGTGTTTGTTGGGCATGTTGCTTGAAGCCCATTGGACCACTTGGTTGAGATGACGAAATTTTCATTGCGCACACTCTGTGAACGGCTCCAAAACGGACAAGTTCCGAACCTCAACGGTGGAGGCGAGATATTGTTCAGATCATCGATGTTCGGCAGGTTTGAGCTCTTTATTCACCCGGCAATAACCTCGTTATTGTCCTTCCCCCGCACCTCCGATGAGCCACGGTTGGCTATGTACGGTGCGAAAGAAGTTCAACATACATACACACATGGGTCACGGCACTCGTTCAGAACGGTGCCGATTGGGATGTCTGGCCAATTCATCGTTGTGAATTTCAGCGTGCGGTAAAAAAAAAAAACAACACCACAGAGCGCCCGGTTGAAAACACGTTAATTCATACCCCCGACTCTCCCCGAGACCAGAGTTGGAAGGCTGCTGAACCACAGTGGCAGCGGCAAAACACCGCGACACATCACGTGGACAACAAGAGGACGCCGCGTGCTTCATTGGCGACGTCACAGCGATAAGTTTTGTTTATTCAGTTTGATCCAGAAAGAGAATGATGCAGAAGTGTTCTGAAAGCCCGTGAGATTGGCGTGGAAAAAAAAATGTAGACTATGATTATTTTGGCCTAGCTCAAAGGGCATATGTCTTACACATCTCATCATCAATACCATAGGTCCCTGGTTTCTTTTGGTCACAGCGAGCCCTTAACCACCTCTGCACCATGAACGCGGCTGGAGCGCTGTGACCGACCCATACGATGTCGAATAACGTCGAAGGATCGCAGCCAAAGGACGGCTGAGGAGGAGACGGACTGATCGGAGCGTAAGAGGGCACGAGGATGGAGAGGGATGACACGGAGTGGTCAGCAACAGGTGGGATAACAGCGGAAGTACGGCTGCCGGAAGTTCACGGGCCCAGTGACCTCTGCAACGGGGCTTGGCGGGAAGCGACAGACAGAACGTGAACACTGAACCCGCCGCCGTGAGGCCCCAGGGGCCGCACGGCGCCGCTTCACCTCCGCCTGCCCGCCCTCGCTCGCCTCCCGCCTCGCGCCACGCCGCGGCCCCTGAAGGCCGACTGCGCCGTCACCGTGCGACCGCTCGTGTTGAAGTCGCAAGCCGCCTCGTCCCCGCTGCTGCTGCTGCTGCTGCTGCTGCCGTCTTTGTGGCGCGGTTTGCGTTTGGCGCGTTTTTGCGTCGCCGCCTTCCCCGTTGGGCAGGCCCCTCCGGCTGTCTCTCCGCTCCCGCCCGCTCCCCCGCGCTTCCTCTTGAGCCCCGGGCACGGAACGTCGTTCGAGCCGTTGCTGCGAGCCGCGCCCGAGTCCGCGGCAGGCCCCAGGAAGCCCCCGGCGGGGGCCCGCGCCGTCGGCTCCGGCCCCGCCGGGCCTGGCTCGGAACCCGCGGCCTCGGCTGGCGTCTGCGCCTCCTGCCGTTTCATGGTGGTGACGGCGCGCTTCATGCGCTTGCTCCTGATGTTCCTGACCTCCGAGTGCACGACCGGGAAGAAGGAGTCGATGCGCGATTGGCTCTGCGGGAAAATTTTACGAACGTTTTAGTTTATTTTTAGCAGGTGAGCCCCACTGAGCTATGTAGCTCTTTTTCAGAAGCGACCTGGCTATCGTAAATGATAGCTAAACGAAGTGGCTTCTCGCGTGGAAATGTATAGCAGCGAAACACTCTAAACGCGTGACGCCGATTCTAAATGGCCCATCCGAACACCCCCTGCCACCCCCCTCCCCCCCCCCCGTGGGGTGGGGTGGCAAGTCGTGACGGCCCAATGGCACCAGAAACGTGTACGATTACAAGTTCGATTGACACAGCAACCAACAGTGTGACGTTCACGTGGTTATGCAGCCCACGGTGGCGAGATGTTAACTACCTCGCCTGGTGTGCAGGAGGTCGTGGGTTCGATCCCGACCCTGACAATGCCTGCTGTATATTTGGAGCATGCGTCTCTCTCTCTCATCATCACGGTGGCTAGGAGATGTTAACTATCATATATTTGGAGTTCCCATGTTATCTCCCCGTGGTCGCGTGGATTGTTCTCCCTAGTACTCCAGTTTTTGCCTCCATATTTTAGAATCAACACGCGTTTAGTGTGGCCGACTGCTATATATTTCCACATGAAAGGCCACTTTGTTGAGCTATCATTTGTGGCCAGGTGGCTTCTGAAAAAGAGCTACGTAGCTCAGTGGGGCTTACCTGGAAAAATAAAAAATTAGTTTAGTTTAGTCTTTAGTGTACGTGCATGGGTGAAAGCGCGTGCAGTTATCGCATGTACATGCAATAACGTATTTCCGCGCACACGTATTTCTGTGAACAGTCGGGATCGAGGCTCCCCAACTGGACTGGCGTTCCCAGCTTGTTTTTAAGCTTGCCCTATTGTTATTTTAACGTTAGTTCTTGTGAATATGCTGGAATTTCAAATACTGGTGTAATTAAGTACTCGAAGATTTGGTAAACATGCTCTGGGATGCTCCACCACTGGTCGTTACGATGCCTCCGCCGGCCACCACCGCCAACACCACACCCACGTCTACCGATTAGACGGCTACCCATCTGATACACGGGGACATAAACCCAGCTGCCGCCTGTTCACCTAAAATAAACGCCACCCCCCTTTCTGGATCACAGCAGCAGCCTCGCTCCACGCCACAAATATAAATGAAGGCGAGAGACGGAGGAGAAACTCTGGACTGCAGTCGACGTCAAAAATAAACGCTACCGGTCGTACCTCCACGTTTTTAACCTTCCATGCCGCCAATGGTGGACCATTAAACTGGACCAGGACCGGGCCGTGCGGCCGATGCGGCCACCCGATTCCACAAATGGCTGCATAGAAGATTCGTCGGCCTGCGAGCGGCGCGGCCACGAATCCCAAACCATCGACCCGCCGCATCGTAAACACTCCGCATCGTAAACACGCCGCTGCCGTCTTCGGCTCTTCAAAGGAGGAATGGACGGAATCCACTCTGCTTCAGAACTGACTAATTGAGTGGATAACAAATCTAAAATTACATCTTTAATCTGCTGATATTAATCCGTACGAAAGAAGAAGAATAAGTAGGCCACCCTCTCAACCCTCTCAACCCACCTGGGTGGCACTCAGCTGCTTCAAGACCGGGCGCAGCAGCTCCTCCGTCTTCTTCACCTCCCATCCAAAGCGGCTTTGGCAGAACGTGACGCGGGTTAAGGCAGAGTGGGTGAATCTCAACAGCGACGGACGGCACGCGGCCAGAACACGCCGGAGAACTCGTCATCACGTGCGCCACGTGGCCAATCAGAACACGTCGCACAGCTGCACGTCGATGGCTCCTCACTGGTCCCCGACTGCGTGGCTTTGTATTCGACACCAGTACGCACGAGCCTTCGCTGAGCAAGCCTCCTCACTGCACGTGACTACTCACTACCCCGCAGCATGCACACATCCTCCCGATACATGGTCATGAGGCTGTAACACCGCGAATTCGCACCACCAATTAGCGGTGTGTATTCATGGTCAGTGTCGGGGTTAGTTAGGGTCAAAGTTGGAGTTAGAGTCTGGATTAGAGTTTGGGTTAGAGTTGAGGGTTAGTTTCGGGGCTGCCATAACCAGCGTCCGTGTCAGGGCCCCGCGTTGGGACAGGTGCCGTGTGTTGGCGTGGATATTCGGCGATGCTGAGCAGCTGCGGTTGCCCCCAGGAGAAGCCGCCGGCGACGGTGCTGGTCGCCGGCTCGAGGTACGCCCGCGCCACCGCCGGGTTGGGGAAGCCCTCCGACAGCGTCAGCTGGCGCAGCCTCTGCTTCAGCTTGCTCTCCACGGGACGGGCGTGCAGCTTGCGGTTCTTCTGCGCCTCGTCCCACCATGCCCTGCAGCGGAGGCGTTACGGGTTCGGGTTAAGGCATGAGGCTTCGGAGCAAAAAGGTTAGGGGTAGGGGATAAGGGTTAGGATTCGCAACAATGTTTAGCAATTGCGATTTGCGGTTACGGTTATGGGTTATGCGTTGGGTTAATGTAATGGGCTAGGTCAGGGGTTAGCGTGAGGCTAAGTTTAGAGTCGCACGTATGCACGTTGAACTTCTTTCCTGCCGTACGTAGCCAACTGTGCTAATCGGAGGGTTAGAGCTGTTGATACGAGAGTTTCGATTTGGTTCGGGGTTCGAGTGACGTTAACGGTCAGAGGAAGGGTCCGGGTGAGTGTTGGGGAGTTATTGTCACGGTCGTGGTTAAGTCAGGGCTAAGTCCGCGGGCCAGCGTCAAGGCTTGGGGTCGGCGGTAGACGCTGAAGGTACAGAAAGCGGCGATCACCGCAGCGTGACAAGGGGCTCTATGCCGGGGCCGCCGAACTCGTTGAGAATCTCGAGCGCCGTGACCCCGCCGACCCCGGCGACGCCATCCGTGTAGTCGCTGCCCATGAGGTAGGCGAGATTCACCAGCTTCGTCCTGTCCAGCCCTGGCGAGACACGCGACCAATCGGCACGCGGCAATCTCGCACGCGACGCACGTGCGACTCGCGACACGCCGCTCACACGGGACTCGCGACAGGCACGTGGTGCTCGCATGAATGCACACGGGACGCACGTGCGACTTGCAACACACACTCACACGGGACTCGCAACGCACCCCATAGCACCATCTTCGATAGCACCACCCGCAGCACTACCCCATAGCACCCCCCGCAGTAACCGTGCCGTCACGGTAAACGACCCTAAGTTGGCACGAGAGCTCCCGGCGCACGTTCCGGCCGGCCTGGAGGAGACGCGCACCGATGTGCCGCTGGACGTCCACCAGCTGGTAGAAGTCGATGTGCCGGTTCTGGTTGAAGAAGTTCTTGTAGACGTAGCGGCCTCCGAACAGCCAGATGTCGCTGTCGTCGGTGATGGTGCCGTGGGTCCGGTCGGCGAGGTCGAGGGCGGCGCACTGAGCCTCGGCCTCCCCGGGCGCCGTCATGTACGGCAAGCCGAACATGCGCAGCAGCTCCTGCGCGGCCGCAGAGACAAGCGCGAGCGGGCGCCGCGACGGCAATGACGGCCGACGCCATCGCCGCACGGGGCGGCTCCCCCCGGCGGAGGAGGGCCACCGCCCTACCAGCGGTGGCGTGAGCGGGCGACTACAGCGCTGCACCACCGTTTGCCCGGCTGCGTTCGTATGGCAGGGCTGTCACACGGCTCCGTGGCTACGCGGGCCGACGTCCGCTCACGTCACACTGACATGCATGTGTTAGCAATTTATTAATTATTCCCCCCCCCCGAATACGGTGCTCTAACTGTGCGAAAGTCACGTGTAAAAGCCTTCGCTGAAATTGATAAATAGAAAATAAATCAATAAGTTGGGACAAGACAGGAGGATTTCTCCACAAATCTGGCTGCCGCCTGATGATGCTGGTTGTAATTACTGGAGAAACGTCGTACTCAGATTGTAAATGTTGCAGATTTACTCTCCAACACACCGGTGTGCTGTACTAGCAGCGCATTGGAATGTTCTGTTTACGTGACAACCCTTACTAATCGGCTGTGTCGGGTGGTGGCGGGTTTAACGACAAATTTATATTTACACGATCTATCCCAAAAAAACCTGTATTATGGTTAATAAATTGCGTTCGCCGTGAGAACTCACCGCCGATGTGTGTAGCGCCGGCGGGTCCTAGGCTCACAGATGTCGGCCACAAGTTTAGATACAGCAATAGTTTTTACCCTTTTAACTGGCACAAAAACTGACACCTTTATTGAAGGCATCATGTTTGCAATAACCACAACACAAGTAGTCAAAATGCAAACAAAAAAGACAACTCTGATAATAATATGCACTGTCCTTGAATTTGATTGGTCCACACCCGAGACGGCTTTTCTTAGAGCCTAGTCTAGGCGAGGCCGAGAGCGGTTGCACGCGCAATGTGGCGGTCACATGACGCGCACGCAAGGCACGACGGGAGCCGTGCCTTCCCGCCGCTTGTGAGCAGCAGCAGCACGCCTTTCGCGCTATCGGCGGTGCGAGACACGCAACTCACCTGACACTCGAAGCACATCTGCTCCGTGATGGTGGTGGCCATGCGCTCCTGGTGGCCCCGCTCGGACACCAGCGTCTGCTCCTCCTCGCTCAGGTCGTACTGCAGGCTCTCCAGATCCTCCTGCAACGTGATACGCACCTCCGATTAGCACGGTTGCCTACGTACAGTGTGAAAGATCTGCAACATACATACATGCATTGATACACGGACACAGTAGACACACACGGAGGTGGTCTGTATCAAAAGGTCATAACTTCTGACACAGACAGGGCCCCATCAAATAGTACGTGACTTTTTAAAAACAATAATACCAACTTGTAACGCATCGCCACAGGGTATTTGCTCTCCCTTGAAGAGACAGGATGGCTTAGAGGCACGAGGAGGAACCACAGAGGAGTGGGAAAGCCAACAGCCAGGCGGTGAAGCAGCACCAAATTACATTCGGCCCAAAGCTCTGCACCCCTCTATATATATTAAGGTGATGTTGGCCAATGAGTGGGCGTTTACATGCGGGAGAAAACCGGAGCATCCAGATAAAACCCACGAGTGTGACGTAGTGGGTGGCCAACAGCCCACCCGACCACCTTTGTCTCCCCCAGTGCTGACGTTTACACACCGCACCAGACACTCATTTAAAGGTGAGTCGACCAAGGGGAAGCCCATAACCGGCTCAGATATTCACCACTGTTCTTGGCCGTAAGCGGGAATCGAACTCGGGTTACCGGGTTCGAATCGCAGTGCGCTCACCACAACACTATCGCTCCCCATGTAACAACAACAACCGCCATTCGCCACTAAGTGGCAGTGACATCACCAATGCGCATGTGCCATGCTGTGCACTTTAAGGCCACTTGAAGTGTCGAACGCCCGCGAGCAGGTTACAAGACAGACCCAGGTGCCATGGGTTGACTGACTGAGGTGACTGGCCGATGCACCATCTGTGCCCCCTACTATGCCAACTTGCTGTGTTTTAGCCGCCCGGCGCTCCGCTCGTTGTTGTGAGCGTCGCTGCTCTGCCCTGCGTTGTTGTTGGAGGGCGACTGCCTCCAACTGCCCAGTAGCGTCCTTCATGAGCCTCCTCCACAGAGGCCGATCTTGACACTGCTGGTAACCAGTTATTGGCTCCCCATACATACGTTCTCTCACACACATACATACGGATGCACGTAGGTGGGACGTGCTGGTACCTGTGTCATGGGTGAGAAGGCTGGGCTAGGTGGCTGTGCTGGGATGCTCGGGGATGAAGGACTCTGCTCCGCTGGGGTCACGGGGTCACACCGGCTTGGACCTCCAGACTCGGCGACAGAGATCCCAGCATCACCTTCTAGCTCCTCCACCTTGTCCTGCTCCTCATCCTTCTCCTCCTTCTCCTCTTCCTCCTCCTCGCCCCGCTCGAAGCCGACATCGCTCACAGAGGACACCTCCACAAAGTCCTCTGCAGCAAGAAGCAACAACAAATCCACCACCCTCACGCCGTCATGCGTTGTCAAGGAAACCCCGAGACGACAGCCATGGGCCTTGTCGTGAATGTCACAGCTCGACCCCTCCGTCCCGATTCGATCAGTCGTCACAAATTCTGGGTCGGGATTTGGTCCAAAAATCCATTATAACTTTGGGCCATTTAGGTTTACGTGAAAACGATTTCACGCAATATATCATCGTTAACCGTGGTTTATTGACTGCTGGATGAAGGCCTCTCCATTCCATCGCCATCCCTCATGGTCAGGGGTCGGCGAACCCGCGACTCCGGAGCCGCATGGGGCTCTTCGAGGATTGCTTCGCGACGTTAATCATAAAGAACCAACGTCTCTCGTATTCACCGGCTCTTGAAATATTGAAGTTTTTTTTATCGAATTCGAAAAAAGAAGCGCCTCTTATTGCTTTTTTGGCTGCCGACCCCTGCCCATGACCCTACGATGCCACATTCAACACGAATTGATGAATCGATGCTGTTACCTGGCCATGTTCCATAATTCAACAACGGTCCCGATTGAGTCATTTGCAGGTACCTGTTTTTTTGCATCGGGATGTGTGGCCAACAACATTTATATCGAACGGAAACCAGACAGCCCAGAGGAAACCCACGCAGAACAGGGGGGAGAACATGCAAACTCTGCGCAGAAAGGTGCCCTAGTTGAGAATCGAACCCAACCCCGCCTTGCCGCGAGGCGACGGCTGCTATCGCCGAGCCAGCCCGCCGCCCCAAAAGTGGCTCCTGATGTTTCTGCTAATGGCCCTCCTTCAGTTACGGCAAAGTGCCACCGGGATGTAATTCGAGAATGCATTTCAGAATACGATGCCATGAGAGGTGAAATGTTGAAAATATCCAACGTGCGGAACGTTACCAGCTCCACGAGCGTCAGCTGGGAGCCTAGGACGTGAGACACAAAAGCACCGGTTCTCTTTTTTACGTAAAATAACCAAATGTGGCAACTGCCCGATGATGCTGGTTGTAGCTACCAGCGAAACGTTAAATGTGTCCAATGTCTGTGGATCGCTCTCCAACAGCGCACCACTGTGCTGAAGCCGTAATATATTGACGCGTTTGTTCACGTGGCTGTCAGGTGGAGGAGGGGTGTACAACACACGTTTTACTTCTTATCCACGACACCGTGCACGGATGTTGTGACGATGTCGAGAAGAAACTAGCAGGCGGGGTAACGGTTTGCCCCTCCCCAGGGGTTTGATGAATTTTCGCGAATGGGGGGAATCACGATAAAATCAAGACGCCGTTATTTTTCCCTCTAAAAAGGCAACACAGACTTGCTTCGTGAATTCCTCCCTCGTTGCCGGCGCTGCGTGCGCCGGGTTTCACCGCCCGCGGCGTTTGCCTGCGCCGTGGTCGACGCCGGCGTCTCTCTCACCGTCGTCCTCATCGCTGGAGGAGGCGGCCGCGTCCGCCGTGGGGCCCTCCACTGGAGGCGGCCGCGTCGGGAGGGGCGGGCGGGAGCTGGGGTCCCCGACTGCCACGGCGACGACGCCGCTGCACCGGCCGCACCCATCCACCTCCCCTCCACCTTCCACTCTGTGCGGTTCGCTCCTCCCCCCAGCACTTCCCGCATGGCTCGTCTCCATGGTAACCACCTCCGTATCTAGGCTCTGTGCCACGGTAACCGCCGTCTCATCCTGGTTCTTCTTTACGACGACCGCCCCCTCACCCAGGTTCTTCTCCATGGCAACTCCTTGCCTATCTATTATTTTGTCCATGGTAACCACCCCATGACTCAAACTCTTTTCCACACCAAGTGTACCATCGCCCAACCTCCTCTCTATGACAACCGCCTCCGCATCCTGGATCGTTACCGTGGTAACCGCCTTCTCATCCATCCTCTTCTGCATGGTAATTGCATCCTCGGACGGGCTTTTTACCATGTCAAAAGCATCCCCACTCAGCTTCTTCTCCACGGCAACCACTTCTTTACCCAGGCTCCTCTTCATGACCTCCTCCTTTACCATGGCAACTACCTTCTCATCCAGGTGCTCCTTTATAACAACCTCCTCCTCACTCAGGTTCCTCTCAATGGCAACCGCCTTCTCATCCATGCGCTCCTCAACAACAACTGCCTCCTCCTCACTAAGCCTCCTCTGCACAACCGCCTCCTCACTCAGCCTCTTCGCCACGGCGATCACTTCTTGACCCAGGCCCATTGCCACGGCAACCACTCCACGACTCGAGCCCTGACTCGCAGCAGCGGCAGCCGCCGCCCCCACTGCCGGGCCGCCCTCCGCGGCGGTGACCTCCGCCCCCTCGTGAGTCCCGCACGGAGTTCCCGCGCGGGCCCCGTTGGCCGGGCTCGGCTCGCTGGCGCGCACGGGCGCCGGGCTCCACGCGGAGCGGCCGAGCGGCCCCGGCGGGCGCTCGCTCTTGCTGGAGCCGCCGGGCGAAGCTGGCGCGGTCCCCTGGCTCGCGGCCGGACCCTCGGGCTCCCTTGGACCTGGGGCGACAGCGCGAGCTCCACTCAGCGACAACGAACGGTGCGCCAGAAGCAGAACGCGCTACCCAGTGATGGGGTGATTATTGTTTGTTTGTTACCAACGCTGCTTTCCAACTAAAATTTAAAGCGTTAAAGCATCAGCTCCGTCCATCTGCAGGGAGTGGGGCGGGGGTTAATTATCTCGTAAAGATGGTCCAATATAAATGTGTTGCTATGAGAGATTTGCCCCATTGAGAAGTGGACAAATTTATCGAAGGATTTACCCAGAATTGGCGATAAAAACCAGCACTAAAAGGATAACCCCCTTCAGCTTGCAGCGTAGTTTCCTTTCAGATGAAGCAAATAAACAAACATGGGCTGGCCGACATCATCAGCAACTGCCAGCCTACATTGGACACCAGCTGGCAACTCTGTACGATGGAGGGAGGACGTGAGCTACACAATTCAATGCCTAAAGAAGCTCCCAGCACGTGGACTGAAACGTCGGACATCATGACGAACAAAATGCGGTATAACCCATCACAGATCACCTGCTGCTGCTGCTGTTGTTGTGTGTATATATTACAGTGGAGAGCGGTAGCGTCGTGGTTGGTGCGCTGCACTACAAACACCGGCGACCCGAGTTCGATTCCCGCTCACGGCCAATACCAGTGATGGTTATCTGAACGGGTCCTGGGCCTCCCCTAGGTCGACTCAGCCTGAAATGAGAACCTAGTGCGGTGTGTAAAAACATCGCCACTGGGGAGACAAAGGCGGCCGGGCGTGGTGTTGGCCACCCACCCCCTCGTGTGCCGTTTCGGCCTTCATAGATGCGCGCTAACAGCACCTGCCCCAACAGTCTGTCCAGGCTATACGGGGGATCTTTGTCCTTGTATATTACACAATATTGGTCTGTCCCGTGACCTCCTGTCAGTGAGCCTTCCACACTTCGCGTCACCTCAAAGTGCACATAGCCTGGCGTGAGCGGCGTGGTGACGTCACCGTCGTTCTGTTGTTTCTGTCGTCGTCGTCATTGTTATTGTTGCCGTGAGTGCGGTTGCTCGCCCCGTATGAGGATGTAGTGGCTCGTCTCCTCGGAAACGACGCGCTGGGACTCCACGCGCTGGCCGGGCCCCGCGCCGGCGAGGCCCTCGTGGCCCTGGGCCCTCGCGCTGCCGCTCATCTCCTCCTGCAGCCCCTCGATGCGGCGGCTCATACGGCTGCGCTGCAGCAGCCCCGCCAGCTGGTAGTTGGAGAAGCTCACCGACTCCTTGGGGTGAGGAGTTCGCATTGAAGGGAGGGTTAGAGTTTGGGTGAGGGTTAGGGTGAGGGTTAGAGTTAGGGTCAGGGTCAGGGTTAGAGTTAGGGTGAGGGTTAGGGTCAGGGTTAGAGTTAGGGTCAGGGTTAGAGTTAGGGTTAGAGTTAGGGTCAGGGTTAGAGTTAGGGTTAGAGTTAGGGTCAGGGTTAGAGTTAGGGTTAGAGTTAGGGTCAGGGTTAGAGTTAAGGTCAGGGTTAGAGTTAGGGTTAGAGTTAGATTTAGGGTTAGAGTTAGGGTCAGGGTTAGAGTTATGGTTAGAGTTAGGGTCAGGGTTAGGGTTAGGGTTAGGGTCAGGGTTAGAGTTAGGGTTAGAGTTAGGGTCAGGGTTAGAGTTAGGGTCAGGGTTAGAGTTAGGCTAAGAGTTAGGGTCAGGGTTAGAGTTATGGTTAGAGTTAGGGTCAGGGTTAGAGTTAGGGTCAGGGTTAGGGTTAGGGTCAGGGTTAGAGTTAGGGTTAGAGTTAGGGTCAGGGTTAGAGTTATGGTTAGAGTTAGCGTCAGGGTTAGAGTTAGGGTTAGGGTTAGGGTCAGGGTTAGGGTTAGAGTTAGGGTCAGGGTTAGAGTTAGGTTCAGAGTTAGAGTTTGGGTGAGGGTTAGGGTGAGGGTTAGAGTTAGGGTCAGGGTTAGAGTTAGGGTTAGAGTTAGGGTCAGGGTTAGAGTTAGGGTTAGAGTTAGGGTCAGGGTTAGAGTTAGGGTCAGGGTTAGAGTTAGGGTTAGAGTTAGGGTCAGGGTTAGAGTTATGGTTAGAGTTAGGGTCAGGGTTAGAGTTAGGGTCAGGGTTAGAGTTAGGGTTAGAGTTAGATTTAGGGTTAGAGTTAGGGTCAGGGTTAGAGTTATGGTTAGAGTTAGGGTCAGGGTTAGAGTTAGGGTTAGGGTTAGGGTCAGGGTTAGAGTTAGGGTTAGAGTTAGGGTCAGGGTTAGAGTTAGGGTCAGGGTTAGAGTTAGGGTTAGAGTTAGGGTCAGGGTTAGAGTTATGGTTAGAGTTAGGGTCAGGGTTAGAGTTAGGGTCAGGGTTAGGGTTAGGGTCAGGGTTAGAGTTAGGGTCAGGGTTAGAGTTAGGGTTAGAGTTAGGGTCAGGGTTAGAGTTATGGTTAGAGTTAGCGTCAGGGTTAGAGTTAGGGTTAGGGTCAGGGTTAGGGTTAGAGTTAGGGTCAGGGTTAGAGTTAGGTTCAGAGTTAGAGTTTGGGTGAGGGTTAGGGTGAGGGTTAGAGTTAGGGTCAGGGTTAGAGTTAGGGTTAGAGTTAGGGTCAGGGTTAGAGTTAGGGTTAGAGTTAGGGTCAGGGTTAGAGTTAGGGTCAGGGTTAGAGTTAGGGTTAGAGTAAGGGTCAGGGTTAGAGTTATGGTTAGAGTTAGGGTCAGGGTTAGAGTTAGGGTCAGGGTTAGGGTTAGAGTTAGGGTCAGGGTTAGAGTTAGGGTCAGGGTTAGAGTTAGGGTTAGAGTTAGGGTCAGGGTTAGAGTTATGGTTAGAGTTAGGGTCAGGGTTAGAGTTAGGGTTAGGGTCAGGGTTAGGGTTAGAGTTAGGGTCAGGGTTAGAGTTAGGTTCAGAGTTAGAGTTTGTGTGAGGGTTAGGGTGAGGGTTAGAGTTAGGGTCAGGGTTAGAGTTAGGGTCAGGGTTAGAGTTAGGGTCAGGGTTAGAGTTAGGGTCAGGGTTAGAAGTTAGGGTTAGAGTTAGGGTTAGGGTGAGGGTTAGAGTTAGGGTCAGGGTTAGAGTTAGGGTCAGGGTTAGAGTTAGGGTCAGGGTTAGAGTTAGGGTCAGAGTTAGAGTTAGGGTCAGGGTTAGAGTTAGGGTCAGGGTTAGAGTTACGGTCAGAGTTAAGGTCAGGGTTAGAGCTATGGTCAGGGTTAGTTAGGGTCAGGGTTAGAGTTAGGGTCAGAGTTAAGGTCAGGGTTATAGTTGGGTTAGGGTTAAGGGTTAGGGTTAGGGTCAGGGTTAGAGTTAGGGTCAGGGTTAGAGTTAGGGTCAGGGTTAGAGTTAGGGTCAGGGTTATAGTTAGGGTCAGAGTTAAGGTCAGGGTTATAGTTGGGGTTAGAGCTCATCGCATCACTGCTCTGCTCACCTCGGGCATGGCCTGGAAGAGGGTCCGGCGGCGCTTGTGAGCCTCGCGCAGATCCGTGAGCAGCTCGTGCTGGATCTCGCTCGGGAGAGACTTGAAGTCGGACGAATCCACGTCCACGGAGCCTGGGTCCTCCTCAAACTTCAGCCAACGCAGATGCATGGATCACCCGCCGGACTCCGCACAAAGACAAAGATCCCCCCCCCGTATAGCCTGCACAGACTTTTTGGGGTAAGTGCTGTTAGCGAGCTGCTATGAAGGCCGGAATGGTACACGAGGAGGTGGGTAGCCAGCAGCACGCCCTTTTTCTCCCTAGTGGCGATGTTTACACAACGCACTAGTTACTCATTTGAGACTGAGTCGCCCTAGGGGAAGCCGAGGACCGTTTAAGGTAATCATCACTGGTGTTGTTGGCCGTGAGCGGGAATTTAATTCGGGTCCTGGGTTCATAGTGTAGCGCGCTAAGTGGTTAAGTACAATGGCGTGTGTATGCGCGTGTGCACACACGCACACACCACCACCCGCCGGTCCGGTTACTGGAACCAAAAACAGACCTCCTGCCCAAGCCCTACCAGCGCGTCTCAAACATTTGAAGGCCACTTAATCACGGTTACCCACAAGTACCCACCGCTCACCAGCCACCTGGTGCACACCACCAACCAACACCTACCAAGTACGTGTAACAAATTCCGCCAACACCTACCAGCGCGTCAAATCAAGACCCCCGAAACGTGAAAGCTCACCGAATCACAAGGGTGAATTGTTAAAAAACCAACCCCTGATCCTTCCTGAACCCTACTCGATCACCTCCTGCACCTGCAGGAATCTGCACGTGAATGCATTCCCACGCCGAAGAGAGCTCCGTCACCTGAAGCTGATACTGCCACGTGGCTGGGTCGGCCCTGCCAACTTCATCCACCTCCTCCACTTCCTCCTCTGACGATGAGCTGAGGGCACAGCCATGCACGCACTCTAGCTTGCGTGCACACTCAACAACACACGAATACACTCGCGAGCACACAGCATGACGAGCACTGCACACGCTGTCACGCACACACACACACAAACAAAACAAAGATCCCCCACATAGCCCATAACAGACTGTTGGGGCAAGTGTTGTTAGTGAGCACCTATTAAAGCCGGCATTGCACATAAGGGCACCCTGGTCATCTTTTTGCCCCCAGTGCTGATGTTACACACCGTACTCATATGAGGCTGAAACGACATCAGGGAGGCCCAAGACCGGTTCAGATATTCATCACCGATGCTCGCCGTGAGCAGGCATCGAACTCGGGTCGCTGGGTTAGGAGTGCAGCACGCGAACCCACTGCGCCGCGGCTCCCCACACACAGTAACTACACTCACCAACGAGCATTTTAACTTGCATATACCCTCGTGAACACACAAACCCACTAGCACGCGCACTAATAAGTTCACGAGCGGACAGCTTTCTCGGCACACATTCTCAGAATAGACACCCTCATTATTAAACGCAGTGACCTCCTCCTGTAAAGCACTACCAGGCTGTTGGGGCAAGTGATGTTCGCGAGCGACCTGCGAACACGGGCCGTTTGCTGACACGTCGGACCGACGATGGCTCCCCGAGAGAAGCTTCGTCATCATATCCGCGTCTTCGTGAGGCTCGGGAGACCAATACCGGAGGCGCGCCAGCGACCGCGGAAACCGCCTAACGCGAAGGCTGAAGAGGCGGCGCGTGGAGGGAGCCTAACACGCCGTCGCGCGTCGGGCTTTCAAAAAAGTTCAACGCCGTCGTGCGGCGCGGAGGAACGCCACTCAGGGACGGTGCCTTGCGCTATCCCTGCCCGGTCGGTGCCTCGACACGCGCCGGAGCCCCCGGGCTCCACCGCGTGCGCTTCCCTCACCTGCGCGGGAGCTGGGGCAGCGCCGGCAGCTTGAAGAAGTCGGCGTCGGCCGTTCGGTCCGCGGCGCCACGTGCGGAGCGCACCCTGCCGCCCCCACGGACAGATCCGGTTAGAGCCGCACGCGACAAGTCACCTTCTGTAGACCCTACGCTACGGACCTTGCCGCCTCTTCGGACAAATCCCCCCAAAGCGCGCGTTTATAAACGTACAGGGGAAAACCGGAGAACCAGGAGAAAAACCCCACGTGACCACGGGGAGAGAGACACGCAAACCCCACATGCACAGGCGTCAGGGTCGGGGATCGAACCCACGACCTGCCCATACGGGGCGAGGTAGTTAACACGCACCTCTCCCTGCCCAGCACGGCGCCCACGGCCTCCTTCTTGAGCAGCACCTTCATGAGGCGTTCGGCCGCACGCGACGAGTCTCGCTCGGCGTCACCCTTGCGCTGCCGCCGCACATCCTGCGGCGGGACGATAGTGACGCACGGGGAGGCGGGCGGTAACCTTTCAAAGAAGAAGAGCCGTTCGCTTTTTTTGTCTTTCGAGCGAAATAGTTCGAGAGACGCATCACACGCACCGCTACTTGTACACAAACACGGCAGCGGCTGTACAGCAGATGACAACAACACATTCGATTAGTTATTCTTTCACAATAGGCAGTTTGACTGAACATTTTGTCGTCACCGAGACATTCCACAGTGATCCATTCCCCGGCATATTTGATCAATAATCTTTACGTTAAATAATGTAAAAGAATACAAGTAAAAAAAATAAACGGCTGCCTGCAAAGGGGCAGCCAAAGAGCCACCAAGGGGGCAGCCAAAATACCGTGCTACTTGAGGAGTTGGGTGCCCTGGTATGTCAGCTTTCTGAGTAAAAACCCCAAAATTTCCATGAAGGGCAGCTGAAACTCCTTTTACAGCTTGTAAAAAGGTGACTGATATCGCATTAGATTAAGATGAGGAGCCTCACCAGAGTTCTCCTCTTAAGGAGCGGCGCGGCGCCGTCGAACACGAACACGGGCTTGATGCCGTAGAAGAGCAGCTTGCAGACGCGGTGGAAGAGCGTGACGAGGTGAGCCGCCTTGATGGGGTTGCCGTGGCGGTCGCGCACCCCCCGCACCGCCTGGTTCATCCAGATGCTCACGTCTGCCTGAGTCAAGGGGACGCTCCTGCAGCAGACGGGGCACGCAGCCCCCACACTCGCGCTGAGACTAATCGCCAAGGTCATTATCCCCATCATGACCTTGGCGATAGATCCTAGTCCTAATCATAAACCTTGCCAAAAACACAGCCCCTGGCCAAAAACTTTACCCATTTAGCACTACCCCCTAGCCTTAACCCTCGCATTAAACCTTGCCCTGAATCTATCTTTTTATCGTATCCCCGAATCCAAAACCCACTGTGCTTCTCACATCAACTATGATCCATGCGGTGTCTTGGGAAGCGATTAACCGTGGGTGATGACGGTGGCAGCGAGAGCTCTCGGCCGTTACTCAAGAGGATACCGACTGCCAGGACCTTCCCCTTCAGAGACTCCAGGTCGACGGGTCTCCCGGTGGAGTCCAGCAGGGTCCACAGTCCCTTAACTCCCATGGTGAGGCCTGCACACGACAATACCACCAGCACCACCACCATCGTTTCAACCAGAATCAAGAGCAGCAAAACTTTGCAGCCTTCGTCAGCATCACCAGGACCATCATCATCATCATCAGCAGCAGCACATCACCACCACCATCATCAACAACCTTACCACCATCAACATCAGCAACACCATGAAACATCGCCGGCATCACCATCAGCACCTACACAGCCATCATCAACAAGAACAGCAACCGCAAAGCCATCACCAGAATCTGCGAAAACAATTACCATTACCACCACCATTGACAGCATAACCACTACCAACAGCACCTTCACAGCCATGAATGACTACAATCACCAGAATCTGTAACCAGCACCAATGGCACAATCACCACCACCACCTAATGAACGATCATTACCACCATCAACGCGAATCCATAGCATCATCAACTCCATCTCCACATCAGCGGAATTGTCATCAACAGAACCAACAGGACCATTATAACTATCGTAGGCAAAGACAAAGATCCCCCATATAGCCTTGAACGGACTGTAGAGTCAAGTGCTGTTAGCGAGCACCTCTGAAGGCCTGAACGGTTCACGAAGAGGTGAGTGGCTAGCACCACGCCCGGCCGCCTTTGTTTCCCCAGTAGCGATGCTTTTACACTGCACCAGGTACTCATTTGAGGCTGAGTCGACCTAGGGGAGGCCCAAGACCGGTTCAGATAATTGTCACTGGTGTTGGCCGTGAGCGGGAATTGAACTCGGATCGCCGGGTTCATAGCGCAGCGCACCAACGGCTACACCACCGCTCCCCACTATCATAGGCACCATGATCACCACCATCATCATCATCAGCCGGTGTGAAGGTAGTGTTTAGAGAACTCGCTCCGTACACATGTACAAGTGCAGCCATTTGTCAATCCACTGCTAGATGATGGAGGGGGGTTAACGGTGCAGCAGGTGTTAATCCAAGGCCGTAGCCATGGAGTCAACATTGGGGGGGACCAAATCTTCCAGGGGGTCTGGGGGTCCCCCCCCCGACAAAAAAAATCTAAATTTGAAAACGAATTTCCTGCCTAAAATATAAAAAATTAACTAACACATAGGATGGATTTTTTTATATTTAACAATGTCTAATAGTGTATTGTATTACATTGCTCTGTTTTTTTTACCTTTTATTGTTTCATTGTATGTAATGGCAGAGATTTGGGATTTATAAAGTACAACCATAACCACAATCATATAAACAGAAATCTATTTTATAGCAATATATTGGGGGGCGACATTTTGAGCATATTTGAATATTGGGGGAGATGTGTCCCCCACAATATATTATAACTAGCTTTACTACCCGGCCGCCTTTGTCTCCCCAGTGGCGATGTTTACACGTCACACCAGGTACTCATTTCAGGCTGAGTCGACCTAGGGGAGGCCCAGGACCGGATCAGATAATCGTCACTGATGTTGGCCGTGAGCGGGAATCGAACCCGGGTCGCCAGGTTCATAGCGCAGCGCACTAACCACTACACTGCCGCTCCCCACACAGATACACAACAACAACAACTGCCATTCGCCACTAAGTGGCGGTGACGTCACCACGACGCTTGTGCCAGGCTATGTGCACCCTGAGGCCACGTGAAGTGTCGAACGCCCGCTGGCAGGAGGTCATGGGGCAGACCCAGGTGCCACGGGTCGACTGACTGAGATGACTGGCTGATACACCACCTGTGCCCCCTACTGTGCCAACCTGCTGTGCTTTAGCCACCCGGCGCTCCGCTCGTTGTTCTGAGCGTCGCTCCTCCGCCCTCCGTTGTTGTTGGAGGGCGACTACCTCCAACTGCCCAGTAGCGTCCTTCACGAGCCTCCTCCACAGAGGCCGATCTTGACACCGCTGGTACCAGTCATCGGCAAGTCCACTCAGCTCCACGTCCTCCTGTACCACATCACTCCATCTCTTCTCTAGCCCGTGCCGCGCCCGCTTAGCCCCCTCAATCCGGCCGAACAAAAGCTGTTTCGGCATGCGGTGGCTGGGCATGCGGGCTACATGACCCAGCCATCGCAGCCTTCCCCGCCGGAGGAGCTCACCGATGGGACCTTGCCCAGATCTTTCAAGGATTTGTGAGCTCCTCACACAATCCAGTCTGGTTAAACCCAGGATGGATCGTAGGCAGGCCAGCCTAAATGTTTCTAACCGGCGAAGATGTTCCATTAGGGGGGTCCACGTTTCGCAAGCGTAGAGAAGGGAGGGAATGACCGTGGCCGAGAAGACCTGAAGCTTAGTGCGGAGCGACAGACCAGGTAGCTTCCACACAGCGTTACGCAACCGATTAAAAGATATTGCCGCTCGACTGATTCGGAGTGAGACCTCTGCTGTTAAACTGGAGCCAGTCATAAGCACACTGCCCAGGTATGGGAAACTCTCCACTCTCTCCACAACTGCCCCATCACCGATTGGGAGTTGTGGGGGTGGAGTGTCCGATGGTACAAAATACCCAGGCAGGTGCTTAGTTTTGGTGGGGCTGATGGTAAGGCCCCACCTCTTAGTGGCACGCTCCAGTCTCAGCAGCAGCGTCTCCAACTCCTCCTCTGAATGAGCAGCTATTACGAAATCATCAGCATACATAACGTGGTTGAGCAATAGCGAGCCATCCCTTGACCGCACCCGGGCGTCGATCAGCCTCCCATTATATCTGTACCATATGGAGATTCCCCCGGTACGGCTATTGAAGGCTTCACGAACTACGTGGTCAAAATAGATGTTAAATAATGTGGGAGCCAGAGGACATCCCTGTCGCACCCCAAGGTGTACAGGGAATGGCTCTGACTCCCGACCACGTAGTTTTACCCGGGCCCGCTCACCATCATGAAGGTCCTTAATGATCGTGAGCAGAGGGTCAGGGACTCCAAAAGCACGAAGAACAACCCAGAGCCCAGGCCTACTGATGGTATCATAGGCCTTGACCAGGTCAATAAAGCAGAGATGTAGGTCTTGCTGGAATTCCCTACACCTCTGCTGTAGCAGACGGACAGAAATATGGCATCTGTGCAGGATCGCCCTTTCCTGAAACCGCATTGGGGCTCCGCAAGCCTCTCCTCAGCGTGCCTGGCAAGGTGATGTTGAATAATCTTTGCCAGGACCTTTCCCGGCACACACACACACAGATACACACACAGATACACACACACGGACAAACACGGACACACACACAGACAGCGTGCTAACCGCTACACTACAATGCATTACGCTTCCACATGCGCGGGTCACGTGACAGATTTGACGTCACAGCTCACTTGCCGTTACAAAATAAATGCATTATTGAGCTCCCCCCCCCCCCCCAAAAAAGTGTATTTTTTATAATTTCTGCATGGTGTACAGTCTGGAAAGTACCCACATGGCAAATTTCAAGCTTGTTGCATGTCGGAAAGTACGCTAAACATGTTGAACAGACACACACAATCACAACTTTGCCCTCTATATATAGGTTAGATAATGACGGCCTTGTATTAAACACTGAAGACTGTAAGGGCATTGCGAGTGAGGAGTGGACACGTCACGATTGTGTCACGATTGTATTGCGATTGTATCGAGCAGTGCACACGAATGGGGCCGCGCAGAGTGTGATGTGGTTCTATTGGGTAAAGTCACGTAGGTGAAAATAAAATAACAAAAAAATCACGACGTTTAGTGCCACAACACAAGCGGCCTTCATCAGGTGAAGGGACGAGACTGTCTGGAGTCACCTACGTGACTTTACCCAATAGAACCAAAGAGTATGGATCCTAGCAGTCACGAAAGCTTTAAATCTAGAATGTGATGTGTGTGTTTTGAACTTCTTTCGCACCGTACGCAGCCCACCGGAGTGATGAAGAGCCACAGGGGTGGATGGAGATCGCCGCGTGGGTAGAGAGAGAGAGAGTGGAGACTCCGACAGAGATAGAGTGAGATACTCCGCGGTGATGGGAGACGAGAGAGTTCGAGTAAGGAAGAGGAGAGACGCCGGGCAGACGAACCTCCTCGCTCCTGCACAAGCCCCGGAACGTGAATCCGCGACCTCCGACCCTGCCGGCTGCGCGCGTCACGTGAGCACGTCGCGCGTCACGTGAGCCCGGCGTCACGTGACGCGCGGCGCCACCATGGCGCGCTCTGGGTTTGCTTCGCTGCTGCTGCTGGACGGGGGCGTCTCCTCGGAGCTCGAGGCGGCGGGGTTCCCCTTGCAGGTGTGTCGCGGGTGGATGGGTTCCCCTTGCAGGTGTGTCGCGGGTGGATGGGTTCCCCTTGCAGGTGTGACTCGGGTGGAGGGGTTCCCCTTGCAGGTGTGACGGGGGTGGATGGGTTCCCCTTGCTGGTGTGACGTAGGTGGAGGGGTTCCCCTTGCAGGTGTGACGTAGATGAAGGGGTTCCCCTTGCAGGTGTGACGTAGGTGGAGGGGTTCCCCTTGCAGGTGTGACGCGGGTGGAGGGGTTCCCCTTGCAGGTGTGACGCGGGTGGAGGGGTTCCCTTTGCAGGTGTGACGGGGGTGGAGGGGTTCCCCTTGCAGGTGTGACGCGGGTGGAGGGGTTCCCCTTGCAGGTGTGACGGCGGTGGAGAGGTTCCCCTTGCAGGTGTGACGCGGATGGAGGGGTTCCCCTTGCAGGTGTGACGCGGGTGGAGGGGTTCCCCTTGCAGGTGTGACGCGGGTGGAGGGGTTCCCCTTGCAGGTGTGACGCGGGTGGAGGGGTTCCCCTTGCAGGTGTGACGCGGGTGGAGGGGTTCCCCTTGCAGGTGTGACGGGGGTGGAGGGGTTCCCCTTGCAGGTGTGACGCGGGTGGAGGGGTGCCTCCTGCAAATGCGGGGGTGTTACTCTTGTAGGTGGGGGGGGGGGGGTCCTCTTGCAGGTGTGAAAAGGGGCGGGGTCATCTTACAGTTGGTGGGGGGGGCTCCTGCCGGTGCTGGGGGGGGGGGTGCCCCTGCAGGTTCAGGGGGGGGTTCCTCTTGCAGGTTCGGGGGGGGGGGTGCCTCTTGTAGGTGGGGGTGTCTCCTGTAGCTGGTGGGGGGGGGGGTTGCTCCTGCAGGAGGTGGGCGGTGGTCCGCTGCAGGTGGGAGGTGGGGGGCCCTCTAGGTCCAAGTGGTAGGAGGCGGGGGGTGCCTGCTTGTCTCTTCTTGGGCCTGGGTGGGGTGCGTGTGCGGGACAGAGGGGGTTTAGTTGGGCCCCCCCACCACTATCCCCCAACACCACCCCCCACCAATCCCCACCACCCCCCCACCATGAACTCTGTCACGTGTCGTTCGTTGCAGGGGGACCCCCTGTGGAGCTCCCGGCTGCTGCTCACTCACCCGGACGCCGTGAAGGACGTGCACCTGAGGTTCGCGACGTGCACCCAGTGACTCGCTTACCACTTCTTATCCACCCGCACTCTGCACCCCACAGTAAACCCATAGAGATGCATAGAGGAGACTCATAGAGATGCGTATAGACTCATAGAGATACATAGAGAATCGAGAATATGTAGACTGGAGGGATGGGTTAGTAAGTTACATCAACAAAAAATACCATAAAGAGATACTCGAGTAAGATAGAGAAAAGTTAAGAAAGTAATAAAAAATAAAGAGAGATATATATATAAAATAAGCATGGGAGTGCAAATTGCACGCGTACATACATTCCAAATGCAAGCTGGGGCAGTGCTGCAAAACAACACAGAATAACAAACCAAGACCACGCAGTCCTTCGATCACAGTGCACCTTAAAATTGGACCATCGAGATACAGAGAGGCACAGTAAAGACAAGTCACAGTCGTGCGATTGTGGCCATGCAGCCCGAACTATGGACCTTGCAGTAAACCACTCTGCACCCCTTGAACGGAGGAGGAGGAACAGCATCACGACAGGGACTCTGTGTCTCTTGAAGCCCCTCTCGTCGTGGCCAGCAGCAGACCTCGACACTGGACGGTCATCAACTGAACGAATGGCTCCTGCTGCTGCTGTCGCAACACGAAGCTGCTTCTCTCTCCCGCGTGCCCCCGCTGCAGAGACGTCCATAACGTTGGCAGTCCAAGCCCACCGCGTGATTGATCAATTCTCAAAAAAAGCCGGAATATTTTGCCAAATTAAGTGAAAACCGAATTCAAAGATCGCGGGATGTTTATTTTATGCGTGTGTAGTGTGCGCAGTCATTGCTGAGCGGGCTGAGACCATGAACAAACCGCGCTCAAAGAGCCCGGTTTAATCACGATTCGGTGGCTGAAACCAGGGATCAAACGGGCGGATCTCAGCCTTAGTGGCTCAGTGTCTCTGCCCAAGTCGTTGCCTCCCAGCGCTCCCTCGGCTTCCCAACTTCACCTCCCAGCCCACACCCCGCCCCCACACTCACCATGCCCCCCCCCCCTCTCCATGCCCCACGACTATATAATCCCTCGTCACAGCCATCTCTGAGACACACTTAAGCCTTTGTGCTTTCGCTACGTTGTCCCCACCTGAAGGACGCTTGTGTTGCGCCCGAAACGTGAATTAATTTAGTTTTCATTTATTTCATTTTATTTATTTTTTTACCTACGTGACTTTACCGAAAAAAACAAAGAGTATGATTCCTTGCAGTCACGAAAGCTTCAAATCTAGAATCTCTGCCAGGACTTTGTAAGTGATCTGCTCGACTTGAGCCTGGCCTTATGTAACGTAGACGCCGCGCCCTCTGTAAGTACCCACGTGTCTCACTGCAGGGCCCCTCCGTGCTCGTGTTAATTTCACGTGCGATGGATCCGCTTCCATCTCACTGCCGCCGTCACACGAGCCGTGCTGGCGGGGCTGGAGATGCATGCGTGCGTGCGCGTGTATTTTTGTCCTCCGTACCCCGGCAACTTCTGTTTGGCTGGATGCAGGTGGTTAAACTAGCGCGGCACGGGCTGCAGAGGAGATGGGCTGATGTGGGTACGGGAGGATTTGGAGATGGTGGAACCTACGGATGACTGGTACCAGTGGCATTAAGTCCGGCCTTTCATTCACATGGAGATCCATAGACACACATAGACTGGTAGAGAGACCTATAGACCCACGTCATCAAGACCCATCCTGTACTATACAATGCATTGTGGTGCGAGTGAGGGATTGCACTTGACAGCAGTCACAATTCAGCGACTCCCTTAATTACCCACTCATGTAGCAGGTAGCCACTCCTCTCGTGTGTGTTTTTTAAAAAAAATTGCGAGGGTTGTTAATCTATTTTTTTTGCATACAAATTTGAAAAAAGTTACCGTTTTTCCACTCGTATAGAAATGTCTGGTAATATACACGTAAAAGTGTTTGACTTAAATTTAGATTTAAAGCTTTCGTGACTGCAGTAATTCATATTCTTAGTTTTTTCGGTAAAGTCACGTTATGGAGAAATTTGAGACTGACGCCATCCAGACTGCCACTCTGCGCCCAACCTTATGGAAGAGGTACGTGGATGACACTTTTGTCATCTGGCCACATGGCCGGCCTGCTCTAGACCAATTCTTCGACCACATCAATTCCATACACCCAGCCATCAGATTTACCATGGAAGTCGAAATAGATGGCAAGATACCTTTTTTGGATGTCCTAATTAAAAAGAGACCTGATGGTTCAATGAGCCACTCTGTCTACAGGAAAGCTACCCATACGGATGCTTATCTGAAACCGGATTCCCACCACCATCCATCACAGAAGAATTCTCTCCTCAAGACTCTGTATCATAGAGCCCAATGCATATCCGACCAGGAACACATAAGCAGTGAACTCAAGCACGTACACCAAGCTCTTAGGGCTAATGGTTACTCCGACTATACAATCCGCAAAGCTATCACTCAAACCATGAAGAAAAACCCTCTTGAGGAGCCTTTTAAAACCATCACTTTACCCTACATTGCTGGGATCACAAAAAAGATCTCCAAAATCTTGAATAAACACAAGATCCAGGTCCGTTTCAACACATTACATAAAATCCGTGATCTGGTTCCGTCTGTAAAAGATGTGATCCGGACATACAATACCCTGGTGTCTACAAACTAAGTTGCCTCTGTGGTAGTAGTTACATTGGAGAAACCAAACGCCATGTCTCGGACCGCATTCGTGAACACAAAGCAGACCTTAAACACGGTAGGACCAACACCTCGGCCGTGGCAGATCATTGTTCTAATTCAGTAGGCTCACATGCCATTGACTTTTCCAAGACAGAGGTTCTTTGTAAGCCATCTGGCTTCCATGAGAGATTCGTTCATGAGGCTATCCACATATACAAGCACAGAGACAATTTCAACCGAGAAGATGGATTCTATCTTAGCAATCATTGGAAAGATTTGATAAACCATTTCAGGTCTTAATTGATTGTTCACGCTTACAGTGGCTTTCAGACAGCATACATTATAAAAAAATTTCGTCTCCCCCCTCCTCTTTTCAGAATATAGATGGACTAGTCCTGGGCAAACTGCCAAATCGTTGCGCGTGGCGCTAACGTTTTTTTATAAATAAATAAATGCGCCGTTTAAAAATACATTTATGCGAACCAACACACCTGAAGACGACTGTTTGAGTTATGGTCGAAACGTCGTGAGAATTTTTTATTGTTTTATATATTTTATTATTTTGTTGTTTCTCTTCAACGTGACTTTACCGAAAAAACTAAGAATAGTGTTTGACTTAATTAGCAAAAAAATGAATGGAGCTGTCATGGTGTACTGGTGAGCACACTGGACTTGCAATTCAGAGGTTATAGCAATGACAGGCAAGATGTTAACTACCTCTCCGAGTATGCGGGAGGTCGTGGGTTCGATCCCAACTGATGTCTTTTATATTTGTAGTTTGCATGTTTCTCTCTCCACGTGGTCGCGTGGATTTTTCTCCAGGTCCTCTGGTTTTTCCCTCCGTATTTAGAATCAACGTGCTCTAAATTTCCACGTGATAAGCCACTCCGTCGAGCTATCATTTTGTGGCCAGTTCGCTTCTGAAAAAGAGCCACGTAGCTCAATGGGCCTTACCTGGTAAAATTTAAAATATTTAAGTTTTTAATCGTTTTAGCGGTCACCGTTTCCGATCCATCTGCTGGCGCAGCAGTGCAAACAAGTTTCTTAACCCCCCCCCCCCCCCACACTTTTGTCCACCCAGCAGTTACGGGATAATAAATGCAGGGTACACTGCAGAGTTCATAAATTGGTACCAAAGGTAGCATAACTTGAGTTGTACCGAGGTATTGTTTGTGACCAATAATAGTGAAATACATGATAACCCCACTCATTTGAAGTGGTTATCACAACATTCACTGTTATTGGCCACATGGGGAAATTGTAACCGCTAAAGTAACGCCACCTCTGATGGTACGGACACGTGAAATAATCTGCTCTGGGATCGTGGACTGACCGTGAAGTTGATTGGCAGGTCCCGGGGGGCCAGTCAGTGCATACACGACTCCAAAATTCCACCGGAATTTAAAAGTAAAACAATTCCTTACTTTCAGAATCAGTAACTTATTCTGCAAGATGACTACCGGTTTGCCGATTCACATTTAGCTGCCCGAGTAAATGTGGTGCTCCAACCCCTAGTTTCCACTGAAGTCCCAATGGAGACCGCAGAGCCGGGGCTCAAGAGACCCACAGCTTTTAGGTCCTCATCCTCTGCAGCGGAGACGCCGATTGCGTGTCCACCACACACACCCGGGTACTCTACTCTGCCCGAGGGGTGTTTGATTCAGAGAGAGACGCTAAAAGCCTCTCTGCTTCTCGACACCGGTGATTCTGAAAGCTGATCGGACGTCATCTCCTGTCGCCTGGCTCCCGTGCTGTAGCTATTCAGTGTACAGGCAGTGCAATTGTACCCGGGCCTATGAGGTGGCCAGGTTGCCGAGCTCCAAAGCGGAGGGTTTGGGGTGGGGTGCTCATGCCAGCCTCGCTACGGCCTTGCATAGCGCGGCCGCTCTCAGCTCTCCACACCGTCCAATAGGTTGGCATCCATCTGTTTACAGTGAAACGTTAGTGCCCGGCAGTGATGCCCATCACACATTGTGTGATGTTATGCCCTCTTGTCAATCCACTTCTGAATGAGGCCTTCCCCACGCTGTGCGGAAAGGTGGGTTATTTGACCATCCAATTTTGTTTGTTGCATTGTCTTCTGACTGAACATTAGCCTGTGATTGCCATTAACTATTGGGTAGTGCGGTGGGCCTGATTGGTCGCGGATGATTTATGGGATCTCGAGTTATGCCGTTAGATCGCGAGGTCCTGACGGGTCGCGGGATGGTTGCGATATCGCAAAGTGAGGCCATCGTGGTCATCGATGGGGGGTCACGGTGTCACGCCGACGGCCCGTGCTGCGGCGCAGGTTCCTGCGGAGCGGCTCGGACGTGATCTCGACGGCGACGTACCAGGCGAGCGTGCCCGGCTTCGTGTCGCACCTGGGCCTGCGCCCCGAGGAGGCGCGCCAGCTCATCCACACCGGGGTGCGGCTGGCACGCGAGGCCGTGCACGAATACATCTCAACCGCAGGCGAGCGCGACCAGAGACGCACCACCATCATCTTCCATGATCAATCCACTGCTGGATTAAATCCTCCCCAAGCAGCCGCCACCACCACGTCTCATGATTCTGCGATGCAATAAGTCATCAACACGTGATGCACAAATTGATTTCATTGCACTATCTTCCCGGTGGACGTGCTATCGGCCGCTCTGTTCATCAAGTCAATTTTATTTTTTGCTTAAACACGTGTGCCGCTTCTCTGGCACAAATCTGCCACTCAAAGCGTCATCGTCATATTAATACTCAAATATAAACAAATAAAATGTTACACAATGAGTAAAAAAATTATATTATCTGTAGTATAAGGATGTTAACTACCTCGTTTTCTGTGCAGGAAGTTCATGGGTTCGATCCTGACCCTGAAGCCTGTATATTTAGAGTTTGCATGTTCTCCCCGTGGTCGCATGGATATTTCTCAGGGTCCTCCGGTTTTTCCCTCCACATTTAGAATGAACGTGCGTTTAGAGTATTTGTCTGCTATACATTTCCACGTGATAAGGCACTTCTTTGAGCGATCCATTTGTGGCCAGGTTGCTTTTGAAAAAGAGCTACATAGCTCAGTGGACCTTACCTGGTAAAATAAAAAAGTTTAGTTCATTTATATATTCTTGACCGTCATCCATCATCATCATCATCCACTGACGTAGCAACACACGTGCCTCACAGCAGACAGCACATATTTCAGACATTTTCAGCCAATTAATGAGCTTCTATACACGTGGGGGGAAACCGGAGCACTCGGAGAAAAGCCGCGCACGCGCGAGAGGGACACGCGTGTTCCCGTCCTCGCCCCGCTGACGGGGCCCCTCTCCGCTCACACAGGTCCCCGCGAGGTGGAGGTGAAGGTGGCCGGCTCGGTGGGGCCCTACGGAGCCCACCTGCACGACGGCTCCGAGTACACGGGGGCCTACGTGGACACGCTCTCAACGGAGGTGCGTGCTGCTCTGCTCTGCGTCGTGTCCACCATATGCCATCACCTGCTTCGCCCCTGTTCATGTACCCTGCTTTCCCCCGTCCATGTACCCTGCTTCGAATAGGAAAGCAATCGGACAGGACGCCCCATTTCATTCCTTGCCGCAGGGCCCATGCCGGCCACGCTACCCCACTGGTGCTCGTGCGTTGAGTGAGAGTCTTCAGTTCTACTCGTCAGTTAGCTCAGCGCAGCTATTGAGTGTGCAGGCAGTGCAGCTGCATGGGTTGGAGGGTCTTGGACACTCGGCTACGGGGGCGGCGGGGGGGGGGGGCGGCAACGCATTGAGCTGCTGGCAACGCGTTGCGTCACTGGGGACAGCGGCTGAGCTTCTGGTGCCGTGGGTCCCGAGCGGCAGTGGCGGTGCTCACAGTCCGTGTCTCCCACGCGCCCCAGGAGCTGATGGACTGGCACCGGCCGCAGGTGTCGGCGCTGCTGGAGGCCGGGGTGGACCTGCTGGCCCTGGAGACGGTGCCCAGCGCCGCCGAGGGCCTCGCGCTGGTGCAGCTCCTGCGGGAGTTCCCCGGGGCCTCCGCTTGGCTTTCCTTCTCCTGCAAGGCACGCGGAACACGAGACGCGGAACACGAGACGCGACGGCACGACAAACGTGACGCAATCGAATGTCTTGATAGTTGCTGTGCATAGGCCACACGAACTATGAAGACATTGCACGTGACCCCGTGTCGCGCCCCACTTTGGCCCCATACCTTCTCCCACGTGACCCCGTGTCGCGCCCCACTTTGACACCATATCTTCCCCCACGTGACCCCTTGTCGCGCGCTGCAGGACAGCCGCCACACGTGCCACGGCGAGGAGTTTGGCGAGGTGGCGCTGGCGCTGGCCGCCCGGTCGCGGCAGCTGCTGGCCGTCGGGGTGAACTGCTGCGACCCCGAGCTGGTGGGCGACCTCCTGGGTGGCGTCGCCAACGCCAAGGGCTTCGACAAACTCCTGCTGGCCTACCCCAACAGCGGGGAGCACTGGGATGTGCAGCGAGGGTGCGTGCCATACCAGCGTCACGCCACACTCGGGGTGCTCCACAGCGGGGGTATAAATCATCATGGGTACACCACAGCATGGGTACACCAAAATCACACCACACCAGGACGACACCACTACAGCTGCTGCTGCTACTACTATTACTGCCACTACTGCTGTTTCTGCTGCTAATGCCACTGCCGCTTCTGCTATTCCGTGCATTCCTTCCGCAGGTGGGAGCGGAGACCGCGCAGGCCCACGCTGGCGACGTACAGCCTCGCGTGGAGGGACCTGGGAATCTCCTGGATCGGTTCGTGCGCCCACCGTGTCCTGCGCGCGTGCCAGAGACTTGACCCACCCGCCGTGCAGGCCTCCTACCCACCCTCGCCAGCGCTGCGGTGCCCGCGTGCCGGCCGCTTGCATCAATCCACTGACCGTGCGGGGGTCGCGGGGAGGGTGATTTGACCGTAGCGGACGGCGCCAGTCTCTGTGGGTCGCTGAAGGCAAGGAGCATAGATGAGGGAGCATTGTGGAACGGCGACGGAATGGACCTTGCTGCCCCTCCCTCTGCTGCCTACGAGGTAGCGCCGCAGCAGCCTATAACACCTGTTGCGCGCGGTCCTCACCCATCCAAGCACCTCCCCAGGCCCCAACGCTGCTTAACTACGGCACAGAAATTGGTGCACTGGCTTCTGCTGACAACTGCAGTCCAGTGCCACGAGGATTCACACGGAGCACGAATGCCACAGCAGCAATTGCTCCTTGCTCCCTGTTTGACTCGGGCCTCCACTGAAGCCTCGTCAACCCCACCTCCCCCCCCCCCCCCCCCGCTCTGTTTCTTTAGTGTGTTTCTATGTTTCCCCGTGTCGATCGTTCTGTGTGTGACTGTGTGTGTGTGTCTGCCTGCAGGCGGTTGTTGCCGGACGGGGCCTCAGGACATCGAGGAGCTGGGACGCACCCTGAGGCCTCAAATGCAGCCGCCCAGCACCACTGCCTGAGCTCCTCCTGCCTGGGCCTCCCCGCTCTGGTCTCCGAACCTTAGTTTCCTAGCCTTGGCCTCTCAGTCCAGGTCCTCCAGCCCTGGCTCTGCTATCACAGGTCTCCTAGCCAAAGCTGGTGTCATGAAACTCCGCACGGGCACGGAGCCCTGTGCCCGACTTTGCACGCTCTGACAGTGCATGTGTTGTGTTACCCTAATTTAAATTAATTATTTGCCAAAATTTGAATGCGTTCGACGTTCGTGCACGGTTGCGTTAAAAGAGAACAATGTCAACGCTGCCTTGAGTGTTCGCAGTGGAATCGTTTAAATAAAACATATCAGCAGCATGCGGGGCTGTGGTGAGAGTTTTAATAACACGGCCTATACCAGGCATTGTGGTGATATTAATCAACGTTCCCTCCCCCAGAAAAAAATATATTTTCATCAATTGACTCTAAATCGAGGCATCCCTAGATGCCCGATCCATATATAACCCACAGTGTAATGATTCGTCAGGTTTATACTGCCCACTGGCGTCCAATCCGAATAGACTGGACAGACCAACGAGCCGTCGCCGGGGCAGCATTGTAGCCTTGTGTGCAAGCTCGGCCGCTCAGCTGGGTTGCTCACTCAGAACGACGCGCTGCATGTGTGCACGTTGTGCTTCGTTCGCAACGTGCGTAGCCAGCCGTGGTCCGACGAGCACGGTTGTCTACGTGCGGTGCGAAATAAGTTTAACGTAGAGTCGTAGGTGCCGCAACGGATAACTTTCTCTCCGACTGGCAATGTTCTGCTTCGCTAGACGTCCAAACCCCCGCGCTCTCATCATCGCGTGACAACGCTCTCAAACCACACCGTAACCCTGCCTAACCGCGAGGACATTACCTCACAATCCGTTCCCCGCATCACGCCCGACTTGACGAAGCGACTTTGCAGGCCGTGCCCACAGCCGAGCTGGCCCAGGTGTGGGAGCTGCTGTGGTGGAGCGTTGCACGGCCACGCTCGTGCACGGTCTTGTTGGGGAGGCTCGACACGTGTGGGCGCCTACGCCCTAGGTAAGCGCCCCCCACCGTGGGATATTTGTACGCTAGCCGCGTGGGCTAATGTCGGGGATCATCTCGGACCCTCATTGCCGACCGGAAGAGAGAGGGACTTAGAGAGTCGCTCGGGCTCCTGCCCTGCCTGTCTTGTCCACAACTCAAACGTCGGCCGTCTCCCGCTGCTCAAATTAGCAATGAGAATGGTGCTCATCTGTCGTGTACAGCCCCGAGGTCTGTGGTGGAAATTCCTCATTTCTATGGCGGCAGCAGCGGCGAGTCTCTCCATTGGACAAACGACAAAAGTCGTCATTTTAAGAGACACCAGTTGGGATGATGGATTGAGTCGCCTACCCCCTTCAAACCATGAAATCGCAACCTTCTGGTTGCGAGCCACCGGCTCTACCGCTGAGCCACCTGAGCCACCGGATGTTTGTAATGGCCGGGGACGCTGCTGCGCTCCTGTGGTTGGTGTGGACGCAGGGATCACTTTGCTCGTTGCGTTCGGAGCAAAAAGGGGGCCTCCTCAACACGCATTCCTGAGACAGCCATTAAATGCAAAGTGTCGGTAAGTTTCAATTCAGAATTTATTTTTTGACAGTAGTACCCTTGCATACATAATCTGAAGAAACGCTTCGTTTTTTGATTACACTGATGATTTTATTTGTTTCGTACACTTTTTGGCTTAAAAAAAAAACAACTGATCATGACGACCGATAAAACATTCCACGTATTCATTACAACGGACAAAATAAACCCGCAGATCACCCGACAACAACGCTATCGATCACGTCACACCTGTGACGAGAGAAGTTTTACATCGAGTCTCCTCTCTGCAGAAAAGAGCACGGGGTAATCGCGACGTCGCGCAAACAAAACGCACCTCCAGCGGAGGGGGCAGCCGGGCCATTCGGGGCGTTCAAGTCCGGGGCGAAACACGGAATTAACCCAGATCGACCACACTGCCTGCTATAACCTCCCTCAACCACAGTTCCCTGCTCAACTCGCCACTCCCTGCACCACCCTCCCTGCCCTAACCCCCCTGCTCAATCACAATTCCTTGCATCACCCTCCCTGCCCAATCACCACTCCCCCGCACTCCTCTCCCTTGCGAGTCACTGCACTCATCCCCAGCCGCACTGCGCTCGGACTCCCAGCCCTAACAGACCGCACACCGGTAGTAGCTGCAGCGGTCTGGAGCGTGCAGTCTCTCTTTTTTTTATTTTGGCTGTACGAGCGAGCCACGCCCGAGCCGTGCCAAGCCAGCCTGGTGCGCGTCTGGAGGCGCCACGCTTTCCCACCGCAGAACCCCCACCCCCACCCACCCCGAGCCGTGTCGGTGACGCGTCCTTAGCCCTGCACCCTGGCTCTGCTTGGGCCCCGGTCTAAAAAAATTCAGACGTCTTCTTGGGGAGGACCAGCAGAGCATCACTGTTTGCTTTGGGCTCTGCACGGCAAAAAAAAAATCCGGTGGAAAAATCACCCCCCCGCGCGCTGGCCCGGCTCCAACGTGCCAGCGGGAAAAGGGGTGAAATTGTCACCTCAATACAAAGCAGACTGGTTATGACGGTATTTCGCTGTAAATAAGGCCCTCAAAAATATGTATTTCAATATGAAATGTTTGCAATGCTCCGAATGTGGCAAAAGCCCTAATGTCCTGTGTGAGAGTGTGTGTGTGTAAGGTGTGCGGATGAGCAAGTGACCGCCCCCCCCTACCCCCAACGCATGTTCACACAGTGTTAAGATTTTTTTTTCTGCTCGAATGCTCCATTCCCCCCCCCCCCCGCGTCTTATCAAGACACCGCTTGACTCTGTGCTATAGAAACCAAGTCGCGCTTCTTCACGAGGGGAGGAACGACGTATGGGGTGCGCGTGGCTTCGGACCCTGGGGTCAATGACAATCGTAGCTTGCGCCATCCGCAAGGGGTTGCGATCGCGGATTATATAAGACCCTCGGCAAAGTAAGACGCACGCCAAATTTGTAGGCCCCGGCGCCAATCGAGTTGCGCAAAAAAACTGATCTCGCTTAATACACGCGTGCACCTACCGGATTTATCCGAAGAGACACGCACCCCCCCCCCCCACCTGCCCAGCTTTTGCTTTGAAATACAGGCAAAAAGGTGGGTCTTATACTCCAGAGAATGCGGTAATTGTAAGTGCTGTGGATCTTATAATTGACCTTAGGTCCGATTGTTACCCCCCGCCCCGCTACCCCCCTCCTGAATCTCCTCTCTTCCAGGATGGGGCCCTTACGCTCCCATGATGACACAAGGACCGCACAAGACAGAGCGCTAAAAATCCGGTGTCCGATCGGTGCATCTGCTCCGCAGCCCTCTCACAATGCGCGCCCACATTCTCCTCCTTGCACTCCGGCTCAACGTTTAGACCCACACTTAGCTTAGCGAGCTCGGCGGCTCGTTATTAAGTCAGCATAGTGCATTACTCAAAACATCTACGGTACCCTATTTACATATAAAAAAACACACACACACTCGCATACATACACGAAACGTGTCGTGTCAACCGGCACGAACCGGTTACAAAAAGACAACGCACGAGACCAGACGGGCGGCCGGAGGGCTGCAGATGCGCCAGGGCGCGCTGCACGATGTCACCTTGTGCAAGCTGGGCCTGCCCACGGCAAGGATAGCCGTGACAGAGAGGCTAGAGAGGCCAGGTTGTCGACTCCGCCAGACAAATACCACTCGCAACAACAAATCCCAACCACTACCCCAGATCAACCCCCACCACTTACTGAAAACCCCGCCAAAAAAAAACAGTGTCAAAACAATCCGTATCATTTTGTGACGACACCTGGCCTGGACTAGTGCCGTGACCTATGCGAGAATGGTAAAACGAGCGAGCTTCCAGGATTCCATCCGACTACCCCGGCAGCACCGGCCACGCTCTCTCGCTCACAACGGCGGCGTAGTGTGGCGCTGTCGGCACGGGTGCCCTCCCTTCGGTTACCCGGCGCCTGGACCCCTCCAGCCAGCCCACGGGCTCCGGTGCAGCTGCATCACCTTCGCACTCGACAGCTCGCTCGCTCAGCCAGGGCTCGCAACAGAAAGCGCGCACGCACGCACGCACATCAATCAATACGTCCTGCCGTTGTCGTCACCAATACTGTCCAGCAACAAGAAACGTTGCAGGAGGCTTTGCTCAGAACAGACAGAAGAAGAGCCATTGCCCAGAACGTTAGCCTACGGTGCTTTTTGTTTAAATGATAATACAGCGTTTATGAATTTAATAAAATGTTTCGTCCTGTGCTTGTAAAAGAGACACTGCAGATGCAGTCCTCTAAGGCCCAAGACGCTCGTTTCGCTCGTGCCGATGATCCCAACCGAGATCTTCACTTCCCACCACCCGGGACGCAGCGCTTGTGGGTGTTCGCGGCTCTGTGCTCAACGCAGCAACTCTCTCGAAAATCTCTCGCGGAACTGCTATAGTTCAGCGATTGCCTCCGACCGACCGCTCGAGTACCTACGGCGCCACATTGAGCGAGCGGCCAGCGGATGCAAGCACGCTCCACATGCGATGGTTATCGAACGTCGCTTAATCCTCCTGTCTGCATCCACTCCCAACTGGCGGCGACGGTGGCGACGACGCGACAGCGTCGCCAACGGCGGGTGTGCTGCGCCGGTCGCGCGTACGCGGCGGGTTGAGCTTCAAGCCATGGCCGGGTCTCGGCAGCGCGCCTCCGTCCATCGCAATGACCGGCAAGCAGCCAATGGCCGGTGGCACCCTCTCTTCCCCCATGTCGCCTTGACCACAGCTGCGACAACCGTAGACGCGGAATCAAACGCCGTCTGCTGCTGCTACTGCCGCTGTATCTGCAGCGAAGCCACTGCTGGTGCCCCAGTGTTTCCGAATCGCTCCCCCCACCCCCACCCCGACCGAGTTAAATCTCATCTGGCGCCGCCTATCCGTCGATTGAGAGTAGGCATGCAACGACGCATCAATTCATCCCGGACGCTCACGAGACACGGACCTAATCGTGAGTGCGACAATGACGTGCGATTTATGTAGATGTATGTGCGAACGATATTCCAATGTTACACTTAGGCTGGCAGACTGGACAGAAATGTACAGAAGAGACCAAAACAAATGATATGAACAAGACTTTAAATTCCGAGATACATTTTTCTTAATTCGAACCACGATCCCAACTCGTAATAATTCATCAAGTCCCTAGGGACGAGTGAATCATTACATGCCGACTGAACTGGAAAGGACACTTTATCAACCGTTTTTTTTTTTTAAAACGCCGCCGTCGTTCGTGCATTGCCGCGGGGGGGCACGTCGCGCAACACGGCGACACGTCATCCACACGCCACCGCCGAAGATCGCGACGCGCGGCCGGTTCCGGCGCGAAGCGAAAATGCATCGCGTCGGGGAGTCATGTGACGAGGGGGGGGCGACGCCACCGATCGGGGGAACTTTGCCGAGAGCTGCGTCGATTGGACGACGAAGTCGATTCGTCAAACTGACATTTCGCCTCTACTTTGCGGTCGATGATTAAAACATTTTTTTATATCAGCCGCACCTAGAACCTGCCACCCACTTGAAGGTGGGAATCCCCTGTAAGCCACGCCTCGCATGACGTGGCGAATGATGATGTCACCAAGCCCCGCCCATCATCTCCGGTCTCGGGTCATACATAGGGAGCAGAGGTGAGCTTTTCTTTCTTCTTTCAACTATTTTCATGATATCTGACAAAACGGAGCGACCGAACTGACAATTTAAATCGCGATCAATTACTTGGATAACTGTATTACAGGCCGGCTCTGAACGTAACCTGCCCCCATCACAAAGCTGACGACATCCCATCATACCCCGAATGCTCCCGGTTGCATCCCGGGAACGAAGGCGAGTTAAGCCCGGTGACAGTACTCGGACGCGAGACCACTTTGTGAATCCCGGGCGTCGTTAAGACTTGGGCCGTGATGCCGGCCCGGGAGACGTCAGCGCTGCGACTGGGTTCTTGATAACCCAGCTCGAAAAGTACGACGTCGCTCAAAAGAACTTGTCGTCGATGCGGAAGTGCGGCTTAGTCACGTCGTCCGGGTTGATGAACACCGAGATGGACTTGCCGGGGTTCTCCGTCACCAGCTGCTGCAGCTTCTTGGCCAGTCGGTCGTCCTGCCCTCGGATGTCGGCCAGCGCCCCGTCCGACTGCGATCCCGGCAGGCCGCCCGAGCCTCCGCCGGCGCTGGCGGCAGAGCCGCCGGCCGCGGCCGCGGCGGCAGCCGCCGCGTGCGCTTCCAGCCGCACGGCGTTGGCGGCCTTCACCTGCTCCACGGCCGTCGAGAGGTGTTCCACGGGGTCCGATCGCACCGACGAGACCTTGCGTGCCAGCAGCAGCACCGTCTCGTCGGTGAAGTGCTCGAACATGTTGCACTGCGGGATGAAGTAGTTGGGGCACGACTTGTTGACGAGGCAGTGCAGGACGTCGTCCAGCAGGCCCAGCAGCAGCGCCGCCTCGTTGCTCTCCTGGCCCAGGAAGCCCGAGGGCAGGCGGTCGCAGGCCCAGAGCACGACGGAGCGCAGCTGGTAGGGCCCCACGGCCTGCGGGCGGGACAGCAGGCGCAGCACGATGGCCTTGCACGCCTGGAAGGCCTGCATGAAGGGCGTCGGGATGCACTTCTTCATCTGCACCTCGCTGCGAGCGAACGACAGGCGCCACTCGTTGTCCCGACAGCCGCTGGGCGACGAGGCGGGCACCAGGTAGAAGCCGCCGATCACCTCCTCCTCCGTGATCTTGCCGTCCCAGAAGTGGTTCTCCATGAGCCAGCTCTGCGCCACGGCCGGCCAGCCTGCGCCCGGATTATACCGAGGAAGAACAGTCATTACATTACGCTCCCCAATACGCTGCTTGCGCTTGGTCACTGATGTTACGACAAAAACACACGAGGAACAAGAAGCGAGAAGTGCGCAAAGAAGCAAGGAGAAATGCATGCTTGGAATTACACAGGGAAAGAGAGAGAGACACACATGGAGTACAGAATGCAAGCGGGGTAATGACAAAATTAAAACTGTTAAGGAAAATAAGTGGGTATGTTAATTAATTCTGGAATTACAACATCCGTTGGTCACGTGACACTGGTCAGAGCGCAAGACCTCACCCCTCCAAGCCAGCTGGTGAGATAATTTTATACTGTATTGAATGTAACCGCATCTTAAGATGCTGTTCAGAAACAGTGGGCACATTTATTTATATAGACAGTGATTTGTCTCCGTGAGAGTCTATGGGTCTCTGCGTAAGTCTAAGGGACTGTTTGTATGCCTCCGAGTCCCTGTGTAAATGTACGAGTCGTTTCTATGTCAGTATCTGTCGCAATGTGCGTCTGTGTCTTTATGTGATTATCTGCGTGTCTCTGCGAGTATCTGCGTGTCTCTACGCGAGTCTATGTAGCTGTGCGACTATGTATCTGCGTGTCTCCACGCGAGCCTGTCTGCGAGTATCTGCTTGTCTCTACGCGAGCCTGCGTAGCCGAGTGACTCTACGCGAGTCACCTTTGAAGGAGACGACGGGGACGATGTCGTAGAGGATGCGGCTGCTGCCCACGACCAGCACCATGGACACGAGCGTCCCCTTCTGCTCCACGCGCTCCACGCGCGGCATTCCCCTCTGAGGCTTCCGCTGCATCTCGCCTGACGAGACGGCGCCAGCGATGGAGGGACGGGAGCCGTCGTTACAATCGGATTCACCGTCGCAGAGAGCCGCGCAGCTCTTACGAAAGCACAGAGACGGCGACGTCACGATCGCGGCGCCGCCGCCGCAGAGAGCACGAGCACAACCTCACCATCACAACCCAGAGCCACCGTCACAAGCCTACGCATACGACATCACGGCCGTACCGCCGGGAGGGCTGAGAAACAGGCATACAGGAAACAGGAGAGCCTGAATATACTGGTGGTGCCAGGCCAGATGCACTCGGACGCCGTCACGTGAAGTGCAAAAGGTTCTTGCTGTCGGCAGGTGGTCACGGGACAGCCCCGGGTGCTATGGGTTGACTGACAGATGTACCAGCTGCCGCTCCCTATCGTGCCAACTTGCTGCGTTTTCAGCTGCCCAGCGCTCTGGAGACGGGGCCACGCACACTCACGCAAGCGCACGCACGGGACGCGCGCACGAGTTGCATGCGTCGTACGGAGGGGGGTGTTTTACCCACCGAGCACGACCTCCACGGAGCGGTGGAACCAGTCGGCCACCTTGAGCGGCGAGAAGAAGTGGTTGGTGGCGCCGTTGGGGTGCTCCACCGTGGTGCAGCAGCCGCGCCACTTGCTGATGGTGGCCTCGTCGAAGAGGCGCAGGCTGAGCCACGAGTGGCACGGCGCCGAGCAGCGCATGTCGAGCGTCACGGGCTGGTTGCGGTCGTGCAGCTTGAGCGCGGGGACGAGCAACGTGAAGTCCATGTCGTAGTCGGCGCCGCGCGCAAAGTCGCCCAGCTGCTCCACGTCCATGTCCACCACGCCCTCGCGCACGCTGCCCGACAGCAGCAGGTACTCGTTGGCGACGGGCAGCTTGCCATCCAGCTTCTGCACCATGCCTGCGCCGGGGCGTGGAGAATCGCGAGGGTGGTGGTACGGCACAGCCGGGGTCGGTCGGGGTGGGGGGGACACGGATGAATCGACAGCAAGACACTCGGAGGGTGTTTACAGCCGCAACCGCAGCGAGACGCACACTCGACGTCAACGACACGTCACATCAGGCGACATACACGCATGCGATGTACGAGGCGCCGCAGTTCAAACAATGGTGCAAGCTTTTTAAATCCCGCCCCCTGCGCCGCCTCTGTCCACGCAGCAGTGTAAATGGGTACACCGCAGTTAAGGTGACTGGCAGGTCGTGTGTGGTGGGGTGAAGTGTGGTTACCTCTAATCTCTTCCAAGACGTCTGGCCAGCGTGGAAGAGCAGGCTAAATAGGGGGCTCTCTAGAGCCCCCTATAGAGTGTATGTCCTTTTGCCAGCATTGGTATGGGCAAGCAATTGCAGGGATGCTGCACCTAAGACACTCACTAAATTATTTAGACACAGGGGTCGACTATTTTCATCATGAGAAAAAAAAATTCGCAAAGGCTGAGAGACACCCACTTACCTGCACGGATTTTTGTTCCAACATTCATCGACTCGCTCACTGTAGGAGAGGACCGAGCCTTGTTCACTACTTCTGGAGGGAACGTCGTCGTCGCGGTTGCACACGCACGTCCGCCCGCCCGCCCGCCCGCCCGCCCGCCCGTTCACTCACCCAGCATGGAAAAGATGAAGTCCTTGGCTGTGTGAATCTCGAGGGCGCGCTGATCGTCGTACTCGCGCTGGTCGTGCTTGTTGAACTCGTGGATGAGCCTCTCGATGTCCTGCAGCCGTGCCGACGACCGGAAGTCGAAGCCCAGCGACTTCGCCGCCGAGCCGCCGCCTCCTCCTCCACCGCCCGCCGCGGGAGCCCGCTCAGCGCCGGACGCCATCTCCGCCGCGTCTCCCCCCACCGCCTCCTCCCCGGTTGCGCCGAACGCGCGCTCCCCTCGCCGGGAGAGCGGCGGCGGTGGTGGCGGTGGTGGTGACGGAGGTCGGCAGTCACGGGCGAATCAGGACGGGGCTCCCTACGGGCACAGATGTTGGGGCGGCGCCGGCCAACGGCCTGTGAGTAGTTGACCCAGAGATTGCGGCCGATCTCGTCGGGGTGCGTGGTAGCCACGCGGGGTTGGCGGCCTGGATGCCGTCAGGATAGGTGACCACCATGGCGTCATTTCAGCCGGGTCTGCATATGATCGAGCGGTCGCAAGAGCAGGATTGTTTACAGGTATCGTTATCATGTCAAAACGCCGAGTCAACCTTCGCTTGGCGAGAGGCCGCTACTTCTCTGCTGCTGCTCCCGTGGCAGTGACTGGCACATCCACAACCACCGCAATCACACAGTCACTGGTACACACTAACCGTGGTACCACACAATAACTGGCATCCCAGTCACTCATACTATGACAGGTGTAAGTTACCAGTACTCACCAACGCTGGTATCGCACACTCACTGGTATTCACGATAACTGGTGTAAGTTACCACTACTCACTACCACTGGCAGCACACACTCACTGGTGCTCTCTAACTCTGCGATCTCTTTAACACGTTCCCAACTAACAGTGACGGCGGTACTGCTGGTGGTTCAAGCTTCCGTGGTGTGGCCGTGGCGAGGGACCTTGCTGTGGACACGGGAGGTCGCCAGCCATTCCATATCCGTGGGGTGCCCAGAGACCACACTCACCTCCACCGACGCACACGACGGAGATCAAAGTCCTACTCGCACTGTATGTGACTCGCGCACACACACACACACGGGGGCGTATTGACGCACCGATCGATGTCGACGCCGGCGTCAAACTGCGCGTGCAAGAATCGACGTTTTTCAACGTTACTTGACATGGAATGGATATTCAGGTGGTCCCCGCAAACTCTCACCGATAGCAATGCACCATCCTGTCTCATATAATGGCCCTGAAGGTCATTTTTAAATATGGATCTTTATCTGCACTAATGACACTTTTTATAATCCCTCGAAATAGTGTTCATCACAGGAAAATGAAATCAAAATACTTAATTGTCACAACTGACATAAGCCGAATTACTTTAAAAACAAAATCTTCCACCCTGATCAATCCAGTGCTGCCACGATCCCTCGCATTCCTGTGATGTAACAAGCCACCATCTAGCTTCTGCACGTTCTGACGTCCTAACTTCACCTCTGTGGTTGGAGAAATATGATGGGGGGGGGGGGGGGGCGATTTCGCGTGCAATTATTGGTGCCTGGGCTCAGATAAAGAACTTACTGCACTTGAGAACCTGGTTTAAATCGTCACGGGTGGCTGACACCCGAATTTCAAGCCGAGCGCTCGCTTACCACAAAGTCAAGGCCAGCTCACATATACCCGAAGCTTATCGTCATGTTAATAAATCACAGCCATTGACCACACGAATCAAGTGAGCCTGCAAAGCTGGGAGTATGCAAACCTCAAGAACTCAGCAGCTTACCAACAAAAGCACGAAATATACCGGCTTACCAACTCACCAGCCAGTCAACTCATCAGCCGACCAGCTTGCCAGATCAACATCTTATCAAACACTACCATTCTTCATTCATAAAGGACACCTGTGGAACAAGGGCACTTGGCACACCAATAACCACTGCCGTGACATTTGCATCAACGGAAAGTTAAAGTGTGGTACCCACTCTTTATAACTTACCTGTAAACCTCTTATCAGTGGCTAACTTATTACAGGCAAATTGAGACCTTCTTGGTCACCCCGTGCCGCTTATTAATCGTAACGTTGTCCTACAAAGTCCTATCACAAGGGAGAAACACAAACAAATTGACAAAATAAAAAAAATTGCTCGTATTGAAACGGCTGTACGCCATATGGAACTGAAATCTCAATTTGCCTGTACAAAAATACGATTAAATTGCATTGGTGAACAGATTATGCTGTAATTCTCCAGCCAAGGTCCAAAGTAACAGACTTACGTCTCGTGAAAATTACCCAATTTGGTTCCCAGGCAGTTTCCTGTTAATTACAATTATGCCTCATCACTTCACTCAACTCCATCACACACCCATCATCACCAAATATTCACTCACGCATCACATTTCATTACTCAGTTTCCAATCATTACTTCATGACTGCATATCAACAATATCATCTCACACTCTCTATATACGTATTTACTGACATGACAACTCGTCTCGCGAAATTACCGATCCACCGCACCTCACCACTCACCATCAGCAACAACACTCATCTGAATCTTTATTCTCACATGACAACTCACCCACTCACCTTACACCTCACCACTCACCATCAGCAGCAACACTCATCTGAATCTTTATTATCACATCACAACTCACCCACTCACACTCTCACCTTACACCTCACCACTCACCATCAGCAGCAACACTAATGTCAACCTTTATTATCACATCACAACTCACCCACTCACACTCTCACCTTACACCTCACCACTCACCATCAGCAGCAACACTAATCTCAACCTTTATTATCACATCACAACTCACCCACTCACACTCTCACCTCACCACTCACCACTCACCATCAGCAACAACACTAATCTCAACCTTATTCTCGCGTCACAACTCACCCACTCACATTCTCACTTTACCGCTCACCATCAGCAGCAACACTCATCTCAACCTTTATTATCACATCACAACTCACACACTCAGATTCTCACCTTACACCTCACCACTCACCCATCGCTTAACTAATCACAGACTCATCACACCCCGGCACGTACCCATCCATCACCACCTTAGCCGAATCATTTACACGTCGTGTTATGTATATAGTGTACCGCTTTCAAAAGTAAGACGTATTATATGTATATAAAATAGACGTATTCTTAACGACCCAAATTCACCATCACCACCTCGCGTTCACCATCACCGCCTCGCGTTCACCATCACCACCTCGCGTTCACCATCATCATCTCGCGTTCACCATCACCGCCTCGCGTTCACCATCACCGCCTCGCGTTCACCATCACCGCCTCGCGTTCACCATCACCGCCTCGCGTTCACCATCACCGCCTCGCGTTCACCATCATCATCTCGCGTTCACCATCACCACCTCGCGTTCACCATCACCACCTCGCGTTCACCATCACCACCTCGCGTTCACCATCATCACCTCGCGTTCACCATCATCACCTCGCGTTCACCATCATCACCTCGCGTTTACCATCATCACCTCGCGTTCACCATCATCACCTCGCGTTCACCATCACCTCGTGTTCACCATCATCACCTCGCGTTCACCATCATCACCTCGCGTTCACCATCACCACCTCGCGTTCACCATCACCACCTCGCCAATGGAATCTCGCCACTCTTCACCCCCAACCCCCCGTCACGATCGTAAATTCGCGATAACGCTATAAGCAGCCCGTGAGACGACTGGTACGTAATGTACGTAACGTACGTAACGGTACGTAATGTACGTAATGTACCTAACGTACCGTAATGTACGTAACGTACCGTAATGTACGTAATGTACGTAACGTACTTAATGTACCGTACCGTAATGTACGTGTGTGTTGAACTTATTTCGCACGGTATCGTAAGCCAACCCTGCTGATCGGAGTAGTGGTAGTAGTGGTAGTGGTGGTGGTAGTGGTGGTGGTAGTAGTGGTGGTAGTGGTGGTGGTGGTAGTAGTGGTGGTAGTGTTGGTAGTAGTAGTGGTGGTGGTAGTGGTGGTGGTAGTGGTGGTGGTGATAGTGGTGGTGGTAGTGTTGGTAGTAGTGGGGGTGGTAGTGGTGGTAGTAGTGGTGGTGGTAGTGGTGGTAGTAGTAGTGGTGGTGGTAGTGGTGGTAGTAGTGGTGGTGGTAGTGGTGGTAGTGAGGGTGGTAGTGGTGGTGGTAGTAGTGGTGGTGGTAGTGGTGGTAGTAGTGGTGGTGGTAGTAGTGGTGGTGGTAGTAGTGGTGGTAGTGGGGGTGGTGGTGGTAGTAGTGGTGGTAATAGTGGTAGTAGTGGTGGTGGTAGTGGTGGTAGTGGTGGCAGTAGTGGTGGTCATGGTGGTAGTGTTGGTGGTAGTGGTGGTAGTAGTGGGGGTGGTAGTGGTGGTGGTAGTGGGGGTAGTGGGGGTGGTAGTGGTGGTAGTAGTGGGGGTGGTATTGGTGGTAGTGGGGGTGGTAGTGGTGGTAGTGGGGGTGGTGGTGGTAGTAGTGGTGGTAGTGGTGGTAGTGGGGGTGGTATTGGTGGTAGTGGGGGTGGTAGTGGTGGTAGTGGGGGTGGTGGTGGTAGTGGTGGTGATAGTGGTGGTAGTGGGGGTGGTAGTGGTGGTGGTAGTGGTGGTAGTAGTGGTAGTGGGGGTGGTATTGGTGGTAGTGGGGGTGGTAGTGGTGGTAGTGGGGGTAGTGGTGGTGGTAGTGGTGGTGATAAATCACCGTCTCATCAAGGCGCCCCCAGACGCCGCGGGTGAAGCCTCTCGCACCGATCCCGGACCCGATTCGGGTTCTGGTCCAAGCGAACCGCCCGCTTCTTGGTCGCCTCCCGAGTCCTACTCGCGACCACTGCCACGCACCCCACCACCTCCCCACCCCGATACGATTCTGATACCGGTCCCAGATTCCAGGTGACTAACAACGATGTCTCAGTCTCCCCGATCCCGTTGTCTGTATCTGACGCCGCCGGGTCGTGAATCGCCGATAAGCGCCGTGCTGTCGAACTCCCGGTTCCTTAGTTCGGTATCTGGTTCTGATGTCTAAGCTCAGCTGCTGGTGCCGACTTCTCTCTGTATCTGATCCTCGTCGCAGTGTTGATCTCTGGCGCCTGTCCGGTCGCGGTCGTAATCTCTGATCCTTGTGCCGGTCGGGTCCCCGTGTTGACCTCTGGTCTCGGCTCCAAAATCTCAGTGGTAACCTCTGGCGCTGGGCCTTGAGTCCTGGTGCTCGGTGTTAATCTCTGGTCTCGGGTTACCCACTCTTGAGCTCTCTCTCTGCTCTCTCGTCCGGTCGGGCGGCTCCTGGTCTCTCTGGTCTGGGTGTCGGTCTCTGATGTCAGTGTTGATCTCTGGCCCTGGTCTCTAGTACCTGGTCTCTAGTCCCTGGTCTCTAGTCCCTGGTCTCTAGTCCCTGGTCTCAGTGTTGATCTCTGGCCCTGGTCTCTAGTCCCTGGTCTCTAGTCCCTGGTCTCAGTGTTGATCTCTGGCCCTGGTCTCTGGCCCTCCTCTCTAGTCCCTGGTCTCTGGTCTCTTGTCCCTGGTCTCTGGTCTCTGGGCCCTGGTCTCTGGGCCCTGGTCTCTGCGCCCTAGGCCCTGGTCTCTCGGCCCTGGTCCCTGGCCTCTTGGTCCGCGGGTCTCCGCTGAGATTCCGCGGACTGCGCCCAGCTCCAACAGGGCCGAGCTCGGGGACCGCGGCGAATATCGCACCCGCGGCTCAGGGGTGGGAGAGACGACCCAACAGACTGCAGCCTCAGGGACCGCGGCGAACTGCATATGACTGCCTCTGTGACCCGTCGAGACTTGTACAAATTAATGCTGCTTGGATGTTATTTTAATTGACCCGGAAAGCCGATAGTTTTAGGGATTAAAACTATTCAAATGACTTTTAACTTAACACCCAGGGGTTTTTGCAGCCAATATTACGATTTATAATTCTATAGTAGGCTTTCACCACTAATTGTGACTCATTACGTTTTCAAAATAAAATCAATTTCGTCTGAGGATTGGCCACTTAATTCCGGATGGAGGAGAGTTCCGTGACAAAGCAACGTGTCCAGATCGTAATTTGGCTTGACCCAAAGCAATCAAGAATTACAAATTGTATTTATATGCAGAGATACAGTCTGCGCTGGCTTACATCAAAAGTTGGATGCAACAACATTTCCTCCAGTGAATGGATTAAAAAAAATTAGAAAGTGATGCTCATTGGGTCATCCCCTACAACTTCAAAAAATCTGCACCCACGTTGCCCATTCTGTGCTGAATGGGCACCGTGGGTGCACATTTTTGAAAGGGCCATTGCCCGAAACGTCGTGGGCCTGACTGCTGATGAGACTCAACGTATAGTAGTAGTCTCAGCTGTGGATGCCATTCTGCTGTAAGCAGGATACAATTTATAACGGAATATATTTTGCGGCGTTGCTGATAGATCGAAATAGAGGAGGCAACAGTCATTGTGGAAGGGAAATTGCCCGAAACGTCGCCCGGTATGTTTTTTCCCCCCCTATTCAGGCTACACACACTGTTATTGACAAAATGTGTGGTGAGTTCTCACGTAAACCCTTCAGCCCACACGAGGGCGCGAGATTGGCAGTCGTGAACACTTCATTTCAATAAAATCACCACCGCCGGTCTCACATTTGGGAGCTTGTTCTTCGTATGGCTAATGTTGATGTCGTGCAAAGTGTTTTCTCTTCACTACTTTCCAGAGCGGGGCCCACTTTCGCCGATAAGACATCACCGGTGTGAGGGCCCACACACATTTGAAACCATTTGGGGGGTTTGTCGGGGGCTGCACGTCAGGGGCCTTGCAACGAAGAACGCAGATGTAGAGCAACAGCCGTCATTACTCTGGGTCTTTCGGTAAAGTCACGCAGATAGAAAGATAATTTAAAAGAAAATCACGGCGTTTTGATCGCAGCACGAGCAATCGTCTTCAGGTGAAAAAATACAGCAGGCGGACTGCTGAGGCAGGAAAGACCCAAAGAATATGAATTCCTGCGGTCACCAAAACTTTAAGTCCAAGATTGAACAGCTGTAATGTTACACACCGCCACAGCTCACTTATCTCTCTCTAACTTGCGTGTGTTCTCTACTGCACGTCATCCTCTTCCTATCACACCTCCGATCATCACGGTTGGCTACGTACGGTGCGAAATAAGTCCAACATACAATACGGTGTAATTCTAAGCGTGCACCTCTCAATGACTCTTTGCGCACTATACTCTTTGGTTCTATTCGGTAAAGTCACGTAGGTAAAAAAAATAAAAAAAATAAAACAACAAAAATCTTTGCGCACTTTTCAGCTTTTGTTCCGCTTTCTTTTATCAGCGGCCCGTGGTTTCCATGACCAGAATTACCCGGAATGTACCAGAACTCGTCTGAATCTCGGAAGCTCAGCAAGCTGGAGCCTGGGTAGTGCAGCTTTGGCACTGCGACTGATGTATACACTACAAACATTAACTGCCAGAAAACGTTTAAAAAGCCCCCGCTGAACAATAGTCCTTGGGTATAGTACGGATTCCCCCAACCCTCACTAACCAGCGTGGCGAAAAGATTTAAATTATACTGAAAGAACCAAGAATAAGTCTACATTATAGACTGCCAGTACGCTCACTCAGGTTAAGAACCAGGTTACAGCCTACATTATAGACTGCCAGTACACTCACTCAGGTTAATAACCAGGCTACAGTCTACATTATAGACTGCCAGTACACTCAGTTTAATAACCAGGCTACAGTCTACATTATAGACTGCCAGTACACTCACTCAGTTTAATAACCAGGCTACAGTCTACATTATAGACTGCCAGTGCACTCAACCAGCTTAATAACCAGGCTACATATTCTTGGTTCTTTTGGTAAAGTCACGTAGAAGGAAAGAACCAAGAATATGAATCCCTGCAGTCACGAAAGCTTTAAATCAAAACCAGGCTACAGTCTACATTATAGACTGCCAGTACACTCACCAAACTTAATAACCAGGCTACAGTCTACATTCGTGGTTTTTTGTTATAAATTTTTATTCACTTTATTTTTTGTCATTATTTTTCTACCTACGTGACTTCACCGAAAGAACCAAAGAATATGACTTCCCGCACGAAAGTTTTAAGTCAAAATTTAACCCCCCACCACAATGACATCCAGCGGTGGATTGACCAAGGGATGCAAAACTCGCACATGTCCGCGTCTCTGACTGGAGTGACATCGATCAATCTATTGATCCACGTGTGAAGAGACGGCAGCTGCCGAGCGAAGATCTTCAAGCGACAACCCCCTAATCACCATCATCATCATTCAAGCTCCTCCACGCAGCATCCACGTGTCAACTCGCATGGGGCGGGGCCAACGGGACGGGGCGAGGCCCCCCGCCCCCACCAGGAACCAACGCATTCCGATTGGCCGCCCGAACGCGAATCCGGATGTAGGCGGGGCCTCGCGGCAGGTTGAGCGGGGCGGGGCCTGTTCAAGGAGGGCGTGGACTTGGCAAAATTATGCAAAACCCCCCGCGCGCGTGGATTTTGCCCCCCTGGGGCCTTGGCTGGGGGCGGGCGGGGCGAGCGGGGCGGGCGGGGCCTCGCTGGATAGGGCGTGGCCTAGCCTGCAATGGGCGTGGCCTCGCGCCGCGCATCTCATGACGAGAGGTCTGCGACGTCATAGCGCCTAGATGCGGGGAGAGTCGCAGCAGCAGCAGCAGCTGAAGAGGGAGGAAGGCGAAGATCGAAGCAGGAAGACGAGGAGGAGGAGAACGGGGAGACGAAGAAGAAGAACAACAACAACGATAACGAGGAGCCACGGAGATGTGCGACGTCACGGATGTCGATCAGCCGCCACGCGAGCGCTGGGCTCCGCTGGGCGCTGCGAGCAACAGCGGCGGCCTGAAGGAGGAGGCGACGGCGGTGGCGGCGGCTCCGAGCCGCGGCTCCGAGCCGGGAGAGCAGCAGCAGAATGAGCTGCAGCGCATGGAGGAGGAGCAGGAGCAGCTGAACGCGTCCCTGCTGGCTCTCACGTCGCACTTCGCGCAGGTGCAGTTCCGCCTGCGCCAGGTGGTGCGCGCCGACGCTGCGGAGCGCGAGGGCCTGCTGCGGGAGCTCGACGACTTCGCCTTCAGGGGCTGCCCGGACGTGAGAGCGTGCGGCCGGCGGGCCCACGACGCGCAGCTGCAGCACGACGCGGTGAGCGCTGCCCCGGGGTTGGGGGGTGGGGGGGTCCTTCGCTGCAAGGCCCCTGGTGGCCTTTGAGCGCGGCCCCTTGAGAATTCACTAACCCCCTCCCCATGCGGGCGGTGTGGCTGCGACACGCCGCGCTGATCTTAATGTATCATCGGCCAAAGTGCCCCCCCTCCCTCTGGAAATTATCTAAGAACACTTGGCGTGTGGAACGTGGGGAGAGGTCTGTGTGTGTGTGTGTCATGACGGTGTGCGAGGTTGCTGACAGGCGTGGGAGATGATGGCGAGTGGGTGAGTGAGCAGCGGGGTGAGTGGGGCCAAGGGGATGAAGAGGTGTTGTGGGTGAGGCTGTAGGGTGGTGAGGCGAAGCGGTGAGGAGTGGAAGAGGGGGGGGTGAGGCTGTGGTACGTGGGATGATGATGATGCTGAGGAGGAGGTGAGGTGAATCGGTGAGCAGGTTAATTGTCAGAGGTGAGGGAGTCAGAATGCACGATGGTCACGTGGGCTACAGGTGAGGGAATCAAGTGGGGAGGGAGGCAATGGATGAGGAGGCGATGAGGTGAGAGGATAAAGTATAAGGGTTGAGGGAGTCGAGGGGTGAGATGCTTGGAGCAAAATGGTCGATGGATGAGGTGTCAAGGGGTTTCCTTTGTTGTTTTAAAGTGTGAGGGACTCTTATGTTAAGGGGTTAAGCGGTGAGGGATGGGTCAATAGGTGGGGGTGGTGGGAGAGTCTAGTGGTGGGGAACTGGGTGGAGAGAGAATGGGGGTGTCTGTTGTGGGGTTCTGGGTGTCTGTACTCTAGTTACGTGGTGTAAATCACGTGGATAGGACAACAAGACGTTTAAAGTACACTCTGGATTTTACCTCGCTATATACGAGTAGTTAGTAGCACTGTCAGAATTCTCGTGAGGTGACCCGGTGTGGATTATATTGAGTGGTGGTGGGGTGCCTTGTAAGCAACGTGAGTCAGTGGTGCAGTGAGCAGAGTGGTGAGTGGTGCTATCATGCGTGCATTAACAAATTGTACGAGATGCCAGGGTGGTTCTCAAACACAGTGTGCTGCACACAGTGCTTATCTACAAAACTGAAGCATGCCTTTCAAGTGACGGCGTGAAGGTGCCGACCCAGGCCAGGTGACAAGCCTGGGGATGGGTAGCAGCTCCCCGACGACTGGTTACTGCTACGTTGTTACGTTGCGTTATTATGACTGCGATGAGCGAAGTTGTGTCTGACGGTGCGGGGGTGACTGATCAACATTCCCCACCCGGCCCAGAGAGAGAGCGGCTGGCAACGCGCTTTGACGTAATGAATGGACCCTACGTAGCCTGGAGGCATATCGGACTCGCGACAAGACGTACTATATATACATGATGCGTTATTTTGTTGCTACACTGAGTGAAGTGATAGGGAGGGTGGAAGGTGGGTGACTAAACTAAACACAGAAGTGACCCTGGCTATCACAAATGATAGCTCAACGAAGTGGCTTATCACGTCGAAATTAATTGCAGACAAATATTGCAAATGCGTTTTTCTAAATGTGGAGGAGAAAACCGGAGGTCCCCGAGAAAAATCCACGCGACCACGGGGAGAGAGAGAACACGCAAACTCCAAATATACAGCAACAGGCGTCCGGGCCGGGATCGACTGATCAGTATTCTCCTCCTGTCCAAGAGGTCAATCGCCTGGCGACACGCCTTGACGTAGTCTCGAGGCAGATCGGACTGACGAAGAGACCCTTCCGAATGCAGGCTTACGTGCGCTCTGCTGTCACTTTGCCAAGTGACGTGTGTCAAAGGTGGCAGGTGACTGATTTAGCATTCTCCACTCGGCCAGAAGAGCACCTGGCAAACGCATATTCACGCAACGAATTAACAATGTGTCCTTACATTGTCTGGAGGACGATCGGACGGATTGTATCCTCACAAGGGTCAGCTCTTGAGTGTGTTGACATTAACTTCTTGTGATCTTCATGAGCATTTGTCGATTGTTTAAATGGTTTTTTTTTATGTTTACACGCTTGCATGTCTAGGAGGGACTGGTAAGTGGTCACTTTTGTTTCTTCTCCATGAACCAACCTGCATTCTGCATGGCCCGCGAACCAAGTCACCCCGAATGATCTTGTCGAATATCGCTCGGAACTTAAGCGGGGTTGAGCCTGGCGAGTGCTTGGTCGTTCAAGTTTGTCTCATTCCATGTTGTTTAGTCTGTCGTGTTCTGTCTCGTTTCAAACGCTTTCATTTCTACCATCTCGTTTGTTCCATTAGCCTAAGCATAACACCCGTATGTAATTCACCAATCATAAACCATGAATTCTCACTCGCACGATTCTACGTGTCAATTGCAAGCGGAAAAATCAATACAGATTTGTATTTGCATTTTTTATTCTTCGTTGTCATCGGGCATTTATTATTTATACCTCGTCTCATCTTGGGTTGCATCAATACCTGCGCACTCTGCACCATGTCACTCTCTGTGGGGGCCTTGGCAGCAGCAGCTCGATCAGCGTCACGGGTAGCTGGCAAGGGGTGGAGAGACCTGGCCAGAGGCGTGCGCGTGGCCTGGTGGGGTGTGGTGTGTTCAGGGTGGGGAGACTTGCATGGGAACATTCCTCACGCACGCTGCTGTGGAGGTCAAGTTAGCTCACAGCGTTAACCCGCACGCACGGGCAGGAGGAATACATCGGCTTCTAACAATGGGGCTCAAATTGGGCCAGGTGGTGGCTCAGAGGTCAGAGCACTTGAGCTGGCACCGCTGGTCTGTATGTATATATGTTGAACTTCTTTCGCACCATACATAGTCCACCATGCTAATCGAATTTCCTCAGTTTAAGTCCCGGTTTCAATCACCCGCGGTCAACCTGGGTTCTCAAGTGCAGTGGGTTGACGGTCCAAGGGCGGTCCCCAATGACTGCACGCGCGGAAAAAGAATTACCACGTTAAACTTGGTTCTGCGATTAATTTGGCTAAGATTCTAGCTGTAAGAATGAAAAACATCTGTTTGACTGTCATGCAATGCACGTTGCTCTCAGTGGCAGGGCAGATATGAAGGTAGTGTCCTCTACTGTATTTACCAGAGGTCAATCAAAGGGATCTCGGAGGTAGCTCTGTGACATCCGCTTGCGGAAGCCGTTCCTCTAACACAGGGTCGCACTGATCTGCAAGAGCTCCGAATGGATTCTTCATCTCGTAATGCGACGCCGATTACACGGTTGGGATAAGATTTGAAAAACAATAACAAAAAAAATTGCAAAGGCCGTGGATTATGTAACGTTTTCCAACGTGTGTTTGTCTTCAGAGGTATATAATTACCCGTATGGAATCCAACGCGTATTTATCAGAGGCCTTTTTACTCTGGCTGGTGGTTTTGGGTCACCCCTCGATCGATTAGGACAGTTTTCAATAGCGCAAGTTCCGAATAGCAACACAATCTCACACTACAGGTTCATTCACGCAGTACATATTATTTGGTGGTTAATGCTGCTGCGTTTGCAGTGGGTGCACAAGCACAAATAGCAAACAACTCGACGCATTTCCTCAAAGGCACTGCTGCATTAAAAGCAAAAAAATATATAACAGGCGACGTTTCGGAGCAATGGCCCTTCTCCGTAGTGCACAGATCAATTCATATTGGATCAGACTAATGAGAATTGTAATGCTACGCTCCCCGCCACCCCCTCATTATGGATGGACAAACGGACAGACGAACTGAGCTGATGCATAAATGCTTTACAGCCTTTCAAAGGAAGGCATTTAAAAGGTTAAATAAACATTGAAATGTACGTATGAATGTTGTATTTCTTTTGCACCGTATGTAGCCAACCACGCTTATCGAAATGCATGTGACACAAGCCGCAGTGAGTGCTGGCATTGCTTCAACGCGGCGTGGGCCGGGGTTTAGCGACCGTGCGGCCGAATCACCTACGTGAGAGCGGTCGTGCGAGTGTGACACCCCCGCCTGGGCCCCGTGTGACGCGTCCCCTCTCCCCCTTGCGCGCGCGTGGCTCAGAGCGAACGGGAGAAGCAGGAGCGCCTGGACGCGGAGCGGCAGAAGCAGCAGGAGCTGATCGTGCAGCTCAAGGCGCAGCTGGACGACGTGGAGAGGTTCGCCTACCAGGAGGGCAGCTCCGACAGCGTGCCCCAAGCCGAGCTCATGGAGCGACACAAGGTGCGGAGAAAACCCATGTTCACTAAAAATAAAAAAGCAGAAACATAACAACAGAAATTAGAATAATATTTCCTCCCAAAAAAATGTCCTTCCTACGCACTGAGCGCTTAAACTCTTTCGTGCATTCGGTATTCGTCTCGTCCTCGTACCACAAGGCTACAACCAATGCGCTACGATAGATAGATAAATATATTACATTTTTTCAGCAGAGCAAAATTGACTTCCAGGTTCGATTTCATGGGCATCCTGCGATGGGACAGCACAGATCTTAGTGAAACAAGCATGGTTGATGCATGGGTTGTGAAACAAAAGGACAAAGTATTGGTACATGCTTCACATGTTACAGGGATGGGCAACTGCTTCACAGATGATCATAATCTGCAGTAGTGACAATTTACACGTCATTTACATTTTGTCTGATATTGTATTTGAGTTGCAGCGAATATGTTTTTGTTAATGGGGTCATAATCAACACTGTTGTTACAAAAAATGCACGAATCATAGTACAAGCTGCCATTTGTGTCCATTAAAGAAAAAATAATACGGTTCTGGAGAGCGGTAAGTTACTAAATTCTGATTTGAATAAACTTAGTTATTTCTCCCACTTATTAAAGAAAATTAAAGAGCTTCTTGACAGTGGCCGTGTCTCCACTGCCTCTGTGGAGAGAGGCCATGAACCCTATGATGGGCAGCACATCCAACAGGTTTTCATAATTGCAATATCAAAGTCACACTTATATTCTAAGCATGCTATAGACATCACGTCCGTTGGCAACCTGTGATTAGCACGGTTGGCTACGTAAGGTGCGAAAGAAGTTCAACACACATACACTCATACATACAGAACGCTGCAGCTGGCAATGCACCACCCTAGCTTGAGAGAGAAGCCCACTGACCGACCTTTAACCCCACTTGAAGCCCTGGACAGAAGTAGCACGTCCCCCTGCCCCCTCTTTCTTCGACCCCCTCGTGGTCTAGGTGATCGTGGAGGAGCTGCGGCAGAAGCTGGGCATGAACTTGCAGGACGACATCGGCGTTCTGTCGACCGAGGAGCTGCGCGAGCGCGTCGACGCCGCCGTGGCCCAGATCATCAACCCGGCCAAGGTGAAGGAGCAGCTGGTGGACCAGCTCAAGACGCAGATCCGCGACCTCGAGATGTTCATCGACTTCCTGCAGGGTGAGCGCGCGTGGTCGTTGCGTCTCGCCTCCGTAGGTCGTTGAGCCTTCGCTTGGTGTCCCCACCCGCTGCTGCTGCTGTTTTTAACCCGCGGCTGCGTGTTGGTTTGCAGAAAAAATTAAATCGTTAAAACATTTCCTTTTTCTCACGGAATTTGTTTTCTTCGGAAAAAGAGGAAGGCCTAACCGAGAATGGCTTGACGACGACATAAGAGATTGGTGCCAGAAAGATGTGGCATCACTTGAGCGTATTGGCACAAGACGGAGGAAAGTGGAAACAAATGATGAAATGTGCAGTGGACACCTACTGGTTATCTGTCCATGGATCATGATGATGAAGATGAATCTTTTTCATCCCTTGACCGCTGATGGCACAGTTGAGATGCATGCTGATACAAATTTGATAACCTGCAGAATCTCACTCTGCATTGGAGTAGGGTTACATTGAGTGTATGGTTGCGCGATGTGGCGATACCATGATATCATCTCCACGGTAATCATATTGTCCATCCAGCAAAATGTCGTGATGTTCGTGTCTAAGCGAGCAGTCGTAACAAACCGGTCACTTAAAACGTTGACCACTGTCCAGGGCAGGTCACGACCTCTAAAAAACAAACTTGCTCAATCTCGTAAAATTTTCAAAAGCAGAACAACGAAAAATGTATTTCAGTAAATCCATGTTGGAGATGATGGGTTATGGTGACACGGTGAACAAAGTGAGGTTCTGGATTTCAATTTGCTTGCGCTGCTGCTACTACAGAGCTGGAGTTGTGTGTGTGTGTGTGCGCCCACATCCGGTCACTGTTGTTACTTCTCCCGCAGATGAGGTGGGAGCCCCACTGCAGCCCGGCATTCGGCAGTGCACATGTCCCGTGCATGGGCAGCCCAGGGCAGGAGCGATGGGCGCCGGCGTCCCAACCGGTACGTCCTCGCGCGACCGTAGCGGAGTCGCTGTTGAGTGCGGTGGCGGCTACGCACGTGGCTGTCTGTAATCCGGCAACCGTGGAGGCAGCAGTGAGGTTTGGTCGATCACCGCGCAAATGTTGCGAAAATCCTCCCCCTCACCCCGCTCTGCACCGAGGAGCTACCTTACCCTGGCTCGCCACGAGAAGGCGGTACAGCAAGTGGACTAATCGCCATTTGTTTCCATCTTTACGGGTGTCGAGCGTTTCACCCTCGGGTGTTGTGTGGGTTTTCTCTGGGTGCTACGGGTACCTCCCACGTCTATAAAACACTCTTTAATTAGCTGAAAACATGTTAAAACAGAAACCAAATTCAGCAGGGACCCTCCTGCAAAAAGAGTCATACGATTCAGTGTTGCTCTCCTAAATAAATACATTTAAAAGATAGAGTGTGCAGGCGGTGAAACCGCACCAGTAGTGTGATTGTAGACATGCAACCCAAACGTTGGACCATATAGTAAACCACTGTAGTCTGCGCTCCCTTGAACGGAGGAGAAAGAGTAAAACTACACATAACTCTCTCCTGAAGCCACCCACCCACTCATGTGCCATGCCGGCCTTCATAGGGTGCTACTCGCTAACAGCACTTGTCCCAAAAGTCTGTTAACACTATACGGGGGTGGGGGGGGGGGGTGTGTGGGATCTTTTGTTTTTGCATTGCTTTGCGAGCAGCCGCCCCTTCAGCTCCACTTGTCTGTTGTTTGACGCCCAGGCCACGTGGACGCGGAGAAGGCTCGGCAGATGCGCGCGTCGGGGCTGCACATCCTCAAGCGGGCACTCACGATGCTGCAGCTGTTCGCCGTCAGCCAGTTCGGCTGCGGCGCCGCACAAGTCGCCGGGGCCTGGTCCACCGAGCCGTCGGATCAGCAGGTGAGCGGCGGCGTTGCAAACGCTCACCTGCCTTCGCGACGACGGCGTCGAGACGTCCTCGACAACCCTTTCTAAAGCTCTCTGGCGTTGATTCGCGAAACGAATTTGTCCGTCGGCCTGTCCATCCTTATCGGGGTGCGGGGCGGTGCAAAATAACTCTCGTAACGTTCCTCCAAAATTAATGAAGCTTCATTATCAAGTGCGTTGCTATTACAGACTTGCTCTATAAAAGAAAATACAACTGAATTGATTCGAGGGTTGTATAAGTTTGAAAGTTTACTCGCGAATTTCCTGATCGAGGGAAAAAGCCACCGTAGCAACATCGCTCCCCCACCCCCCCCCCCCCCCCCGACCACCAACGTGAAAACACTGCTGACTTGCAGTCGTCAGCTAGCCGTGCGGCACCTTCGCGATAACCTTCCGCCGTCGAGAGCAGCGCGGTCGCCGAACCTACCCTCAGCTTGATTTCACTTGACGACGATGACGAGCGAGCGTCCCGCCCCCCGCCCTCTCTCGCCGCAGGATTACAGCCCGCTGCTGGGCCGGCTCGAGGCGGCCGTGTCCAAGGTCCGCCGCCTGGCGCTGCAGAGGTTTCCGGACGGCTGCAGCGCCGGCTCGGGCTCCGACTCGGACGTCTTCTTCGAGGACGCGGCGGCCGCTCGCGGTGGGAGCGGCGCCGACGACGTAACGGTGGCCGTGCGCAAGGACCTGGCGCCCGCGCTGCGCGACCTCCTTTCGCACGGCCTGCAGCCGCCGCTGCGCTCGGCCTCCGGCGGAAGCCTGGTGCTGGCGCCCATCGCGTGCCTCCTGCCGGCCTTCTCGCCGGTCAGGTCGTCGAGGGGGTCTGCGGCGGCGCCGGGCATCCACCCGTGGCTGATCTTCAAGGAGTACTACGACACGAAGAACGGGCGCGCTTACATGGAGTCTCCCGCGCGCAAGCTGTCCGAGTCGTTTGGCTTGCGAATAGACGGCGAGACCGGTGGCGCGGGCGGTGCCGGCGGAAGGGCACGTGGAGTGTCGGCCAAGCACGGCCTACTAGTGGCGATCCACGAGGTGCTGAGCGACCACGACCGGTTCAAGCGCAGCGCCGACTCCGAGTTCAAGGCGCTGGTGTGCCGTGGCCTCAACGAGCAGCGTCTGGTGTCGTGGCTGAACCTGGTGTGCAAGGCCGGCACGCTCGTGGAGGCGCACTACCAGGCGTGGAGCTACATGGCACGCACCGGCTTCGAGGGAGCCCTCACCATCCTGGGCCGCCTCAGCGACCTTCAGTTCGACCTCGCCGCCGACCTGTCCGTGCGCCAGCTCAAGAACATCAACGACGCCTTCTGAAGCGCTAGCAGCAAGCGGTCCCCTGGTGGGGACGAGGAATGCCGTCCAGGGATCGGAGGAGGTGGTGTCTTCTACTTATTGGACTGCACTGTCGCCCAAATCATGAGCGGCTTATTTATACGAACGCGTAGGATTTAGCGGTGGTGCTGTATAGCTCGCTCCCGTGTGATTTCAGGTTTTACCGAGTGTCTTTCGGCACGACGTAGGAACTGAAGAAGAGGACTTCAAGAAGCTCAGGAACTGAACAATCTCACTGAACGTGGAGTAAAACTTTGGACATCCAGAACAACGCCCGGCACAACTGTAAAACACACGGCACGGTGGTTTGTTTCGTTCGGATTGTTTTAAACAATTAAAGGCGTGGTATCTGATAATAATGTTCCTCTGATTTCTTGTGGTGTATTGGTAATGGGTTGTATGTGTTAGAGGATATTCCATGTATATATTCATTCATGAAGATGTCTAAAATACTACCTTATCGTAGCGTGTGGTACTTTTATGCTGCTTACCCGGCTTCAACCCACAGTGACCCACATGGTAGAGTATGGTAAATTGACCCCACGACCTGTATGGCGTGGAGAGGCGGTGGAATGACAAAGGGCTGCACATGTACCTTCTCGTAGGCCTTAGTACAATCAATGGCCAGTCTCAATTCACTGTTGGATGGTACTGTCTGCCGGCTGACTTTCATAATCCACATAAAGGTCGTCTCACTTGCTCCATGTCATGTTGCTTGTCCCAAGTATGCTGCCATTCCATTCAACCTTCATAATTCACTGCCATTCCTTCTCGTGACGCATCTGCCCTTGTTTGCCAGCGCTGCTTGCAATATCCCTGACTTTATAAGCAAGCATTTGTACAAGAACGTAAAATAATAAGTAATAAATGACACTGTCCAAACTTGAGTGATTGTGCCCCACCACAATGCACCTATCCATGGTCAACAGTAATCTCCCTCTTCTTTGGTTCTTTCGGTAAAGTCACGTAGAATGAGAATAAAATAATAAATTAATAAAATAAAATAACACAATAAAATTCTCACGACGTTTCGGCCACAACACAAGTGGCCTTCAGGTGAAAGGAACAGACCTGTCAGAACGACAGAGCTTCATTGAAACGTCGTGAGAATTTTATTGTTATTTTATTTTATTAATTTATTATTTTTTTCTCATTCTACGTGACTTTACCGAAAGAACCAAAGAAGATGAATCCTTGCAGTCACGAAAGCTTTAAATCGTAATCTCCCTTCGCACTGCACACGTCTGATGATTGGTAAACGTATACCAACATTTGAATCGGTGCTCTCTGCCTCCCGTAGGACACGTGTATATACACACATCTCTGTCGTGATTTTAATACAGTAAATGTTATAATTATGATAATGGAGCAATGTGAGAAGCGACATGGTAATTTTTTATTGGATGGTAACATGTACTGTATGAAACAACTGCTCGCCGGAACAATTCAGGGCACCTGTGTCTTAAACCTATTTCAGACGGAGCGACCATGACCACACAAAATCAAATTACTCGTCGAGTCTCTTAATAAGCTGCTGCTACTGTTGGTGTCCAGGGTTCTTCGACTTTATTTTCCAGCAAGGCAACAATATTAGCATGTGTCGGCCTGTGCTCCGTTGCATCATGTCACGCGTACAGACATTTTGACATCGCATTGTGATGTCCTATCGTCCCGTACACGTGAATGCCAATCGGTACCGTTTGTCTTTTTTTTACGATCAGAGGAAACAAGAAGATGCTCGGTGTAGTCGGTACTTTGCTCCGTTCATCATTTGTTTTTTTATGCTTTGCTTTATGTAACCCCCCCCCCCCCCCCCCCCCACTTTTAAATGAAAAACCCAACAATATTTTTTTCTTTTTACTGCTCTCCTTACCCCTTCCCTCTCTCTCTGCCACTCCTCTCTCTCTACCCCCCTCTCTGCCCCCCCCCTCTCTCTCTCTGCCCCCTCTCTTCCTACTCAAGTTGTCTCGTCGCTTGTTGGCCTCGCTGGCATCTCACTAATCTCTTGACCTCTTCTTTCCAGCTCTCGCGTTTCGTGTGATTGTCCTTGCGCGCGCTCGTCTGTATCTCTCTGTGTGTCTCTCCGAGCCATATTTCTTAGCTGGCCACTCCAATGAAGAGCCTTGAAATATGGCCCCGGGTCAACAGTTTGGAGATCCTTGCTCTGAAGTGACGCAGGTCCTGTTGGGGCCGTGTACACGCGGCTCAGTCTTCTGTGTTAGCATCGCCAATGAGAACTATGTACACAATGCATTATGTACTTATGGCGTGGAGCCAACTCCACGGGGTTTTGCCGCCACGGCGGAAATCCAGCCAGATAAAGCTGCGACAGTGAATGAAAAAGAACAAGCATTAATTGCACGCATTTTTAATGTCTGATGCACGCGCGCGCACACGCACGTCATTTTTTAAAAATGCACAGCTAAAGCAGAGTTGTTATTTTTAAGTACACTCGTGAATCGATGTGAATGGTGGAGGCAGCACTACTTGGTGTAAAATTTACTGCAGTCCAGTAATATATATTTTGTTATTGTAGATAGCTTGTCTACGGTTTGAACATTTGGGTTTATGTGTGAGACACGTGACGCTGGTGACAATAAAGTCAAACCTGGCGAAGTGTACTCTGTGAGTCGGTGCCATTTGATGAAAGTGATGGGTGATTGTGTTTCAAAACAATAATCAGAAACAGTTTCGCCAGGTCGAAAATGTTCATCCCCAGGACCCGATTAGTGCAGTCAAGATGCTTGCAGTTATGGACAGGGGCGGAGCCAGGATTTTGACTTTGGGGGGGGCCTGACTTCAATATTCTGAGATATCCAGTGTTTATGTTTTCCAATGGGCGCCACAAATTTATAAAACAAATTTCATTGGATTTGAACGCGGAGTTTATTAATAGGCCCGAGCCGCTGATGTGGCTAATAAGTTCGAAAGGCTGGCGCTCAAGCAGCCTGCAGGGCAGCACACAAGGTGGCAGCCTGCAGGGCAGCACACGAGGTGGCAGCCTGCAGGGCAGCACACAAGGTGGCAGCCTGCAGGGCAGCACACAAGGTGGCAGCCTGCAGGGCAGCACACGAGGTGGCAGCCTGCAGGGCAGCACACGAGGTCACGAGGTGGCAGCCTGCAGCATTTTGCAGCAGTCGGATATCCGGTTATCCCGATTACCGACTTTCCCAAAATTTCAGGGGGGGGGGGCTGAGCCCCCCCCCCCTGAAATTACCAAACCCCTTGAAGCAATGGGCCTTGTGTTGTCGTGTTCTCTCCCTCTCTTTCTTCGAGAGTGAACGAATACTGTGCGGCAGCGGGGTACAGTTTTGAAACTACGGTACATTATGAATGGGGTTTACACCACCGTCGGGATCAGGATCTTTATTTTGACTGGAGAATCCTCTAGGAATTCGTATTCTTTGGTTCTTTCGGTAAAGTCCCGTAGATAGGTTCAAAGAAAATAACAAAACAAAACTACGACGTTTGGATCGCAACATTCTCATTCTACGTGACTTTACCGAAAGAACCAAATAAGATTCATCCTTGCAGTCACGAAAGCTTTAAATCGAAATACAAGCGGTCGTCGTCACCGCTTGCGTTGCGATCGAAACGTCGTAGTTTTTTTGTTTGTTATTTTCTTGGAACCTATCTACGTGACTTTACCGAAAGACCCGAAGAATACAAGGCTGCAGTCAATGTGAATAAGAACCACTGCTCTAGAGCACCTCCCCCTCGTGGTCAGGGAGGGATGGGGGCGTTCTGCCTGCCAACAGCGGCCGCGTGCGAGCACTTGCAGGGCCTGCACCTTTGCCTGCAATTATATTCCGAGGAGTTATTGGGGCAATTCGGAGGACGAACACGATCGGGGGGGTTCTGAGCACGTGGCGAGAGGATGGAGGCCGGCGTGCTGAAGGGAGGAGCTCTGGAAGGATGTTTAGGGGGGGGGGGGGGGCCGAGAGGTCAAGAGATGGACAACAGCGCAAGTTCGTGTGAAGAATTGAAGAGCAAAGTACAAATTCTATTGTGTCACCACGCTGTGTCAGCCCCGCGCGATTTCACTCCCGACAGTGCCACCACAGTATTGAGGGAATTCAGATAAGGAAAAAGGCCAGAACTGGGAATATAAAATATTGTATGAGGGTTTTTTTTTATCGCTGTTGTAACTTTCTGACCCGCTCATGCTGGACGTGTGTGAAAAAGCGCTTCGCAGTTCATCGGATTCCTCCCCCCCCCCAGTCTAAATAAAGATCCTCGTTGTGACATTCAGTGTTCAGGGCCTCCCCCCCCGCGCCTTCCGTGTCATTCACGTTCCGGGGCACGGCGCCCATCATTCCGGGCCCACCTAGTCCATCGCCCTTGCAATTCAGGTTTCGGGGGCTCCATCGTTGCGATTCATATCTCGGGGCCCGGGGGGGGTAGCAATTCAGGTTCCGGGGGTTCCATCGTTACGATTCATGTATTGGGGACCGGGGGGGGGGGTCGTAGCAATTCAGGTTCCGGGGGTTCCATCGTTACCATTCATGTCTCGGGGCCGGTGGGGGGGGGGGTCGTGGCAATTCAGGTTCCGGGGGTTCGATCATTGCCATTCATATCTCGGGGCCCGGAGAGGTCGTAGCAATTCAGGTTCCGGGGGTTCAATCGTTGCCATTCATATCTCGGGGCAGCAGTCGCCTGGCTTTCACCTGAGGTAGGTAGCGGGAGGTCGTCACCGCCTCCGCCTCTCTCTCCTCTCTCTCTCGCCTCTCTCCTCTCTCTCTCCTCTCTCTCGACGCCCGCCACCATGGCGAGCGCGCTGGTTCGGGCCCCCCACGCCTCGCTGGGCCGGTGGTGCCGTGCGGGAGGCGCGGCGCTGCCCGCCGCGGGAAGCCCCGCGCGGAGCCGGAGCGGGGCGGCCTCGGACCCCGGCTACGAGTTCCTGCACCGCAGCGTGGTGCCCACCCTGCACTTCCAGCCCAGCCTGCCCCGGTGAGGGCACACCGTGCCCACACACACTCTATACACTGTCGTGACTATACACACCACACACTACACACTATACACACTACACACACTACACTAAACACTACAGTGACTATACACACACTACACACTGCAATACTCACTACACTACACACACTATACACTATAGTGACTATACACACACTACACTGCACACTACACTACTCACTACACTACACACACTACACTACTCACTACACTATACACACTACACTACTCACTATATACACTACACTACTCGCTATACTATACACACTACTCACTATACTATACACACTACACTACTCACTACACTGTACACACTACACTACTCACTACACTATACACACTACACTATACACTATAGTGACTATACACACTACACTACACGCTATACTATACACACTACTCACTATACTATACACACTACACTACTCACTACACTACACACACTACACTACTCACTACACTATACACACTACACTACTCACTATATACACTACACTACTCGCTATACTATACACACTACTCACTATACTATACACACTACACTACTCACTACACACACTACACTACTCACTCTACACCGTGCAGACACGATATATACACAGCATAATACAGTGTACTGTTTACCAAACATCTCGCGGTGGCTGGGATATGTTTACTACTTCGCCTGGTATGCAGGAGGTCATGGGTTCGACCCCGACCCTGACGCCTGCTGTTGCTGCTGTATATTTGGAGTTTGCTCTCCCTGTGGTCGCGTCCTCCGGGTTTTTCCTCCACATTTAGAATCAACATCACCACGCGTTTAGTGTCTTTCGCTGCTATCAATTTGCACGTGGTAAGCCACTTCTTTGAGCTATCATTTGTAGTCAGATCGCTTCTGAAAAATAGCTATACAGCTCAAGCGGGCCTTACCTGGTAAAATATAAAATACAGAAGTTTAAGTTTACTATATGGGACTACTGCTACTGGTCATACACACATACATTATATATAAAACAACAGCGTCACATGATAAGAAAATATTGTACAAAAATTGCACCACGCTCAATACACCACACACACCATACAAAACACTATACACCATGCACCCTGCATCCCCAGTCCCGGGTGAGAGAACTCCATGGATACAGACAGATGCTAGATGGATGGATTATCTATGCCACTCCGTAACCCACGCCCAAAGCACACACAGCACTTTTCAGTCGAGCACGTGAGAGGCTAGTGACATTTTAGATGATATCTCACTAATCACAACCCCCCCTAGCACTTTACACCCACCCAGCACGCCAGCCACCCTTATCGACATTCTTCAAGCCACCTGCTGCACTCTACGCTGAAAATTTCACGTCCAGGACACAACCCCGATATCAACCAAGGGGATAGATTACCGAGAAGACCTGTGATGTCCTAAATAATTGAAGTTTGGTCATGATGAGACTTGTCAAAACTCCAAGTAAATTAGAGGAGTTGTTGTTATGGGTGTGGTTGTTGTTGTTGTGTATTGTTGCCCTTTTAAAATACTCTAGAATTAGAACACTTTTTTATACTAATTTCTTTATAACTGCTTTTAGTGTTCAGTTTGTTGTCCTTCCCCCGCACCGCCCGATTATCACGGTTGGCTATGTACGGTGCAAAAGAAGTTCAACATACATACATACTTGCAAAAAAAGTCGTGAACCTGTATCGCGAAAATTGAAAATCCACTTTTGGACGCATGGGCATCTCGTCATGTGTCCTGCCACGTGAGACTCACCACGACAAGCTGTAAACACGACTTGGGTTTTTACCCGCGAGTACCCGACCCAATGATGCACACTCTACACCCTGCACATCACTCAAAGCACCCTGCTGTTGCTGCTGCACACCTACCCGTAACACCCTGCCCACTACCCTGAGCACTGTGCACCCAGCCTGCGCATTCTCTCTAGCACCCGGCAGGCAACCTCCGCCACTATCCACCCATGCCCACGGAGCACGTGTCCATACCAGAGTGTCCAGGTGGACCCTCGACCCCTGAACCCTGGACCCCTGCTCCCACACCTATCGTCTCTCTGGGCACTGCCCCTCTCTGTAGCATGTCTCTGTTAAGACAACATGTTGAATTTGTGAGCATTCGGAATTATGTTACTTTAGTCCTATTGTGCTAGGATTTGTGTCTCCAAGCTTTGGGCAACCCTGTGATCCATTTGCTGATTTTTAATCGCATAAATCCCTGATAACATAACGAATACTAAACTGTAGTACACAATGGATCATCAGGAGAGGTATAGTGCTCCCTCCCCCCCCCCGTTACAGACATAGTCAGACGGACAGAGCCAATGTATAAATGCTGTGGACCTTAGTTGGAAAGCGTACAACACCACACATGCGGTGTGGATTCTGGCAGGGTTATGATGCATTGGGTCAGAGGTGAGGAACCCACAGAATCATGGTCTGCATCTGGGCCGTGATTTTGTTTAATATATTAATGTTGGCGATTCAGCTCGCTCATCCAAATGACAATTCATCCTTGCCTCTTAAGTTCTCACCTGGTTAAACGAAAATAAATGGTTGGAAAAGGTCTTGAGACTCTGAGGCTTTCCCGCATAAATAATTGTCACGGTAACAGTACGTCATCATCGGAACTTGCAGTGTTTTTTTTTCAAATAGCGAGTGCGTGTGGTCATGGGATCTTTTTGTGAATTAACAGTGGATTTTGACATAGGAGGGACAGTGTTGGGGTTACGTCACCCACTCGGTGAACCATGTTAACCGATTTACACCGTGAAACGCTGGACGTCATTCCAGTGAGCCGCATGGCGCACATCCACGTGGATAACTTTGCCCCCCCCCCCCGCTTGTCTTGGCTGAGTGACGGACTGATAACCTTCATGTCCCCTCAAGCCCCACAACATTCACTCTCCGTGACCGCTGCAAGGCGAGACGCGCTGGCCGGCGCGCGATGGCGCACGCAGATTTGTGAAGTTCTCAAACTCGCCGGCATCTGCGTACAAAAAAAAGCATATTTTGCGTGTCTATGTGATTTGAGATGAGAGGGTTCACTAGCATCTCGGAGCACTCTCTGCATATACTAAGCCTGGGGGGGGGGGGTTGGAGAGGAAGGGTGGATGGGTGTGCGGGGCTGGGATCCAGGTGAAAGTGCAACGCCAAGGGAGGCAGCTTGGTGAGGGCAGCGTTGGCAGATCTGGAGAATGCACTACAGTATGAAACGAGTCGGTCACTAGGTTCGACGAGAGCCATCTCATCTGATCCGAGGAGGTTTGAAAACGTTGATGGGACAGATTTAAACGTGCGTTTGACTCGTGGGAATAACAGAGCTTGTCGTGATTCCACTGCTGGATGAACGTCCTCCAGTGCCGTATTGGCCATGGGGGGTTGGGGGGTGGGTTGATAGTACTTCACTTAGCTGGTCAGCGCCAATAGGTGAAGGGCGGCGTGGCGGGGGGGGCGGTCCAGGTCTGGTGTCGATATTATTAGTCGCCACTCACGTTAGCTGTGGCCGGGAATCAAACTCGGGTCACCGCATTCAGTGCGCAGTATCCTTAGCAGTGTGTCCAGCGGTTGTCCGTCTTTGTGGGGTGTCTTGCCTCCCCGCCATAGGAATGTATAATTTCCACCACAGGCATGGAGCACCTTGTCTCGCCAGTGCTCTGTCGTCGGGAGAGGGGTGGAGGCGGAAGCATGGGTTGGGGTGGTGGGGGTAGGGGCCATATGTTGGTGAAAGGGCACGGCGGCTTTAGCTTGGAACGTGTTGCCAGACCTGCAGAGAAAATAGAAAAAAAGACAGTACCTCCATTTAGCATAGTTGGCTACGTACGGTGCGAAAGAAGTTTAACATAAATACAGTAGCTCGGTCTGAAAGTTTTTTTTCATCAAATCATCTCCCCCCCCCACCCCATTATTGAATTATTTTTCTAGCCATCGGTGCTCTCCACTCCATGCCCCCTTTGCTCAAGTCCCAGGATCGAGGGCACCTTCCTCTCGCCTCCCGCCTGTGACTGTGCCTCTTTAGCTCTCAATAAAATAAATATCCCCATCGTTTCTGTACAGAATCCTGAGATCCACATTGTATTGCAGTTGTTGTGTTATTTTGCCAAATTTTAACTCTGGCGCTGGCACACAGCGACCTGCTCTTACGAGCGACGTCACGGGATTTTTAATGTCCACTGCGAAGCAGGCAGCGCGGAGGTCGTGTTGCTGTTACGACTCCCGCGGCATTAACCAGGGCGGCCACTGGATTCGAACCATAAACATCTGCAGCAATCGGCAAACGTGCCAGCGCCTTGTCAATTGTGAAACGACAAGAAGTGTTCCGTTTGTTATTTAATTTCCTGAAACGTGGTCGTTAATGAACGTAGCTGACGTATTACACGTTTACACCGTGCCGCTGTGGTCAGGTTACCCATCCCAAAGCTGGAAGACACGGTCAGGAGGTACCTGGCTGCACAGCGCCCCCTGCTGAACGATGAGGAGTACAGGTGAGTCCGACAGCCCAGCAACACGTGCACGTAACAGCCCTTTCTTTTTTCAATCCGCTGCTGGATGAGGGCCTCCCCCACGCCGGACGAGTCGTGGGAGTTGCTGTTTGACCATATTTGGTCAGTGCGGAATGGTGGAGGCGAATGAACGATGCTGAAAGTGGTAAGGGATTGCCAGGCAATTCGTAATGGAAGGTACCACGAGTCTCGTGGATCATCCTTGAGGCTCAAAATGTGTGGGTGTCGCACGCGCGTGCTCGGGCGCAGTCAGACGGAGCGCATCGCCCGCAAGTTTGAAGCCGGGGATGGTCAGGAGCTACACAAGGAGCTGCTGGCGCTGGACAAGCAGAACAAGAAGAGCAGCTACATCTCGGGTGAGACGCGCGACGCACGCTCAGTGGCGCCCAGCACCCGGCACTCGGCAGACACCAAATCGCTGGCGGTGGGCGGCGATTTGTTTGTCTGCCTTGCCCCGGTTGCCGATCGACTGCTCGTCATGCACACGAATTCTCGCTCTCTGGTCCTGTTCACAGCTCTGTTCACAGCGTGATGGTGACAGCCTTGGGTCCAACGCCGTCGCGGTGCCTCGATCACTCGTGGCTACGTGGCACCACACTAATTAGTGGCGATACGGTGACGACTTGTGGCTACGCGGCGCTGACTCGTGGCTAAGCGGTGCTGACGCGTGGCGATGCGGTGGCCCACTGACTCGTGGCTATGCGGTGCTGACTCATGGCTACGTGGCGCTGCACTGACGTGGCTTTGCGGCGTTGACTCGTGGCCACGCGGTGCGTTGCGACTGCCGCAGGCCCTTGGTTTGACATGTACCTGGCGGCACGTGAGCCCGTGCTGCTCAACTACAACCCGTTCGTGGGGCTGACGGCCGACAGCCGGCCGGGCTACGGCGGGCAGCTGACGCGTGCCACCAACCTGACCGTGTCGGGGCTGCGCTTCATGCGCACCCTGCGGGCCGGCGTCCTCGAGCCCGAGGTCTTCCACCTGAACCCGGCGCGCAGCGACACCGACTCCTTCCGCCGCTGGGTGCGCTGGCTGCCTTCCTCCCTGTCCTGGTAGGTCGCCGATTGTTGTGGCCCGCTGACCCGCGCCTGCTGGGCGTCTGCGAAAAACGAGCCTAGTAACTCATCGCATTCCTCAAGTCTGAAAGGAGATTCTGCTTAACATTATAATTATTTTCATGAACTCCCGATTCCTGTGTCATAATCAATCGTTGTCCATAGTCGGTCCACTGGTGGCTCAGCCGCAGAGCGAAAAGCTCATAATCGGACAAATTATGGCTGGGGTTGACTCGGCCCATCATCCATCCCAGACCAATAGAATCGGCAACGCTTTATGGGGAAGATCAACATTGGTTGTCCTATGGATAAGCTCGCTGCAATATTATAAACGCGAAATTCCGACCACTGCCGCCGGGCTGTAACCACAGTCCCGTGCGTATTCGCGCGTCCCTTATGCACGTTCCGCGCGTTTCTCTCTCCCCCCCGCCACGTCCGCCCTCCCTCTTCCCGCTCGCGCCCGTAACGGTGGCGCAGGTACGGCGCGTACGCGGTCAACGCCTACCCGCTCGACATGTCGCAGTACGGCCGCCTCTTCAACTCCACGCGGCTGCCCCGCGCCGGCCGGGACGAGCTCTTCTCGGAGGCCACCGCGCGCCACCTGCTGGTCATGCGGCGCCAGCAGCTGTTCGCGTGCGACGTCCTGGATCGCGACGGATCCATCCTCCCCGCGGCTCGGATACAGGTGGGTTGGCGGTGCAGGGACGCCAACATCGTACCGCACAGAAGTAGCTGGCGCCCAACTGGTAAATAAGTGGCTCCCCTTGTACTTGAGGTTGGTTGGTGGGTGGTGCTGAACCCCGTGGTAGCAGAGGGATTTGGCCCCCAACCAGCAAAACATTGTGCGAGCCATGTGGGTGGGTATGTGAGCTCAGTGTGTGACTGTTTGAGGTCTGTGTGTGAGCGTGTGAGGTCTGTGCATGACTGTTTGAGCTCTGCGTGTACTGTGTGAGCTCTGCTTGTACTGTGTGAGCTCTGCGTGCACTCCGTGAGCTGTGTGTGTGAGCGTGCGAGAGCAAGCGCTGCGTGAGTGTGTGCGGAACGGTTGTGTAGTAGTGGTTAGCGCACTGCGCTATGAACCCAATAACTCGGGTTCGATTCCCACGCATAGCCAACACCAGTCAAGATTATCTGAACCGGTCCTGGGTCTTCCCTCAAATGAGTTTGTTGCGGTGTGTAAAGATCACCACTCGTATATACGGGGGATCTTTGGCTTTGCTTTATTTGAGTGTGTGTGAATGTGCGAGTGGGCCCAAATGCTACGGGTAAGAAAGGCCCTGGCCCACGAGCGTGACACACCCCCCCCCACCTTTCACACGAGGGTCGTCCCCTCATTCCACCCTCTCCCACGCCGTAGGAGCGCTTGCGCCGCGTGATGGCGGAGGCTGACGCGGCGGGAGAGCCGTCGCACCCGCTCGCCTACCTGACCGGGGAGAACCGCGACACCTGGGCCGGGCTGCGCCAGCACCTGCTGGAGCTGGGCAACCAGGAGGCGCTGGCGCTGGTCGACTCGGCCATCTTCTGCCTGTGCCTGGACGAGGACGGCGCCGAGAGCGCCTCGCAGGTTACGACGATGAGCCGGCAGCGCCGCTGGCATTCCGCCTTTAATGACGGATCGTTTTTTGTTTTGTATTTCGCGTCGTTCGTGCAAGCGAAAATGTCAAACGCGCCGCAGAGTTTCTAACGCAGGCACCGGAAACCACAGCCAAAACTGCCGCCAACAAAAGCCAAAGCACTGTGTGAATATAACATTTAACTTTCATTTTACATTGATATATATTTGTTAGCAATATTTTCCGATTCCTCTTGTGATACAGTTGTTTTGTGCGTTTTGTTCTTGTTCTGATTGCAATTCACTTCACTGCTGAAACTTCCGTTTTGCTTTTCTCATTTCGGTGAGCCAGGTCCGCTACTCTTGCAAATCACATCCCTGGTCTCGCCTGGTGCAACAAAATACATTTTCACTCCCCGTCCACATGCCACCCTTCCCCCGTTCCACTGCCCTCGCCCGCTTGTCCGTGCGACGGTGAGCAGCAGCAGCAGGGTGAGGAGCGATTGACGGCGCTCGGCGGACGCGACGCGCCGGCGCCCGTGCGTCTGTCGCACCTCATGCTGCACGGCGTGGGCGGCGACCGCTGGTTCGACAAATCCCTGAGCCTCATCGTGGCGGCCGACGGGGAGGCGGCCGTGCACTTCGAGCACTCGTGGGGCGACGGCGTGGCGGTGCTGCGCTTCATCAACGAGATTTACAAGGCACGGCGTCGTGACGACAACGGGCCAGCAACGGCGACTGCGATATCCTACTCCCAGCCCCTCAGTCGTCTTCCTCCGACGACCCTAATTCCTGACCCGGCTCCGACATCTTGCTTTCTACGTGCACCTAACCACGTCTCTCCACCAGCCTGACACTTTGCTCCTCCATCGGCTCAACTATCCGGCCACCAGACTGCTGCCCCTACCACCCTTCACCTACCCTCATCCATGCGCATTTCACTACTTCACGCACGTGCCCCATACCCCACTGCATCTCATCCACGCCGCACCCATCAGACACCCTCACTCGCCATCACATTCCACCTTATTCTGCCTTAACTACCCCAGCAACATCAGCTCCATTCCCAGCCACCTGTCCATCCATTCTGTCACCTCCGAGTAGAAGTACTGGCCAACGTAAGAGGTCGGACAGGACATCTCCTGGACATCTGTGACAAAGAGCTTCATAGTTCATCGGCTTTGTCCAGGATTAACAAAGATTCTTCATTGTGAAGTGGCTGTACGACGTTGCGTCGAAATGACCGCCAACGCTGATTGGCATCGCGCCGTAGGTCGGGTTGAAGCGATACGAATCCCCGAAGCCGACGGCCCCACAGTTCCTTCAAGTCAGGACTCGCCTTCCATCAAGGCTGCACGCCCTTCGTATTGAAAAAATACAAATGCCTAAGCCGAGGGCTCTGTGACACACAGCTCTGACTGGAGAGTGTTGACAGCCATGGCGTCCATAATTGCAGTGTAGGGATGGATGCAGACGGTGACTCCAATATTCGTGACGGGCGACGACAATATCCGTGACGTCTCTCTCTCTCTCTGATGCAGGACTCGCTGAAGAGGCCGGCCGTGTCTCCCGACGACGCGCCGCCCTCTTCCGACGTGGAACAGTCGTCCGTGCGACGCCTCGATTTCCGTCTGGACGACGCGACGAAGGCGGCCGTGGACGCCGCTCGCCGGCAGTTCCACCGGACGGTGTCCGGCCTCGTCATTCACGCCATGGAGTTCGACAAGTACGGGAAGAACTTCCTCAAGGTGCGGCCCGGCGGTTAGCCTGGCGGTGGCGGCGCGGTGTAGGCGGTTGTGCCCGTCTGTCCACCGCGAGGACAGGCAAGAACGCAGGTTCTTGTGTAGCCTTAACAGACTGTTGGTGGCAAGTGCTGTTAGCGAGTAGCACCTATGAAGCCCGGCATGACACACGAGGGGGTGGTTGGCCAGCACCACGCCCGGCCGCCTTTGTCACTCCCTGTGACGATGTTTTCACACCGCACTAGGTACTCATTTGAGGTTGAGTCAACCTAAGGGAGGCCCAGGACCGGTTCAGACAATCGTCACCGGTGTTGGCTGTGAGCGATGAATCGAACCCGGGCGGCCGGGGTTCGTAGCTCGGCGTGCCAATCGCTATACCACCCTCCCCCCCCCACCCCACCCCACCCCCGCAGAAGCAGAACATTTCCCCGGATGCCGTGATGCAGCTCGCCTTTCAGATGGCGTTCTTCCGCGAGCACGGCCACGAGGTGGCCACCTACGAGTCGTGCAGCACCGCCGCTTTCCGCCACGGGCGCACCGAGACTGTGCGGCCGGCGACGAGCGCCACGCGGCGCTGCACGCGCGCCTTCGTCCTGGGCCGCGACGAGGCCGGGGGTGGCGCATCGCCGCCCGGCGTGGCCGAGCTGCGGGCCATGTTGGATGAGTGCTCGCGCTACCACGGGAAGCTCACGCGCGAAGCCGCCATGGGTAACGCGCGCGCCACTGACGGGGAGCTTTTGAAGGGGGTGGGTTTGGGGGGCTGTGGAGATCCTTTGGGGGGGAGCGGTGGGGCAGTGGGCTGCGCAGTGCGCTACGAATCTGGCGGTTTGTGTTCGTCTATACCAGCTGGTTCATGCCAACACGTGAACGGTTATTACAAAGCTTTAGCAATTACAGCAGCGTCAGTGCACAGTCGCTAAAGATACTGAACAGTCCTGTTGGCTTTGTGCAGTTATGGCGTAAGAATATCTGTCCACTTGTCCCCAACAAATTAGTGAAAAACTAAAATTCTGGTCTCCTGCTCAACTCATGATGTGGGCAAAGGGCGAGGCTACCTGAGTAGTGGGCAGGGACCTTGGTGAATGTAACGGGATCCGCGAACAGCAGGTGGTGCCAACGTCACAACGTGCGGGGTTTGTGGCTGTGTGAAGGTGGGCAGGGCTGGTGAAGTGACGTAGGGGACCACCAGCTCACCACCCATCCCAGTCGAGCCTCCCGGAAATGTTGTAGCTTTACCAACCAAGTCTCTCCCTCTCTCTCCATGTCTGTCTCACCTGTCTCGCCGAACCGTCCAGGCCAGGGCTTCGACCGCCACCTGTTCGCGCTGCGCAAGCTGGCGTCGGCGCGCGGTGGCTCGCTGCCGGAGCTGTACCGCGACGAGGCGTACACCCGCATCAACCACAATGTGCTGTCCACGAGCACGCTCGCCAGCGACGCCGTGCGGCTCGGAGGCTTCGCGCCCGTGGTGCCCGACGGCTTCGGCCTGGGCTACGGCATCCACGCGCACTCCATGGGCTGCAACGCAAGCGGCTACGCGGGGGGCGGCCGCGACGTCGCCCACTTCCTCAAGACCCTGCGCGTGAGCCTGGAGCAGATCGGCGCCGTGCTGGAGGGCCGGCCGATCGCGTGAGGGTCGTCCGCGACAGGGGCCCCACCCCCTCCCCCCCCCCCCCCCCCCCCCGTGTGGGCGCGTTTTCTGAAGACGTAGGGCTCGGCGGGGGGGCGGTGGGAAGCTGCCAGGATGAGTTGTCGGAACTCGACGAGTCGCTACTGCTCAGGTTTTCGCGGTTGCGCTGTATAGCCCCCTTCCGCCCCCCCCGCCTCCTCCCGCCACCAATGTAATTTCGGGTTGTACCACGTGGTCTTCGTTCGGCACAAGGTCCGACGTTTCGCGACACGTGCTGAGAACTTCTTCAGCAACCGATTTTAGAAGCTCTCTTGCACGTGGAACGGAACAACGGTCAGTGCGCCAAGCAACGCGCGGTAGCAATCTGAAAGCATGTCGTAAAAATGCCAGGAAACAAATATAAAGGAGACGGTGAACACGGGACGAAAAAAATATTAATTCTCGAGTCGTGACTGCGAATCGTGACGGGTAATTGAACGGCTGGGGCCAGGGGAGGGGAATGGGGAGTTCGCCGTTGCGTGACTGGGACCTCGATCATTCCCTGAGGCACACCCGTGGGAGAATATCTCCCACTCATCCCACGCATGCCTCCCCACTCACGCTCACTCCCGTCCGTCCCTCGTTTCCCAGCCACGCAAACCTCGTCTTCCGCAATTTGTCCCACTCGCTGCCATCCATCCCTTGCCCTCGCGCCAAAATAATACAATTTGATTTATCGATCATATAAATTCCATCACTTAATAATACGGATGGCTGGAGGATTGGAGGATAGAGATTGTGATGGGGTGGTGGGAGGAGCAGAGAGAATGAACGACCTCTATCTCTCATCTCCCACACATATCTCTTTCCTTGCACTCCTCACACCGGCCATCATCTCCCATCCAACCCGGTACTACCTCCCCACTAACTCCGTCCATATCGGGCCCCCCGCAGCCAATTTCAATGTCATTGTCGATTTTATGAATAGTTTTTTTGACTAAATTAGTTTTTTTTCTAATCCGCACAACTAACTAGTGTTGTTAATTCAGAGTTTACTGTATTGCAAGTGCATTATTTTAAATGTAAAATGTATAGCTTTTTATGTCTGTCTGACATCCAACGTCTCGGTAATCGAAGTGAGAAACGGGGGAGGGGGGGGGGGGCGTGTAGAGAGTTCTCTAAAGCGGCTGTCAAAAACGGCAAAATGTGACTTTCGTTTGTCCTTGAAACACGTGGCGCCTCCAAAGAAACGCAGCCGTGACGATGTCGCGGCTGCACTGACCACCGCGCCCACAGAGTTGGCGTAAAAGGCTCAGAACTCGGGCCCTGTGTCTGTGTTGGTACGTGTGCTGCACCGCCAAAATAGAATTGCGTGTGGCTTTGCAGACATGCTGTGAATGTACCTACAACGCTCGCTCGTTCAAACGCACACTCGTCTCTACGGCGAAGCCGCTTTCCATAGCGCCGTTCACGTACCCCACAAAGGGGGGGTACGTGATGGCCCTCGTGCTGTTGTTCCATTTATAAACTTCCAGTGGTCATGAACTGCGTGACAAGTTTGTGTTGATGAACATGTTATTGCACAGCATAGAAGTACAATGCAACGATGGATTTTGCTGCAATGTCCTGTGTTGGCAACATGGTCCCGAAACAATCAAATTGATCCATGACAGTTACCCATGAACACACTATCCTGGCTAGGCAAATTTATAAGAAACTACAGTATAATTAACAGACGAGTCATCCTCTTTCGGTTTTTCGGTAAAGTCACATATAGAAAAATAATAAAACAATAGATCATTGTGATTTTTATTTTATTCTTTTTCTATCTACGTGACTTTACCGAAAGACCCAAAGAGTATGAATTCCTGCAGTCACGAAAGCTTTAAGTCGAGATTTAGACGAATCATCTTTTGGCCAATTGTGACCCCATTATGCTCTACGTGGTTGTACATTTCAGTGTGTATATAATCTCAGTTGTAATTCATTCAAGGCTCACGGTTAAGTTGGTCTCACGATTCACACGCAGGTCTTTACGGACCGGATGTTTCACGGCAGAGGTCCAATTCTGTGAATGCACCTCTTTATCCACCAGTTTATTCGTGTTAGGGTAGTTTGTAGGTATAGTACAACGTCACATATCCGACACGCTGGAGGACTGAGGCATAGTTGCATTTGTGAAGAGGTCTGATAACTGAACAGATAAAAATACACAAATAGATCACTGCCAAAAAGAGATACAAGTTGCAGGGGAAGAAGGGTAATCGTTCCTGCCAGTGCTTTTCACCAAGAATGAGGATGAAGAAGAGGTCAAGGTGTGGGATGTACTGATTGGATTTTTTGTGCAAAAATTATCCTATGAATATTTCTTCGACAGGTACAGCCCCGAATATGCTGCTGAATGAGGGCTGTCCCCCCCACCGCGCTAGGCTGGCGGGCCATTGGGATTAGTTGACCGTAAGGTCACTACTGGTTACTGTGGGTTTGTGAAGGTTGGGGAGCATAGGCGTTGGAGCATAGTCCAGGAAGGCAATCCACTGCCCTCTTGCAGACAACGTAGCCTCGATCTATAGCATAGAAACTGCGAGTAAACTTTAACGTATACACTTCTTCTGGATGGCATCTTGCACACCATTGGGCTTGCATACGAGAAGACCGTTGTGCTCTTATCGAGATGTGTTTTGCAGTGAACACCATGGAATGATTGTGCAGGTGAAGGTGAGCTCGAGGGAGTTAGTTGGGCGCAAGGCTTCTATGTCAGTCTTAAGGACAGAATCCTATATATTTGAATAGAGGTGCAGGGATCACCATTGATATGAATATGAATTCTAAGAACGATGGAGACTCGGGCAGCTCGGTTGAAGTGATTGGGGATGTGAGGATCTCCATTTAAATTATTTGGAGTTTGTGCATCTCCCTGTGGTCACGTGGTTTTCCCCCTCCACATTTAGAAACGTGTGTTTAGAGTATTTGTCTGCCATGAATTTCCACACGACGATCAGCCACTTTGTTGAGTTATCATTTGTAGATAGGTCTCTTGAAAAAGAGCTGTATGGCTCAGTGGGCCTTACCTGGTGAAATAACATGAAAAATAAAAATGAAATTCTCTGGAAGATTGAGATGCAGTTGTCTCCATTGAAGTAAATTGTAATTTTATGGAAGATGTAGACTCTGGCATCTCCATTGAAGTGAATGGGGTTTCTATGAAGGATGTATGCTGGGGCATCTTGATTTAAGTGAATAGGTTTGTTAAGGAAGGTGGAGATGTAGGGATCTCCGTTAAAGTGATGGTGATCCTTTGGAAATTGTAAGCTACCCGGAGCCTTTGTAGATGTTTCTTTGGGGAAGATTGCATGAATATAAATGTCATTAAACCCGTCACTACCCGACACGGTCAATTAGTAAGGTTTGTCACGTAAACAAAACATGCCAATTAGTTACTAATTGGCATGTTTTAGCATACACCGGGGTTCTGAACTAGTAACGACGTGGCATGTTTTGTTTACGTGACTAACCTTGGTAATTGGCTGTTTCGGATGGTGGCAAATGTATCGACACATTTATATATTTACGCGATCTAACCCAAAAACACCTATTATGGATGATATTGGTAGTGAAAGCCTCCGACTCCGCGTTACACTCAACTGGAGCCTTTTTTTCTGATGTATCTATGCAACCCCCCTGCCCCCCATACTCCTCCTGATGGCGAAGGGCGTGTTCCGTTTCTCTTAAGCTCGTCATTGGACACGTGTACGTAAGGCTGTACGTATTCTGGTGATGCGGCGAATAAAGTCAGTCGTGTGTTACACATTGGAGGTTTTGTCTCTTGTTCAACAGCTAATAGTTTAAGTTTTTTTGTTCTTCTTGTCTACCACTGCCAACACAGCAGGCTCACCAAATACTTTAATTATGTAACACAACCAGTTCTGTATAAACAGGCTTGGGGGTGGGGGGCAGGAGCGGTGGTGCAGTGGTTGGCGCACTTGCACGGTGAACCTGGCCCCCTGGGTTCGATTCTCATCCACGGCTATCGTCAGTGGCGAGCGCTATCCGAACCGGTCCTGCCCCCACCTCAACCAACCACAAACCCGCACTGACAAGTGTGGTGAAATATGGTCAAAGGGGCCGTCCATAAATGACGTCACCCACCTAGTGGGGGGGGGGCAGACATTTGTGACGAGGGGGGGGGTGAGAAATGTGACGTCACATCAAAATGCGCAACTTTAAATATAGACAACACGCTATACTTAATTAGACTTTTAATCAATGTTTTCTACTACAACAGAGTGCAGCGCCACATTAAATACGCACTACAATGACAATAGTTTAGAGCGATTTGAAGCATGTTTTATATATATTTTTGGGGGGGGGGGGGCAGAGCTTTGTGACATCATGTTTGAGAGGGGGAGGGTCTGACTTTTTGTGACGCCGTGTGACGAAGGGGGGGGGAGCAAAAACCGTCCAAAATCGCGTGACGTCATTTATGGACGGCCCCAAAGGGGTGGCCGGCAAACCCTAATCCAGCAGTGGATTAAGAGGTGGGAAATTCTTCTTCTCCAAATTATAACATGAGCCTTGTGTGCAGTGACGATGCCAGTCTGTTGGTCATTACAATAAGGAGCTGTGCTGTCGGACATCTCATTCTTCATTCGTACAAGTATCGGAGCAGCTGCAGTGAAGAAGATTGAATGGACACTCAAATGAGAGGCAGACGACGAGGAGCGGGTCCCAATCTTACCAGAGTTATTCACTGCGACGAATGACCGATATATCGGACAAATAGAACAACGTTATTTCATGAGCATTTAAAGTCGCACGTGCTAATCACACTGAAGTTTCGGATTATAAGACGCACTTTGCCCACCCCCTTACCCCCCCCCCCCCCCAAAAAAACATTTTTCGCGTGCGTCTTATAATTCGGTAGGCGTGTGTTTAAAATAGTTTGGATAATTATGTGAACCGAGCAACACGCTTGGAGAGTGCGTCTTACTCTCCGGCGCGTCTTATAATCCGGACAAGACGGCGATATTCAAATCTGTCACGTGCTCCCAAACAGCCGGGGCGAAGTTTGCACGCGAATTAATTATTCATGAGCGTTGTCACGTGCTCCGGGTTTTGGCGCCAACGGTTACATCCGCCAACGCGACTGTTTATGCGCGGCAGCCGGCCATCGCGCCCCGCCCCCCGTGCGCGCTTTCGCCAATAGGAGCGTGCCTAATTCATTATTCATGACCGCTCGCCAACCGTTTCAGCCAATGGGAGCGCGCCTAATGCATTATTCATAAGCACGAGGACGTAACTTCTCATACATCTTCCAACCCTCTGTGTTTTTTTCGGTGAAGTCACGTATAAATGAGAAATAATAAAATAACATAAAAGCGTACGCTATTATTTCCTGCAGTCACGAAAGCTTCGAATCAAATCTTCCAACCCACCAATGGGGATGTCACATAATTAATTATTCATGAGCGCGGGGGCGTGGCGTCACGCCCCCTCCTCCCCCCCCCCCCACTCGGATACGAAACCGCCACCAATGGGAACGAACCCTAATTCATTATTAACGAGTTCTTACCAATGGCAGGGGGGGGGAACAGCTCGTTCATTATTCATAACCAACGCGAGGATCGTCCGACCAATGGCAGCGCGCGATCGACGGTGATCGATTATTCATGAGCTCTCGAGGGGGGGGCGGGGGGTGGTGGCGCTGTCCAATGGTGGGGTAGCAGCGGGTAGCGCGCGGGAGACGGCGACGCTCGCTCTGCCGCCACCAAGCAACGGATCCACTCGGCGAGCGGCGCGCGAAGAGAGCGAGTGAGAGAGAGACAAAGACGCGCGTGGGTGGTAGTTGCTGAGGCGGTGGCGGAAAGTTGTTGCGAGCAGCGTGTGAGAGAGTTGACTCTTGAGGTGGTTTTGTCGGTGGTGAGTATCTTCGCTGGGGAGAGTTTGAGGGCGCGCGTGGTTTCGTGTTGAATAGAAGGAGGTTGGTTGGTTTGGTTTGGGGTTTGCCGTAACAAATGTCGCCCGCGATGATTCGTGGTGTTGTTGATGGGGTGAGGTGGCGGTCTGGGTTAGGCATTGAGTTGTTACGCAGTCTGAGTTATTGTGGCGGGAGGCTCAAGTCGAGAGACTTTGCGGGGGTTTATTGTGGCACTTTATTTAACGAGTAGAGATGCATTGTAGGCCTTCGTTGAGACTCTTGTGGGGGTGGGAGAGGGGCCGTTTAGCAGCTCCCCTCCAGTATTCATCCTCGCTCATTAAACAAAAACAACTCACCGCCTCCCCCCCCGCTCACCCACTCTATTCGATTAATATTACACGTGAAGGAAATAGCTTCCTGCGTCGATTATTATTTTATTAACAAACAAAACAAAAAAATGTGGCCGGGCCTGGGGGAGGAGTGGTGGTAAGTACGGTCAAATAACCCGCACGAAACGGCGTTGGAGACGGACAAGAGGCCTGGGGCGACTCTTATCCAGCAGTGGATTGACCATAGCCGAGAACGACGACGATAATGACGAGATATCCTCGCTTTGTGTCGAACCACTGCTGAATGCGTAGGCCTCGCAACGCCGTTGTGTACTGCCAATTTAGTGGCGTGTTTCACCATACTTCACCGCGTTGATGGACACTTACAGTAACTGGGTGCTGTTACATTTAAAGCTTTAGAACATCAGTACCGTAATCGCAAAACGTAACGTCGTTTCGCCGTCCTCTCCGATGCGATGTCGTGTGGCCTGGCTGTCGTGTGGCAGGCACGTGGAGTAGTAATGCTGTAAGTCGTAAGTAGTATACCCCCATTGTGAGTTGGGGGGGGGGGGGGTGTGATGATGCTGTGGGTCACGGCGTCTTTATATCTTCAGGCTGAACCCGGGGGGGGGGGGCCGGGGTGGATTGTCCTTTGCCACAACCACCACCAACCACTACGTTGTCACTAATTAACGTCGTTACTGCAACGTCGCTACATTCGTACGAGGGGTGGCGGGGGGTGGGAAAACTCTTTTGTCAAGAGTGCCACGCTGCTGCTGCTGCTGGATTTGAGGGGCCTTGCCCTCCACACACCGCGTTTCAAGCAAGTTGTGGAGGTTGGCTTTGGTGGAGGGTAAATTCGACCGTACTTCACCGCGTCTGTCGCTTGCGGTAAATGTGGTAAATGTGGAGGGCGGCTCCCAGGAGGAAACATAAGACCAAAGATGCCCCCTTTGCAGGCAGTTATTTTTACCATACTTCACGTTTGTCGCTTGTTGTTGGTCAATGTGGAGGGGGCTCCCTTGAGGCAGCATAGACCAACCATGGTTGTTGCCCCTGCCCACCTGCCCTCTACAATTACGTTCCCTCTACGTCGTCTGTACAGCCCCCCCCCAACCCGTATCATGGGATTCACTCACTGCCTGATGAAGTTCGTGGTGGTTTATTTGACCATACGTCACCCAATGCGGGCCAGCGTTGGTTTGGTGACATAGGAGTACAATACAACAATCGATGTCACTGTTCTCCCCTCTGCCGTCCACCACGTAGCCCCGCAGCAGCCTTACAGCCACCCGTGTTTTGTGCACGGTTGTCGCCCATGCAATAATTGTCCAGGCTCAGAAATCCTGCCCAGCTTCCGTGATGTCACGCAAAGTGGACTGCAATCCGGGTGATTTGGTCATCATAGGCTTACGGTCCCAGGCCACCACAATATTATTAATTTAATCATCGCGTGAGCACGTACTTGTAAATGCCCTCGCAACGTGTTATAGGCGCCTCTCTCACTTGTCAAGTGACTGGCTTAGCTGTCTCGGAACTGGTTGTTTACATAGGTCTGGCATTTGGTGATTAATTCATATTTACAGGACTACTTATACTCAGACCTTTGTCAATCCACCTGCTGGACTTAAGTCATTCCTACGCCGTGTTGGTTATGGAGGAAGTTTGACCATACTTCACTCAACTGGTTATGGTGAGTTGGGCAGGGAGGAGTGGTGGATTGTTTCTGGGCATCTGTGAAAAAGAGCTTTATAGCTCATCGAATTTCCCCAGGATATATATACATATTCCGGTTCTGATATGACTCGCCACTGATGTTAGCCGTGGACAATAATCTAACACACATAGGGAAACGATTCGCCGATTCAAGAATTAATTACACATATATGTTGCGTCATTTGAACTGTCATCTGCGTCGTCGGTCTCCAGGATTGTTTACCCCTCTTGTTTCTTGAGCTCGGTGGCCACAAACCAACCGGTGTCACCCCCCCCCCCCCCCCACACGTGAGACCCCCCCCAACCCCACCGCGACATTGGCCGTGATTGCACGTGTGCGGTTTGGCGTGTGCGGAAATATGACGCTTGCCGTGGGGTGGCTGTCCGCTGTCGAAATGTTAAACTCGTGATCAATGGCCAGCGTGTGGAGTATGTTAACACAACCGCTGCTGTCAACCTGCACCGTATTAATTATTTGAAGAATAGATGTAAGACATCTTATCTATGTGTTAAAGCAAAAAATACATTACAATTTGCAGCCGTTTGTCAATCCACTGCTGGACGAAGGCCTCCCCCGTGCCTTGCCAGTGATGGGGATTTGTATGACCGTACTTCACGCTGGTCACTCTGCGGGGTGGTGTGAAGTGGGTTGTACCAGGCTTGCTCCAACTGATGTTAGACGTGGCTGGGATTGTAGCGTACCTGTCAACCACTTAGCAGTGCCTAACTTATTACACACCAATTCAAACCTTATTGGTCACCCCGTGCCCTTATAAACCTCAACGTTCATCCTACAAAGCACCATCACAAGGGAGAAACACAAACAAATATACAAAACTATGTTTTTTTTGCCCATATTGAAACGTCTGTACGCCGTTTGGACCTGATAACTCCATTTCCCTGTACAATAATTCGGGGTAAATGGTATGCGTTGACAGGTGTATGATGTCGCCCCCAATGCTCCCATCACGTTATTATGTTTTGCGTGAACTTGCGCTGGTCCCGTGTTCTTGCGTTGCCTTGAAGGGCCTCGGTTGCCCGAGTTTGCGGGCACATTTTTACAGGGCCTGGTTTCACACAGTGGCTTCTTCACACTCCTCTCTCAAAGCACTTGGCTGTGTTGGTTTTAAAACTACTGTATGGTGACAGGTTACCAGATATGAATATTTTTGACGCGGTGTACATATTGCATATCATTGCCGACTGATGGAAATTCTAATGATGGTCTAGAAATGTATGAAAGTTGAAATTTGGCACTAATATATGCAAGTGTGCGTGTTTGTTTATAACAAGAAAAATGAAAAAACTTGTTGAATTTCGATTGCGAATCTTTTGGGCCTCCAGATAATACAGCCTAGAGGCCAGTTGGTTTCACTTGTATGGCAAGGCGAGCTTTGAGTTTGACATTTATTTGAATCTCTTGATTAACACATTCAAATATTCAATCCCGTTGTCATTGAATCAAGTAGTCTGCCTCTTGTGGCGTGCGATATCAAAGCTTGAAATTGGGCAAAGCCAACACTACCAATTAATACAAGCATTGAACACAAGCATTAAACACAAGCATTGAACAGACCACGGTATATCTCTCTACTTCAAATGAAAACCGAGTCATGTTTTGGTGCACCACCCTATTTATTTAGGCCCAAAAAAGTGAAATGGAACCTTGTGTTTTTATTTTATTACCAGCCCGACGGGAATATTTTTTGTAACTATTAAATGAACAGACGCCTGTCTGTTCATTTGTTTTAACAGCCTCAACCCTTCCAGCCAGCGCATAGTGATTAGGCTGTAGTTCAAATAAACACAGTATGGCCTCAACCACGGTCACGTTAACCTTAATCCTGCTCGGCAACCGTGCTCCCTTATGAGGTCGGGCACTAGGCCGTTGTTGTACGAGTGGGTGAGTTGGGAGGCCCATAGTTTGTGGGGAGAGTGTGACCTTGGTCGGTTTGATTCAATGACCCAGCTCTGCTCTTTGGTTCTTTCGGTAGAGTCACGTAGAAAATAAAATAATAATAGAATACGACGTTTCGGTTGCAACACAAGCAGCCATCATCAGGTAAGAATGAATGATAAAACACAGACACGGTGCGTGTCTCGCTCGGTGTGTCTCTGCATGTGTGTCTGCCTATGTTGTTTCCGTGTTTGTGTTTTATCATTCATTCTTACCTGATGATGGCTGCTTGTGTTGCAACCGAAACGTCGTATTCTATTATTATTTGATTTTATTTTCTACGTGACTTCACCGAAAGAACCAAAGAGTAATTGCTGCAGTCACGAAAGCTTCGAATCTAGTTTGACCCAGCACTGCTCGCCACTTCCTTTTTATAGTGGAAATGTGGCATGCGTGATACCTCTAGGATTGATATCTAATTTTTTGTCAATAAGATGCAACATCATTTTTCGAGATATGACCCATGGTCTTCCACAATTAGTTATTTTGCATACTAAAATAGTTCCAGATCTTCATCAGGCCCAATTCTGTATTCAGATCCATTTAAATCCTAGAACATTACTGTTAAAATCCGTCCATTCAACTCCCCTGATTGGTCTAACAGCGATGACGTTGGGGGCACCGCGTTGGAAGCTGGCTGTTTAATATCCCCTGCGTTTAACATAATTGGATTAAACCATTACATTCTAACCCCCCCCCCCCCCCCACCTCTTGATCATCTCTATGGTACACATCCCGTACATTCACATAATGCGTTGCCGACAGTCACGTATGCAGCGAGATTCTGGGGAAGCGTGCCAACAACGGGTGGCCGTGAGTCGTGCCTCTCGTTTTCCCAGCCACCAGACCACGCTCGCTCGCTTGCGTCGCTTGTTTTATGACCGAGAGTGTGTGAATTGGGTTTTTACAATATCGAGATAAACGTTTGGAAAGCTCTCTGCATGAGGTCGTCGCCTAATGTTTACTTAAAAATAAGAAGTCTAAACATTTGTCATGTGTTTAATTGAGTGAAAGTTTGCTCCCCCCCCCCCCCCGTCTTATTTTCTGTTGGCTTCGTTGCTTTATTTTATTGTTTTTGTTATTTGGGTCACCCAGGTCAGTCTTGCCATTAAAACTGATTCTTGTTACTTCTGAGGTCCTACCCGGTTAAACTAATAAACTTGAAACGCGTCTTGGCATTAATGGATGCGCTTTTAACAGCGCACGTGAGAAACTGCTGTAAATGATGTGAAATGTTGAACGTCGGATCGCGCCTTCTGTGCGGAGGTGTAAGTGGTGACATGTAGTTGTCTGCATTCCCATTGCAGATAGTCGCTTTGAACGGGAGCCGGAGTTGAACACTGAACAGGTCGTTGCTGGCATAACCCCGGTGACATCATGGCCAAAGATGTACGTGTGCGCACACATTGCAAGAACTACAGAGAGAGCCCGGTGCTTAATCATGGCAGGGACCACGTGGTTACCTTGGGAATTTTCAAAATGAACCATTATTGTGGACAAGTGTTACTTTACAACTATAACCTGTTGTACAGTTGACATAGAAGCTTTGGTTGGGGCAGTGGAACAGTGGTTGGTATTACTGTGCTCTGGATCCATTGACCCAAGTTCTGTTCCTGGCTATGACTTGCATCAGTGGCGAAGTAATATCTGAACCGGTCCTGGGCTTTTTCCCCCTTCACAAATCTGCGTCGACCAGGATGGTGAAGTATGGTCAAACAAGCCTTGTAACTGACACAGCAGTACGGCGACCTTTGTACAGCAGTGGATTGACTATAAATTGTTACAAAGTTCTGGTTATTTTTTTACATGTTGTGCTTTCAATGTAGGTTGTGTTGCATATATTCATGACATATATTGATAGTTTTCAAATGTGTATCTTGGAATTTTCGTAGTTTTTTTACACAACGTGCACTACATGTTCATGTTATGATTTTTTGTGTGTGTACTGCACACATTCTTTTTTCCATTCACCGATGTGTGAACTGCGTTGAAATTGTAAAGGTGGCCCGTGTAGCTGACTCGTGTATTCGCTCTGCAGGTCGGATATTTTGACAAGAATGGAGAGTTAAGGGGCTTTTTGGAAAACTTCAGCCCATCCAAAAGTAAGTTATTTTTTTCAATCGTCATGCCATCTCAAACACAAGGGCAATATTCATGAATGTGTCACCGATCCCTTCATGGGTCAGTCATGTCGTGCTGTCTCATCTGCGTTCGAGTAGAACTACGTTATGACCTTTTCAACTTGTGCCCAGGACAAAAATAATCAAATTTGGGAAATGTTTTGGCACCTGTCGTAGGGTCGGCCTAGCAGTCGGTGTGTGCTAGGTCATGAACCATCTTTTCTTAGGTTCAGTTCCTGGTACTATCATCTTGTAGTGCTGTCGTCACAGACATGTGCTCTGCTGCAAATTCAACCGTGAATGGCTGTTCGTCTCCCGTGATAGTCGGACCGATATTTTTTCAGTTTTTAATGCATAGGCGTTTGCAACCAATATCAATAGTTTAGGTTTTTTTGGTTTAGTTCATGTAAATATATACGTGTTTATTAAACTCGCCACCAATCGTCACAGCCAATTAGTAAGGTTTGTCACGTAAACGTCGTACTCCGATTGTAAATGTTGTGGGTTTACTCTCCAACACATCGGTGTGTTGTACGAGTAACGAATTGGCACGTTTTGTTTACGTGACAAACCTTAATTGGCTTGTCGGGTTGTGGTGGGTTTAACGACATTTATATTTACGCGATCTAACCCAAAAAGCCTCTGGATATTTTTTCATCTTACAGCTGCAGCTTAGGAAGATTAAGTGTGGAGCCAAATTTAACGCGATGAGTTTTTTTTTTTTCGCACGGCCTATTTGTGACTAGGCTGAGACCCTCGCCTCGCACTATTATACTTGGGAAATCGGTTTTAATCACGAGCGGCTCAAAGCCTCGATTTACAATACAGGATCTTGGCGATCCCACGCCCTGCCCTCTCCCTCGACCTCTGAGCCACTGGGGCCGATCACCTCGAGCTTGTTTTCTGCTCGTCAAGTTGATTTTTGAATCGTGGTTGGATCCAGATATTGAAGGACGGCAACCCCCCCCCCCCCGTCCCGTGTTGCCGTGGCGCAGGCACTGTCTCTGTGGTCACGCTTCCCGTTGGGAACCTGGGCTCGCCCGGCAAGCACATCCTGCCCAAGACGCTCGCCCCGTCCAACGTGAACGTGCCCCAGCAGATGGTGAGTGCGTGCCTCTCGTGTGGCTTGTAAGGGCAGTCCTTGGGAATCATACGGGCCTGCCCGTTGAACACGAGCCCGTCGCTTAATTTCATTGGGTTTTTTGGAACTGCTTTTTGTGTTTAGTTTGCTGTCCTTCATAAGTAGCATGGTCGGCTACGTACGGTGCGAAATAAGTTCTACATGCATACAGTTGGCCCCGCGGTAACACAAGGCCTACCACTAGGAAAAGGCCCCGCAAACAATTTATCACCGTGAGCATCTAAGGAAATTAAAGCGTGTAGGTGTTTGTCGCCAAAGCGATTTAGAGCCGCTGTACAAACAGCCCCTTGTCAGCTGTTGCTTGTCTATTAATTGTGGTTGTTTAGCGAAAGCCAGGTGAGATGCTGTTGGATCAGTGGGCCTGCTCGCTCCGCAAGCAATGTCCCCAGCGTAATGTGTCTCTTGCAAAAACTCGCCGTGTGCAGCCGTCGTCGTAAAGAGGCCCCCGTAAATAGCTGCGTCGTTCAGCCAGTGTTGTTGACGCAGTATGCTTTCCCGCTTTTGGGCTCTGGGCGGCGATAAAAATGATGAACATGAAAGCTCGGTTTTCCTCCCTTAGTTATTGCGTCACAAAAGGGCTCTTGCTCGGCAGGTGGGAATGATCAGCAGCTGCGTTTGCCTGGTAATTTGTCACCTGACGCAGGTGTAGATAGGAGGGTCGATGTCGCAGGCCAGGTTTTTTGGACAGAAGCTTGGGAAAATGTTACCCAGCCACCACGGCAGTAATAAGCAGTGCCATGGATGTAACAATTTATCTTTAAAATATTTTTTGCCCTCAGGATAATGATGATGATGACATTTATAACGAGCCAGATTTTGCAACCAAGCTTCAGGGCTGCTCGAAAGCCTGACCCAACACAGATAGAGAGGCCATTAGATGTTTCTTGAAATTCGGAGTGCATTTTATGTTGCGGATGTGCAAAGGTATTGGGAGAGTTCCACGCCGAGGGGGCGAGAGCAGAGAACCAACGTGAGGCGGCAACGTAAATCCATGCGTGTGGGAAGCGATAATTTCCGATTTTGTGTACGTTCACAAACTGGTTGTTTTGGTGCTCTGGTTCTCCCACATGCATCAACACCCATCAGTTGGCTCAGAACATCTTTACTATACAGAAGACCGCAGAGCTTGGGCAATTTTTGTTAGCGCCAGATCCGTGCCTGGCTTGCTGCCTTCCCGCCCGCCTGTGCTTCCTCCTCGACCGTCCGAGTTTGATCTCTCTTCGGAAGAACTGTGCAGCGATGGTTCATAACAAGTTGACCTTGTTATTGGTGTTGTACGTGAACAACTAATGGGAACCCTGCATGTTCAGCATCGTCCACTGTTGCTTCCAATAAAATGGACACACAAACACCACAATTGCAAAAAAAACAATAATTGACTCGCAAATTACATTTTGAGGTTTAATTGAAAGCAGACAGTGGGCGACTCTGTTTGAGAAGGCACGTATAGCGATGCGTCGGTGTGTGTATTAAATTGATTATTATTATTTTGCTCGTGTAAATTGCTTCAAATTGTGAGTCTTAAGAATCTGTTCTTGTCGATTCCTGCTTGGTGTGTGTAATTTGATCTTGTGACTCTTGCAGGTGCTACAAGCACTAAAACGAGCCTGCTACAGCTTCGTATAATCATGGATAATGCGTATGTTGTAAAACATTGGCCCAGATAAATAAGAAAACAATTAGGAAACATGAATTCGTTTTGAATGATTAGTATCTTGTTTAAACTGATTGGTTGTTCCAGTCATGTAATGACACCTGTTTAAAAAAGCAGGTCAGGTGACGTTGTTGTTGTGACTTCCTGAGTCCTGTCCTGAAGGTGCTTGACGCAGTGTCATGCGAAATGCCACGTATCCGATTTCTAAACTTGGTTAAGAATTGTTAATAATACAGGTTTTTTTTGGGTTAGATCTCGTAAATATGTTCCGTTAAACCCGCCACCACCCGACACAGCCAATTAGTAAGGTTTGTCCTGTAAACAGAACATGCTAATTTGTCACTAGTACAGCACACCGGTGTGTTGGAGTGCAAAGCCACAACATTTACAATCTGAGTATGACGTTTCACCAGTAATTACAGCTAGCTTCAGGAAACAGCCAGATTTGTTGCTGTTTAATGCCACTTTTATATAGTTACGCGATCTAACCCAAAACACCTGTGTTATGGATGATATTGGTCGCGAAAGCCTACGTGTTAAACTTAAGAATTGTTATAAAACTCAAGGTCTCACGACAGAAACCTGGCCGGATAATTGCATGGCCTAACCCAAAACTGAGTTGTGAATCATCATATCGGCTGCCACAACCTGTTGTGTCAGGTAATACATAAATTAATCAATAGAGATTTGAATGAAATCGCTGCGCCAAATCGCGACATTTAATTAATTGAATCGCGAGGGAATGGTTCATCACAGGCCGAGAGCCCTCTCAAGATCTAATCACATTGTGATGCGAGTTTCACTTAATTTTATCGCTATCGTTTTCTTATATCTGGTGTTTGTTTCATTTGTTTTTTATCACTTTGTCCATGCTTTATACTGCTTTACTTTATGTAACCCTGGTCTCCCTTGCCAGAGAGACCTTTAGTCTGCACCTGTTCCCACCTGGTTTCAAACCGAGGTATCGATCGATTGTTTGTATCGTTTGGTACTGCCGTTGTAAAGTGGTTGCACGCCGCAGTAAGCTTTGGCACTGGTGGTGAATGTGGAATGCGTTTGTCTGCGATGGTTTGTTGTTAGCTCGACGCCATTGGCGCCTTGCCCCAGGTGGGCTTTGCGTAAGAATGCCACAGGCGTTTGCGACAACCTCGCCGAGTTTGCACGAGGCCAACAAACATATAGTTCGTGTCCGCATCGAGCTGAGTGGACGGCCCATAGATTCCCCCCGGGTCCGCCACTCTCACTCGCACGGAGGCATACTGCTTTCGCGGGAGGTGCGGGAGAACGTCCCGCCGGCAGTGACGTGCGCGCGGTGGAGCATGCTGGGCTTCGTGTGAATGTGTTGAAATGGCACCTGCGCACGGTCAATGGAGAGGAGTGGACGTGCATGTCAAGTTGCATTGTCGTCATCGTTAGCCGTGATCAGTCCGCTGCTGGCGGAGGTCGCTCCCCAAGCTGTTGCCGCCTGTTATGGTCCTCCTGCGCTGTAGCAAGCCACCTGGCACCTGCTCACGAGATGGTCCGTTCCGTTGCGCCTAGGGGACGTCCTCTTTGGCGGCGTTAGAGATGGCAGGAGTAAATTTGTTGAATAGCAAAGAAAGAAAAAAAAACTACTTGGCGGTCCTCTATTATCAAGTGTCTGCTGGGTGAGAATTTCCCACGGCGCGTCGGCAATGGGGGTTTGTTTGACCGTATCTCGCCACACCGGTCAGCGCCGGTTGGTCAAGGAAAGGACCAGGATTGATTGGTACAGATATCACGACGGGTTTATGGAAGGCTTGACCGTAAGCGAAAATGCATTGGTGTGAAATGAGATTTTAAGGGTGGCTGATAACCCATGAGTACATTGCCGCAGCAGGTGTCGGTAACATAGCGTGACTGGTATGGGCAGTTGTGCAAGAAATACAATGGGGGGGGGGGGGGGGGGCCCTTTTACACCTTCACCCCCTCGTCGTCGCTCAACGCCTGGGTCCCTACGGCCCCTGGGCGTCGGTGCAGTTGCACCGCCTGCACACTTGACAGCTACGCCGCCGCTCGGCACCACTGAGACCTCGTGCTGAACGCCAGGGCACGGACGAAGACTTGCACGTTGTTTTTTTGTCGTGTGTGTGTGTGGTGATCCCAGTACCTTCACTTCACTGTGAAAATAGAGAACCGGAGTTATTTCTGCGGATTAAAACATTCCCCGGTAGCGTAGCCTCCCTTCTCCACACCCACCTCGGGTGAGTGGTTGTAAATTAACCCGAACGTGGATCCTGATGTCGGAAAGATTAGCGGAGACGACTTCTCGTTGACCGTTAAGGAAAGTAGGGGCCGGGCTTGGGCAGGACCACGCGTCACTCGGTGGGGATGACGGTGAATGGGTGAGACTGGAGGTGGAAGGACAGCCACAGGAAGGAACACGCCCGCGAGGATGCCCACCGTGGAGATGGAGCGGTGATTAATTGGCTCGTATGCAGGAGCTGGATGGGTCGTGACATTACTGGACCATGGTGATTGTTTGGGGGGGGGGCTGGGGGGCGAGGGAGGGGTGGGGGAGGTGGCCTTCATCCAGCAGTGCATTGATCACGATCGGCGAATATTATGGTTGTGATTGGTGGTTCCCGTTTGTTTTTCCGCCACTCTTTAACGGCGCGTCACGAGTACAGTGCGGGGCCCTGTTTTGGTGTTAATCCGTTTTTTCCTGCTGTTCCGCAGTGTTTGAATGGCCCCGTGTTGCTTAGCGACGGTAACCACGCTGCAGGTTGTGAGGGAGTCGGTGTGTGCGCGTGCGCGCGCGCGCGTGCGTGCGCGTGCGCTTGTTTGCACACGAGCTTACATGCGCCTGCACGTTCGGCGCTATACAAATAATGCGATGAAACTTAAGACGTCCACTTTGGCAAAGATGAAGAGACCTACTTTTCTGCCGAGGCCCTTTTCATTGGCTCCTTAATGATGCTCGCATTTTGTGGCTTGGGGGCCAGCGAACGCGTGGCTTTGAGCGGCACGAAAAACCCATCTCGTGATTGCCACGGACAAACCATGGAAAGACAGAAGTGTTTCGCGGAGCGAAAGCAATAGTGGTAGTTAAGACATTGTGGGGTGCGGGCGTTTCCCCCGGTTGCGAAGTATGTATGTGAAACGTGGGTGATCAATGCAGGAGATTAGGGTGGAAGGTCACAACAGCTTTTGAAGTATGCTGCCACAGGAGAGACTTGTTGCGTGTCCCGTGGGCAGTAGCGGAGAACCGGTGGACATGCGTACCACAACATGTTTTTTGTGGAGACGATGAGCTGTAGAGCATAATCGAGAGACCAAAACTATTAAG